ACCTGGTCCATCAAGCTCCCTCCCCCTCCCGCCAGTAGATGATCATCCCAGATTAAATGTAAAAAAGATATTGAGACTCTAGAAAGAGTACAAAGAGCAACAAAGATGATTAGGGGATTGGAGGCTAAAGCATATAAGGAAAGGCTGCTGGAATTGGGTATGTCTAGTTTAATGAAGTGAAGGACAAGGGGGGACAATATAGCTGTGTTCCAAATCTCAGGGGCTGCCACAAAGAAGAGGGAGTCAAGCTCTTCTCCAAAGTGCCTGAAGGTAGGACAAGAAGCAACGGGTGGAACAATTAACCAGTGGAACAACCTGCCTCCAGAAGCGATGAATGCTCCAACACTGGAAGTTTTTAAGAAGAAACTGGACAGGCATTTGTCCAAAATGGTAAAGGGTTTCCTGCCTGAGCAGGGGGTTGGACTAGATGACCTCCAAGGTCCCTTCCAAATTTATCATTATTATTACTATTATTATTATTATTAAGCCCCTTGACTTTAACAGAGGAGTTGCTGAGCATCTTTGCAGTATTACCTGTGCCATCAATTCACCTTCAGCTTTCTCACTTTTTATTTATTTTATTAATTCATTCAATTTCTATAGCTGCTGGACTCAATCAAGTGCCTCTGGGCGGCTTACAATTTTAAAAGATTTTTAGACTTTTTAAATTAAATCTTGGCAGGAGCCGATTTCCACAGGCTGCTCCTGAACTGGAGCTTCTGCTTTGAGGTTTGGGCACGAAATTGGGCAGCATTGGAGCTGAGGAGGAGCAAAGAGGGTCTTTGGCCACATGCTGGATCAAAGTGGGCTCTTTTAATGTTAGGGAAATGTACAAGAATTAAACAAAGGTCCAATTACATTAAAAGCCCCAATGAAAGAGGGTCCTTCCAGGAGAAAAACACAAAGTGAATTTGTTCAAGTAACACCTAATTTTACAAAAGGTGGAATGGATGATGCTATTGTCCTCTAAGAACACCATGGCTTTTACTTTTGCAATAATAATTAGGGTTAATTAGGTGTATTTTAAGCTGAAAGTTTAATTGGCTCGTAGTTATATCAGTCATCGCAGAATACATGTAAACTCGCTAGAGTAACAGAGCTCCTGCCCATTTGTTCCCTCGCTTTCTCCTTCCCCTTTCCAGGGCATGAATGAAAGGCCTGTCTCAGAACAGCCCTGCATTTTCCAGAGGGAAAGCATTAATTCCAAGAGCTTGGATTTAAATTTCCTCTGAAAAACAAACACTGACCCTTTCATCTTCATCCAGGAAGGGGTCCTTGAGCCAGCCTTCACTTCCCTTAGAAGTTCTAATTAGATTTATGTTTTTAAGCATTCAGAAACATTTTGTACATCATGAAGGCATTTAACAAATGTTTATTTTCTTCAGAATACCATAGAAAATGCTCTTTGGAGCAGAGGGTGTAAGTCAGGGTGCCAAAACGGATCATATCTCTTAAACATAAACTATGAAAGATTCCTTTCTTGGATGCTCCTGGCTCTCAAGGGTGCCCTACTCCGTGCTGAACCAAGGATGGTTTTTTTTTTTTTTTCTCAAATAGAAAGAGAGGGTGCCCACTTTCACCCTTGCCCCAGTGCAGAGGATCTGCTGGTCTTCCTCAAGGAAAAGTTAAGAACCCAGCAGATCCCACTTCCTCGAAGGCTGCTTAGAGAGGATTCCTTAGGATTTATCTGGTTGGTGTGTATCCATTCCAAACATGGGGGGGGGTCAGGTTTTTAGGGTCCAAGGAAAATGATGACCACCAACAAGGAGTGAAACTCTTCAGGCCCACCACATCTTTCCTTTGTGGAAGGAATGAGTCCAGTGTTGTAAGGCTTCTCAGGAGGAGACCCAGCCCTGTCCCCAGTTGTAGCTCCATCATGTTCCACAATCCTCACTGTCCTCCTCTGCTACACAACATTGTCCTTGATGCATCTCTAGCCCAGGAACAAGGCAGCCTTAAATTGTCATTTTGCAAACTGTAATAAAATAGTTGTGTCCCTCTGAAGCAAAATTTAGGGTGGTCTCTCAGGCATTGCCTGCTGGGTGATCTCTCCATCCTCTGCTCCCAGCTCTCTTCTGCCTCTTCCACTAGCACAGTGGTTCTCAACCTTTTTAATGCCACGACCCCAGCCGGTCGTAAGTCAAGGACTAAACCGGTCATAAGTCGAGGACTAAACCGGTCGTAAGTCGAGGACTTTCCCTGCCCGGAAGCGCCGTGCATGCGTGGTGCCACCTCCTGCGCCAGCGAGGCGTAGCTGGCAAGCAGCAGAGACGGAGCAGGCCGACCACCGGCTGGGCCACCAGCTGGCCCAGCCCAAGGGAGATAAGGCACCCGCCAGAAAAGGGGAAAAAATGGCGGACAGCCTTGCTTGGCGACCCTCTTGAAATGGTCGATCGATCCCAAATGGGGTCACGACCCATAGGTTGAGAACCGCTGCACTAGCACTTCCTCTCATACCTTTGTTTGTTGAATGTATACATGCTGCCCATTGCACTATGGGGGGAGTTCCTTCCTTTCTGGGTGCTGCAAATGAGCTTCCTCAACACACACACACACACACACACACACACACACACACACACACACACACACCAGTGGAGAAGATGCTGTTCTTCCTCAGGTGCCCCGTTCCTTCTGTCCTGCAGTCAGTCTGCGCAGAGGCACCTTGTGCAGAATCTTTGAAGTGCCCACCCTGAAACAACGGGTGGAGTCAGGCGGTGGGAAACCAGCCTCCCGTCTCTCCCCTGAAGGTGGGCTGGGGCTGTGGAGGAAGCAAGTTCTGACTTGTGCGAAAGCAGCACAAGCTTCGTATTCTTTGGAAGAGAGTCTGGGCTGTGGTGTGTTAAAGCCCTGCAAAACCGGATCTCAAGCTCCCTTCCCGCAGAACTTCAGCCCTCTCTCTCACCTTGCTTGGGGATCAACCAGACCACCTCTCGCTCCTTTTTTGTCTACCAGTTCTGAATTCTGTTTGGTAAAAAGAATTTGGTTTTGAAGGAAAAGAGGATTCGGATAGATGTTCCTGGATGGAGCAAGGTCTCCCTGGGGACTTCCTGGGCCTCACTGCAGAATCGCTCAGCGGTCTTCAGCCTCCCTGGCTTCTGGGGGGGGGGAGGGGGAACCTTTCCAGGACAGGCGGCCAAAGCAGGCGCCGAAGGAAGAGAAATGAAGTCACAAAGCCTGCCACATGCCCTACAACAGTAACATTATCTCCAAAGCAGTGACCAATAGAAATTTAAAAAACCCGAGAAATGCATCCTGAATATGTGGTAGAAAAAAACAGTAGATTATTTATTCTGTATCTCTTGACTATCTAAATCGATTATGGGATGGGTTTTTCATCACGCTGGACGAGTTAAATGGCCGACCTGTCCTGGATTATTTGCATTATCATGGCAAGGTGAGACCCTTTGAGTGGTTGTTACTCTCTGTTGCACTCCAAAAGTCTTGTTTCTTTCCCTTCCTCCAAATGTCCTTCTGTCAGCAACTCCGAGAGGGCCTGTGGCTCAGACTAGACAAGGGGTCCCCAACCCCCAGTCCATGGAACAGTACCAGGCCACGGCATGCCAGCAACCAGTCTCCACAAACAAGCAAAGCCCCATCCATGGGATGCAGGAAGCACACAAAATCACACACTTTCCGGTCCGTGGAAAAACCTTTCTCCACAGAACCAGTCCTGGTGTCCAAAAGTTTGGGGACCTCTGGACTAGGCAATAGGTGGCCAAAGATTTAGGGAAGAGGAAGTTAAATGGCTCTTTGTTAATAGCTAAAGGTTTCAGTAAGTATGGCTGAAAAAAAGAATAGAACAGAACAGAACAGAACAGAGCTGGAAGGGACCTTGGAGGTCTTCTAGTCCAGCCCCCTGCTCGTGCAGGAGAACCTATACCATCTCAGACAGGTGAATGTCCAGTCTCTTCTTAAAAACCTCCTGTGATGGAGCACCCACGATTTCTGGAGGCAAGCTGTTCCACTGGGTAATTGTCCTCACTGTCAGGAACTTTTTCCTTGCTTCTCTCTTTGATCATTGTTTCTTGTCTTTCCCTTTGGTGCTTTGGAGAATAATTTGACCCCCTCTTCTTTGTGGTAGTCCCTCAAATACTGGAATACTGTTATCATGTCTCCCTATTTCTTTTTTTCTTTAGACTAGCCAAACCCAGGTCCATATGTTTTAGTTTCCAGGCCTTGGATCATTTTAGTTGCTCTTCTCTGAACTTTTTCCAGACTCTCAACATCTTTTTTGTTGTATGGTGACCAAAACTGATTGCAGTATTCCAGGTGTGGCCTCACTAGGGTTTGATAAAGTGGTACTAATATCTTGATTCTATGTCTCTGTTTATGCAACCCAGGATTGTATTAGCTTTTTTGGCTAAAGGTGGGGGGAATTCACCTTTTGCCTTTCACATGTTCCCGCTTCCCTGCTTTGTGTTTGCCAGTACATCTCTGGGTGATTTTTGGTCTGGTGGGATGCCGAATTGGCTTCACCTCCAGTTGTCTGCGGCGACTTGTTCTGCACCTACCTGGCCACACCCACCTGGTGCGCCCTAGCCAGCTACACTTACATGGTTGCGTCCACTTGACCACAACCACCCACCTGCCCCAAGTCATCTGCCCCGAGTGGGCTGCACCTATTCCTTCACTTTGAGCTGCCCACGCCCACTCACCCATGCCCACCTGGCAGCATTCAATGGCCACGCCTATTTGGTCATGCCCACCTGGTTGCAATGAGTCCTCCTAGACCCTTTCCAGATGGAGCCTCTTCTTCCCAGTGTCAGCCAGAAGAGTCTTCTTGGGTGGGGCACATTTTGGATACAATCCCTGAATAGAGATTAGATCTCATCTAAAGGGGGGGAGGGGAGTGCACTGGTGGTTTTCCATGAGAAGCCACTGAATCCTCCCTACGGCCATTCTTTCCCACAAAGATGCCTTGACATGCTGGAATAAGAACACAGTTGAATCTGGGATGGGGGGGGGGGAGTCTTCTTGCAGGGTTTCATTTGAATGAAAAGTAAATAGGTGGGAATCTGCTGCTGACCACTAGGAGGCACTATACAACTAGCTTTATCCTTGTATGGGGCTCATCACTGCCTCCATCTTACACAGCATTTACGTTGGACCCTTTAGCAGGATTTGAAGCAATCTTGCTCTTAAGGACTGCGTGTTGCAGTGCATTTAGCTTCAGAACTATTTTTGGTCTGGCTGTCAGTAGACAAAAGGGTCTATAGATGTTCTGGAGGCACACCTTCCTTTGTGTTGCTGCTGTTAATTTATTGTTGGTTATTTTGTCCAGGCCTCATATTAGAGCCTCCCCCCCCACACACCTTTCTTATAAGTTGTTATATCACAATCACAAGGAGGCTCCATGTGACCAGTTTTGTCCTTAACTCACCAGGCACTTGTAGCTTCCATCTCTTGGTATCCAATCTTGGCAACTTCAAGACTTGTGGGCTTCCATTCCCGGAACTGGGAGTGCTGGCTGGGGACATGCATAGATCTTAAAGTTGCCAAGGTTGGACACCTCATCTTAGATCTTATACGCGCATTTTCCCTAACCTGAAATTCTGTGTCAGTCCTGTCCCAGTTTGGGCATTTAGGAAAGATAGACCCTTGACTCCATTTGTGGCAAAAGGTATACTTTTACTAAAGCCAAGTGGTTACAGGGTAAGCAAAGCCAGATCTGAATATTCCTGTGTAAACTTGAATGCTTTTCCCTTCTCTCCCCCCCCCCCAGTTCTTTCGTAACTGTACAGTGGTATTCAAAATAGGTGTTTTGGTATCAGTCCTAAAGTTTGGCATCTCTTTGGTGGATATTTGCATTCCGTTCTCACACGTGTTCCTGGAACCGCCAGGGTCTGTTCTTGGTTGGCACCTCTGGTTCTTGTCATCCTATCATCCCCTTACTCCTCCCCCCTCCTTTTATGGCAGGATGTCATTTAAAGCGAAGCAGGGCTGAAGTGATGCCATGACAAACTGTAAACTTCTCTGAACAGGAACTCACTTATGCTTTATGCTCCTGTCACCTGCAGACTGGGAGAGACAATCTGGAAAATTCCATCCATTCAATCAGAACTTGATCCTAGGGTTTCTATCACTGTAGAGCAACAAGGGAATAGCTCTCCCTAAAATGAGTTTTATAGTAACCTTCTCTGTGCCTTATGGTTTTCTTTTCTATTCAAATTTTAGTTTGTTTTTTCCTAGCATTTTTCTGCAAACGCAGATCCAATTTTTCCAGATCAACTGAGTCTTGATCCATTGATTTCAACAATAATTTAATTGTCCCCACAGCATGACATGTGGGCTGAGAGAGACGGACTGGCCCAAAGTCGCCCATCTGGCTTTCATGTCTATTGCGGGATTCACAATGTCCTGGTTTCTGTGCTTCACCACTTTTTCCACCCAAATTATATAATAGAATCCTAATTTTGAAAACTTTTAATTCAGTAAATTACAATTGCTTTTGTCTTTTATGCAATCACATCACATTATATCTCATACTCTATTTGCAATCAACTGCTATTACAAGATCATTTTTACAAGTATAGTTACCAAGGTAGATAACATTATTTTAGTCTTCTTTTTATCTGTTTGTGATACCAATTGATTGAACATCATTTGTCCTATTCACTGTACTTTCTCTTAGCCATCCGAATGTATTTTAGACTGCTGCATTGCTTTTAATTAACGATTATTATTAGTTGAATTTGGATTTTACTTTTAAAATAATTTATAAGCTTTGAGAGCTTATTTGAAGCCGAGAATGTAAGTAATGGAGGCCCAAATAAATGCCTTTGCTTTTTTAATGTTGTGTGCAACTGTGTTCAGTTGAGCTGGACAGAGACATTTTGCAGCCGAAGCCTTACTGGAAAGAATTCAGGTTCGACTTAACTCAGATCCCGACGGGGGAGACTGTCATGGCGGCCGAATTCCGAATTTACAAGATGAAAAGTTTCACCTGCCATGTTAATCAGACCCTTCACATCAGCATTTACGAGGTCATTCAAGAGCATCAAAACAGGTACAAAGAGATCAAGACTTTTGATTTCAGGCTTTTCTGTGTCAAGCCTGCTTTCCTGATCTGCTTTCCTTGGTCAGAATTTAGGCATGTGGGAAGATGAGAACGGTGGTTCTTGTCACTAGCCTGCCATTGGGCGGGATCAAACCCAAGAGCAGGTATCTCAGTCTGGAAGGGTGCGCTCAAGGGCTGGGGATGGGTGGGTGGGGTTTACTTAATTCCTTTTTTAAACCACTCAAGAACCAAAGCTCTCTGACAGTTTGTGTTAACATCTGGCCATTTACTGCTTCCATTTTAACTTGAAAGGCTCAGCTATACTTTCTACTCCTCCAGGGAATCCCAGCGCATGTTCTTAGATCTTCAGGAATCTCTGGCTGGCATGGATGGATGGCTGACCTTCGATGTCACAGCTGCTAGTAACCACTGGTTGTTGAACCGGAAATACAATTTGAGGTTGAGACTTTATGTGGAGACAGAGGATGGTAAGGCTAATGTATTGCTTTGTCCATTTTAGTTTTCTATCATTCCTCTTTGAAGGGAGGAGATTCCCGTGGGTATTACAGGTAATGGGGAGATGCCAACTCAGTAAATAGAAACTTCGGTTCATCTAAAGCAGGAGTCCTCAACCCTCCGGTCCGTGGACTGGTACCAGTCTGCAGCTTGTTGGAACCAGTCCATGCAAGTGGCGTGCGTGTACACAAAACCATTCCCTCCCACCGGCCATTGCCACCACTGCTGCCAGTCCACGGAGCCAGAAAGGTTGGGGACCATTGATCTAAAAGGAATGGACAATTATGTTGCTATGTGACGCTATCAAAAGTTCCTGCTTCCCTAATGCTCCTTAATTCTGCAGTCAGCTAGGAATTGAATTTAAATTCAATTTAAACAGATGTTCTTCAAGGCAGCTGAAACAGTATTGTATCATCCACATGTCTGCCCCCATTCCCTTCTACAATGTTTATTCAGAAATAACTGTTATCCTTGCATTAATTAGACCCTTGCAGTATTAATTAGAAGTTTCTGTCTCCTTCTCTTTATCGGTCATGTTTTCAGGCAACAGAAGGTATTCCTGCTGAAGTCCTATCCAATTAGTTCATTCTTGCTTCCTAACATCTTTTTATTTTTTAAATTTTAGACTTGCAATCTTTCTGGAGACAAAATTGTCCCAACATTGTGCAAAACAATAGTAAGAAAAAGTAGCTGGTGGAGCAATAAATCAATTCATTTTTAAGGATTTAATGTCAAACAATGCACCGGGCATTGCATTTCTCTTTGGAAATCATGCAGTCCCACAGGATTTGAGGGCCATAAGAATTCCTTTGCACCCGTTTTTAGGGCAGACTCTGTTTTCCCTTCTTTTGTGCTAGAGAGACAGATGCTTGGAGGGAAGGAGACAGCCCACCCTAATGTGACTGCTACAGCCCTCCACCTTGTGCTTCAGAGGGCATCTCTGAATCCTCTCCCTCCAACTGGGTGTTCCAGCCCAACCCCCAGTGTGGGAGTCCTGCTGGGAGGGCTGCCAGGCTCATCACCTGAAGGAGCTCCATTATTAGTCGGGCAGCATCATCCGGGTTTGTTCTTTGGCTTTTGAAGGAGAGAGTGTGGACCCAGGCCTGGCCGGCCTCTTGGGTCGCCAAGGACCACGTTCCAAGCAGCCCTTCGTGGTGACCTTTTTCCAGGAGAGTGAAAACCAGGTCAGGCTCCCCCGAGCAGCCAAGCAGGCAAAGCGACGGCCGCAGACCAGGAAGACCCACGACTTCCCACACTCCAACAGGCTCCCGGGGCTTTTTGGTAAGAAGCAGAAAGACAGGAAGACTTTTGGCTCAATTCAAGCTCCACCTGTTTTTGTGCACAGCACTGTGCTGCTCTCTTGATGTTTCTGCCCTTTCTCTGGACACCCTGGAGCTGCATCCGCCCACCAAGTGACAGCTCAGGGCTTGAGAAACAGCTGGAGGCATCACAGACTCCTTTACACCGATCAAGTCTGGATGGAGATGCAGAATTAGCCTTTTCAACCTGCAGCTTTGTAGCCGTCCTTGGCTGTGCTGGCTAGTGGAAATTCAGCTGCACACCCGCCAGGCTTCAGCAGAATTTGCTTGGCCCTCAAACATACTCCAAATGCAGGGAAAACACATTTTTTTGCACCTGTCAACTTCCCCCACCCTGAAGAAAGTTGAGGGCAGCCATTTTCCTGGCATGCAGGTGGGCCAAGCTGTGCCTGCTAGCAGTTCTCATCTGACCGCCTCTAGCAGGCAGTGGCTCTTTGGCCGCTGCCCTCTCTTGACCCACCTGGGAGTCTGAAAGGTTAACAAGAGCCAGTTGCAAAACCGATCCTTGCATCCGAAGGCAGCTCAGCTGGTGCCTTTTTGGATCTGCTCCTCCTTTGGGGAGCTCTGTGGCCCAGGGAAGGTTTCCTCAAAGTGCTGCCCTTGAGGCCAGTGTCACGGCCTGGGCGGTCTGGCTCACAAGAAAGCAGCTGTGGGCAGGGAGGAGCCACACTTGGGGCCAAGCCCTTGCCCACCTTTATCGCCCAGAGCTGTGGCTAAGAACTGGCAAGGAAGCCTGTGGCCGCCTCCCCTGTGGGGCAGGACAGCTGGAAGTCCAAGCCAGGCACAGGGAGTGGGGCTGTGGGATACGTTCCCCTTCCCAGCACCAAAAGGCTGGAGATCCCGTTGTTGGTTGCAGAGCTCCATAACAGGAACACCCACCTCTTTTTCCTTCCTTAGATGATGTCTATGTTTCTGAGTACAGCCAGGTCTGCCGAAGGCATGAGTTGAACGTCAAGTTTCAAGATTTTGATTGGCTGGTAACTATTTTTAACTCTGTTCATCTTCAGTCCCCAGTAAAAAATTAACTGTGGGTGCAGGCACCTCTGCCCACCCTACAGCTTTGCCACAGGGGCTCTGTGGCTTCTAGGGAGTGAAGGTGCTCCTGCCGGAGGGGGCTGCTGCAAAGGGCTTCAGAGAAATAAATCCAGGCCCCTGTTCCTCAGTCAAAGAGGAAAGTGCCTGTTGTAACTCTTGCTTCATCTGCTCAGCTTGAGGGTTAACCTTTTGGAAGTGAAAGTAATGTTAACTACCCAGCCCCCCCTCCCCCCCCCGCCCCCAAGTGTAGAACATAGAATATAAAATAATAGAGTTGGAAAGAGGTCTTCTAGTCCACCCTCTGCTTGAGCAAGAGACACTATACTATTTCAGACAAATAGCAGTCCAATTTCTTGAAAATCTCCAGGGAAGGAGCACCCAGAACTTCTGAATCTGGTGTCTCTGGTATCAGATGATTCAGGAAATTGCCAAACTACAGTTGCCTGGCCTACTCACCAGTTCCCTTTGAGCTGCCAGCAGGAGTGCAGGGGCTTACCTTCGTCCTTATCCTCCCCAGGACTGGGTGATTGCCCCCCAGAGTTACCCCGCATTCTACTGTGATGGAGAGTGTGTGTTTCCCCTGAATTCCTCCATGAACGCCACCAACCATGCCATCGTCCAGTCACTGGTCAGTATCTTTTGCAGGAGGCAGCAGGAGGGCTTCTTAGCAACTGGGGAAGATGGACAGCAATTTATTGTATTACTTTATCGTACTATTTTATTTTTTGTTGGATTTATCTCTAGGAGTTCTAAGGGACAAACAAGGCACTCCCCCCCCCATTTCCCCCACAACAACCCTCTTCTGGAGTACACCAAGATGGGGAGGAGTGTCTGGCCCCAAATCCCTCTAGGGAACTGCTGTGGCAGAAGACAGACCAGAGGCGGCCTCCCCTTTCCAGTCCAGCGCCTTCTCCCCTCCACTGCCCTGGGGACCTCAGGGGCTGAAGGAGAGAGGGCTAGATCCTGGGTGTCCCCGCCCAAGCCCTTATTGGTGGAAGAGTAGCAGCAACCCTCTTCGCCTTCACTAAGATCCCCTTGCAAACTGAGGCTTGCTCGAAAAAGGGAGTCCAGTTGCTCTTGTTTGTGATCTGGTGTGAAGAAGGCTTGAGCTTTGCTGTATTTTGTCCCTTTTTGGATCTCTCCAAGATAGAAATGGAGATCTCATAGTCTAGGTAAATAACATTTCCTCCAGACCCCAAGGAAAAAAGCTGTCTGGCCAAAGTTAGTCTCTTCTGCATGAAGTTGGGAGAGCCTCAGCCTGCTAGGGACAAAGCGGGCCTTTCTCCAGCAGAGCTCACCACCAAAGGACCACTTCACACAGCAGAGCTAATCTCTTTCTGCACGTGAGCTCAGTGAGAAAAGGCTGGAAGCAATTCTCCTCCTCACCCTTCCTTCCTCCTTCCCTCCCTCCCTTCCCTTCCCTTCTTCCTCCTTCCACCCCAAAACCCCCAGTATCCCTGAGACTTGCTTCCTTTAAAAAGAGTTAACTAAGGTATGCAGGATGAGGAAGAAGGGACGGTAATTGCAGCTCCACACCCTGCACTTAGTTGGCTTATTCTGAGCATCTCCTGGGGGCCACTGGCTCTCAGCTGTCCCCCCTTTTTAAGAGGATTGTGGACACAAGACACAGCAACAAGAGCCAGGCTTTGGATTGCACACTTGTGGCCTCCACCTCAATTGTGACTGCTGGAGAGAGGGAGGTTGTGAACAGCAACCTGGACTGTTGGTCGTTTTCTTCTTTGGGAGGTGGGCATGTACAGCCCATCTGTTTTAGCAAGAATTGTGCCTGTCTCCCAGCGCCAGTTGCAGCGGGACAGGTCTTCCTTCTGCCACAGCAGTTGGGACTCTGAAGGCAGCAGCTGTTCTTCCCCTCAGCCATGCCTTGCAATAGCTTCTAACATAAACGGCAGCCTCAAAGTTTTTGGAATAAATATTTTTGCCAGTGCTGACAAATGGCCCACTCATGAAAACTGCTGCATTTTCTCCTGGGAACCAGTGTTTCTTTAAAGCATTTCCGCTTCCTTGTGGAGGGTGGCCAGGGGGCGGTGGACAAGGGGGTGTCTTGAGGAGGGTTTGACCTTCTGCTCCAGGCCAGAAGCTCAGCCCTGCGGAAAGAGGCTTTGCCTGCCCCAGTGACTGTGTTCCTTCCCCTGTAGGTCCACCTGATGAAGCCCGAAGCTGTTCCCAAGGCTTGCTGTGCCCCCACGAAGCTCAGTGCCATCTTCGTTCTCTTTTATGACAGCAACAACAACGTTATCCTCAGGAAAAAGCGGAACATGGTGGTGAAGTCCTGTGGCTGTCACTAACTCTGGCAGACCCAGACCCTTTCTGGGGGAGCAGGTACAGATGGGGGAGCACGGTTACTACCTGCTTCTAAGAGGAAGACCTCTTGATGGACAGGGAAAGAGATCCACCTGCCCCATGGACTGGGACGAAAGAGGGCCTATGGACAACAGGGCCCTGCCATGGACTCCTGCTGCTACGAGGGATGCTTCTTCTTAACCAAAAAAACAGCGTCCCACAGAGAAACAGCTTTGCCAAGGAAGTGAAAACATGAACAGGCTGCAAACATATCTTTGGCTTGTATTTTGGACTGACCTCTTCCACCCACCCCCTTATCCTGCACCATAAATTACATTAAACCAAACACATCAAATAGACTTATTTTGTGCAAATGCAGACTGCAGTTTTATCAAATAACCATAATTCTGCAACAAGCAAGAGGGGTGGCTACTTGCAGGGATCCCTCAGCTCTATTGCCATTTACTCTGCTTATTAGATCTGCTTTCGGGTCTGTCATTCTGCTGGGAGGGGGAGAATGGCCCTTAACTGCCAGGTCTGCTAGAGGGGGGGGGGGAATCTGGGTTTTCTCCACTTTGTTCGTTACCTCTTTAATGCCTCTGGGTGTGAACGGAAGAAGGAATGTGCCATGGGTCATCTGCCTTATCTCCACTTGATAAGAGGACACTGAGAGAGAAAAACAAAACCACAGGAACAGCCCCTGGGAACTGCGCTTATCACTTCGCATCTGGAGATTGGATGGACTTAAACTGGACATTTGGCTGTTGAGCTGGACTTTGGGAAGGAGCTGATTTAATGTGACTCTTCGTGCGGGAAACTTTAGATCTTGCTTTGCTCTCTTGCTATCACTATCTCTCAATAAAAGTTCCTTTTGAAACAATGCTTTCTTGGGAGGAGGAGTTGAGGCAGGACCTTACATTAAGCAAGATCTAAAGTTTTCCCACATGAAACGTCACATTAAACCAGCCTCTTCCCAAACTCCCTCTCAACAGCCAAGTATCCAGTTTAAGTCCATCCAATCCCCAGGTGCGAAGTGCACAGCTGGCAACCCTTCCTGGTCCCAACAGCACCATTGCTACGGCCCGAGCAGAACCATAGTCAGGCGCTTCTTTGGTAGCCCCTTCCCAACTTTGCTCTGTTCTCATATTCCTTTGATTCAGAGAGCCCTGCTACGTGCCCAGAGACTTTAGCATAAACCAATGTGGGCAACTTGTGGCACTCCCACTTCTGCAAAGGAGCTGCCTCCAGAGGCTCCGCTGTCAATCTGGCCAAGTGGAGAGATCCTCGGGCAAGATGTTTAGAAGGCACGCACGCATGCACGCACGCATGCACACAACGCCTTCCAGTTCAGGCCTTGATCAACTGGGGAGAAGAGAGCAGCTGAGAGGATGGGGCCATGGAAAAAATAGTTTAGCCTGCTTAATACAAACACCTAATTTCACATTTTGCAATCATGCCAAAACAGAAGCACACTGTTCATTAGAAATTAATTTCTCTCCAAATTTTTTCTTGCAACGTTAAAAGGATATCTCTATATTAAATGGAATATATATCTTGCATGGAAGTTAATGCATTAGCTCAGAAGAATTGTTTATAGACGATGTACAATTAAATCAGATTGCAAATGAATATATAAATGAGAAATATGCACAAATGATAGCACAAACTTTTTAAGAAAATTGATGCTATTGAGTTTGGTAGGGAGGAATTTGCAAATGGAAAGGAAAGAGGAAATGAAGCAACTTGAATAAATATACATTACAGCATTGTTGCCCCTGAGAAATCTGTTTTCTCATCCCAAATAAAGGAACAGTCATTGGCAACAGAGATATGGCAAGTTACACAAACAGCTCTTGAAATGTTCTGTAATAGGGCTCAAAATAATATAGGTTTTATGCTGGCCATAAAAAAAGTCACAATGCTTTGCAGTAGATAAAGGACTCCCCACTGCATGTTTTAAGAAGATAGAACTAAAATCATTAAAAAAAAAAACCTTCCATTTGAGTATGACATTCTATAGAACTATTGGTTGCCTAATACATATTTCTAAGTTTTAACATCTTAAAATCCCTCATGACCTATTAGCATACATGTGCTTTGCAAACAACAACAACAACAACAACAAAAAGAGACTACACTACAGCGTAGTGGTATGTACAACCTGTCCAGGAAAAATGGAGCAGGAGAATAGTCATGACACTTAAAAGTGGCTTCTAGTAATTGCCTTCCTCATTTTCTAGGAGCTCACAAATCCACTGCTTGATTATCTTTCCTAGGATTTTCAGATATTGATATCAAGCTGATTGATCTGTAGTTTCCTGGATCTGCTTTTTTCCCCTTCTCGAAGATTGGGATCACAGCAGCTCTTTTCCAGTCCTCTGGCAGTTCCCCTGTGCTCTGGAAGATGATGTCCGTGATTCTGAGATCATATCTGCCAGCTCCTTCATAACCCTGAGATTTAGACCACCTGGACCTGGCTATTTGAACTTTTTTACTAATTTCTTACCTATTTGGACCTGAATTCCTGTTCTGTCTCCCCTTGTGCTGCTTCTAATAGATTGGGCTATTTTTTTTTCTTTTGTGTAAAGACAAATGTTAAGAAGGAATTAAGCAGTTCCTGCTGCATTTTTTTTTTTTTTTTTTTTTGCTATCTCCTTGCATTAGTGGACTGATCACAGTCCAGGTCATCTGAAGATACCAGATTGGGACGGGCTGATCTACATGAAACTTCCAAAAAGTCCTCTAGAGTTCAGTCTCTGAGTCTGCTAATGACTTGGAAGTCTGACCTCTTACTGTCCACATGGTGGCCTGCCACCAGTGCAAGTTGGGATGAGAGTCAAGAAGCAAATTTAGTCCATAAATGAACTGGAGCTCCAAAAACCATCAGGTTTTGATTACAGTTCCCAGAATTTTTGACGGGCTGATAGCAACTAAAGTCCAAAAGAACTTGATAATAAAAGAACATCTAAATATGCTGTGTGGACCCAGTCATTTTGATTCTTAAAACTGGGATTTTAATCCATGCACATTTTCATCAGAGAAGTCCAGATTTGGGGATTTTGCTTTGCAGCTGCTGTTGGGAAACTCCCTCGGCCACTGAAGAGTAGAGCAGTGCAAAACTTTGGGAAGACGGTGGGTGGGGCCAGTGTCATCAGCTCTTTCCCACAACGGACTTAACACCTGAGGATTGGTCCGTTTGAACTGACCAGATGAACTATTCAGGTGGGGTTGTTTGGGACTCTTTTAACCTATTGATCTGAGGGGGAAACCCCGAGATGCTGTCTATTATGCCTGCTATCAGCTTCTCCTAATAAAAGTTCCTTTTGGAAGAAACGGCTTCCACGAGTTCTGCTTTCTTAGGATGAGGTTTTGAAGTGGGCCCTGACACCTTGCAAAAGTGCTGGGCCTTCTTTTCCAGCCACTTAATACTTCTGAATCTTGACTGAGCTACTGATGAAATCACTGTCAATTTTATTCTAACATTACCATTGTCAATTGTACAATTTCAGTACAATATCTTATTGGAATCTTCCTACCATGGATATTGTAATTTATTCTGGAGCGTTTCCCTGGCAGATTGAGCCACGTACAAGTAAAATGAAGAACTACAAAAAACTTACATGCCCAAGATTCAGATCTGAGGGCTTTCCTCCTCCCCTCAAGAGCAGTTGCGAGAAATCGGGCACTTTTTGTTTCCAATGTCGTTTTCTTCTGCCAACCAACTGCTGTAGTTCCCATTGATGCAAAAAACAAAGGGTACCATTAACCGCAGCTGCAGTTTGCGCCTTTCATGATGAAAACAAAATGTGAGAGTTGATCTTCCCTGAAACAGAAAATGCAGTGGCCTGAGCAGTTTGGCTTCTTGCCATGGCAAACGCATCCCTCTCATCTGTGAAACATGGATGGGCTGGACTTTGGCTTCTATAATTTCCAGTATGGAAAGAAATGGAAAACTCAGATTGAGACCAACTGCTAAATCTGCAAGCAATTCAAAGTAAACCTTTAAAGGGTATTTATGGGAAATTAAAAGGCGGGTCTGTTGTAAAAAATATATGTAATTTTATAGAAAAAAAATTCTGTACAAAAGAAATCTCTTAACAGCTTTACAGTTCTAACACATAAAACAGACTCTGACTGAATTTTTAGAAAAGCATCCCAAATAGTTTTCATCCAGAGCGAAGCGATGCTGTGCTTGGTCTTCCTGTTATCCGGTATTCCCAACCAGCATCTGCTTGCACCCATGTTCAGATGAATTCACCACAATCAGAGATGATGACTTTTTGCTTTGGTTTCCCATCTTTGCTGCCTTGAGCCTTCAGAGGAAGAGAGAAATAAGGCGTGGAAGGGAGAGAGGCAAAGCCAGGCCACTCACCCACAAAGGCTCACCCTTACCTCAATCTGCCGCACCACGTCCATCCCTTCGGTAACCTCTCCGAAGACCACGTGCTTCCCGTCCAGCCAGTCAGTCTTGTCGCAAGTGATAAAAAACTGGGAGCCATTGGTGTTGGGACCAGAATTGGCCATGGACAGCAAACCTGGAGAGACACATGGATATTGTATCCACAACCACTTTCCATGAAAACTTTTGGGGACAACTCCCAGTCAATATTTGGAATGAAATTCAGCAAAATATGGGGCTCCACTGTTCCTACTGCTGTTGGAATCAATAGTCCTTGTTGCAAAGACAAAGGCTGAAGAAGGGGCTCCAGCTCTGAAAGGCTGTAACTGCACAAAAGAACCTGGGTGGTGGCGTAATAAGAGACCGGGGGGGGGGGAGGAGGAGCGAAGCCCCCAGCATTGCAATTCTTGCCATAGAAGAATTACCTCTATAGTCAGCCATTTCCTTCTATTCAGTGGGGTTGGAGAAATGGAATGAAATGGTTCAAGTGCTCAAAAAAATATATGCACAAACAAGCAGTCGGTCAGTTGTGTGGAAATCTTGCAGAGGAATTTAGCTTTTGTAGAACCAATTCCTCCCAGAGGCAGGACTGCTGGGCACTTGAGCCATGCAGAAGGATGAAGGGAACAAGGACTTGGTGTCCTTTGCACTACCACCTGGGCACCCCACCTTTTCAGCAGCCCTGCCACACTCTACCTGGCCCTGTGTGCTTCAGGATAAAGTTTTCATCATCAAACTTCTTCCCGTAGATAGACTTCCCGCCGCTACCGTTGTGGTTGGTGAAATCTCCAGCCTGGCACATGAACTGGGGAATAATTCGGTGAAAGCTGCTTCCCTTAAAGCCGAAGCCTTTCTCGTGTGTGCAAAGACAGCGGAAGTTCTCTGCAAGTCAGAGGGCAAGCAGGGCAATGAAACAGCAGAAATGGCAAAGGGAAGAGCGGAAACAGGAGGTGCTTGTTAAGATGTCATCCCACTTAAAAATGGGGTCATAGTAACAGTTAAAAACCAGTTACAGTTGCTTTCACTCTCTGTTATCACTGTTGCTCTCTTGAATTCCAATTGTTTCAACTGCTGCCATGGGATCTAGAGCGGAGCACCACATCTCTACTGTATCCTTGTCACCTGCTTAAATGAATTATATCTTTGTTTTAGGCTTGATCGTTTTGCCTGAGACTTTAGCTCTGTCTTCCAAGGGCTTGGCCCAACAAAAGAGTTCTGAACACACAGGTGATAAATTACAATTTGTGGCATTTAATGAAATCTATTTTAATTGAAAATTACACATTTTTGAAGAGGTAATTTTACAAAATGATTATACACTATGCACTTAAAACTTGAAGCTACTGCACTCATAAGTATTAAAAAAAAAAACTCAAGCATCCAGAAATGGAGAGAAATGTGCTGAACAATCATTTCAACACAAATCCTGTTTTAGAAAAGAAGCAAGGAAAGCCATATCTTTCAGTCTTTAGCAAGGCACACACACAAAAAAAAAACATTGCTACAAGACTGAGACAAGCCAGAACTCTTAAAATAGAAACAATTTTGAATTTTTCACAAGACTAGGCTCAGGAAATTTTGTGATGAGAAACAAAACCCTTAAAGTGAAAACCTGTGTTTCTGGTTTCTAAGTGGGCTCACTTGCGGCAAGAAACAGAGGCACTGCTATGCATCTGATGATTGAACCTTATTTCCTGATTTGCTGTCTTTGTACTCTCCAGAAATGTTGAGAATGTGACTTCCATTACACCATTATGACCAACACATCTGCATAGCACAAGGAAAATATTGCCAGTTTGGTATCCACAAGATTACAATGCTTGAGACAAGAGAACCTCCAGGTATGTTGGTCACCCCAAATATGTTGGTCACCCCAAAGCTGCAGTCTCAACACATGGAGAAGTCCAGAGTGAGGAAGGCTTTCACTGGAGAAAAGAGGTCTGAATTATTCACCAATTTCTTTCTGTGTCTTAACAGGAGAGCCCTCCCAATTTTGGACAGTAACTTAGCACTGCAAGTTCCAGTAACACAAGAGCAACTTGAAAAAGCCATGGACCAGGAAGGTTCACACCAAGCACAATGGATTCCATTGCTTACCAGTAGTCATCGGGACAATATCCGACCGCAAGAGAATATGCAATCGACCTGCAGGTTTATTTCCAATCTTGATCTCCATGTAAACCTGGGGGTTGGTCCTGGATTTTTTCACTGGTGGTTCTCCCTAACAGAAGAGAAGCAGAGCTTCTTCCATGGATCTAGAACAGACATGTCAAACACAAGGCCCGGGGGCCAGATGCGGCCCGCGAAGTGGTTTCATGTGGCCCACAAAGCCATCCTGGAAAGAAGTGAGGGAATGGCCCCTGCTGCCTTGGCCCTGGCCCAGGCCAGCTGGGAGCCAATGTACAATTTTGTGGTGGCCATCTTGGCACTTGCCCCGGTGGACCATGCCTTGGCACTTGCCCTGGTCCCACCCCCCCTTCTGCCCCACTCAGATTTGTCCCACTTCTGCCCAGGCCCCCATAGGCCTCCTTAACACGAATGTAGAACTGGCCACGCCCACCCAGTAGGCAAGACCACTCCATTCACACCCACCCAGTAGGCTGCACCCACTCTGGCCATACCAACCTGCCCCCCTCCCCCAGGGCAACCGCAATGCTGATGCGGCTCTCAGTGAAATTGACTTTGACACCCCTGATCTAGAAGATGGCTATCTATGAGCCATTCTCCTCCTTCCTCTGCTTTAAAGAAGACAGCTGAGAAGGGGATAAGAACCACTGTGATGCAGTGTCTACCCAGCTAAATAACAGATTGAAAAGATCCAAATTCAAATCCAGTTGTTAAATCACAGTGGGTGACTTCCTTGGTTCTCCCCTAGCTCCAGAGTTGCTGGCAGGAAAATATATGCCATTTTAGCATCTGGAGAAAATGGAAGATAATAATAAATATTGCAATCAAATGCTCATGTACAATCATGGAGGCTTCGCAGACTAAATTTGTGTCCAGCTCACAGAAGCCCACATTTATGCAAACCTATCATAGCCCCAAAAGGTCTTAGGATGAGATGGGCATCTTGGGAGACAGAAACCACTAAGGGCCAGGTGGGCCTTTCACCAAGGAATGCCGCTGTACCTCTTGAACCTCTGACCGGGCTGCCACCGCTCCCTCTTCTTCCAAATTCTCCTGAAGTGTCTTTCCCGAAAATTTCTTCAGCCAGTCATCATCCGACCAGACTGTCATGGAAAAACAGAAAAAGTTCAGAGAACTTTGATCTGTGATCTGAGCATAACAACTTATAAAACAAGTAGGCCTGAAGGACTTCCCTCAGAACAAGCACAAGTATGTGGGCTGGAGATTCCTTATGATATTGAATTCCGCTGCTCACCTGGACGGGAGGAGCCTTCTTTGATCCTCATTGGCTTGGCCAGGTTGACCCGGATAGTCCTCCCAAAGAGCTCAGATTCGTTCTAAATGGAACAGGGAAGGAGGAGGGATGTCATTATTTTATACTAGAAGGCAGGACAAGAAGAATGGATGGAAATTAACGACGGAGAGAAGTACCTAGAACTAAAGAGAAATTTCCTGACAGTGAAAACAATTAACCAGTGGAAGGGCTTGTCTCCAGAAGTTGTGGGTGCTCCATCACTGGAGGTTTTTCAGAAGAGATGCAGAATGGTATAGGATCTCCTGCTTGAGCAGAGTGTTGGACTAGAAGACCTCCACACTCCCTTCCAATTCTGTTACTCTGTTCTGTTCCTCTCTTGCCAAGGAATTCAGCTCAGTATCAATGCTGTGTTTCTGTGTCCTGCAACAATCATCTTGAATCTTGTTCCAGTGCATTAGCACCCAAATTCATATCATCTGCCTCCACCGCTTCAACTTCCCTCTGGCCCCATGGAAGGACTCCCTTACTGGGCCAAGAGGCTTCTGCCTGCCTGGTTTTAAAACTGGATTTGAAAAACCCAACAAGTGGAAGTATTCACTCCTCCAGAAACAGACAGCAAGGCGGTACCAGCCTTCCATGGTTTTCTGAAAGGAGTTGCTCACCTTTGGAAGCCAAAGAGAAAGACATGCTGTTTCTGAGAAAGGCTCAGCTTCCCCTAATGATCTCAACCACTTGGGAAGAAAGGAAGAAAATGTTTGAAACTGCTGAAAAATGAAATAAAGATTTAAAGATAAACTTACCATGTTGTCAATAGCAGCTGCAGCATCCTAAAAGAAAGAAGAGGAATCATTTAGGACAGATTTTCCCTTTACGTTGTTTTTCCTCCTTTGCTGTGGTCATGGCATTAAGTAATGTACCGAGAGAAATAATCTGACCAAGATCTGGACAAGATGGATGAACCTAGAAAACCTGCTAGGTCTACAGAAACCTTTTACTAAGCTTCCAATCCTCGCTGGTGCACTGCTTGAATTTTTGGTAGCAAAGAAACATGCTGAAGTTTGAAGAATGCCAAAGGTGGAAGTGGTTGGAAACATCATTTATCTATCATTTGCCAGCTTGGAAGCACCTTCTTTCAAACCATACGGCAATGGGATGACTGGGCAAATTTGGCCTTCAGACGTATCCATGCTCTGATAATTGATCGATGCCATTTCCAGAGATGTCACCTGCCCAAATGGATTTCATGCAGTCCTTCCAAGTGCTCAGGGATTCACCCTCCCCACCTGACCCCAAACGGGGCGAAAGGATGAAGAAAGTTTGAAATGCCTTCCTCGCTCACCTCAGCCAGCTCAAATTCAATGAAAGCAAAGCCCCGATGTTTTTCTGTAGACAAAAGAGAAACATCAAACGTCAGTACTTGAGGAAACAGACCTCAATATTCATCTCAATATGGAGATCAACTGCAATTTTTTGAACTTTTCACAAAAAAATGGGTGTCAGGAGTAAGAAGAGTCAAGACAGCAGCTGCATCATTTTGACACTCCCACCAAACTGCCTCCATCTCCTTGTCACCCCACCCGTCACAAGGGTCCAAGAGCACTGCTGAGCTGCAACCAGTTTCTATCCTGGAGCGAACACAGAGCCGAATCTTTTACTCAGCCCAGTCCAAGTTTCTACAATCTCTTTCCCAACCTCCAAGTGCCCATTTAAGACTCGGGGCTGGACTGTTTATTATAAAGCCTCTAGGCCACTCATCTCACTGATACAGTGACTCTGGGCAGATTATAATATAATAAAAAGTAAAAAAATACTAGGAAACAATAAAATTAGAAAAACTGAATAGGAAAACTAACCAAGATGTTGGGCAGTCTGAGGTGAGGCTCTTTTGTACCAACACCGTGAGGCTCTTTTGTACCAACACCAACACCAAGCAGCAGAGCCAATTTTTTAGACTCTTCTGGAAGGTCGGGAGTGTGGGGGTGAACTTCACCTCCAAGGGGAGAATATTCCAGAGGTCAGCGGCCACAGCAAAAAAGATTCGTCTCCTGGATCCCTTTGGCAGATGAGATCCAAAGTAGAACCTTTCCACTAGAACAGTGGTTCTCAACCTGTGGGTCGGGACCCCATTTGGGGTCGAATGACCATTTCACGGGGGACACCAAACAAGGCTGTCCGCCATTTTTCTCCCTTTCCTTTGGCCACGCCCCTGGCACCCGGTGATATATAAGTGGTTGGGGGTCACCACAACATGGGGAACTGTATTATGGGGTCACAGCATTAGAAAGGTTGAGAACCACTGCGCTAGAATGAGTGAGGCAGGCTAGTCCCATCAGGGTGAGAGGGCTCCTCAGACACACTGGACCTATGCCAAAAGGGCCTTGAATTGGACTTGCACCTGGAAGTAAACTGGCAGCTGCTACAGGTCATGTAACAGCAGTGCAGGGGTGGGGGGTACCCAAGGTTCTGATTTAGGTCCAGTACTCAACAGCTTCATAAATAATTTAGATGAGGGGATAGAGCAGGAACTCATCAAATTTGCAAACAGAAAGCTGTCTGGGAGAAATAGCCAACACTTTAGAAAATAGGCTCAAGATCCAGAAGGATCCTGAAAGACTTGAAACACTTAGCCCCATCCAACAAAATGCAGTTCAGTGGTGAGAAATGGAAAGACAAGAAAAAACAAATGTACAGGTACAGATTAGGTGAAACTTGTCTCAATAGTAGCAGCTGCAGGAAGAATTTTGCTCACTTAAATATAAGCTAGCAGTGTGCGGCAGCTGCCAAAAAAAACCCCAATGCAATTCTAGGCTGCATCAAGAGATATTCTACATTGCTATAGTCACTCTCTAATGCATTGGTAAGAACACACTTGAAATAAGTTTTGATCAACATGATGTAAAAAAGATGCTGAGACTCTAGAAAGAGTGCAGAAAAGAGTAACTAAGATGGTTAGGGGGTTGAAGGCTAAAACATATGAAGAAAAGCTGCAGAAATTGGGTATGTGTAGTTTAATGAAGAGAAAAACTAGGATGACATGATAGCAGGGCAGGACAAGAAACAATGGATGGAAACTAATCAAACAGAGAAGCAACCTGGAACTAAGGTGAAATTTCCCGACAGTGAGGACAATTAGCCAGTGAAACGGCTGGTCTTCAGAAGTTGTGGGTGCTCCATCACTGGAGATTTTCAAGAAAAGCCTGGACAGTCACTTGTCTGAAATGGTCTAGGCCCTAAACTGTCTCCTGCCCTAGCAGGGGGTTGGACTAGAAGACCTCCCGGGTCCCTTCCAAACTTGTTCTGGGGTGTGTGTGTGTGTGTGTGTGTGTGTGTGTGTGTGTGTGTGAGAGAGAGAGAGAGAGAGAGAGAGAGAGAGAGAGAGAGAGAGAGAGAGAGAAATGGCGCGATCCAGCCCTTTCTCCCGTCCCGCCCTCGTCGGCCCTCACCGGTCTCGTAGTCCAGCGGGATCTGGATGTCGGTAAGGTCTCCGAAGGGGATGAAGGCCGCGTGCAGCACCCGCTCGTCCACCTCCTCGGCCAGCCCACCTGCAAGAAGCCCGGTCAGGCCAGTCAGGCCGCACGTCGCCCTCCCCCATCGACAGTTCCCCCCCCCCCAGCGCCGCCGCCGCTCACCCACGTAGAGAACCCGCTTGCTGGAGGCCATCGCTGCTGCGCTCGCCTCGCCAGGCGTCACTTCCGGCGCCCGGGCCGCAACAGCACCCCCAGAGGCAGGAGGACTCGGCGCCGGAGCAGCGGCCCAAGAGGCGTCCCGCCCCCGCCTTCCCGAGGCCGTGAGATCCGCAGCTGCCTGGCAGAGCCGGGTCTTCCCGGAGCTCGTTGCCCGGATCGAGACAACAGCGGGCCCTCCAGCTGAGTCGGTTGGCGCGGAGGGGGCTGCCCGGGTCGCCTCAGACGGACCCCCGACCCAGCCAAGAGCCCCGGGCTGCCACGGGGCCTTCGGTCTCCTGGCTCCTTCTGCGAGAGCAATTCCTGGCTGGGGGATTCTGGGAGTTGAAGTCGGAGCAGAAAGCCCGCGGGCGGGGGCTTCCTTCCTTCTAACAGAAAAGGCCGCTTCCGACTTTCAGCTGCCGCAAGCCCAGCCGGCCACCCCTGCGTCCGTCCGGCCCCTGAAGGCTTTCCGCTCCTTCAGCAAGGAGCTCGGGAGCGCTGCCTGGCTGGGGCACTCTTGGGCTCTGCCCGGGCCTGCGCATGCGTGGTGGCACCAAGCCTATATATGAGAACACTGCGTATCTACAGAAATGCGCGTGATCCAAGATGAAAGCCCTCCAGAATATATATGGGTCAATTTAAAAGGGGGGAAAAGTGACATTACCATAGGTTCTCCTACTTGAGCGGAGGACAGGCTGGGCTAGAAGACCTCCGAAGTCCCTTCCAGATTCTATTCTATTCCTATTTCATTCCTTTTGGAGCTTGCACCCAGCACCTTCCAGGCTGCCCTCCCTGCCCGTCCCTAGGGCCGGTACTAGTTTGAACCGCAGCTGCAGATCTTGATGGAGTAGGGTTAGGGGCAGGAGAGTCCCTCTGTCTCCTCTGCTGCTTCAGGGGAAACTCCCTGCACAGGCCAGCTGTTTGTTCAGAGGCTTTTGAGTGGGATCAAACACACTTCTGGAACAGCACTAAATCCAGCTCTTATTTGCATCAGGCTCCCAATGAATGTAAACACTGAATCACAAGCGAGTTTTGACACATGGCTGAAAGCCAACAAACTGAGCCAAACCTGCCTTCTCTCCAGCCCATGTTAAGGAAACTGAAGAACGTTTCCCATCTCAGTGATGAGAGAGGGAAACAAATCCAGGAGAATTCACCAATCCCTTTTTTTAATCATCTAAAGAGGACAGCACTGTTTGCCTGCCCTCTGTCTGCGGCAGGATAGGCACTGTTAGTAGGCTCAACTTTGTGTTTCTAATCCTGTGTTACCTGTTCAGAATTGCAGTTTGAGAACCATATAAGTTGCATGCATGCATGTTACACAGGTATAGTTTTCTGCCAATTTCAGGACTGAAAGAGCACTCTAACCCAGGTCAAGAGGAAGAGCCTAGAACCTTCCTTTCTCATTTAGAATCCAACAAAATAATATGGGGAATTTAGGAGTAAAAGGATCACATACAGTTCAAATTTTAATTGGCATTTGCTGCCACAAGATGTGATACCCGACAAATAGCTGTAGAGGATTAGGCGCCCTCCCTCAGAGGTGAAGAAGCCTTTCAGCCTTTGACGCTACTCAGCTAGGCAGGAAACAGCTACAGTTTCCAGCAGCAACAACTCAACCCCAACAGCAAATAAGATGCAAGAATATTTAGGCCTTTCATCTGACCTAACATAGTTTTTTCTTTACTTAATTCAATATATTACAAAGCTTTTTATCAGATAATTGCACAGAAATTGAGAAAAAAGTTGAGAAATTACTAAATGAGATTATTGTATAAATTTGTCAGACAGTTTTTTCTCTTCAGATTGTTTGCACGCAAGATCTTGGATATACTCAAAGGATTTGTATGCCAATTAGTATTTTCCTGAAATGTAAGGCAAATAACATTGGAATATTCTTACGCTTTCCTCACACAGCTTGCTAAGGTGACTTCAGGTAATCAGGAAGCACTCACTAGAAAATCTAGAACTAGTTGATTCTCAAGTTATGCTACTTTATATGGACTCCCATATAAAGCTATCTGAATAATCAACCTCTTAGTCCAGTTGTTAGTGGGTGTCCCAACAAGAAGGGCCCTTGAAGAGTTTCAAATCAGTTCAGTGTGGCTGCATCAGAATCCCACAAGGACTGTAGATAGACAGGCAGCAATTTCATAAAATACTTCTATTTATTGATTTTGCAAATGGGATTGTCTGATTAAAACCAAGTCCAAAAATGTCATTATCCCACACGGAAAAACAAGATGTCCGCCTTTTGGCCAGGGGTATGAATTCTTGCATATGGAACTTGATTTTTTTTTTTTTTTAGTATTTTTAAACAAGGCATATTAAGAGCGTTACACACTGAAAAGTATTGAGATATGTTGCATTATGTTGAAATACACAGAATGAGATGATTTCTTCAGAGAGCCCATTTGTCCTTTACAAGACCTAGAGAAAAAAAGAACACTTTAGATGCTGGAGCAACTGTCTGGGAGCTTCCCATTACTTGCAGACATGAGGAGGCAGCATCCCACCTTTTAGAGTTCCAGAGAGAATCGGCCAGTTTTAGGAGGACTCTGTTCAATTCTATGGATCTATTCGGGGTACTAAATTTAAATAGAGGAAAATTCTAAATTTTAGACAATTATTTAAATCATTGGACATTCATTATGACGTTTTCTTAAATGGCAGAAGGCTAGCCGATGAATAATGTATTTGAAGGAACAGCCCCCACTCATTTTCATGAGCAGAAAGTATAGGAAAGTATCCAGGAGCCAAACCATATTTGCTCTCTTGATGCTGCTGCTTTTCCACACAAAAGAGACCTTAGCAGGCTACTGACTGATCAGGAAAGCAATAGGGCTGGTCAGCAAAGTCATGGGCCAGGACTCAGGGACTTACCAGCATCCTTGGCTTACGAGGTAGCAGAAACGATGCCCACCTTTTGGGCAGCTTCCTTCTTTGCTTGGTGAGCTTGTAGCACCGCCACAGCCTCCTCCACCTAGGATGGAGAAATTGCATTGATGGGAGGGATATACAGCTACCCATACCCCCTTGTATGAGTACCCGGTGTGCAAACGTGGCTGAATAATTCAATAAAGTAGGAACAGTGCTTCAGAACTGGTGTGTGTGTGCTACTGTTCCTGTCAGTGGCTCCCTGAAGGAGCTGCACTCGAGATCCGAAGAGATCTGTGGCCCTCCCTGATGGTCACACTCCAGCAAGCCAGCAGAAGCAGAGAGCAACCAATGCTCCTGACCCAGGATTGGGGACCACTAGTGCTTACCTTGGAGCGGAGGGATTCTGGAGACTCCAGCATGTGTAGCAGCTCCGAGTTGTCAATCTCCAGCAGCATCCCAGTGATCTTCCCTGCCAGGCTGAGGTGCATTGCCTGGATCAGCGGAAAGAGACGTTCTCCTGAAGAAGCAAAAATCAAGAGAGTTGATGACTTTATTTTATTGAGCATATGGCATCCTGAGTCTACTCATAGTGAAGTGTTTTAAGCCAGGAGATCACAAGAATTGCCTGCTGCTGTTGTGGAAGAATTAGCCAACTCTGTGTCGTTGTCCAGGGGACACCTGAGTTTAGGATTCCTACACTTTTCAGGGAGGCTTCTTCCTTGTTCTCCTAATCCATAACTATTTTGCATCTATGGCTAGGACAGAAGAGCCACGCAGATGCTGAAAACCCCCCAGATGCCCCAAGGGAGAGATGAGAGAGGGACTGGCTCACCCAGCATCTGCTTTTGCTCCTGGGGAGGTGCAGCAGCCAGCATGGATGCTGTCAAAGGCTCTTGTCCCTGCACGTGAACAGCAGGCTGTGGGGCCTATGAGGAAACCAGGGATTTTGCCATTAGCACAGCCCACAAAAATATCATGGAAGCAATTCTACCAAATTTAGAAGACACACGAAAAATCAAATGCTGAAGAGAAGGACATACTTTCCTCACCAAAGTAAAAAAAAGGCTTCTCCCTTAGCTGAGGAAATAGCTCACTGAAGTGAAAGAGCAACATCAAGGATTAAAATATACTAAATGATTTGAGACTGTTCCCTGATATTTTATCTAAAATGGCAACGTCTCCTACCAATCAGTTTACTGAAAACTCCTAGGAATGACTTACAGCAGTTTCTCACATTTAAGACGGGTGGACTTCAACTCTCAGGATTCCCAAGCCAGGAATGCCAGCTAGTTGAAGTCCACCTGTCTTAAAGGCGCCGAGTTTGAGAGACGCTAACCTAGAGCCAAAACTGCTCTCCTGGGCATGTTATGCCAGAGACAGTACAACACTAACAAGCATGAAATAATTCTTTGGATTACTAGGTGCAAAGCTGAGTGGTTTACATCTGCCAGAACATGTCTATGTGCACGGCAGCACAAAAGTCATCATTCTTTGCAAGAAACAACTATGGCTTTGTAGGTCAGAATGTAAATTGCTGCTCAAATATCAAAAGCCTACTTAGCTGGAGCCTAGAAAACCACTGCATTTTCACAGTGGAGAAAAAAGGTCTCAAATAGGAAGAAAGAAATATTCCCGTTTCTATCTGAAACCCAAAGACTTGGCCAGGGCTGCTGTTGGGTTGAAATCAGGCACCAGACTTTGCTAGGGTTCTTCCAAGGCTTTGCGTTACCTGTAAAGGCTGGACTGCTGGGTGGGGGCTGTGGATGCCTGTAGCATATTTGTATGGTGGAACAGCCCTGGGAGCTTTGGTGACTACAGGTGGCCGAGGAGCCAAATTTGGGGCTGTGGCAGCAACCCCTGTTTATACAGAGAAATTGTGGAGTATCAGAAGCTTATCAAAGAAGTTTTTCATTAGCATGCATTAATCTTGTTTGAGGAACCAGAGACAAATGTTTTATTTCATGTAAGCATGTCTTAAACCGATACTAGCAATAGTCCAGGCAGTTTATTTGAATTCCAATCTATTATTTCCTTTACTGATATATTGGTTGAATCAAAAAGCTTCTGCTACAGTATGGCAACCTTGTTCAACAATTTAATACCTTCCCTAAATATTTTGGGAAAATATCTCTTAAATACCCCTCCCCCATACACATACACTTCACGTTCCCAATCAGCATATTAGCTGAGTTGGCTGGAAACTCTGGAAGTTGCAATTTCAGCACCTCTAGAGAGTCTGGCTTAGACAACTATATTTCTTTCTTTCTTTCTTTCTTTCTTTCTTTCTTTCTTTCTTTCTTTCTTTCTTTCTTTCTTTCTTTCTTTCTTTCTTTCCTTCCTTCCTTTCTTTCTTTCTCATTCATTCATGTAGCAAATGTCACATTTATTACCAGAAGAATCTGTCCAACAGCTAAGTTAACTGATGCTTCTGCGAGGGTGTGTGTGTGTCTGCAAGTCTGTCTAAACCTAACACATTATAAATTCATATTTGTTTAAATTATACATTTGTTTAAAAAATAAATGAAAAGATTCCATCTCTGGGCAAAGTGCTTACCAATCCTCTGGGGAGCACCAGGCAAACCACGTGACGCTTGAGTAGCGCTTGTGGGAGCCAAATGCCGTAGAGTGGGCCGCGGCCCAGACTGGCGCATACTGTTGGGCATACCTTGGAAGCCTAGTTTGGTTTTCAAGAAATGGGGTGGGAGGAGAGAAGGGAATAGCAAATTATTGGCCAGTTACATTAGAAGAGCCCTATCAAGTTAAAACTGGAGGGATGGTCATCCCTGGAAACAGGCCTGTGTGAGACCCCACCTCCCTATAAAACATCCTTAGTTGCCTTTTAGGATAACATGGCATTCTTACACAGGTCTTGAGAGAGAGGGGTCAGGGCTTCCAAGGACAAACTGCTCTTCCACACATACCTTGAGGCCTTCCGCCTGGCTGCCAGCGTGGATTGGGTCTCATCTGAGTTATCTGGTTAGGTGCATAGTATGTGGGTCTGTTCTGAGCCTAGAAAGTAAAGGGGGCTGCAACAGGATCAGTCCTGCAACATGTTTTCATTGGCCTCCTACAATACTACTGCCTTAATCCCAGGAAAAAAGCAGAAAATGCTAAATTGTATATCTCAAACTCTGATGCCATACCTAGCTTCAGTGTTTTAACCTTGCTAAACCACCGCTATTTCAAATATTGTTAAAAATATGTTCATAACAAACCTCAGCCATTGTGCACTAGACTGAAAGCAACAAAGATGATTAGGGGAATGGAGGCTAAAACATATAAGGAACGGTTGCTGGAATTGGGTATGTCTAGTCTAATGAGGAGAAGAACGAAGGGGGACATGATAGCAGTCTTCCAATATCTCAGGGGCTGCCACAAAGAAGAGGGAGTCAAGCTGTTCTCCAAAGCACCTGAAGGCAGGACAAGAAATGGGTGGAAACTGACCAAAGAGAGAAGCAACCTGGAATTAAGGAGAAACTTCCTGACCAATAGAACAATTAACTAGTGGAATAGCTTGCCTCCAGAAGCGGTGAATGCTCCAACATTGGAAGTTTTTAAGAAGAGACTGGACAGCCATTTGTCTAAAATGGTATAGGCCAGGTTTCCTGCCTGAGTAGGGGGTTGGACTAAATGACCTCCAAGGTCCCTTCCATCATCATCATCACTACTACTATTAACACTTCCTAGAAGAAGGCAAAGCCCTTTTCCAAAGCACAAGTCCATGAAGCCCCAGGAACTGAATTCAATTTGAAGGAGAATTCAGCTTATTAAGTTATTAAATTGTGGTGCATCTTGACTTTCATACAGGCATTTAAAATCATTCTGGAAGTGGTTTGGGCACAGAATGGCTGTTTGGATATCATTTCAAGCACATCCCTAATACACCAAAGCTTATTTTCCATTAACCAGGTATTTCACTAAGGCATTCCTGGTATACATTTTTTGTTGTGAGCTTAAAACTTTCTCCAGGCATTTTAGATTCAAATGGATTCCTACAGCAGATCTATCTTGTGAAAAAAAAAGAAAAGAAAGAAAACTATAAAGGCCCTAAGAATCTTAGTCCTTGTGGGAAACAGAAACCGCCTGCTTTGGTAGGGGTTATGGGGGGCCACAGCTCCCCCCAGGACAATTGTAAGGAGGACTCACCTGGGGCACTGCCGGCATGAAATATCCTCCAGAAGCCGGCTGGAACTGGCTGACAATGGTGTTCGCTGGCAGAGCTCTCATGCCAGCGATGCGCTGCAGGTACTGGTTGGTGAGGTGGGCCTTGCGCTCCTCCTTCCTCTGGGCCAAGGCCACATACAGTGGCTTGGAGCCCACAATGCGCCCATTCATCTCGGTTACAGCTTTGGTGGCTTCTTCTGGAGAGGAGAAGCAGACGAAGCCAAAGCCTTTGCTTCGACCATCTTCCAGCATTACCTAATGAAAGGCAGGGACTGAGAAAAGGGCTGGCAGTTCTTAGTCCTTGGTGCTGATGCTCTTTGCCTCACCCAGGAAATACTGCAGGAAGAGAAATACCCCAACATGGACTTCCCAGAGCCGGCTCCTCTTGCACAACGTCCAACAGCAGCACCGGGCATCCCCAAAGCAGCTTTTGCATTCCCAGACCCACGGCTCCCCCCTCTTTGGCCCTGATCAGTCCCCAGCCTCTTTAGCACAGGTGGTCTTCGTGACTAGTTGCTCAGTGACTGTTTGAAGTTACAACAGACCTACAACGGGCTTACTTACAACCCTGATGGGAAGTTATGATGGTCGCCCTCTCATGGTCACATGCTCAGCAAATGGGCTGCATTGACAGCCATTTGCAGCATGCTGTAGCCACGTGACTGCATTTTACAACAGTTTTGCTGAAAACTAGCATTTACTTCTGATTTTAAGCAAAACCATGTGCATAATGAACTGACAGTTCATATGAGCAAAACCACTGGTTTACTATGGGTATTTGCTTAATGACCCCTGCAAAAAAGGCCATAAAGTTGGGTTAGTCACATGACCCAAGCAAACTTATTTTAGAACCATCACAACTTACAACCATCATGAGCAGGTTCCATTACATTCATAAGTTTTGGACTACCTTTTGCTGAACTGGCATGTCTGTTCAAATTCTTAATTTCTTGTCTCTGGGGCCCAGCTGTTTCATTAACTAAGGTGGCAGAACAAAATTCCCTCATATATTTTTTACATCTGATTTCCATTTACATGCTTTATTTCTACAAAAGATTTCAATTTTCCACTTCCATTAATTCATTCATTCACGCATTGTCACAATAGTTCTAAAGCCTTATTTGGGCAAATGGCTTAGAAGTGTCCCCCATGCAGGTATGCAAGTCTTAGAACAGTTCAGGCAATGCTTGGTTCACCTGGAGGGATTTCTAGCTGTGGGACCCTTGCTCAGTGTCTGCTTAATTCCCTGCTGTCTTTACCTTAGCACTTGTGATGGACCCAAATGGAGAGAACTCTTTTCTCAGCTTCTCATCATCAATTGTGTCATCCAGGTTCTTGATATAGAGATTAACTCCCTGAAAAAGAAGACAGAGATGTTAGCATGAGTTGACAACAGTGCAAAATGTGATGATTATGAGCAAAGCGGGATTTTCTTTTCTATCAACAACCATCCCCACACGTGCCATTAATTACACAGTCATTTGGCGTTGGGCAGCCTAGACATCTAACAAATAAAAAGTTGCAGGATCCAATCTGGGTCAGTTTAATTTTCCAAGCTTTCAGACTCATGCTGAAGCCCATCCTCAGGGAACTTCTCTCTAGCAGAATGTGGCTCCTCACTCAGATTGGATCCTGCAATATTACCCTGTGACACATATATTTGCCTTCATTTGTAATAAAAAATTAGGAATGTCATGTCCTTTGCAGAAAGAAACACTAAATGTTTCAAAGCCGTAGAGACAAGTTTCTTTATAAGAGAATTTGCCTGGATTTGCTTTGCATTTCTGTAGCACCATCTGTCCCCAGGCCTGCACTGCACAGCCAGGATCAGGAAAGATTCAGGTGCATCTCCCACCATGCCATTCCTTGCCATTCCTATTGAGGGAGTCTGGAGAGTCCTAAAGGAACTCAAAATTCACCAGGCTGCTAATCCAGAGGCTTCAAGTTTCAGCAGAGCACAAATTCGTGATCTAACCTATCCCAACAACAGTCCCTCAAATGCACACACACTTTCTAACTTGGGAGCACTTTCCTTCTTCTAGAGGCAAAATACCTGGTAACGGCTGATCCTCTCTTGCTTCAGCTGCTCAAACCTGCGTTTCAGCTCTGCCTGCCGTTCCACCTTCTTCTGTGCACGACCCACAAACACAATTTTCCCATTGATATCTTTTCCATTCATTTCTTCTACTGCCTGTAAAAGAATTCAAAGTAGCAAATCCCTTGCAGACATAGAGTCTTCCTTAGACACATGGTGCTGACTATTATTATATTTTCCTATGTTAATTTGCGCTCAACAACTGAAGCAAGTTCAAAGTATTTACGCAAACTTGGATAAATCTGGGACTTTCAGTTCTTCTGTGAATCGCAGGATCCTCTAGTGCTCATTTAACTGAACAGCATTCACAGTTCTCCCATTGAAAGGCAAGGCTAAGGCCATTCCCAGACTGTTAGCTGGAATACTGAGACTCCTGGTTTGTTGAGCTGTTGCCTTTTGGTAATAAAATGAGAACTATCACTCACTACAGACTTGCCCTTTGCTTTATCCCAACAGGCATCTAACAGAAAATCCAAAACAAAGGGATTTGCTCTCATTTTATTTCTGCAACATTCACCAGAGCTCCATTTTTCAGTTGAAAAACAGATCATGCCAGATCCACACAGTAGCCTCACAGTTTATACCTTGCTGGCTTCTTCATGCTTTTCAAAACTCACGAAGCCAAAACCTTTGGATTTTCCAGCCGGATCAGTCATCACTTTAACACTGAGGGTCTTACCTGTTGTTAGAAGAACAGAGTTAGCAAATATTACCCAGAGCAAAATTACAAGGAGAGCTTTTCAGAAGGAAAACTATTACTGAACAGATCATTACATTATTGAAACTAGTCCACATTAGGATGCCCACCAGCCCACTGTCTGGAATCCTAGATGGTGTCTATGCACTGACTCTTTTTCTCTTAATTACTTCCTGAGCAGAATGACATACTCTCTTAATAATGTTGCTAAATTCTGTTTAATAGCTGGCAGAATTCATTAAAACCTTGTCAGCAACAGTGTCAACGCTGTAACAATGGATGTTCCTGCTCTGACAACTGATGGAAATCGCAGCCATTTTCCCTTTACTTTTAACATGCTTTTTCTTCTATTTAGAGATCATGTGTTGAAGGGGGGATGGGATGAATGCTTGAGCTCAGCTAGCCATAATAATAATGCAGTTCCCTGGGAACTCAAGGACACAAACCGATAACTTTTTGGCTGGCTGAGGAGCTGGGGAGAGTCCACACTCTGGGCTAATTGGAGAATGTGAATTATGACTGTTTAGTGGGGGTGGGACTTGCAACTTGTTACTTTGTATCTGGGGGAAGGGAATCTAGTTTTGGGTTCAACTATGTAGTGCCAATACTTTGTTTCCTGAATAAAATGTTCTTTAAGGAAGAATTCTTGCCTTGAAGTTCTTTAATGGGTTTCATCTATCGGAACCCATATGATATGATTATGTCTTTATTTGCCTTTAATTTATTTTATTTTGTTAATTTTATTTTAGTACCATTATTCTGCTCTTTTACCCTACTGATCGATGGTGAAATAAAATATAGGTGGTCCTCGGTTAATGACCCTAACTGGAACCGTAAGCAAAGTGGTCACTAACTGGGAAATCATATGACCGTGATTGTGCTTTCCGGCGGGAAAGAGATGACTCAGTTTCATACCTTCAATTTTTGTTTGCCACCACCCCCCTTTGGAATAATCAGGTCCCTGCTAATAATCTTGCACACATTGAAAGCAATGTGATTGCTCTGGCAGCAGGAGATGATCAAGCAAAGAAATTGCCTACAGAAATCACTTGCTATTTTTCTCCGCCCTCCCTCACTCACAGAGCTATGATTGGAGATAAAGAGATATCACTGTATTTCTTGAATAACACACTTGTGGCTCCCAGCCTTGGGCGGCCAGCACAACTGCATTGCTTTCGGTGTATAAAAGAAGAAAAAGGTTACTCTCTTGCAATAAGCCCTTTCTCTCCAATATTTCTGCTTTCCAGGGATGGGGAGAAGAAGAAAAAAAACGCAGATCAGGCACAGAACATTGCGTGCTGACTATAATGGCAATCATATGACTGAGGGATGCTACAAAGGTTCTAAATAGTAAATGATCATAGAGTTATTTTTTCAGCCCCATCCGTTACTCTGAATGGTTGCTGAATAAACAGCCTGTGAGGAATACCTGTTCTTTGACTTTCACTAATCTAAGACCCCAAACATATACATTTCCTAAAGGGGTGGTGGTGGTTTCCTGAAGGATCTTCAATTTGCACAATTTATTAAATTCCACCTCCGTTCATAAATACCCTATTGTTATCCTTTCTAATCTGGTAGAGAGCATAAGAAATAGCCTTGAAGGACAGGAAAAAGAGCCACTATGGAAAAAAGATTGAAAATAACTTGAGAAAATGTCAAAGACAAACCCCTCCCTAGTTCACATGATCATAAAGTGAGGGAGGGGGAAGCACATTTAGATTTGCAAGACTGCTATCAGCCCACCTAGAAGCCAAAATCCTTTAGCTCCCAAACTATTTTTATTGGAATTGGTCTAGGAACAGACTCTCAAAAGATTAAATAAGCTTCTCCCTCCCTTATCTTTATGTGAATTAGAGAGGACTTTTCTGAGAAGTTTTCTCAAGTTATTTCTTGACCAGGCTCAAGGCCCCGTTCTTGCCATTGCCTTGCAAGGCTATTCCTTATGCCCCATTCAAATCTTAAAACATCCAATCAGCCATCATTTATAAAGGCTTCAGCTGTCAGATGTGAACGTAAAAGAAGACCTTCACTTTCTGGAAGACCCACCGTAGTTGCTGAAGAGACCCTTCAGCCTCTCGTCATCCATCTCATCCCCAAAGTTTTTAATATAGACGTTGGTGAACTCCTTGGCTTTGGCTCCCAACTCTGCCTCACGTTCTTTATGGGATTTAAATCGGCCAACAAATCTGGGTGGCAAAACAATGACAAGCCCTGGTGAATGCTCTGCTCCTGCCCCCCAGGAGGAAGGCAAGGCAAGGTTTCAGGGAAGAAAGGCAAAAGCAAGCAGCCATGGGGGGGGGGTGGAGGGGGGGGCGGCTGCAAAGGAGAACACAAGACCAAGCTGAAGAATCCCCTGTCCTGAAGCAGAGAGGCAGCAGGCCAAGGGGAGCCACTCACTGCTGGGCAGGATAAAGCCTCAGGGAGTTCAACCCAGCCCACAGCAGGGAGGCATCAAGTGAAGCTAGACCCCCAGGGCAGGGGGTGTTGGCTGTGGCTCGGGCAGGGAAACTCACCAGCCCTGAAGGAGACAGGCAGCAGGCCAAAGCTTGGGCCAGGAGAACCAGCAGCCTGGTGGGTTAATACTGAGATGCATCATGTCTCAGCTTCTGGCTGAGACACTCACACTTTGCGGTCGTTCAGCAGCATGCCGTTCATTTTCTCAATGGCGCGGTCCGCAGCATCTTGTGTCTCAAAGTGCACAAAAGCATAGCCCTTGGAGCCATTCTCATCACACACCACCTGTAAACGACTGGGGTTGATTAGCCAGCATCAATAGGTCAGTTTACCACATGTTAAGTGTTTCCCAAGGACAAATGGAAGATGCAAATTTTGCATCATGGTTGGCACCCCTATTGTGAACACATCTGTAAATCACTACAGTTCAATGTCTAAGGTAAAAGGCTTTACTTATGAGCTCAGTTCCTCAGATATTACTTCACTGCCAAGAAAGAAGCCATCAAAGAAAAAAAAATGCTGTACCCTCCCTCTTTCATCACTGGCCATATCCACCATTTACTCCAGCCCCTAATTACTTTGCAGATTTCCACGTTTTAGAAGTACCCAGTGTGTCACTGAAACATTATGCAAAGCGAGATCAGCTCCAAAAAACTCTACAAAGGTGGCAGCTTAACTCTGATGTAAAGCAAGGATTGACAAGATGTTCCCCTGAGAGTGCAAAACCCACCAAGCGATTATATGAGAGAGAGGGAGGGAGAGAGAGAGAGAGAGAGAGAGAGAGAGAGAGAGAGAGAGAGAGAGAGAGAGAGAGAGAGAATCCATTTTTCCTGGCTCTGTTACACAAACCCACCTGTGCCTGATGCCACCAACCCAATCTTATCCGACATATATGGAGAATAAGGCCCAGCCAATTCCAAAGGCCAGTTCCATGCAATTCAGGAACCAGAACTGGCCTATGACTCACCTTGCAAGAAAGAATATTCCCAAAAGCAGAGAACGTGTCATAAAGTGCTTTGTTGTCTATGGATCTATCCAGGTTCTTGATGAAGACATTCCCTACACCCGATTTCCTCAAAGAGGGGTCCCGTTGAGACCACATGATGCGGATGGGCTTGCCTCTGATTACATCAAAGTTCATAGTATCCAGGGCCCGCTCAGCTGCAGCACAAAGAGCAAGAAAGAGACGGAAATTTTATCTTGAAAAAAGCAAGTGAGACTCCCATTGGGAATTCCCCTCTCAACACTTTCTCCTCAACCACACTGCAGATTTAGAGAGCATTTTATGTATGTCTGTATATGCAGACATGCACACCTTAAAGTAAATCTGTCCATTTCCTCACAGTCTAGTATTTTTTTAATTATTTTTTCTTCTGGTGGTGTTTCTTCGTTCTTCCAGTATTGTGCAAATATAATTCTTGCCGCTGTTGTCACATGTAAAATCAAGTATGTACTTTGCGTCTCAAGTTTTTCTGGCATTATACCTAGTAAAAAAAATTCAGGTTTATAGTCTATGTGTTTCTCTAACATTTTTTTAAACCAATTTTTGTCCAATATTTCCTTGAGACTGTTCTTAAAGATCATCTGGAAGCTTCAACTGGTCCACAATGCAACAATATGGACAGTTATTGGTATTCCTCATGACACACAAGTGATACCTCTGCGCCACAAGCTGCAGTGGCTCCCTATGCACATCCAGGTGAAATTCAGAGCAATGAAGTCTCGCATGGCACAGAACCAGGTTACAGGCAGTGCTCGACTTACAACAGTTCACTTAGGGACTGTTCAAAGTTACAAAGGCACTGAAAACAGTGAGTTATGACCATTTTTCACACTTACACGTGATTTACATTCGGATGCATGACAACTGACTCACATTTATGATGGTCGCAGTGTCCCGGTGTCAAGGGATCCCTTGTGTGTGATCTTCTGACAAGCGAAGTCAACAGGGAAACTGGATTCACTTAACCCTCTTACTAAGTTAACAACTGCAGCGATTCACTTAACAACTGTGGCAAGAAAGGTCATAAAATGGGGCAAGACTCACTTAACAAATGTCTCACTTAACAACATAAATTTTTGGCTCCATTGTGGTTGTAAGTCATGGAATACCTGAATTTGTAGAACTGCCTTCTCACAAGAATATCTGCCCATCCACATATATTTATATACAGACACACAATGTATGTATGTGGGTGTTGTGTGTGTGTGTGTGTGTGTGTGTGTGTGTGTGTGTATTCCCATCTTTGTTTATAAGTAACTCAAGACAGCAAGCATACATAATCCTCTTTTTCCTCCTATTTTCCTCACTACAACAACTTTGTGAGTAGGTCTGGCATGCTCTTTCTCTGAAATCATATCATCCTGGGGGGGCCAGGAAGCCTGCTTTTTTGGTACCAACCCCTGCCATTTGAAACTATCTCCCCCTCCCTCCCAAAGCTCAATGAACATTGGGTCCGAAGCCTGCAGGCCTCTCAAAAGGCCGTTGAGCCCTGTGTACTTGATTCAGGATAAGTTGTAGTTGGTGATACAGCCTCTTTTAGCCCTGAACATTTTTAATTGCTTTATATTACCTCAGTGGTATATGTTGGGAGGGGGGGAATTGTACTTTTATACAGAATTATAGCATTTGAGTTGGACAATTATAAACATGTTCTAAATAAATACATGTTCAAAGCTCACCATTTTCCTTGCAAGCAGACTATCCTAACTAACTTTCCACCACAGCCAAGTGAGCTCCAGGCAAGTGTCTCACTTTCTAGACCTTCTGCAACTGAGACACTCAGATATGCCACTCATTCCTAAGGATTCTATTTTTATACTGAGCAGCATATTAAAAGCGGTGACATCTGCATACCAGATCCTGTTCACAAACTTCAGAAGCTTAGGAGTAAGTCTCATTGCAAGAACTACCTTAAATTGTGAGAGGAAGGGATTCAGAGGGTGAGGAGGGACTGCCTGATGCCAACACAAGATTGCATTCATTACTCAGGTCAGCCTGGACAGGTTCAGAAAAACTAGCAAGGGTAGTGGCAGTCTGGTCTAATGCTTAAGGCACCAAACAAGAAAGCCAGAGACTATGAGTCCAAGTCCCCCCCCCCCCTTACTCATGAAAGCCAGCTAGGTGACTTTGGGCCAGTCACCCTCTCTCAGCCCACCCACAAGGTTGTTGTTGTGAGGAAAATAGGAGGATGCTGGTGCACTGGATATGTTCACCCTTATTCATAACAATAATAAAAGCAGGGTACAATTAAATTTAATTACATTAGTGTCTGACAATGGAAGACAGCTTGAGTAATAAGTGGCAGATAAGGAGACAAAACACAGGACTGGGATTTTAAAAGATTAGGATGCCATTGATGCCCCAAAAAAGCAGCTGCCAAAAAAGCCAATGCAATCCTAGGCTACATCAGCACTGGGATAGAATCAAGATCACGTGAAATATTGATACCACTTTATAATGTCTTGGTAAGGCCACACTTGGAATATTGCATCCAGTTTTGGTCGCTACAATGTAAAAAAGATGTTGAGACTCTAGAAAGAGTGCAGGGAAAAGCAACAAGGATGATTACGGAGCTTATGAAGAACTGTTGCAAGAACTGGGTATGTCTAGTCTAGTGAAAGGGAGGTCCAGGGGCGTCAGGATAGCAATGTTCCAGTATTTCAGGGGCTGCCACAAAGAAGAGGGTGTCAACCTATTCTCCAAAGCACCAGGACAAGAAGCAATGGATGGAACTAATCAAGGAGATAACCAATCTAGAGCTAAGAATAAATATCCTAACAGTGAAAACAATTAACTAGTGGAATGGCTTCAGAAGTTGTGGAGGCTCCATCACTGGAGACTTTTAAAAAAACTGAGACTGGACAGCCATTTGTCCAGAATGATATAGGGTCTCTTGTTTGAGTTGGGGGTTGGACTAGAAGATCTATAAGGTACCTTTCAATTCTGTTATTCTGTTACTCTATTATTCTGATGCCTATATGACAACAAAGCTACCAATATGGCTTCTTAACTAAGGTTGAAGTCAATATTTGGGAAACTTGACACCTCCTGATTTTAACTCTCCCTATATAGGCTATCTGAAACATGGAAAAACCAAGCAGGTCTCAGGAATAAAAATGCTACACAGCCAACTCTCATCAGTCACACAAAACACAATTCTTAATTGATCCAGCTCTAATTAAAGGCAGAGGAAGTGGAAATATTCTCTATCGATACCTCCCAGTCCCTTCCTAATTCAACAATTCAAACATGTATCCCGCATTACCTAAACAGGGTTTGTCACAAATAATGGACAAAGATGCAGCCAACTTTGGTGGTGTTTTGTTCCAAGAACTGTCCAGGACCATACTGGACATAGAGTGGGGGAAGGACCAGTGTAACCTGTGCTTTCCAAGATGAATTGTCTTTGGTTTCAAGCCCTTGTTCCCTTCCCATGTGGATCAAGGTTTTAGTTGAGAGACAAGGCTCAGTTGTCTTTCTTTATCAAAAGTAGCATCCATTTCAAGTAGCACTTTAGTCAGCTAGTTAAATCAGGCAACATTTATTTATAGCAGAAAGAGGTGTTCCAGACAGAGATGCTGGTAACTCCAGCATATCTCTTTGCAATTGAAAGGGAAAAGCAATTACTGAAGCAAGTAATGCAATTTGGGGGAATCTTTACCTGCACGGACATTTCTCCAATACTGATAGTTACCTGCTAATAAAAACTACTGAAGTAAAGATGGTTTTGATTTTGAGCTTTGGGACAGATATGGTAGAAGTCATCTGGTACTATGGAATGTTCTACCTTTATGAAACACTATCAGAAATTAGCTTTGCTGATAATGGATGCAGATGCATATATAAAATTTCTATCCCATCTTCTGAATCAAGAAAGTTTTCTCATAGGTGTATTATAATACCACTCGGATATTGCTGTACCTCTGTGACGTCTATGATGGTTCCCGGGTAATTTATTGCCACCTTTCAGCAGCTTATTATGGCAGAACAAGAAATAATGTATCGATCCATTCATGTCCCTGATGGCTAATGAAAGACTATTTCAAGGCTGAGTAGAATTACCCAGAACAAAATCCTGTGAAGTAACATGGAACACACCTTACATTTCTGATTATATGGGAAACACCAAACGGAAGGTAAGCTATAAACCATGGTTTATACACCACACTGGCAGGGTTCACACAAAATGTTAAAAACCTCCCACATTTTAACTCAGTGGGATGCGTGACCTAATTCCTTAGAGCAGAAGGCGTCCAACCCTGAATCTCAGCTTCTCTTTAGAGGTGGAGTTGGAGATGCTCCAAAATAACATTATTCATTTATGTTCAGCCTAGAGACGCCCTTTTCATGATACTGTGTGAGCATCCTTTTAGAATTGGGATCAATCTTTAATCTGAAACTCACAGTTGGGCACAAAGTTCAAATTTATATACTCATACAAGAACACTTGTATAGAAAGCAGCCCTTTCTCTAGTAGGGGCAATTTAGCTACATGTTCCTTCTCCATTGCTCAGGCAGTCAGAGAGCAGGAAGACTCTTCATTAAGAAGCCGAATCAACACCTCCTCTGCCCATCTCAGGGAGTTAGCAGCTCACAAGAGGAAATCATCTGTGGAACCACATTCCGATAAATCCATTGGACTCTTTTGGGGGGCATCCACTACATTCGTCAATTAAAGTCAACTTTCAAACATAACAGAAGGACCTGCCCTAAGACACCCAGGTGAGACCACGCCTTCTCTCTCAAAATACCCCCCTTTTCAACCCTCTTTTCAGTACATGGTCCCTGGATGACCACCCTCAACAAGGGCCCCCCAGTCCTCTTCAGGGACAGGAACACGAATGGGCAAGGGGAATCCCAGTGCGACAGACTGACTGGCTGGGAAGTTGAGGAAGGTGGCACTAGGAAACCACATTTCCTTTGCTGCCAAGGAGCCCACCTGGAGGCCCTACCAGGCCAGCAAACAAGACACCTGAGCTGGCCTTGACTTTCACTATTTGAGATGTGAAAGGCCTGTCCAGAGAGGGAGGGAACCCGGCGCTAAATCTGGGCCTGGAGCTCCTACAGAGGTTTTACCCCCACCGCAGCAAGTTTAAGGGGGGAGGGGGCTCCGCCTCCCAGAATCCCCCGCAGCAGGCTCACGCTGCCTGGGGGATTCTGGGAGTTGGGGCCCGGCGGTCGCCCTGCAGCCCCTCCGGAGGCCCCGGGCCAGAGGGATGTCGGGGAGACTCACCGTCGCCGGGTTGCTGGAAGTTGACGTAGGCGTAGCCCAGCGAGCGCCGGGTGATCATGTCCCTGCAGACGCGGATGGAGAGGACGGGCCCGGCGGGGCTGAACTTCTCATAGAGCAGCGCCTCCGTCACCTCGGGGTGCAGGTCCCCCACGTACAGCGATGCCATCGGGTAGCTGCTCCCGCCGGCGGCGGCGGCGGCGGCGGCGGCGTTCATCTCGGCAGGCGGGCAGGCGGGCGCGCGGCCGTTCCGAGAAAGTGCGGCGAGCGGGGCAGGGACAGCCTCGAGGAGCCAGTCCGCGCGCCGCGAAGGCCTGCGGGCGGGGATCCGGGCCTCTTCCTCCGAGGAGCTCCTCCCTTCCCGCCGCCTCCTCCCCGCCAAGCTGCGGCACAGGGCGCCCCGCGGAGGCCTTCAGGGGCCGCTCCGAGGCCGCCGCCCACGCCGCCGGGCCTGCGGGGCGGAGGGGCTGGACAGCGCCCCTGGTGGCGAGGCCGGGAGCTGCCACACGGAAGGAAGGGGGCTCCCGTCTGGCAGGCGCTGCCTTCGGGTCAGGCGTTGTCCTGGAGGGTCTCGGTTTGGTTTCGGGGCTGTATTGACAGCTACATTGTACAGATAAAGCTGATACAGGTAGTCCTCGCGTTACGACAACAATTGTACCCAAAATTTCTGTTGCTAAGTGAGACATTGGTTAAGTGAATTTTGGCCCATTTTATGACCTTTCTTGCCACACTTGTTAAGTGAATCACTGCAGTTGTTAAATTAGGAACACGGTTGTTAAGTGAATCTGGCTTCCCCTATGGACTTCGCTTGTCAGAAGGTTGCACAAGGGGATCACGTGACCCTGGGACACTGTGTCCGTCATAAATAGGAATCAGTTGCCAAGCATCTGAATGTAAATCACAAGACCTTGGGGATGCTGCAACAGTCATAATGTGAAAAATGGTCATGTCGCTTTTTTCAGTGCCGTAACTTCAAACAGTCACTAAGCAAACTGTTGTGAGTCGAGGACTACTGTACTTTTATCACTTTTTTCCTTTCCTTTTTTTTTTTGTTTTTTGGTCATCAAGTTTTTGACGCCCTGCTAGACGACTGGTGGTACTCGGATGTCGCCATATCCTAAAAGTGGTACAATGAGTGAAAAGGTTGAAAAGCCCTACTCTAACAGATGAAGAGGCTAGGGCTACCAATATGAAAGAATTTATTAAAATGCTGTCTTTAATACCTCAAAAGAAAACAGGCAATTGCCAGTATTTGGCACCCAAGGAAAAAAAGGCAATTAGTCCAACTGGGAGCAAAAGAAAATATTAAGGGTGAATGGAAGCTTCCAGATGGAAGACAGATGTTAAATGAACAAATAACTAGAGAATTATTAGCTATTTTATATCAGGGAAGTCATTGGAGAACACAAGCATTGTGTGACACTTTTCTGCAAAAATATGGTTGTATTGGAGTCTTTATTGTAGCACAACAAATAAGTGGAATATATTTCATTTGTAAAGAGACCAACAAACAAAAACTGTGCCAAAATACAAAAAGGGCACACTCAGACTCAGGTCAGAGTACATGACACAGGAAATACAAAGCCTCAAACAGGAACAGGAAACAACCTCAAGAGCCTCCGAAGGTATTAAAAACCCACACCTTCCAGCAATATGCGGTCATTTTTCCTGGAGCCATGCTTCTGGCTGGCTTTCCTCTTCAATAAACTGCAACCTTCTTTCTAAAGCAGTCTCCATTTTGTTTATTCCCATCGTGCAATAAAGATTTTTCTTTCAACAGATCAATTATATCTATTCTAATCAACACAGGAGACGCTATCAAAGGCATAGCTGCACAGCTAGATGCCACCAGTAGAATGTGTATGATAGAAGAAAATGATCAAAGTAGTGAAGACCTAGTAAAACAATTTGAACAAGATTATGAAACTTATTAGTGTTTAAAAGGCAATAGAAGAGAAGAAAAAGATATAGACTTGAGTATTGCTTCTAAAGTTTTAAAACTTCAGAAAAGATGTTATATGAAGATGTTATAAGATAAGCAATATAGTATTTTTATAATGCATGAAATATGAAAACATTGGGATAGTGTATCTAAATGGAAAATCTGGATATTTATTTGATTAATATTGAGAAAATTGATAAGAATGGTTTGAATATTAAGGGGAAATTAAGCTTAAATAAGAATTATGAAAATAGGATACATAGTGAACTAATTTTTATAAAAACACAAGTTGATAAATGTCATATATGGATGTTATTTGCACAAACATGAAAAAATGTTTATATTTAACCATTTATGGATTGAAAATATAAAGATTTATACTTCTTTAAAGTTGAAGAAGGAAAATGCTATTGGGAGAAGGGAAGATCTAAGAAATATACTATTAATTAATATACTAATTATGGAATTACAAAAATTATAGACCGTTATTTAGTATTATTGTTTTTCTCAAAATATATGAACCAAGACAACACGTTGTACACTAGGCACTAAGGATTGTTATTGTAAAAATGAATAAAATATTTTTTTTAAAAAAAAGTTTTAATTATAGTTAAATAACTTTGAAAAATTAGTATTAATACAGTTAAACAAAATGACTCCAAAGCCTAGAAAAGGTAAGGTAGGGGGGAGTACTTTCTGAGCAGTAGCTAGGGTGTTAGGGTTACATCACCATGAACTTGGAGAGCAAAATGCACATTGCCAACAAACTCAGAGTGCTTGGTATGGTTAGGAGGACACTGACTTTTCCAGCCTACCCTATCTATGTTTCCTGGTAAAATATATGGGAAAATCCCATTGGAAGAAAATTCCACTTAGGGTTAGGGTTAAGTCATCATGAATCCGGAGAGGAAAATGGACATCGCCAACAAATTCAGAGTGCTTCGGTATGGTTAGGAAGGCACTGAGTTTTCTAGGATGCCTTATCTACATTTCCTGGTAAAATACAAGGGAAAATCCCATTGGAGGAAAATTCCACTTAGGGTTAGGGTTAGGTCACCATGAATCCGGAGAGGAAAATGGACATCGCCAACAAAATCGGAGTGCTTCGGTATGGTTAGGAAGGCACTGACTTTTCTAGTCTGCCCTATCTATGTTTCCCGGGAAAATACATGGGAAAATCCCATTGGAGGAAAATTCCACTTAGGGTTAGGGTTAGGTCACCATAAACTCATAGAGCAAAATGGACATTGCCAACAAACTCGAAGTGTTTGGGTATGGTTAGGAGGGCACTGACTTTTCTAGCCTGCCCTATCTATGTTTTCTGGGAAAATACGTGGGAAAATCCCATTAGAGGAAAATTCCACTTAGGGTTAGGGTTAGGTCACCATGAACTCATAGAACAAAAGGGACATTGACAACAAATTCGGAGTGCTTGGGTATGGTTAGGAAGGCACTGACTTTTCTAGCCTGCCCTATCTATGTTTCCTGGGAAAATACATGGGGAAATCCCATTGGAGGAAAATTCCACTTAGGGTTAGGGTTAGGTCAGGATGAATCCAGAGAGGAAAATGGACATTGCCAACAAATTCAGAGTGCTTCGATATGGTTAGGAAGGCACTGACTTTTCTAGTCTGCCCTATCTACGTTTCCGGGTAAAATACCTGGGAAAATCCCATTGGAGGAAAATTCCACTTAGGGTTAGGGTTAGGTCACCATGAATTAGGAGAGGAAAATGGACATCGCCAACAAATTCGGAGTGCTTCGGTATGGTTAGGAAGGCACTGACCTTTCTAGTCTGCCCTATCTATGTTTCCAGGTAAAATACATGGGAAAATCCCATTGGAGGAAAATTCCACTTAGGGTTAGGGTTAGGTCACCATAAACTCATAGAGCAAAATGGACATTGCCAACAAACTCGGAGTGCTTGGGTATGGTTAGGAGGGCACTGACTTTTCTAGAGCCTGCCTATCTAATGTTTCCTGGGAAAATACATGGGAAAATCCCCTTGGAGGAAATTCCCACTTAGGGTTAGGGTTAGTTCACCCAATAAAACTCATAGGCAAAAATGGACATTGCCAACAAACTCGGAGTGTTTGGGTATGGTTAGGAGGGCATACTGACTTTCTAGCCTGCCCTATCTATGTTTCCTGGGAAAATACATGGGAAAATCCCATTGGAGGAAAATTCCACTTAGGGTTAGGGTTAGGTCACCATGAACTCATAGAACAAAAGGGACATTGACAACAAACTCGGAGTGCTTGGGTAGGGTTAGGAAGACACTGACTTTTCTAGCCTGCCCTATCTATGTTTCCTGGGAAAATACATGGGAAAATCCCATTGGAGGAAAATTCCACTTAGGGTTAGGGTTAGGTCACCATGAATCCGGAGAGGAAAATGGACATCACCAACAAATTCGGAATGCTTCGGTATGGTTAGGAAGGCACTGACCTTTCTAGTCTGCCCTATCTACGTTTCCGGGTAAAATACCTGGGAAAATCCCTTTGGAGGAAAATTCCACTTAGGGTTAGGGTTAGGTCACCATGAATCCGGAGAGGAAAATGGACATCGCCAACAAATTCAGAGTGCTTCGATATGGTTAGGAAGGCACTGACTTTTCTAGTCTGCCCTATCTACGTTTCCGGGTAAAATACCTGGGAAAATCGCATTGGAGGAAAATTCCACTTAGGGTTAGGGTTAGGTCACCATGAATCCGGAGAGGAAAATGGACATCGCCAACAAATTCGGAGTGCTTCGGTATGGTTAGGAAGGCACTGACTTTTCTAGTCTGCCCTATCTACGTTTCCGGGTAAAATACCTGGGAAAATCCCATTGGAGGAAAATTCCACTTAGGGTTAGGGTTAGGTCACCATGAATCCGGAGAGGAAAATGGACATCGCCAACAAATTCGGAGTGCTTCGGTATGGTTAGGAAGGCACTGACTTTTCTAGTCTGCCCTATCTACGTTTCCAGGTAAAATACCTGGAAAAATCCCATTGGAGGAAAATTCCACTTAGGGTTAGGGTTAGGTCACCATAAACTCATAGAGCAAAATGGACATTGCCAACAACCTCGGAGTGTTTGGGTATGGTTAGGAGAGCATTGACTTTTCTAGCCTGCCCTATCTATGTTTCCTGATAAAATACATGGGAAAATCCCATTGGGGAAAAATTCCACTTAGGGTTAGGGTTAGGTCACCATGAACTCATAGAGCAAAATGGATTGTCGGGGCTTCCCTCCTTCCTTGCCACCTCTCCTGGGTGGGTTTGGGCCCATTTAGGGTCCCCAAACAGAGAGAAATTAGCGTAGGACGAGAAGCCCCATGATCCCTCGGCTGTTGCATTAACTGTGCAAAACCGGAAGCCGCCTTTCATTTCTTAGTCATTTTTAAGGACTATTAATCTTTATTAAACTAAAAGAGACTTAATTTAGAAGCTCTGTGCCACTTTGGGGATTTCTGGCAGCAAGATTATTTCTGCAAAAGGGAAGAATGCACTCCTGAGGCAGTGAGTTCCATGGGGAAATTGTTTCTTGGATCTTTTCCCAAGAATCATGTGCAGTCATATTGAAAGTGAGAACTCCTGCCTTGGGCAGGGGCTTGGACTAGAAGACCTCCAAGGTCCCTTTCCAGCCCTAGGATCCTTTGATTCTGTTCAGTTCTGTTAACTGCCCTGATTCCTCCAAACAGTCAGACTCTGGATGAAAAGCTGTCAGAAGCTCTTGGAGGGAGGCGACTGCTTCCACATTTGATATTTAATATATGTAGAGTGAACAATTTGTTCAGACTACCCACTGAGTAACCACATTGAGTCGGGGTTTCAGTTGTGACCATCTGCTTCTGGCCACAGCCTGCAGCCTCTCTTCTCAAAACTTGGAAAGGAAAAGGACAACATGCTTTGTATGCTCTTCTCCTTCCCCAAAGGGTGCCCAGAGTTGTATGGGAGGCCTGTTCCCCTTCCTGCTTGTGGAACATTGAATGACTCTTGCATGGAGCTGGACATTTTCTCAAGCTCATTTTTGCATTCAAGCTCAGAGCCAAAGCCCACTTTCCTCACTATTGCTCCTGCCTGACCCACAGGAAAGATTGCACCCTGAGTGGGTCCCCAAAAATGTCCCAAATGACACTTGAAGCAGTTCCATGTGTTTGGCACAACAACGCAGCTTCTGTGGCAATGAATATGCTTAGACACACTTCAGAACTCCTTTCCTGGCAGTGGCACTGTCATGGTTCCGATAGATGAAACAGTTTAAAAGAACTTCAAGGCAAGGATTTCTTCCTTAAAGAACATTTTATTTAGGAAACAAGGTATCGGCACATACAAAGGTGAACCCAAGACTAAATTTCCCTTCCTCAGGCTACAAAGTTACAAGTTGCAATTCCCACCTCAAATTGCTGTCGTAAATCACATTCACCAATTGTTTCAAAATGCAGGCTCTCCTCCCAGCACATTAGCCCACCAAAATGTTATCAGTATTGACCTTGATTCTCACACACAGAAGAAAGTTGTTTTGGCTAACTGAAAACTACACCTTCCCCCCTTTCTTCCTCTAGGTAAAATCTCTAAACTAATATGTGACAATGAAGACAAAAACAAAAATGACTTCAGTTCTGTTTGTCACAGCATTGACAGACACTTTGGAGGGGAGAGCAATGAACAACCCCCACCCCGTGGCCAGAATAGATGGGAGGAGTGATAATTTCCCTCAAATGTGAGCGGGGGGGGGGGAGTCTGCCTCTGCTGGCTCATCAGGGGGGCTTCCATATTCCCAAGCAGGTTCCCCTCAGCAGAATGCTTCAAGGTGGCCTCTGCCATGCAGCTAGCGATAAATGGACTTTTGCTAACAAGCAAATGTTGCAAGGGGGTCTTTTCACGAAGCTTCCCTGGGCATCGTCAGCCATTCCTGCATGCTGCACTTGAGAGAGGGTGATGCGTGTCTGGCTAACCTGGCAAAGGTCACAAGAAAATGTCCCCAGATGCAAAACGATCCCATTTTGGAGGAAGAGGAGGTTGGCTCTATCTTGAAGCACTCTTGGTTACAGGGGGACACCAAAAAGACCCTGGAGATGCTCTGAGGGCCCTGCAGGAGGGTGTGGGGCAAAACTATTGTGCTGGTGGGGAAGAGCATAAAGTGCAACATGTACAGGCAGCAGCAGATCCTTCATGGACCATCCCAATACCTTTGGTTCTAGTTATCCTAGAGGTTGGCGCTCATCAACCAAGACTTCGTTCTCTACCAAGTGCTGGTCCAGCCCAGGCCATCCCTGGACACTACTTGCTGTCCTGAGCCGCTTTTCTTTGTGCTGAGAGCTTGTACTTCTGGGCAACCCCATAAGGAACATGGGCGGCAACAGTGCCCATTTCCTTTGCTCCCTCCACATGAAACATCTGGTCATCAAAGAAGATATGAGGTCGGATCTTTTCCAGCAAGGGGCCTTTGGGTGCACCGGCCAGGAAGAGGGCTTCGTCCGTTTCTAGTCCCCAGCTTCGGAGAGTCTTTAGGGCTCGGGCCCCGGAACTGGCAGCACTTCGAGCCGTGACCAGATAGGTGCGAATGGGGCATTCCAGGCGGAGGCCTTTGGCATAGAACTTCTTCTGAAGCTTCCCCAGCACTTCCAGGAAGCCCTTCAGTGGTCCCTGGACGGAGGAACACACAGCGTCAGCCCCAGCATGCGGCCCACTCCCCAGGTGGTCAGGAAATGGGGACCAGCTGAGGTACAGCACCCTTGGGGAGGCCCCGGGGCCAGAGGCTTCCTGCCCTCTCCTTAGCCAGGCACATTTGCCCTCCTGTTCTTTGAATTTGCCAATCCCTCTTTGGGTCTAATATAAATTGTTATCCTGAAATGATGTTGCTATCTTGCTTCCTGCTTTAATACTGGCTTTGTTGGTATTCAGAATGTTTCTTCTCACTTTGTTCTAGCTAAAGTGTTCATTAGCAGGGCAGCCATAAACCCATCCTCTCTCTTGGCAAAAACAACAATGAAAAGGTCGATTTTGTCACAATACCACTGGTCCCCGAACCACACCTGAGCAAGAGGCTTGTTTTCATAAGTCTTCTCATGCTCGAAGAACTTGTCTAGGCCGTGCGCCTTTACAATCTGCTCCGACTCATCGGAAAACAGCACAGCATGTCCTTACCTTGCACCACCAGCCCGAAGGAAGGAGCCACCGTTGCCAACTGTTCCCCCCTCTGAGATGGGCAGCATAGAAGTTTAATAATAAATGCATATAATTTGATAAGGGGAGTGGGACAGGCAGCACCCTCCCAGTCAAAAGGCTCTCTGTCCCTTCAGCTTGCAGCAGCTTCTCACCCTCAACTGGATGGAAGGGCAGCCCCTGAAGGGAAGGCCATTGTTCCTGCCAACCTTCAGCAATTTCGCACCCGGAAGCTGCCAGGTGGAAATGCCACAAATGGTTGCCATTTAGGGACTCAGCGAACTGCATGTCCAGCCTGTCTTGGGTGAGCTGTGCAAGTGCAGAAGTGCAGCTGATTAATTCCAGGAAGCTTGTTGTGGTAGTCATATGGCATTTCTCTGATCTGAAGAGCCAAAGTCCCTCTAAGACTGGCAAAGTGACCGCCCAGAGGAAAGGATTCCCAGCCCAAAACTCTCAGGAAGGTACACAATTGAGAGTCAAAGGCCGATACCTTGTTTATGCCATGCATGGAGCCATAGGATGGCTTGTTTTGTTGCATTTTATTTTGGCTTTACTGAACAGTAGTCTTACTCACCTATCATAGGTTGGTAAAGAATGATTTCTAGTTTAGTGCACTGCATGAACCCAGCAACCCTAGGTTTAGTGGAATGTGTGAAACCAACCAATGGCCTCACTCGTACATCGCCCAAAATCATCTGGCTGGGTTTGACTTATTGGCTGTAAGCCACAAAATATCCTTCTTCAGGTCAAAGACAGGGTTTGCATGCCATGCAAACAATAAAACTTAGTTAGTGTAGGACTGGGGACTTTAAACCATAACAGTTGCCAAGATTGCTTGGGATTAAACAGTTCTCACACATAAGAAATGTTGTGCGAACACCAATATTCAATAAATGATGAGACAGTTTCTGAACTCACTCACTGCTTGTTCTGGAAAAATAAAGCAGGATCCATCCCAGCCTCTTTGTTTTGACACCAGCTGCTGCTGCCAAGGCAGAATTTAGTGCACCTTCCAAATGCTGGCTGACTGTGGCACTTGAGAATTGTCTCCTGGACAAGTGACGGCAAGAAGCTTTGCCAGTCTGCCCAGGAATGTCCACAGGGGCAAAAGAGTAGAAGGGAGAACCCCACCAAGACTCTGGCATGAGGGCAGGATGCATGAGAATGCTTGCTGGGCAGGTATGGGATAGGGATATGGGGAGGTCAGCCCTCAAGCACAAGACAGCATGGAATCCCAGTCAAATCATCATACAAGAGAACTGTCTATTCCAGCAATTAATATTGCCATTAAAGAATAAACCCAGGCTTTTCACTACGTTTCTTGCAAGGGAAGCCTCTAAATTGCATTTGAGGAGGGAGATGGTGGCCTGCAGGCCCCTCCTTGTCAAACGGGGCTCTGACGTTGCCCCCGAAACACAAAAGTAGCAACAGAACTGAGCAGCAGAGAGAGCTCAGCCCCCACAAGGAAGGCATGTTCCTCCTTTCTATCTCAGGTCCCTGCAAAGGGGGGGGGGCAATCTTACACACAAGAGCAGCGTTTCCCTGGGAAAACAGTGCCAATTCTGCCAACTAAGGCCGTCTATTCAGAAAGCATCTCTGAGCCTCAAAAGCAGCCACGTCTCTCATCCTCAACAGTCCTGGCTAATTGCCTCCTTTAGCGCCAAGCTCATCTTCCTGATGATGACACCAGGTGGGATCACCTGCCTCTTGACACCAGACCAGCATCACAAGTGCCCTGGCATGCCAACGAGTAAGTCTTCCCCCATCCACCCCAGAAGGAAAAACAATCTTTCTTACTGATTTGGGTTTCTTTTTGGAAGAGCAGTTTTCATAAAAGGCCTTGGCATCCTCCAAACTCGCTTGTTTTGGCTGCCCTCTGCTTTCCGGGCATCCGGGTCCAGTGGGCTCCATGGCGTATTCCCTCTACCTGTCCAGGAGCAGGAGAAGATGCAGCCAGCTGGCCGGGTGCTTTCCTTCTGCCCAAGAGCCCAGTTCAGCTGCAGAAGGAGACAGCCGCCGCCTCTGCTGGCTACAAAGGGAGGGTGAATCCGGCAGGCGAACCTCTGCATGTGTGTGTGTGTGTCAGTGTCGCTCAGAGCACGCTCTTTATAAGGGATCCCATGAACCTCCTGGGCACTCTTGCTCCCAAAGCGACTGTCCGGGCAGCTGCCCAAGTCCTCCCACATTCCCGGCCTCCCTTTCCTCAGACCCACTAAATTTGTGGGCAGCTCCAATCAGGGTGGGGGCAGGACCCACAGAGTGTGTTGCCCAAGAAAGAGGGGAGTCCTCTGTCTTGGCCAAAAAGAGTCTGGACTTGACCTGTGAGAGGGGATTTATCTGGGCAGAATGCCCACATTCATGGCAAAGACCACGTAAGATGGCATGCAGTGTGCTAAAAGGAGACCCTCTTAGATCCAGCAGGGGCTCCCAGGGAGCTGAAGGCCAGACCAACAGGGGCCAGGATTTGGACCGATTCCCGGAAGAGAAGGCTGTCTTGCATCACCTACTGATTTTAGGGGTCTTTTACTGTTCCTCTGCTGTCAGAAACAAATGCAAAGGGATTTTTAAAAGATTCACTTTTATAAATTATCCACATTCTTCTGCTGTGAGACTCTCTGCCCCCACCCCCCTAATTATTCCAGAGAAGAGAGCCAGTCCCAGGCTTGCACCCCTACCCTACCCTCTTGTTGGATCTCCCTGGGAGGAGGTGCCCAGCCCTGCCATCCTTTGATTGACTAGCCAAGGCTCCTGACCTCAAGAGCATTCCAGAGAAAGGATGCTCAGCTCCATGTGCTTGGAAATTTTGTGTGTGCGCGCGCGTGTGTGTGCATGTGTGTGTACGCACACGTGCAGGCTTTGGCTCACCAGCTCTGCTTGTTCCTTTTCCAAAAGCATGTGTTCAATCATGGATGATGGGGTTTTGGTCTACTTCAGTTAAAAGCCTGAACTTAAATGTGACCACAATTGCTTGATTAGCCTTTAAGAGAAATTAATTGCACATGCTGAAAACAGGCCCTTGGTATTTGGCTGGAGAAGAGCAAAGCTTTAGTGACAGTAGTCCAAAATCCAGCTGCTTAGAAGGCTAAGGATTCTCCCACTTCATTTTAGTCGGAGAGAAGCTTCCCTGAATGTTCATTCAACTCGCTTGCTGGGTGGCCACTGCCATGCTTTTCCCTGGGTCTTCCTTTCTTTCCCACACCCCTGGCCAGGGGGCCAGGATGGTGTAGCACTTGGTGCTTTCGGCTCACTTTTTCTGCATGTATAACCCACTTTATCCAAGCTGACTCTGACTGGCACCCACAAGCAACAGCTACAGCTGGTGCAGCCCTGCAAACAGCTTCCCCCTCTGGGGAGTTCTAGATCAGCCTCCTTGCAAGGTGGTGTTGTGCCGAAAACAAAAGCTGATCCTCATGGAAACTGCCTTGGAGAAAAAGTGGGTCAAAAGCCTGACAAACCAATGTTTGTCAAGGAATGAGTGAATCTTACTGGGAAGCTGAATTTCTCTGGCATACCACATTGGCACTGGGCCTGGCCTGGTATCGTCTGGGGAGGGCACACTTTGCTCTCCTCTGGAAGCTTCAGCTGGAGCCTTGTGGGCAGCTCCGGGGCTTCCCTTCCAGGCCTCCCCCACAAATGCCTGCAAGGCAGACTCAGCTGAGCGTCTCCCAGGCAGGAAAGACCAAGCTTCTCCTGAAGATAGGAAGAAAAGGTTCAAGGGAGAGCAAGACACCTCAAGCTGGTTTGGAGAGATCCTCTTGGCATGGTCCCTTCCCCTGATGTTTGGTACTGCCACCAATCCACAGCATGCACTTCTGGATTTTGTGGTTATAATGAAAAAGAAAAAGAAAATTAGCTTTGGTTTTCCCAGTTAGATAGATTTGTTGTTAAAGAAATGACTAGTTATATACAAATGGGTAAAAGTAAAAAGTTGAAGTTGTAATGCCTTTTTCTTTCTTCCCTTGAACCTCATATTTTCTTTCCCCCTTCCTTAATTTCCTATTTTTATTTTTCTTTGTATTTTATGCATTGATAAAACAATAACAGTTATATAAGGCAAGAGGTGTCTGCCCCCTTAACAGGAGAGATGCAGTGGGCAGGCTCTGCCCTTGCACACATTGGCAGACAGCGGAGGAGTATGGTTTATTTTCTAAATAATGTTTGCTTTCACTCTGCTGTTTGCAGCTGACACACAGCGGCCCTTTCCCACTTCGGAGTCTCACCGGAACTGCAGAGGTTCCACAAAGCCCCGAAGAGAGTTGGCTTTGGCCCAGGGATAATGCAGACTGAACCCTCAGCCTCTCTTCCACCACCCACCCATCTCAAACTGCCACCTCAGAGCTGTAGCCAGTCAAAAGGTTCACCAGAATTGATAGGCTGGTCTCTGGGGCAATTTAGGAAAGAGAACACCCCTCTGCCCCCCCCCCCAGTTATTGGTTTGTTGCCCATGACTATCCCAATGAGCAATGGACGCGTCAGCCACTGGGTGGGCAAAGTACCAGTTGTCTGAACCACTTTGAAAAAACGTGAAAATGTATTAATCTACACAAATCTAGCCAAAATATAGCATCACCTATATTACTTTAATAGCTTTTAAATACTTGTGAAAGAAACAGACTCCACAAATGACATGACTTTACTTCAACCTGATGAGGAGTATCATTTTTGTGAACCTCAAGAATTTAAAGTGTTGTCCTTGTCTCAAAATTTTGATCAAGAGGATGATAGTTCCCAGACTTCATTTAGTTTCTGAATTAGCCCATTTCTTAGGTTTGTGTTATAGCACTTTGCTATACATAAACCCCGTGGTCCAGTGCGGATGCTGGCCTGGTAAATAAAGTTCTTGGGCAAACTGGCTGCCCCACGACTACCGTCCCTCTCATAGGAGTTGCAAGGACCACAAAAAAAAAAAAAAAGCAACAGAGTGTCAATCCATCCACCTTTGTCACTGTCCAACAGACGTCCCAGCAGCATAGAACAGGTAGTCCTTGAGTTAGGGCTTTCTGTTGCTAACCAAAACATTTGTTAAGTGAGTTTTCCTCTTTTACAATCTTTGTTGCCACAGTTGATAAGTGAATCAGCGAAGTTGTTAAGTTAGTAACAGGGATGTGAAATGAATCTGGCTTCCCCATTGACTTTGCTTGTCAGAAGGTCGCACAAGGCAATCACATGACCTGGGACATTGCAACTGTCATAAATAAGCCAATTGCCAAGTGGCCATATGGTAGGTCCATCCGAGTTTCTATCATGTGACCATGGAGATGTTGCAACGGTTGTAAATGTGAAAAATGGTCGTAAGTCACTTTTTTCATTGCTGTTGTAGTTTTGAACAGTCACTAAACGAATGGTAAGTTGAGGACTACCTATAGATAAGAACATTGGAAAGGTGCTAAGGCTGGAATAGGCCCTCGGTCCACCTCGTCAGCATCCAACCAGCCTGTGAGACTAGCTGCCTGGGAGAAGGCCCAGATCTTCCAGAAACAACTGGACTTTCTTATGTTTCTTTTGAAGATGTTTCGCTTCTCATCCAAGAAGCTTCTTCAGCTCTGACTAGATGTTGGGGAGTGGGAGGATTTATATTGCTTGCAGACAGATGGTCCTTTGCATTCCTTTAGCCAGTCCTTGGGGCCATTTTGGAGGTTTACCTGTGTAAATGTGTGTGGAGCCTTCTTGGCTGCAGGATGTCTTCTACCTTGGGTCCTTTCACTGTTGAAAATAGGCACAGGCTCTTGGGGATGAATCTGTGACGTCTGCATCTCAAACTGAAGTGCAAATGGTTCCCATAGTTTGCAAGGTTTTCTGGAAATCCGTTCATACTCTCACCATTCGAAGGCTTTTCATCCCAAAGTGCATAGCTAAAGTGCATGCCCTTTGTGAAAACCACATTGGCTGCCCTTATGACAACTGCTGGCTGCCAACAGAGGCCCAACAGACTGTGATTTTTAATATGGCAGAAAAGTATAAATATGCCAACTGCTTTTAATTAATATTCCTTAGTTTGAAGTAGATTAAACCTTGCTTTTGCTCGGGCTCCAAAACCTTGCTGGAGCTCAGCCAAGCATGTGATGTGGCTCTCGGCCCGAAGGAACTGCGCCACTGGAGTGGGAGTGTCCAGGGTGCATCCGGGGCTGGGCCTGGGGCCGGGCCCTCCATGAAAACACAGGGTGCCTCCTCCCTCTCCCACCCTCCTCCCTAATTTCAGCCATTTCCAAGCATGTGGGTTGCTCCCAGATGCTGACAGCTTTCACCTGCAAACCCCTTTTCCTGTAGTTTCATCAGCTATTTTCTTACTGCAAACAATCTGGGAAAGTGGCAAAGGCAAGCAAGCCACACAAGAGGTGAGACTGGAAACTCTCAAGAGTTCCCCTCCCCTCCCTGGTACACAGAGACAGACCAGGCTCACTGATCATTCTTTTATTCAGAGACCAAATTGCAAACTCCCATCGGATGAGGATTTCTTTGAACACTTAAATAAAAATAGATTTACATGTGTGCACACATACACACTCCCCAACCTACCTCACAGTTCCTAAACAAGTACAATACTCACAATCACAATAAGCAGATAGGACAATCTCCAAGAGCAATGTTCAGGGCAGGACGGGACACAGCAGCCAAAGGGACTGCCTTGGCACAGACAGTGGCTGCCTTGCGGCGCATGAAACCTTCCTGGGACCCTAAATCAACCCCACCTCATTTCTTCTGCCCCAGTCAAAGAACTGCCAAGAAGAAACTAAAGACATCCACCATAAAAAGTGCAATTCACTAGAACTCTGCCTGGACAAAGTCTGTTTCATTCGACCTGACTTGTTTCCTTCCACACATGAACTCCAGGCCTTTGATTCACATGGCAAGCCACAGCTAACCTTCCACCCTGCAAAAGCTGCTGGGGAGCAAATGACCTACAGCTGCCAGTAACTGTGCTCTGTTCTGAGCCTTTTGCCCAGTCCTTCCACTGCTTTACGATGGGGGGACATCCCCCCCCCCAAGAATGCCTGAAATTCTCATCACCCTTTTTCTTGGCACTTCTGTACTCTGTACTTTTTCCTTTAGCCATTCTAACCAGACACTTCATCGCAGGGAGGTTACCATCACCTTGGCCTTCTGGAGTAGCCAATTCACATTTTGCCCTAAATGTCATGGGGCATCAATCACGGTGCATGTCTGCTCAGCTGTAAACCTTAAATGCTAAGGGGGGAAGGGGGGGGAGAGAGAGAGAGAGAGAGAGAGAGAGAGAGAGAGAGAGAGAGAGAGAGAGAGAGAGAAGGAATGAAGAATTGAAAGGCATCAGAGTTGCCAGAACCACTGGTGCTCCCTGCCACACCTCCTTTTCCTGTTCCCCTTAGGAGCACAGCTAGTTCCCAGGTTGCAAGTTGGAAGGAACAAAAAGCAGCTTATTTACGTCTGTCACAGGTTACATCTGTCCCCAAACAGAGCATTCCTCCATGGAACTCCCAGTCTCTGGCAAGGCTCATTGAAAGTCCCCTCTGGTGCCCTTTGCTTGCACCAACAGTTTATTTTTAATCCACTGGCCACCCAAGAATAATCTTTCTGGGGGCCCTCCAGACTGAGGCTCCTGCAATCTCCACCAATAGGAGTTTATCAGCACCATCCCTGGCTTTTGGGGAAAGCCAGTGCCTCTTCCATCTTCAGAGCCCATTAATTATTACAATGAATTATTGGCAGAAGCAAAAATGAAAACAACCTGTACTTTTACATACGATAAGATTAGTACAGAAATATACTTTTTAGCAAGCGCTGTAACAGTGTCCCTCTGCCTCCAAAGATGGAGAGCAGGAATCTCAATCAGCCCTCCCCAACCAAATCTTTCCAAAGGTGTGGGAATACAGCTCCCCCATCCCCAGTCAGGCCCTTTTGGCTGGCTGGAGGTGGGAATTTAATTAGAGATCCAGAGGGTGGATTTGTGCAGGGAACAATGGTCTAAAGCAGGGATTTCCAAACTTGGCAACTTTAAGACTAATGGACTTCAACTCCCAGAATTCCCCAGCCAGTCAAAGCCCCAGCCAATTCTTCAATTCTGAAGTTGAAGTCCACAAGTCTTAAAGTTGCCAAGTTTGGAGACCCCTGGTCTAAAGGGGGGGGGGGAGGTACAGGATTTTTTTTTTTATTTCCAAAAAGAAACCACAGGCTCCCCCTGGCCAAAAACAGTTGCATCTGGTAGTGAAGAAGTGATGGGGGGAAGGAGAGAAAAGAAATATTTCCTCTTTTCAGGCTTGGGGGGAAATCCTCAGGGCACTGAGTGGAAAACACAGCCCTAGACCTGCCATCCAAAAGAGTTTCTGTAAAGATTTGTTGTGGGGGACACAATGGGGGGAGGGGATATAGTTTTTTTCTACCCTTAAGAGCAAAAGCTAGTAATTTAAGATAATGGGCCTTGCAGCTGTAGCCATCTGGATCTTGGATTCAGGCAGCCCATTAGAAGTTAAATTTGCTGCCAGGTCTTGGGAACACCTCATGTCCAAGAAGCACAGGCCAGAGGCTCCAGCCAGAGTAGGCCCAGTGGATAGAGGTGGACATCTCCTGGCTTAGAAGCTAAGGCCCCTGGCCAAAGGGTCAACATCTGGGCTGGCTATGCTGGTGCAAGTGCTGGGACAAGCCCTTGCAGACTCATCTGGGCAAAGGCAGCAGCCTCCCTCAAGAGGGGGCTTGCAGCCCTAAAGAGAAAAAGACAGCACACAGCCAGGCAGAGGATGGGCTGACTAGTGCCCCAACCCTTCTACTTCTGCATGTCACACTGCAGCAGGAGGACAATTGAGGGGTCGCTCTTGGCTGCCTCCTTGAACTCTTCCAGGCTGATCTGGTCATCTTTATCCTTATCCATCTTGGTAAAGATCTTGTCGACCCGCTGCTGGGGTGTCAGCCCATCTTGATCCATCCTCATCATAATAACAGTACCCACCATCTTGTAGATAGCCTGAAAGACAGATGGGGAAAATGAGGCCATGGTTCTTCCAGTGCTGATCACAAGACTTAATACCTACTTTGCTGCCCCCTCCCCCACCTGCAATAAGCAACTATAGACCATGCATAGACTTCTGGATACCCGAAGGCAGGACCATCAACATAGGACCAGCTTATGAGAGATATGGTACCATTGTATTTATCTGCTCTTCATTTCAGGAAAGGACAACTTTGGGGGGATTGTGAGCCACAAGGATTTCCTGATTTTCCTGACTTTTGTAGTTTGGTCAAGCTTATTTTATGGGGTTCACAGGGAAAAAAACTATAAAGCTGTAGAAAATTGTGTCTCCTTTGAGTGATGAGCTGCTGTGACTTCACAACATAATTTCAGCTTAGCCACCCTGCACTGACCTAATTATGAATACCAAGCCTGAGGTGGAAATCCCCCCAAGAGAATCTCTGTTACCTCAATGATCTCTAGCATCTCTAAGCGTGTGATCTTCCCATCCCCATCCAAGTCATACATCTCGAAGGCCCAATTCAACTTTTGTTCAAAGCTGCCCCTGGAAGTGACGGACAGAGCGCAAATGAACTCCCGGAAGTCAATGGTCCCATCTCCGTTCTTGTCAAACGTGCGGAAAGCATGCTGGGCAAACTTGGATGCGTCACCATAGGGAAAAAACTGCAAGAGGAAAAATGGGAGAAGCGTCATCACAGGGGCTGCTGCCTCAGGTGAAACACCTGCAGGTGCTCCAGCAGCAGAAACAGCAACAGCGGCAGCATCCCATCCCTTGAGAACCTGACCCAATCAATGCTGAACAGAAATGCTACTTTTACTTTGTTGCTTTTCCTAAGGTTCATTCCAGAAAGTCACAAATGACTTGAAAAGTGCATCCTATCCCTTGCAAAGCCAGTATGGTGACATGGCTAATCTGTTGGATTAGAAGTGATGAAGCCCAGATTTATGATATCCTGAGTCTTGGGCTCAAGTTCTCTCAAGAGCTTGCTAGGTAACCCTGAACCAGTTACTCTCTCCTGCCTCACAGGACTGATGTTACAGGGCATAATGGCCACCTTGAGCTCCAGATGGGTGGCTTCACTGATAAGCCAACATTATCCAAGTGAGCTTCATCGGACCTATAGCAGTCAGAAAGTAGAACAGAATAGAACTTTCTTTATTGGCCAAGTGTGGTTGGACACACAAGGAATTTGTCTCAGGTGCATAAGCTCTCACAAGCAACAAAGTGACAAATCATAAATCATAAGATACAACCAACAAACTTCTTAAAATGGGACAGCACAGATTCCAGCCTTTGTGGCTACTCCGGGAGCTTTGAGGTTCATACATCAAGGGAGTGCCTGGTCGAAGCAAGCTGCCCTAACTCAGCTGCCCTCGCCCCTCCATGCCATACCTTGATGTAGAGTTGCTGGAATTCCTCCAAGTTGAGAATGCCTGTGGGGCAGTCTTTCAGAAAGCCCTTGTACCATTGTTTCAGCTCCTGCTCATTAAATTCAGTGCTTCTCACCAGGTCATCCAGCATCTCTGGAGCCAACTTGCTGTTGTGCTTCCCCATTGTGACTTCTGGAAAGAGAAAGGTGCTAGCCATGCCACTTTCCTGGCACAGTCTTCAGTTGCCTCTGGCTCCCTCCCTCTGTCATGTGCCCACTCTGGGTCATAAAGCTGCATGGGATAGAATATACCCCTTCATTTTCCCGAAGGACTGTTCCTCTGATGGTGCTGCATATTTCATAACAAAAGGGAGCCAAACGGTGATTCACTAACACCGGGAGATAGACATGCCAGAAGGATTACCTATATGAAGCCAACAGTCTACATTATTCTAGAATTAAGCCAATGGAACTGCGTTTCTTTTTTTCAATTTTTCAATTTCTTTTTCAACTAAACATTTGGCGGGAAAAACAGTTTACTTACTTTATTCTTTAGAAATTTTTAAATTCTTAATGATCTAAAAGGAAAAAATTAAAAAATCACAGAAAAAGAGACAGACATTTAAAACAGGGAAGATAGTTATGAATTTTTCAACAAAGGGTCAAAAACATTTGTAAATTATTGTAAACTGACACATTGCAACAGGGAAATATTAATTTTTAGAACATTTTAATTTTTAACAAACAAAAAAATCATGGAAATAAAGACTTTCCAAGCGTTTCGTTACCAAGCTAGATAACATCTTCAGTGGCGTAAGATTATTAGGTTTGCCATCTGAACAATGACACAGAGAGAAAAGCAAAACTGATCTTCAGCATTTGGGCGGCAAATAGTTCTTTGAGGTTGAACAACAGCATTGCCAACTTCAGCAAGTCACCTGACAACCAATCAAACGAAGAGATAAGGAGAGGTGAGAAGGAAGAGGAACTCTGATATAAAACAGGACACAATACCAAGAATGAATGCATTTGGTTAACAGAAAAGGAAAAAAGAAAGATGTTGTCATAGGTATATACTACAGGCCATCCAATCAAGTAGAAGAAATAAATGAACATTTTGCTACTAATTTATACAATAACAGAGCTTGAAGATCTTTGAGCCCAGCCCCTGCACAAGCAGGAGACCCTATACCATTCCAGACAAGTGGCTGTCCAGTCTCTTCTTAAAAGCCTCCAGTGATGGAGCACCCGCAACTTCTGGTGGCAAGGAGTTCCACTGGTTAATTGTTCCACTGGTTAATTGTCAGGAAGTTTAATTCCAGGTTGCTTCTCTCCTTGATTGGCTTCCGCCCATTGTTTCTTGTCTTGTCACCTGGTGCTTTCAAAAATAATTGAACCCCTCTTCTTTGTAGCCGCTCAAGTATTGCAACATTCCTATCATGTCACCCCTAGTCCTTTTGGGGACCTGCAGCCCCGCAGCCCTCTCCCCACTGGCCAGGGTGCCTGGCTGGGAGGCTGTGGTCAGCAAAGCCTTCAGGCTTCCTCCTCGCACCCTCCCGCCAGTAGACTAGACAGCTCCCTGGGAGAAAGGCCCAGTAGCCTCCAAGCCCCCTGCAAGCCAAACGCTTGGGGGGTCAAGTGAGGGCATTGGCACAGAGGGATGGTGCCCCCTTTGCAAAAGGAAACTGCTGCTAAACTGCTGTCTCCACTTCTGGGTTCAGTTTCTCTTCCACGCTCTCCTTTCAATGCCAAGGAACTGACAACTCAGCGCTTAATGTATTTACCCTTCTCTCTCTCGAAAGGCACATTCCTTCTGACCTCCAGGGAAGTGAAGGGCCAGGAGAGGAAATCTTGTTTTTCTGGTCAGCTCCTGATAGGGCCCGGAAGCCCTTGTGCCAACTGGTACTGAGAATCATAATTCCTTCTTTGCCAGCCACCGTGGACCATAATAGCTCATTTTATGCACCTTCCACAAGTCCCCAGCCACAGGCGAGCTACGCAGATGGGCGTAAAGAGGAATTTGGTCTGCAGACCAAAGACTGTCCCAAGAAACGCCACTTCTTGGTGCCCAGCCCCTGTGGTTCAGCAGTAAAATGTGACCCAAACAGTTTCTCCTTGCGATGGTTCTGCAGTAAGTGAGATCTGAAGATATACTGCCCCTGAACTTGGATGTTTCATCACCATGCCTAATAATGGTTGTGCCTTTACTAGGGCAACCGCCCTGTCTTGTGAGGACGAGTTTTATGATTTGCTGCCTGACATTTTGGGCAATGCAGGTACATTTGCAGACTTACAACCATTCATTTGGTGACCGTTTGAACCTGCAATGGCACTGAAAAAAGTGACTTACAACCATTCCTCACACTTATGACCCCCGCAGCCTCCCCAGGATCACGGGACCAAAATTTGGGTGCTGGCAACTGGCATGTACTTAGGGTAGTCTCGGCACCCGAGCCACCTGATCACCACTTGCAACCTTCCCCGCCAGCTTCCCACAAGCAAAGGGAATGGGGGAAGCGGGATTCCCTTCACAATGGTTGTGATCCACTTAACGGCCATGGCAAAAAACTGTAAAACCGTGTGTGACTCACTTAAGGACCACCTTGCTTAGCAACCAAAATTTGTGGTGAGGCCGACACCTACTGCAGGTATCACCAGTTCAGCCATTTTGCAAAGGCATTGCGAGGAAGAAATCTAATCTTTTTCCAAAAAATAAATAATAAAGTAAAATAAAGATAAAATAAATAATAAAATAAAGTAAAATAAAACAAAATAATAAAAATAAAATAAACTAATAATCTATCAGGCTGCCAAACAGGAGGAAAACATTCCAGGCCAAAACCTGAACTGCTGCAAGTCAGAACAGTTTATTTGTGGCCAACATTTGACTTGTCTACCTATGATACACAATCTGTCTATGCCCCGACACAGAGACAGGCGTCTTTTCATTGCTTTGTGCAACCCAGGACTTGCTGTTAAAGAGACAGGATCCAAGACTCAGCTTCACTCAGTCCTACACAGATTTAACCCTGTGTGGGTCCAGCAAGTGAATGACCAAGAAAGTGTAATAGTAGAATTGGGGGAGGGGGGAAAGAGACAAATGAAGTTTCCAAACATAAATTAACCAGCTTTAAATCTCTTGGAAAGTCTATTTTATAAGTACAAAAACAGATATAAATAAGTTACACTGTACTGGACAGGCCAGTCTTCATAAAAGTCTTAGCTGCTCTTATGCATTCCATGCGTCTCTTTAGCTCTACTGGATTTCGTCCAGAACCTCTTTATCCGGGAGAGGGGCAGGGTTTTTTTATCCCACCTTTTTGCCAGGCGCTGGACACCACACTTTGGTTTCCCATTTTTCCCAGGCAACAACCCTGCAAAGTAGGCTGGATCAAGAGGCACCGAGTGGCCAAAGTCAGGGGGGATTTAGACCCACCTCCTCCCACTCCTTAACCAGGATCTCAGAGGGCTCTCTCTGACCAGTTTTGTGGGAACCACTGTCTGCTCTGGCAAAGTCTAAGGAGGTGGAAACAAGAGTTGTTCTTTGAGGCTCGGCTGAGGGATGGCTGCTTTGCACCCTCAGATTCCTCCTCCTCTCTCCCAGACTGGATACCTGGTGGATGATCTTCAGAGGGCAGAAAAGGAACAGCAGCCATTTCACTGTCCCCTTCCTCTGTTGCGCATGGCAACGGATGCTGTGGCTGTCATGGCAACTGCTGCATTGTTGCGAGATTGACCCCTGCAACAGCAGCAGCAGCAAACATCTCCCTGCTCTCTGTTATGACCAAGCAAAAGCCGCCACAGGGACCCCCTTCTGATGGTCCCTGCAGCTCCAGGAAAGAGGTTGCTGCCATTTTGAAAGTCTGCTTGATCCTAACTTGCAAAGCCTGTTTTCAACGGAACCAAGGATGGGGCAGCCAATTTTTCAGGGGAGGGATGGCTCTCCTTCACTGGGTGCAGTTAAGCAGAAGCTGCACCAACCTCTGTCAAGCATGCTTCAACAGGGACTCTCTCACCAAACAGCGAGTTAGTCTTGATAGCCACAATGACTCCTCTCATTGCTGCTATGTCTGTACCCAACACTCTTCAGGTCAAATATATGAAGCACTGAATTGATCGGCAATATAAAGAAAAGCATGGTGGATTCACAGGAGCTTAAGCTTAACTTGCAAATCATCTAAGATTGTGCTCAACATCCAAAACAGAGCAGGCAATCCTCAAAAAACCTTACAGAACGTCTTATGGGACTGGAGGAACTACCACCTCTGAATCCTCAGGCTCTTTACGGATCTTGCAAAAAAGGTCTGCAAGATAAAAGGTCTGGCTAATTGAATTTGCAGGCTCTCACCTGTGCTACAAGAAAAAGCAAAATGGAAAGAGGCCTGTAGCCCTACCTGAGCAGAAAACTAGGAGAACCTCTTTCAGAACTGGAAGCTTACTTGATTTGCAATGCAGCTTTCTGCCGAAAGACTGGAATGAGAAGTGTTTATTTGTTAAGAAGGCATCTATGTGTATATATAGGAGGGGGAGGGGAACTGCCCTTTTCCAAGGAACTCCCACAGGTCCTACTTCCCACCCATGAAGGCAAACAGATATGCAGCTTAGATGCGGTCAGCTGTTCCAACCAGCATGTCAAGCAGGCTCTCTGGGCCACTGCTTCAGATGCCAATCCTGCTCTCGCTGTCTCCATACCTTCAGTATCTGGAAGTCAATAGTTCACCTGATGGACCGTCATGCCCATCTCTCTGGGCTGCCTTCCAGTTCCTCATCAGCATCTGAGATCACTGTGCTATTTAATATGCCTAGAATGGCTGCCAGGTTCCACGCTGTTTTGCCCATCGTCCTTCTTGGCACAGGTGTGCTTGTCCACCCTTGGAAGGCAAGCACAACCCCATAGGCATGACCACCACTGGGATGCAGCTCCGCCAATCCCCTACCCTTTCTTGTTTGACCCATGCATTTTCTATGCTGGACTGATTTTCTTAATTTTGCTTCAGGAACCGTAACAGGTTGTAAAGGAGTGGCCATTTGCATAATTCCACGTAAGAGAATGAACAAAAGGTCTGGTAAGAATGCAGTTTTGTCTTGCCTTTAAAATCCTGGGTTTCTCTGAGTTACAGTTAGACACGGTGCTTTTAAAAACAAACACCACTTTGCTTGAGGTGTCATTTTGCTATAAGTGTTTGGGTCCCTCCCGGTGGCATTTTGTACAGACTTCTGTGACAGGTAGGGAAGACCTGGGAAGAGGGCCCAGAAATAGCTTTCAAGGCACCCAAAGTCCCACATCACTGAGCCCTCAGATTCCCTTCCTTGGCTTTCTCTGCATATTGGTTATTTTCTCCATAATCAAGCTGGACAACTACTGAAGCCAAAAATAGGCAAGAAGGGTAAAAAAAATCAGTTACGCCACCAAGCTCCTCCAGAGAGAATCTCCAGCAGATACAGGAATGTCCTGACTGGAGCTGACCATCTTGCCTTGGATGAGAGAGATCCTAACCCAAAGAGATGCCCATGGAAGGGGAGCCAGTGCTTCTCAGAGAGAGAGGCAAAGTCTTCAAATGACAGGGTCAGCCTCTCCCAATTCACCACTCTGGGCGCAACAGACACAACCTCATCCAGCATGTCCAAAGACTGGCAAAGAGGAGAGCCACGTCAGTCTGTGGTGGTCCAAGAGCAGGAGAAACTGGGCAGCTGATACCTTTTAATAATTGCTTAGTGGAAAAAGCTGCTCATCTGCTGCTTCTTAGGCTCCCTCTGAGTTTTTGTGTTGGATCCGTGATCTCAGAATCAATCTGAGAAAGGCCCTTTAAGGTCAGCGAGCCCACCCTTGGGCTCAGTCCACAGGCCAGCACCCATGACAAATGACTGTCTGGCCTCTCCTTGGACCCATCCAGGAAGGGGACACCATGGACTCCCTGGGAAATCGGCTCAGCTCTCAACCTGCCCTTCCTGTTGAGAATCTTTTCCCCAACGTTCAGTTGGAATCTGCCTTACTCCAGCCTGTCATTCCTAGTCCAGCGCTGTGGAGCGCTAGACACGAGTCATGCCCATCCTCTTGGGGTGCTCTTTTGGGGAGCCGGATGCTTTTCAATAGGGAAGAGCTGAGCTATGACACCCTCAGAACTGTGGTGCATTCACAGCAGGAGCCACAAAACACTCCTCCCCCTTCGCTTTGCCAAGGAGAAAACAAGGCTGATCTAATCTGGTTTACAAAATGTTCTGAACACGAGAAAATGCTCCAAAAGGACTCCCTATTCTGGCTACTGCTTGGCATTTGCTGGACAACTGAGATCCCTACTCAGACCTCCAGGAATTTGCCCTCAAAACTCAAGGCGGAACAGTGCCATCAAAGGACCTCTCTCCCCCTTCCCTCTGACTTGCCCTCATCCACACTTCTGCAGGCTATTTTCTTGCTCTGTTTTCCAGCTTGGCCTTTCCCAGCTTGGTGCCCAGAGACCTCAACAGTCTTGGTGCCCAGACTGTTAAGGCTCAGTGAATACAAGAAAGCTTGTGATTGCTTGTGATCCAAATGACTGGATAACCAATACAGAGTTTAACTTAGTGTTCTTACGCTGGCTATTCTCTGGGTTCACATAAACCACTCAATCAGAAACAAAATCCAGTGGTGGGGGCCCATTCACTGAGACCCCTCCAAAACTATGCCAAGCTGGCTCTGTTGCGTTAATGCAGCTGGCTCAGGTTTGTAACTGATCCATCTAAATATGCTTATGAAGTCCTTCTGTAAAATAAGGCATTCTGCCCGTATTCAGCCCCATCCAGGGGTCTCTCTGTTGCTGAACCCATGGCTTCTTCCCTAGCAGATGACCCTGGCCATTTTCCCCGCCTCACCCCCAGGCTGGATAAGATGGGTAACTGGCTCTTGAAGATAGGTCAGAGGAAAGCACTGCCCCCCACCCAGGGGAGGGTCTGACTAATTCTTCCAGTTCCCAAACCAAAGACAGCCCAGGGGGGCAATTACAGCCAGATTGGCTCATGGTGAGCCAACCAGGCCACTGACTCAGTCAATTAAGAGGGCCCAGAGTGGTAGTCAATCAGCTTCATTTTCATGTAGATGTTCACACCGTTGTTCACACTGAGGTTGGCTGCATCAGCAAAAGAGGAGCCTGTTCTGTTCCCCTCTTTGGGCCGAGCACAAACTGGATCTCCAGAAGAGGCTTTGGGGGCTTCAGGATACTGTCCTTGGAAATGCAGGCATGAGGGTTGCAGACCCAAGACCCCCTTGCTTGACTCCCCCAGGAGCCTCCTGCTGCAAGGGGTGTGTATGTGCGTGAGGCACAACAATGGTTTGCTCACCCCCCCATCTGCCCATCTGCAAGTTTTTTGGACACAGCAAGAGTCTTTTTGTCAATCCCTCTGCCTGACTAATTGTTGCAAAGACCCTGATGGATAAGGAAAGCCCTTAGGGGAGGGGGAAGAGCTATGTGACCTTTTGAATGCAGAGAAGCAGGTTGCAGTCAAAGGTCAGCACTTCCTTCTCTAGCCATTGTAAAAATAGCTGGAAAATAGGAAAAACGCCTCTCCGCGCCCCCCTCCCACTTCAGACAACAGATTTGTCATTTGCCTCCTTGGCTGAGAAGAGGCAACCACGCAGCTCCTTTGCCTCCCCCTCCCCCGGTTTGCAAAGGCAAGAACCTTACCACGCACCCCCACGCCAGACAGTCAAGAGGTTCCCTACGGGCAGGCTTGCCGCAAAGGACGGGGAGAAGGGGCGTAGGGGATGGGCGGGCAGACGGGTGGAGCCCAAGGGGGCTTGGCGGGGGAGTGAGAAGCGAGTGGAAGGGGACCGCTTCGATCTCCACCTTCCCTCGGGCCGGAAGGCAGCGCCTGCTTCGCCTTCCAGCGCTCGGCTCCAGAACCGCCAAGCAAGCCTGAAGGCGCGAGGCGCGTGTCTCCCCGGCACCCACCTGCGCGCCCCTGGGCCCGGGGGGGGGGTGTCTGCGGAGCCCTATGGCAGGAATCCGCCGCAGCCCCACGAGGAAGAGGCGCCACAGCCGCCAGCGATCCCGGGCGCGGCGGAGCAGCGCCAAGCGGAACCTCTCGAGCTCCAGAAGGGCCGGCGCCGTAGCTCACCTGGCGGGCGCGGGTCGGGTCGTAGTCCGGTTGCTTGCCTGCCCTCCCTCCCTCCTTCCCTGGGAGGCGCGTCCGGTGCGGAGCCGGAGCCGCGGGAACAGCGAGCGCTCCGCGGGGAAGCCGAGGAGGAGCTCCGCCGCGCTGAGCCCCACCTGCGCCGCCGCCGCCTTCAGCACCTTCCTTGCCCGCCTCGCCTGGAGCAGAATGTGGCACGCCCGGCGCCCGCCCGCCGCCTCCGCGCGGAGTCTCATTGGCCGCGCCGAGTGGCAGTCACCCCTCTTTCGCTCCTGGAGGGGCGACTCCCCTCCCGGGCAGCGGAGTGGTCCGGAGCCCCGGCGAAGAAGCAGCCTTGCGCTCGGCCGAGGCAGGAGCGGACTGGGGTTGCCCTGAGGCGGGGCAGCCCTTCGGGGTGCTTGTTAGTCCGAGGGGCCGGCGGGAGGGGCTGCTCGCTGCGCGGACGCAGCTCCTGCAGGAGCCCCAGAGGGCCGTCGAGCCTGCTCAGCGGGGCGGCTCGGTCGCCGCGGGGGCCAGCGGGCTGCGGGCGCTGCGGCGAGAAGGGCTGCCTAGTCACAAAATGGCTGCCGGAGGGGGAGAGTATGGAAGGCGGCCCAGATTCACCTGAAGGCTCCTTGCCGCAGCCCCCCTCCCTCGTTCTGCCCCTCTTCTGAAAATTTGGGGGGGGGGCACCGGCAATAAAGAACGTGCCGGGGCTCGCTATCCGTTTCCCACGCAGCTTGAATTTTTGAAACACTGAAATAATTTTCCATTAGAAACAGCCGGCTCAGGAAACCATTAGGTGGAAGGGGAGCCCAGCAGGATGGGTCTCCAGGTGCATTGGCAGCCCAGCTGTAAAGCCTGTTTATGAATCCCATTGCCTGGAACAGCCCCTTTGCTCCACCATGGCTTTGATTTGGCCTGGGATACGTGTGTCTTACCACCTTATGACTGTTTTTCACCCTTACAACTGTTGTCGCATCTCCATGGTCACATGATCAAAATTCAGACGCTTGGCAACTGGTTCATATTAATGGTTGCAATGTCCCAGGCTCACATGATCACTTTTTGTGACCCTCTGACAAACAAAGTCAATGGGGAGCTAGATTCACTTTACAACCGTGTGACTAAGTTAACAACTGCACCAATTCACTTAACAACTGTGGCAAGGAAGGTCATAAAATGGGGCAAAACTCATCAATTATATCACTTAGCAACATATTTTGGGCTCAATTGCAATCATAAGTCGAGGACTACCTGTAATGTTCAAGCATAATTTTTAGAAATGTCCAGGCACCCAGGAAGGTGAACTGAAACTGCTTAAGGACTAATTCAAAACATGATGGTGCCACAGCCCTCTTCATGTCTTCCAGTGCCCGCAGCCAACCTAGACCAATCCTTCAGTGCTCATTAAAGCAACGGAGGCTGCCATCCACAAGAGTTGCCATTCCCACGTGCAAAGTTACAAGGAGAAAGAGGAGAAGGGAGCAGCAGGCACAGCACTGCCAATGTCAACTCTACAATAAGCATGGCAACAGCGATTTTTTTCTTCTCATTCTAGGTTGCCACATAGAATGGAGGGAGAGGGGTTGCCCAGGTACTTCATTAGTCAAAACAATCTTCTGTCCTGTGGGAACCAAGGTCATCTGCTGCTCCTGCAACCAAGGACTAGGCGTTACATGAAAAGCCGCCCGTCAGAACCTATTTCTTTGCTGGGGGGAGGGACTTTCGTTAGTTAATTCTTTTCCTTTCCTGCGGGTTCTATCATACTTCTGGGGGGAAGGGGGGAAGCTTTGGGGAATTGCAATGTATTTTCTCCATTAGAAATACATTATTATTAACTTGGGAAAAAATAAAATATAAAATTTATTTGAAAATTCCAGGATGGCTTTCAACAATGGAAGCATTCATAAATCCAAATCTTGTCAGTCTCAATAAAATATGGACATACAAAGATATTCTAAATTCTGAAGGGAACTTATAATCCAGGCAAGAGATGGGAAATCAGGGCATCAATTTAACAGGGTGGTCACATTTACAAATGCAAGTCAGATATGATAAAGATATTAAACAGTATGGATTTTACAAAGAACAGACTATGTGTGATCAGACATTATTAACTTCTGATGAAAAGATAATTTAAAAAATGTATAATTTCTTATTAAATTTCAAAATAGAAGATGAACAGGTAACAGAGACAATGATAGTATGAGCAAAGAATTTTGGATGTAATATAAATTTTAAAAAGTGGCAAAGTTTGTGGGAAAGAAACTATAAATTGACAATATCAGCTTCATACAAAGAAAACTTATATAAAATGTTTTAAAGATGGCATTTGCCACCAACAAGATTAGCAAAAATGTTTAAAAATATATCAGAAATGTTGGAAATGTAAACACAAATGTAAACAAAGGTACTTATTATCATATGTGGTGGACATGTGTTAAAGCAAGGAGATATTGGACAATAATCCACACTTGGTTAGAAAAAATGTTAGAAAAACACATAGGGTTAGGGTTAGGTCACCATGAACTCAGAGAGCAAAATGGACATTGCCACAAATTTGGAGTGCTTGGGTATGGTTAGGAGGGCACTGACTTTTCTAGACTGCCCTATCTATGTTTCCTGGTAAAATACATGGGAAAATCCCATTGGGGGAATAGTCCACTTAGGGTTAGGGTTAGGTCACCATGAACTCATAGAGTAAAATGGACATCGCCAACAAACTCGGAGTGCTTGGGTATGGTTAGGAGGGCACTGACTTTTCTAGCCTGCCCTATCTATGTTTCTTGGTAAAATACATGGGAAAATCCCATTGGGGGAAAATTCCATTTAGGGTTAGGGTTAGGTCACCATGAACTCATAGAGCAAAATGGACATCGCCAACAAATTTGGAGTGCTTGGGTATGGTTAGGAGGGCACTGACTTTTCTAGCCTGCCCTATCTATGTTTCCTGGTAAAATTCATGGGAAAATCCCATTGGGGAAAAATTCCACTTAGGGTTAGGGTTAGGTCACCATGAACTCATAGAGTAAAATGGACATCGCCAACAAACTCGGAGTGCTTGGGTATGGTTAGGAGGGCACTGACTTTTCTAGCCTGCCCTATCTATGTTTCTTGGTAAAATACATGGGAAAATCCCATTGGGGGAAAATTCCATTTAGGGTTAGGGTTAGGTCACCATGAACTCATAGAGCAAAATGGACATCGCCAACAAATTTGGAGTGCTTGGGTATGGTTAGGAGGGCACTGACTTTTCTAGCCTGCCCTATCTATGTTTCCTGGTAAAACACATGGGAAAATCCCATTGGAGGAATAGTCCATTTAGGATTAGGGTTAGGTCACCATGAATTCAGAGAGCAAAATGGACATCACCAACAAATTGGGAGTGCTTGGGTATGGTTAGGAGGGCACTGACTTTTCTAGGTTGTCCTATCTATGTTTCCTGATAAAATACATTGGAAAATCCCATTGGAGGAATAGTCCACTTAGGGTTAGGTCACCCTGAACTCATAGAGCAAAATGGACATCGCCAACAAATTCGGAGTGCTTGGGTATGGTTAGGAGGGCACTGTCCTTTCTAGCCTGCCCTGTTTCCTGTTAAAATACATTGGAAAGTCCCATTGGAGGAAAATTCCACTTAGGGTTGGGGTTAGGTCACCATGAACTCATAGAGCAAAATGGACATCGCCAACAAATTCGGAGTGCTTGGGTATGGTTAGGAGGGCACTGTCCTTTCTAGCCTGCCCTGTTTCCTGTTAAAATACATTGGAAAGTCCCATTGGGGAAAAATTCCACTTAGGGTTAGGGTTAGGTCACCATGAACTCATAGAGTAAAATGGACATCGCCAACAAACTCGGAGTGCTTGGGTATGGTTAGGAGGGCACTGACTTTTCTAGCCTGCCCTATCTATGTTTCCTGGTAAAACACATGGGAAAATCCCATTGGAGGAATAGTCCATTTAGGATTAGGGTTAGGTCACCATGAATTCAGAGAGCAAAATGGACATCACCAACAAATTGGGAGTGCTTGGGTATGGTTAGGAGGGCACTGACTTTTCTAGGTTGTCCTATCTATGTTTCCTGATAAAATACATTGGAAAATCCCATTGGAGGAATAGTCCACTTAGGGTTAGGTCACCATGAACTCATAGAGCAAAATGGACATCGCCAACAAATTTGGAGTGCTTGGGTATGGTTAGGAGGGCACTGTCCTTTCTAGCCTGCCCTGTTTCCTGTTAAAATACATTGGAAAATCCCATTGGAGGAAAATTCCACTTAGGGTTAGGTCACCATGAACTCATAGAGCAAAATGGACATCGCCAACAAATTCGGAGTGCTTGGGTATGGTTAGGAGGGCACTGACTTTTCTAGGTTGTCCTATCTATGTTTCCTGGTAAAATACATGAGAAAATCCCATTGGGGGAATAGTCCACTTAGGGTTAGGGTTACATCACAATGAACTTAGACACAAAATGGATATCGCCAACAAATTCGGAGTTCTTGGGTATGGTTACCAGAACATTGACTTTTCTAGGCTGCCCCATCTATGTTTCCTGGTAAAATACATGGGAAAATTGCATTGGAGGAAAATTCCATTTAGGCAGTGATGGCGAACCTTTTAGAGACCAAGTGCCTAAACTGCAACCCAAAACCCACTTATGTAACGTCGGGTGCTGGGTGGACGTGGCCCATTTGGTGGCGTGGCTTCGGTGGTAACAGCAGACTGGGTGGGACTAAAAAGTTTAATCAATCAATTCCAACTTTGCGAAATCTTTTTTTTCCCACGAGAAGTTGAAATTGATTGATTGTTTGAACCTTTTTTTTTTTTGCACATGGCGGCAGAGGCCTATAGCACAAAGGTTTTATAAAACCCAGCTGAAGGCATAGGACTGGGACGACGGTGAGCGTGCCCACAGAGAGGGCTCTGTGTGCCACCTGTGGCATGTATGCCATAGGTTCACCACCATGGACATAGACTATAAATCTGAATTTTTTTTTACTAGGTATAATGCCAGAAAAATTTGATAAGCAAAGTACATATTTGATTCTACATGGGATAACCGCGGCAAGATTTATATTTGCACAATATTGGAAGAACAAAGAAATACCACCAGAAGAAGAAATCATTAAAAAAATATTAGACTGTACGGAAATGGACAGACTTACTTTAAGGTTGAAAGAAAAAGAAGAAACAGAATATTTTCAAACTTGGGACCTATTTTACAAATGGTTAGAGAAAAGATTTAGGGATTAGGAATTTAATTTGTATTAATGAATAAGATACTCAGATAACACATTTTTTGTTGAGTAATTATTATTGAACTCTTTTTAAAAAATAATAAAACTTAAAAAAAATGATTTGTTATTTATTTCTGCCTTTAGCAGCAATACCTACGTTGTTTGGTGACTTTGCTAGCAACCTGCAGGCTGTGAACTTTCCTTTTCCCCTTGGAAAAAGAATTCAGGCGTGCTAGATTTATTTTTCCTGCTAATTACAGTATACCTTGTGGGTTTTTTAAGGAGCTTATGAGAAAAAGATGTGTCTGAAAATTAAAGGAAGTATGGATTGAGTTGTGAGACAGGGAAGGGAAGTCCATGGACTTATGCACTCCAGTTGCTGACAGGTGTACCACTAACATTCTGACTGGACACCTGCATGCTCTCAGGGCCCAAGGATTATCTTCATTTTTCATAGGGTGGTATTGTGGATTAACTCATTTTTTCTGGGTTCTGATTTTAAGATGAGTATCCTGAGCGATGGAGGCCTTTGATCTTCTTCTTAAATGCCTAATAATAAAACAATGAGAACTAAAGGCTCAAAGGGAAGGCGGATTAGAAAGAACAAGACCTTTGGGGGTCTTCAATTCCCTTCCTGTTAAGAATTTCTTAATAAGTTTTGCTCTTCCTTTCTAACATCAATAAAGGTGGATTTTCCAGAAAATATGTGAAGAGCTGTAATTAGTGATTTAACTATGTTTTCTTTCTTTAATTTATATATAATGTAGGTTTAATTGAGGAGGGCTTGGAGAAGTAGAAGTGGTCAATATGGAGGCTGCATCTTGCCCACCAGATCTCTGTCTCCCCTCCAGGTCTCTGGAGAGGAGGAGGAGGGGGTGGCAGGGGAGCTGTGTGGGGGAAGGCTGCCCCAACAAGCCAGTATCCTTACCAATTGGAAATGGGAATTCCCTTTGCAGAAGGGCCAGTCTTCCTTGTGCAGAACCCTGGAGCGCTGCTCCCCTGCCGCCTCCTCTTGCTCTCCAGAGATCTGTCATGATAGAAGTTGGACTCAGAGGAAAGGCTTCCTCTGCCAGGAGGGGGCGCTGGGCAGGGAAAAGATTGGGAAAAGAACATCTCTTTAGAGTGCTATCCACACACACACACACACACACACACACACACACAACCATTCCAAGCTTGGAGACTTGTGCCCACATCTGAGCTAGCAAATTGCCAATCATGCGGGGTGTGTGCCTGCGTGTATGTGTGCATGCGCTTGGCTGCTAGCAGTTTGTGGGGCATGGAGTTGTCCTCACATCAAGTTAGCCAGTGTGATTTGTTCCGTTGGGACCCAGCTGTCAGCTGTGTCCAGTGAGTGGCGTGGAGCAGGCCACACACACTTGCTAGGTCACTGGTGCTACTTGAATATTGCCATATCCTAAAAGTGCTACAATCTCTGAAAAGGTTGCAAAGCCCTGCACTAGGATTCCAAGATCCCTCTCACAGTTACTACTGTAGATCCAGGTTCCACCTACTGTATTCTATACCTGTACATTTGGTTTTTCCTTTTCAGTGGCTGAAGGCAGCTTCCCACCAATACGCCGACTCTGCTGGCTTCCACTGGACAAGAGCAGAGGGGCTGCAAAGTGGATGAGACTGGATGACCATCTCTCTGAATTACTCCCTTCTAGGTCACTGGGCGGCTGGCCCCGGCAGGCAAGGGTTAATCTGCTCCAGCTCCCTCGCACCGCAGACGTCACCAGGGCTCGAGCAGAAGAGGAGGGGGCGCATGGGGGGGCTTGTGAGCCCGCGCGAAGGAGCTGCACCAACCCCAGCCCCGGCGCCGCGTCCCCCCGGAGCCCAGCCCGCCGCCGCCGCCGCCGCCGCCGCGCGCCGGCGCCGTCAGCCGGCCCATCTGCGAGCTGGGAGCAGCAGCAGCCGCGGCGGCAGCATTAGCAGCAGCAGGACCCCCGCCGTCCAACCTGCGCCTTGGCCTCGTCCATGACCTCCGTGCAAAGGTGGGCACCTCGCCCCTCGGCCGGGACGGGGAGGCGGGTGGGGCGGCGGCAGCCTAGATTCTGGGGGCGTTCCGGAGCTGCGGGCTCGGTCGGGAACGAAGCTGTTTCCGCAGAGCGGCGGGGCGGCTTGGGCGCCCCTCGCTCCGCTGCGGCCGAGTCCCGGGCGCCCCGGCTTCCTGGCTTCCTTCCTTCAGCCCAGCCCGCTCAGCTGCCCGCCCCTTTGGGGACCAAGTCATGCCGAGGATTTTCCTTAGTTGTCGCTTCTGTGAAATGGGCCGCTGCGGATTCCCCCCCCCCACTTTACCTGCAGAGACAGTTAATACGAGCCCACTCCCTCCCTTCAAATAAGCCCCCAGAATTTGCCTGCTGGGGAAGTCTGAAGCGTGGGGAGGCGAGGGAGTGGCCGACACTCTCCTTCCAGCAGTCCCCAGGCGGAAGGCGCCCAGGATGAGGGGAGGCTCTCCTGGGTCCCTCCTAAAATCGCGGCTTTGTACGTGCCCAACCTCGAGGAGGGCTCCTCCTCCCCCTTCTCTTGGAGATGTTCACTTGAGAGGGTAACTTTCAGCACCCTCCACCTCCCATACGTCTGGGGTGTCTGGAGGGATTGATCCCCAAAGTCAGCAGCAGGAACGAAGGGAGCTGTCTTCCCTGGAATCAGAGCTGAAGCAGGTGGAAAGGCAGAGTGCGGGGTGGACAGTCTGGAGGAGGGATCCTGGAGTAGCTGGTCCTGGTCTGAGCCGGGCAGGTGTTCCTTGGGCAGGTAGGTGAGGACTTTGCCAGAGGAGGGTGATGAAGATGCCCTGGGCCAAGATAGAAATGATCTGAGCCAATCAGGGTAAGGGCTACTGGAGAGGAGTCTATCTGCAAGATCCTTGGAGATCCTGCAAGAGAAGCAGCCTCCAGGCAGTTTCCTGTGGGAGAACTCATTAAGAAAAAAGATAAAATCTCCTTCAAAGCGCCCCCCCCCCTGCTCTGGGCTGGCTTAGCTGCACATAGATGGAATTTGAATGAGGGAGAGCAGAGCTTTGCATTTCTTCAGAGTCTTCTTGGGAGGTGGATCTCTCTTCTCAGCTTCCCTTGCAAGAGTGCAGAGCATTCAGGCTGTGATGCTGCTGGCAGGGGGTCTGGCTCTGCAGGTCCGCAACCTCTGGGTGCACCAGACTGGCACAGAGCCTGTCCTTAGGAGGGAAATGGGGACAGGAAAGGCCAAGGCAGCAAGGATCCCCTTGGCCTCAACCCCTGCCAGGGATCTAAAGGGAGTGGGCCCACCCAGGGAGGGACCCCCGCGGCCTCTCCGCTCTCTAGCTCGCTTCCTCCTAGGAGGTTTTTCAAAATTTGGTTGAGGATTTATTTATTTGCCTCACATGGATGCTGTTGAATCATGAAAGTCTGGGACAGCTAACAATTTCATCCTAAAATAAAAAAAACATTCAGAAAAAAGAAAAAAAATCCATTCCAAATATACCAAAAGTATGAAGTAGGAGTGGATAAAAAGCCAATATGGCAACTGGAATGGCACAATTGATGCTCTGCCCATTTTTCATGCACGCATGCAGGGAGAGCTTCACTTGTGCTGCCATGATGACCCTCTTTTTTAAAAACAACAACCTTTTTTTTAACTACACCTTGCAAATACAAATGAGAATCCAAATAAAAAAACAAAAAATACCAAAGTCACACTCTTGGGAAGCCCCTCTTGGGAAGCCCCTCAGCATCACCTCCTCCTGAACCAGACAGAACAGATGGGACCTGTCCATCTTCCCAGCGGATGGAGCTGGCTGAAGGGAATATGGGGGCATATTATGTGGAGAAAGGCTGCTTCCAGGCCCCACCGGAGAACACTTGGAAGAAGACAGGAGCTGGAGGGGATTCTCCCTGGTCAGTCTGGTGGACAGGTAGAGGAACGTGGGAGAATGCGTTACCTAGATGACTGGTCCGGAGCTGTCTAGGGCCTCCCTCTAACTGGTGTTCTGGGCTCTGGATGAGAGAGAATAGGGTTTGCCCTCCTTCTGAGTGACAATCCCTCGCTGTTTGAGGAGGGCCTGTCATTAGATCCTCAAGGTCATCCCCCCCCCCTCCCTACCGCTGAAACTATCCAGGGCCTTCACTCTCTCTGCCACTTCCAGAAAGTCTCCCAACTTTTCTGTCTATTGTGTTGACAGCAGTCTTGCAATCTACTAATGTTACTTGATTAAAAAAAGGAAATAAGGTTAGTCTGGAAAGTTTTATTTTTAATCAATGCATGCTCACTTTTTCTCTAATTAGTGCGTTGCTTACCCAGTGATTTCTTTAGTCGTAGCACTTTCTTTAGCACTGATGACAGTGTGCCTTTGTTGCTCCCTGGGATTCCTCTTCGTTTCTTTGAAGACAGGGATAGCATCCTCTTTCTTTCAATTCTCTTCTTTCTGGAAAGTTGCTTCTTGTGTCAGTCTTACAATAATATTTCTTTTCTCCATCAAATCCTCACTGCCTCTTATAACTGAAAGGTGGTCACCCACTGGGCCGTGTCCTTGTTTCATTGAGTCAACCAACTGCCACAACTCTTTTCTTTGTCTTCTTGCAAGGTGCAGCTGCATTTCCTCTGCTCTTCAAGGATCTCCCCTTTTGTCCCTCCTTGTTCAGCATGGCCTCTTTTTCCTCTCTTGAAAGCTCAGAAATTATTATTTCTGCAGGAGGTCCAAAACTGTTTGGGTTGCAGCAGTGGACAATATCACCTGCACTCTCATTTTAGGGGTCTTTCTTATGAATTCAGGAGCTTCTTTGCTTATTCTCTTCATTTTGAAAAGTTTCTTCTCTGTTCCTTGTATTTTGTTTGGTGTAATAAATCTTCATACTCCCTTTTCAGTTGATGGTGCCACCTGCTGTTCTGTGCTTTTTCTTTCAGCACAGCTAGAAGTTTAATTTCAGGCAGGAATCCAGATATGTCTGACAAACATAGTTCATGATTGGAAAGTTCTATTCGTTTATCTTCATTTCTGCTTCTTAAGGTAACAGCAATATAAAAGAAATTGGTTTAGTTTTTGTTACGATTCCCTCCTCTGGCTCTCTTTTTGCTTTCTCCTCACTTTGTATACACTCTTAATAGAGGAAATTGTGACAGCTTCCCTGCCCTTCTCTACTATTAGCTCACTCACTTGCTCAGTACGGAGCAGCCATTCAATCATCCTCAATGGGCAATTGGTGGCAACATCCCCACCATTATCAGCTATTCAGGAAACATTTTTTTCTCTCCGTACAGCATTGCAGTACACACAGATCTTGGTCACTCCTCCCTTCCTCCTGTTGAACATTGCTAATGACTTCCTGTTAGTGATTTGAAAGCTATCTAGATTCGTTTTATTCAAGTATTTTGTTTCCTGCACTTTTTTCTGCACTTCATCAAATGGCTTTGAAAATCACACTTCTTCTGTTATTGGAGAATTTTCCAATAGTTGGATTCCTAGGATATTATGAGAGGGCAAAATGCACTTTTTCCCTAAGTCAGTACTTCTCAACCTTCGCAAGTTCAAGATGTGTGGACTTCAACTCTCAGAATTGCTCAGCCAGCATCTTCAGTTGGCCAAGATTGAGAAAAGCTGCCCTACATGGAAGATACAAATGAATATTATCCTCTGGTTCCATGATGGCCCTCAGGCCTGTTTTTTAAAAAAATTAGGAAAACTATTGCAACAGCAGGTTTAAAATTACATGATCAATTCACACAGAATCTGAATTAAAATCTATTAAAACAATTGGATCCTTTTTGAAGAAGGAAATACTTTCCTTGGAGATATTCTCTTGAATAAAATTATTTTTATTCCTGAAATACCTTTTTTTGCTTTTTTTCCTCAGCATTTCGCTATCAGTTATCAATGCCCTAAGTGTGATCACTTTCAGCTGGCATTCTTGCCAGTACGATTAATTCTTGACTCATTATAGATCATTCAGAGGCAACTGATTCAGAGCACTTCTACCCGATTGTCTGAAAGATAACAAGATGATATTCTTTTAAAAGCTCCCCCAACTGGACTGAAAGTGGTTAAATATTGGTCAAAGGTGGTGGATCTTTAAGGGATGCTAAGCATCCAGGCAGATCCTGCTGGGAGGTTCCATTTCGGGGTCCTGAAATTGAGAAGATCCTGCAGCTGCCCAATTCTTTCAAATTGCCATTGTTCTGGCAGGTTTCTCCTCCAAATAGGTAACAAACCCCAAACCGTTGCTTAGATTTGGGATGCACTCTATAATCATGAGTTTTGAAAGCAAGCTTGAAATCTTCTTGAGCAATTTTTGGCTTTAGTTTATTTTTCAATATACAAAGATTTTTTCAGATTTTTTTCTGTTGTTCTAAGCAAAGGAAAAAAGTAAGATTAGTACTAAGACAATAACAGCTTCTTTGCAGCATCAATACTTCATTAATCCATCAGCAACTTAAAACTCTCTTAATTTATGGGAGTAACTTAGACTTTGATATATCCAAATTTAAGAGAGGGCCAAATGGTTTGTAACATGGGAAGTAATGTAGTGCCTATTCTACAGGTACCACCTTATCTGGCAGAGAGAGAAAAAACTGTGAAACAAAGGCCTAAAAGGGTTGTTGGATCTTCCCTGAGGCAAGGCAGTTCCAGCTGTTGAAAAGTTGGATGAGACTGTTCAGCTTGAGTCCAACTAGCAGTGCCCATCTATGTTCTCTGCAAACATAAAGAAATGGGTGCCCATATAAAATGCTTAAATGATTGAGGATCTTCCTTGGCTTGAGGGTGGTGACTGCCACTTGTGCTGGGAGAGGCAAAGCATACTAAACACACTAATATTGCCAATAGCATGGTCTTAGCAATCATTTTTAAAATTTTGCTAATACATTTTTCCATTTAAAATTTTCTATTCTATTGATTGAAATAAAGGCAACATACATAAAAACCAGTAGGACTTCAGTTGTACAGTTGTAGAAAACATCTTAACATTTTTACCCCCCACCCCCAGCAGTTATACATAAACTAAATGGAGGTGTCTAACATTGCCCACATTAAGACTTGTGTTCAGTTCCCAGGCCAAGGTTGAATACCCTTCAACTAGATCAAATCACATATTTCATAAGTACTAACTACCCACCTCCCTTAGACAAAAGAGGGATGTGAAATTATCTTTCCTTGCAAGCACATTTCTACACTGACTTATTTCCTAAGACTCAAGGTTACATCAAATAAGCTAAAACCATAGTAACGTCTAAATATAGCATGATAGCAGTTAAAGCTTGGAGGTGCCCCAATAGCCTATTGACCCAATAGCCTTTTTGAATGGGATGGTTTTAACTGCCTTGTAAAATATACTCTAAAATGAACTATCTTTTGGATGTTTGTTGCCATGGAAATAGCATATTTTACAATCCTTTACAGTACAAATTCTTGGGTGCTTCACAGCATAAAAACAAAACATATATACAAAAGGCATACAACAGTAGCAATAACCAGATGGTGGAACAGTCAACAAGACAAAAGTTGTACACCAGAAGGAGTTCCAACCACACTTAGTCCAACACCCGGAAGAAGCAGCAGGTCTTTGGGGCCCTCTGGACTGCCATCCAAGTGGAAGCCTTCCAGATGGCAGGTGCCACAACAGAGGAGGCATTCTTCTAGGGTGCCAATAGATGGCACTGTTTGATCAAAGGAACCATTGAAGGTTTGAAGATCTTAAGTGAAAGCAAATCTACCACTTCATGAGGCAGCCTATTCCACTGATTGACAGCTCTTATAATGGAAATTCCTCCTAATACCTGTATCTACTTCCGTATGGTTTCAAACCATTGTTCTACTGCTGCCCTTGGGTGACAGAGAACATCCATTCCATCTTCTTAAAGCAACTCTTTAAATCAGAGGTCCCCAACCTTTTGGGCACCAGGGACCGGTTCCATGGAGAAAAGTTTTTCCACAGACCAGAGAGTGCGTGGTTTTGTGTGCTGCCTGCATCCCATGGATGGGGCTTTGCTGGTTGTTGCTAGCATGCCTCTAGTTTTGTGTCATTTGCATATTTAATGATCATTTCCTCAACTCCAGGATATTAATAAATAGGACAGGCCAAGACAGAACCCTGTGGCCCTCTACCTGATACTACTCTTCAACTTGATGTAGAACCATTTGTGAGCATCCTCTGGGTGTTGATTCCACTATACCCACCGCTTGTGTAATTTAGCTCAGTGGTCCCCAATCCCCGGTCTGCACCGGTTAGGGAAGGGACCAGGCCATGCAGCTGGAGGTGAGCTGAAGCTGAGGCATGTGGTGAGTCTCCAGAAGTTGGGGTTGGGGCAGGAGGGCAGCTATCATAAATACTGTGAAGTTGCCCACCATGATCTAATACACACAGTGTGGATCCTTTTTCTTAAACAGGACTCAACATTGTCCCAAAGGTGTTTTTTCAAAAGACAACAGGACTTCCTTGTTTTTTTTCTTTGAAGACATTTCATTTCTCACCCAAGAAGCTTCTTCAATTCTGACTTCAGAACTAAAGAAGCTTCTTGGATGAGAAGCAAAACATCTTTAAAGAAAAAACCAAGTTGCCTTTTGAAAAAGCATCTTTAGGACAACCGTGACCTGGATGATTGAGAATTTCTATAGACAGTACCCAACATTGTTTTATGTGTCCACATTGATTTTGTTCCCTGAAGTTGTTCTCAGTATTAATATTCAGCTAATGACAAATTCTTCCTGATGAAGTAAGAAGTAAGACTGTTGTGAACATGATATAATTAGGAACAAAGAGAGTAACTCCCCATTCCTTCCAGCTGTCTCTCCTCTCCCAGCCTTTGAAGGTTTTTCTGTTTTGATATTTTAACTGCTGCCATGTATTGAGATAATGGCTTTAATATCTTTCTGAAGCATTTATTTTTCTCTTGTTTAGTCTTTTAATACCTTTGCAATCCACTAGAGAATTTTTGCTGTTGGTGGGAGCAATAAAAATCAGAAGCAATCGATAACCATAATTGCCCTCAGCAGCCGAATCCTTTGGCTCCCTCCTGTGTGGAACAATGGTTGAAATTTCTCTTTCTGACCTGAGGTGTCCATTTTCACATCCTCAGTTTCACCAAGGACATTGCTCTCCTGCTCAGACACCTGAGACAGGCCGCCTGAAGGGAACTGCTGACTTGGCCAGGAGCATCTGGAAGCCTCCCTCCCCCAATTTCTCTCCCCCTTCCTCGCTGCAGGATCCTCCCAGCTGATGAAGCATCTCACGATCCACATAGGACTCTAGGACTCCTTGCTGTAGACATTACCCAGACACCATAAACAGAGGTAAAAGGGCCTCCCCTGCACTGCACAAGCCCACCCTGGACCCTCTTCGCCCCACCAATGCTCAGCTCTGACCTTTCTGCCTCCTGAGCCAGGAGGAAGTTTGGGGGGAGGCAGAGCCAGATTTTGGGAGGGGGTTGCAAAGGAGGACATTCCTACTCTTCAGATTGTGGCTGCTTGTAAGAAGCAAAAAGGGCACCTTGAGGGATGCTTATCCAGCAAAGGAACGTGAAAGCAAAGAGCCCCCCCCCCCGCGGTCTGCTGCTCAGGGCAGGCCCTAGGCCCAGGTGAGTAGGCCTCAGGAGGAGGCTACGGGGGCCAAAATTGAAAAGATTTCTGAAAAGCAGAAAAAGCAAAAGACAGTAGTGCCACACTCTGTGAGCCAGCATGGCTCAAGGGCTAAATGTAATTTTGCAATATAAATATGGTGAAAGTGTCTGAGAAAAGAAAAAAAATTGGTCTGAGGCTGAAAATCATAAATATAAAAGCTCAAAAACCTAAAGAAAAGAAAAACACCAAGAAACAAAAATGCCTAACCAGATGGAAAGACAAACCCAACTGCAGGGGGCGGCAGAGGGCCAGAGCTATGCGCAGGCTGGGAGGGGGGGGGCTGAAGCTCAGAGCAGGAGCACAGCAGAAGTGAAGGGGCCAATTGTGAAGGGGCTGCAACCAGGCTGGCTTCACAGGGAGCCTGAGGTCCAGCTCCCCGGGCCTCAGTTCCTGCTCCACAGCCCAAAGTGGCGGTGCTGCTGATGCTGAGTGCCTGCAAAGGGTCAGCTCTTGGTGCCCTCAAGCACCCAGGAGAATTGGAAGGGGTCTCTGTATCAGGAGCTTGACCCCCAGGCATCTGCCAGCAGGGCTGAGCAGCAGCAGCAGGATTTGCAAGCTGGTCTTTTGGGTGGCGGATGTAGGAGCCATGTTGTGGGCTCCTGATGGGGAAGGGGTTGAGGGTGGCCCTCGTCCTGGCTGGGCCTCCACTTTCCCACCCCCTTCCCTTTCTCCTGCTTTAGGTCTGCCGCCATGGGCAACCTGATCAAAGTGCTGGGTAAAGATTTAGAAAACTGTCCTCATTTCTTCCTGGATTTTGAAAGTAAGTCCCGGGCACAAAACAAAGGGGGCTGGGGGGGGGGCCATAAATCCTGATGGGGGAGTCACTGTTCTCCACCAGTTTGGGCCATGGATTCCTTTGGTCTCCTGGAGGGAGCCAACCTCTGCATATGTCTCAGAGGAGACATGTTTGCACTACAAAAAAGCAGCAGCGTTGCAAATTCTGTTAGGGAGGGGCACCCACAATTTTAGAACTGACGCCTAGACGTCCTCAGATTTCAGCTCCAGAGTTTCCCATCAAGCAAATTGGGGATCATTAAATCCCTGCATCTTTTTATCGGTGCGTGTGTTTCATTTTGCACCCCTCTTGCCATTCTGGGGTGCTCAGAACAGATGACAGATTGAAAAACCAGAAGTAAAAAGCAAAACCATATAAAGCATTTACAACCCAGCTAAAGATCTTTCAGTTGCAGCCGAGGTTGCATCCTTCGGTCCAGAGGAAAAGGGCGGCATGTAGGCTGGGAGTCTTTTCCCCCCCAAGTCTGAAACAGAGGCCTAAGCAAGCCCACCCCTCTGCTCCCACCCCCAAAGTGAGACTTCCTAGTGTGGGAACGACTGAATCACAGGTCTTGTTCTGAAGCAACACTTCCACTAGCCCAAGAGAGTGGACGCCTCCAAGATGCTAATGGTCCGTCTCCCATATAGGAAAGAAAGAATTTTACTGGCATTATGAAATGCTGGCAAAAAAGAGGAAAAGGCTTGTATATTTCTTCCTTGTAATTAAAAAACTTAAGCCATACCTTTGGGATAAAATTAACAGTACATTTATTGATTGTGCTCAATTGAGCTGCCATGGTTAGATTGGCTTATAAGCCATAAGTTGGTCCCAACACATGCTCGTTGCTCGAGTCGGTGTCTCTTGTCCTCAGTGCTTCCATCTGCAAAGTGGGAGCAGTGGTGCTGGTGGTCTTTGAAAATGCATCCAGGGGTTACTGAGAGAAGCCTTGGGGTCTTGGAAGTGCCATATAAAGGCTTAGATCCATTTCAGGTGTTTTGCATGTCACTTCTATTCAAAACTTTCCTGGGAATGCTTCCTTCCTTCAGGCAGGTTTTCAATATTGCAACAGGGACACAGAGCTGCTGTGCTCCAGCCACGATGGGCCACCTCAGGCCTGCCTGCCACAGGGGTGCCCCTCCCCCTCCCATGTCAGAGAACAGTGGCTCTCCTCTTTTTTATCATTGGTCTTCCTCGCCATCAGCCAATGCTCACCTCCATTCAGGGCAGGAAGAAGCAGGCCAGACCAGTCCTAGTTCAGCTTGGACAGCCCCATTGCATTCCTGGATTTTCCTGCCTTTGGCTTTGCATTGAATTTGTCTGACCTGCTGGAGACTCTTCCTGTCCCAGATGGGGAGCCATTCCCAACCCCATTGTACCCATCCTTGCCCCCCCTCATGACCCATCATGCTTTTCTCCTTCTTGTCTCTTCTCTTGCAGGTGTGTCACATGGGGAATCTTCTTAAAGTGTTGACTTATAATGAGCATGACCAAGGCCCTAATTTTTTCCTTGACTTTGAACGTGAGAAGGGTTTTTAAAATTATGTTTGTCTTTATTTTAATTTCACAAGTTCTTTCATTAATTTGTGCTTTATTCACATTGATTTACTTTAATTTGGTATTATTTTGCTGGACTAAGCAGGCTGGTGGAACTGGGGAACTAGGAGGGCAAGAAAGAGACTGGACAAACACTTGTCTGAGATGGTATAGGTTCCCCTGCTTGAGCAGGGGGTTGGATTAGAAGATTTCCAAGGTCCCTTGGAGCTGAAGTCCATTCTTTGGGAGGATATCCTAGCTGTGGAAAGCTGCTGAAGAAGGAACCCACATTGGGGGAGAAGGAATGAAGAAAGGGGGATGCTGGCCCATCAGACCATGAGGGTGAGAGGGACCCCTGCTTAGTAGCAGCCAGGTAGCCCTGACTTAGGTTGCCACAGGTGTAAAGCTCTGTTTCATGCTTTCTATTCTGTTTGGTTCTCCTGTATGTTTTTCTATATACTTATTTTCTACAATTTCTCCTGCTCTGCTCAGGGCCAAAGAACTTGGCTTATCAGAGCAAAGCAACTCATGAGTCATGGCTTTCTGGTGAAGCCCCAGGATATTACCCCTCCCTCCTAAGGGGTCTCCCTTTCTTGGTGATGGAGCAAAGGATCTGGAGACAGAAGCTTATGGATCCCTTGAAGATCCTGCTTCTCCAGGCATCAGTTTGGATTGACTGACCAGCTTGGGGAGGTGTTTTATGGACTTACAAGAGTGTCCTCAGAAGTGTCCTAGCTCCTTCCCATCACTGGCCAGCTAACCATCCTCCTCCCTTCCATATGCTCTCTTCTATGGCCACTCTTTTGCCCGCCAGCTTCTGAATTCTGCCTCCCTTCCTTTTTGGGTGGGGTGTGCTGCAGATGCTCAGCCCACGGAAGCCGAGACTGCTGTCTGGAACCAGGTGAACGCTGTTCTGGAGGAGGCCCAGACCATCCTGGCAGAACTGAAGTCCTACACTGGTGCTGGCCAAGAGATCCGAGAGGTATGAGCAAAGTTGAGCTTGCAGCCAGCCCAGGCTATGCCACAAGTGGGGCTAAGGTGGGAGGCTCTGTTCTCACAACCATGAGATTCTGCACTGGGATTTTTGTTGCCCTGGCTTTGGTCGCTCAACATTTTTGTCTTGCTAGCCTTGGTTAGTCAGAGCACCTCCTCCAGATAGATTGTTCCCAAGTCTTGGGGACTGAGGGTGGGCTTCAGCTGCCACGGGCTTTCTCTAGCCTCAGAGTAGTCCCCAGCTATCCCAGCTCCCGGGAGTCAGGCCCGCAGTTGATCCACCAGGAACCGGCCTGGTTGGGGTTGCAGGCTGCTTCTCTGGGAAAATAAAACCAGAGCAATGGAGGGTTTTAGGATCAGCACGTCCAGCATGACAGTTTCCTTCTTCAGGCGATCCAGAACCCCAGTGACCAGCAGCTTCAAGAAAAGGCCTGGCGTGCTGTGTGTCCTCTTGTGGCGAAGCTGAAACGGTTTTATGAGTTTTCTCTTAGGCTTGGTAAATGTATGTCTGCTTGGTGTGCGAAGGGAGGGATGACAAGGGCAGTTCCAACACACATACATACACACAGAAACATACAGATACACACTTTTACTTTTTGCAGCCTGTCTTTCAGATTGCATCTTCGTATATGGATTATACTTACCGGGGCCCTGGTAACCTAAGAAAAGGCAGTCAGTATGGGAGCAGCTCCTGGGGTGCCCGAGTGTCCTTATCCAGTGCCAAAAGGTTGAAGGATCAGTTTGGGGAGGGGCGTTTCTGGGCACGGTGGTCCCTGGGTTCTAGATTTCCCCTTTGAAGACGTTTTTCTTTCTTGTTCTTTTGTGGGGGAGGACAGGAGCCTCAGTTCTTCCTCTTTCCTGAGGCTTTTTCCTCTTAGCAGCTGGTGCTTCTTCTCCTACACAAGAGCCTGGCCTGGCTGTGCGGAAAAAGGAGTACCTTCAACCCCTTGTAGTATTGGGCCAGCCCCCCAAGTGGCTCACAGGTACTGACCTGTCCTTTGTTTCTCCCCCCAGAGAATGCCTTGCGGAGCTTGCTGGAGGCCCTGACCAGCCCTCCCTATGCCCCCACCCAGCACTTGGAGAGAGAGCAGGCCTTAGCCAAGCAGTTTGCAGAAATCCTGCACTTCACCCTCAGCTTTGATGAGCTCAAGGTACCTTGGGGGGGGGGGAATGGAGGACAGGAGAATGAAGGGGTTGCAGGGGTGGTGCAGCTTCAGGCTCACAACAGGTCCAAACAATGTTTAAGCATGACTCTGTTGAGACTTTTCCTTTGGGCAATCAAAATGCGCCAAACCTGCCCAGACACAGAGGGAACCTGGATCTCTAACCCTTTATCTGCCTCTGTCCGGTGGGTTCTCTCAGCTGAATCTCTCTCTCCTCTGCCCCATTCATTTTTATATTTAATCTGCCCATCTATGTTCTCTGAAAAAATGACACACTGAGTAAACATATCCAGTGAGATCCCGTAATAAATTTGCAGTATATCTAGTAAGAGCAATAGTCAGTGCACAAAAATACATACTTCCTATAAAATATGGGATTTATAAATATTCTCTCTGCTGTTTCCTTTATGTAATTGCAACTGCTTGTAAACCTCCACTGCTCTTTCTAAAGGACAACGCTTGGGTCTCACCCAGCCCGCCAAGCAGGCAGCTCCCATCTCTCTTTAGATGGAAGGGGTGTTTTTCCTCCTCCTCCTCCTCCTCCTCCTCCACAAATCTTGCCGTCTGAATTAGCTGTGATGTCTCCTGGTGGTGGCTGAGGCTGGGATCCACCCAGCTCCCACTGGCCATTTCAGGTTGTTGCAGACTTTTCAGGAGAATCCAGTTCCTTCAATGTGGGCTCCCCCCCCCCAATGTCAGAGAGGCATCCCTTCCCGTGTCTGCTCCCTTGAAAGATCTGGCAGCAGGTCCCCAGACTCAGAGGGGTGTCACGGGTGGGAAGCTGACCGTTTCCCTACCAGCTCCCCACTTCTATAGAGTTGTTTTACTTCACAGGATCAGAGACCAGGGAATAACCCTTCCCTCCTCTTTTCCTTGCCAATTCTTCCCACACTGGCAGCTGATCCCAAGGCTTTCCTATCTAGGCAGTTTGGCAAGAGGGCAGGAGCTGAAGATCCCCACTTCTCTGAAGCTGCCCCCAGGATCAGAGTCCTGGCAGAGAGAAAGAGGCTCCCACCCTCGGCCATTGTCTGTCACTACATGGCTTGCCCAGAGGGCCTGCAAGGAGTTTTTTCAGGCTACTTTAAAACAAGGGATTAGCACTCCTTCAGAAGAGCACTAAACATGTGTTTAAAAATTTCCCACAGATCATTTTAAGAAGCAAGGGGTTGTAACATAAAGGGACACCTTGCAACCACCCTTCCTAATCTCAGATATTTTATTCTGAAAGATTACTAAATTCATTTGCCCTATGTACTGTCAGCACTTTCTCCCCCGCCCCCCCCCTCCAACCCACATTTCAGGGTAGTCAGAAGGCATCTCGTAGTTGCTGCAGGAGGCAGCGAAATGTGGATTTCTCTCTACCCTGCCCTACCTCAACAGTGTCTGCTAGGGGTCCCAAGTGTATTGGGGATAATGGTTTTCCCAGTCTGTGAATAAACTGTAAGCCCAGGGCTTCATCCCCAAGAAATGTTGGGGCTTCCAGTGAAGCCAAGGTGGGGGCAGGAGGAAGCACTTTCCAGGTGTTCCCTTATCTCTCTCAGATGACCAATCCTGCCATTCAGAATGATTTTAGCTACTACAGAAGAACCATCAGCCGAAATCGAATCAACAATTTGCAAGTAAGGAAATGCTTCTCTGTTTTGCTAAGTTTTGGGCACATAAAACTCTGGCATGAATAAAGTGGAAAAAAGAAAAAGATCGATGCAGAGCAATGCGGTGATTAATTAAAATCTATTATTTGCTTATGAGATAATGACCAATTTTACCCTAATCCTAACCCTTTACTCAATTGCGAAAAATGCCAAGGAACCAATCGGGAGGACCACCGTCTCCCCTCAGCCAGATGGGCTTTTGAAAGCAGGCCCTATTTTGGTTTTCTCTTTGAAGGATTGAGTTTTCTCATCCCTGATAGGGGAATGAGAGCAAGCAAAGCTGACTCTTCCCCAGAGAAATTCCACCCCCACTGCAGTCCTGCAGTTGTCCTGCAAGTGGGTCACTTGCCTTGACTTGCTCTGTGCCCCCCGCATGCAGCTGGATGCAGAGAGCGAGGTCAACAATGAGATGGCCAACCGGATGTCTCTCTTCTACGCCGAGGCTACCCCAATGCTGAAAACTCTGAGCAGTGCCACGACCAAGTTTGTTTCAGAGGTGAGCCATGAGACCTCCTGGGATATTTTTCCAAGTCCCAGGAGGAAGAGATTGAGGCTGAGGACGAGTGAAATGCACCAGCGCTGCAGAAGCTCTGGGAAGGGAGGGGGTCTGCTCAGGGTCTGAGGCCCTCCTTCGCCCTGAAGGTGCTTCTTCCCCAGGATGAAGAGGAAGTGATCCCCCCACCCACGGAGGCTCTTGCTCTCTTTCTTTCAGAACAAAACTCTCCCAATAGAGGACACGACTGACTGCCTGAGCACCATGGCCTGTGTCTGCCGAGTGATGCTGGAAACTCCGTGAGTTTTGGCCTGCTCCTCCACGGACATAGGTTTGCACTGCGGAGGCCGCTGGGCTGCCTACACCACAGGCACTTGCCACTAAGACCCCAGTGAAGCTGGCAGGAAGGAGGGCAGCAGACCAGTGGCCAAGACAGTTGGTGTTCTGCTTATGGTTAAGTGCAGAAGGACCAGGGTGAATGCATCGGGAAAAGGCTGCAGTCTCCCTGGGAAACAGGCTTCTTTGAAGTGGTGTGGACGCAGACCAGAATTGATGGCATCTGGCATTTTTCCAGGAAGGAAAACTGAACCTGTGGCCAGTTCTTTCCAAGTCTCTTTTCTGCTTTCCCACAGGGAATATCGCAGCAGGTTCACTAACACTGAGACCCTCCTCTTCTGCATGCGGGTGATGGTAGGGGTCATCATTCTCTATGACCACGTCCACCCAGTGGGGGCATTCGCTAAGACCTCCAAAATAGACGTAAGTAACCTTTTAGACCCACACGGCTCAGTGTAGCCTTCGGGTGAAGCTCAGGTTCTGTGAGCTCCCCCGCCTCACTTGCACTATGAATTTTCAGTGGGAGACTCACCCTGGTTTTCTCACCACTTCCGGCATCATTTTTCCTACCAGAGAATATCCATTAAGAAGGGCAGCCAATCATGTGGTGCTGCTGGCGGCGTCTGCAGTTTTTAAAAAAAAAATAGGAAGAAGGAATAAGAGCAGCATAGCTGCCGAGACTGATACCAGAGAGGCAGCCAAGAGGTAGATGATGACTTCCAAATAGGAATAGATTGGAGATCTTTCAAAGAGACATACGCTCAGAAGAGTGGAGCACTTTAAACACCCCATGCAGAAGGACATGCATGTGACCCCTTAAAGCCACTTCGTCCTCCCAAGCTCTCTCTTTGGAGGTGAGGGGCAAAGAAGAGAGGCTGTTCTCAGGAAGGTTTCAAAGGGAAACAGCAAGGTTTTGGAGAAATCTCCCTGGCAAGGAAAGGATTGGCATTCCAGCTTAAACTTGCTGTTACCCATTTTGCTGCATGCCCTTTACGCACAGTCACATGTATAAAAAGACCCCTTAGAAATAGAAGCCTCTTTTGGTCTCTGGTGAAAGTTTGGCAGGCCTCGTTGCACTTTGCCAGCCCTTTCTCCTCTCTGCAAATGAAAGCTCTTCCTTCCTCTTTCCCTCTAGATGAAAGGATGCATCAAGGTTTTGAAAGAGCAGCCCTCCAACAGTACAGAAGGCCTTCTCAATGCTCTGAGGTATGGCAGCTCCAAAGGTGCTCCCGTGCCCACCGGAGGTCCAGTGTGGCTCTTGACCAGGCACTTTGGGTGCTGGAACTGCAGGTGGTCAGCCATTGCCCTTCTGGGAAGCTTCATGAGAATAGCAGGGGAGAACTTTCACGGGATGAAATTGGGAAGAATACAGAACAGAGATGTTTGACTGGGAGAGATTAACTGTGTAGAAGTACTACCTATCTGATTAGGTAGAAAACTATTCTTGTTTTGCCCAAATATGAATAAATATTCCCACTTCCCAGGAAATGAAGCTTTCTTAAGGTAAGAGTTGGTCTGGGTCCTGGCTTCTCCCCACTCCATCCAGTGGATGCTTTGGTGCCACAAATGATTTACAGTTCAATTCAACAGGAACCTGTTAGCTTTGTTTCTCCTCACTTCTATCACAGGAAAGACCTTTTCCTGAAGGCCTCTGATGGTGAAACAGAGGCCGGGGTGCACTGTACGCATCAATCCGGAGCTCGGTTCTCAGCTGTAGAGGCCTTTCCTGAAGGCCTCTGATGGCGAAACGGAGGCCAGGGGGGCGCCGTGCATGAGCGGTGGCAAGTGGCCGCTGAAGAAGTGGGCTGGCGAGGCAGGTGTCGGGGCATGGGAGGCCTGGGTGCAACGGTAAATGGATGTGGGGCATGTGGGGCAGCTCCACCCTCCCACCCCCACCTTAGCTTGATTTTTAGGCATGCGCCTCACCCCAAAACTAGGGCTTATTTTGGGGGTAAGCTTATATTAGGCCAACCCCCCAAAATCAAGCTAGGGCTTCTTTTGGGGGAAACATGGTAGAAAGGTCGTAAGTGTGAAAAATGGTTATAAGTCATTTTTTTCAGTGTTGTTATAACTTTGAATGGTTACTAAATCAACTGTTGTAAGTTGAGGACTACCTGTACAGTGCATCAGAAAATCTATGTTCACACACCACCCTTAACTGGGTGACCAAAATACTTCTTTTTCTCACTTTGCACAATGCACTGAACCAGAAGCAAACTAAAAAGATCAGCGTAGGGTGAATGCAGCTCATGTTGTGAATGCAGCCCATGCAAGATGAGAGGGTAGTGGTGAGTATCACTAAGACAGGAAAGACAAGTGGGTGGAAATGCGGTCATGTGTCTTTGTGTTGGATTTTACCAGGAAGGAGTCAGGGTTCAGTGACCAGGAGGTAGTTACACAGGGATTTTCTGCATTCATCACACACAGCCACTGCCTGTCCAGTATTGCACTCAGGGAACGTGACCTTAAGGGACACACGCTTCCATCCCAGTCCTGTTCTGTAGTTCACCTTTTTTTTCACCGGTTGTCTCTCTACCTCTCACACACACACACACTCTGCTAGCTTATTCCCTGATTACTTTCTTCCAGGGCTTTCCTGTTCATGGGCCATCTCTCCATCCTTCGCCCAGTGGGGGCCAAGAGGCTTTGGAGCTTCATATATGTCTCTCCCTCTTTCCCACCTCCATAAGGATGGCTGTGCTTGTTCTCCTAGATACACCACCCGGCACCTCAATGACGACAGCACTTCTAAGCAGATCCGGGCTTTGCTGCAATGAAGCTTCCTGGAACAGCCATTCACCAGAGGCACACTCAAGAAATTCTTCACAGCACCTCCGGCAAAAATTTTAATGTTAGCATGTTGCTATAAATAGCCATTGGTCATCATATCCCTCATTTTGTTAAAAAAAAAGAAAAGTTGAAGTGCAGGTGAGATTGTCAATGGATATATATATATATATATATATATATATATATATATATATATATATATATATATATATATATAATATAAATATATACATACACATATAGACACAGAACTACAATAGATATTCTAATTCCAACTCCAAGATGACCCCCGTTCAATGCTGGCCAAAGCGCAGGGTCCAGTCTCTTGCCTCAAGTGACCGGCTGTGCTGAATCCAGTCCCATCCGTGCTGGGGTGACCAGGTCCCCTGCATATCATTCCTGTGGAGCATGGAGGAAGGTTTTTTCCAAGCCTTTCTGGGACCATAAGATGGATCTACAAACAAGCCTGGATGCCAGGAAAGTGATACTCTCTTACCCAAGATGTAAATAACACATCTGGAAAAGCTTGATTGAATGTATGGGCACGAGCACCATCATTAAGCCTTCAATTCTGATTCCATTCTTAATGGCTCAGTCACACCTTTTAGATTTTTAATATGAACAACTGCATATTAACTGCACACCTATTATTTTGTACATTTTTGTGTCAAAATAAAGCAAGAAAAGTTAATGTATGAAAGATCAGCATGATTTTCTGCTTTGCTTTAATCTAGGATGGCTGTGCTTGTCAATACTGGTTGGATCTGTTGCCCCAAACACGGCCTCCACTGTTAAGCTGATTTCTTGTGTATAACAGGCCTTTCCCAGTTAGGACCAATTTTTAGCTCACGTTGCCACCAGCCTTTGCTCCTTGTAAGGCTGAGGAACGTTGCTCCAGGCCAAAAGGAGAGCAAGGAGGCATTTTAGCTAAGATCTTACATTCCACTCTGGGAAAACCAGAGACTTTTTGTTGGGCTACATAGCTTGACAAGTGAAAGGTTTCTAGGAATATCACTCAAACCTCCAAAGCAATTTGCATGGAAACACAGTATTCATAGATAGAAAAGAAGCATCTGAAAAGGATAGAAGTAAATCTAGAGTGGGAAATTAAAATAAATAAGCAGAATCAGTATTTGCCCAGCTTCAGGTAGCGAGATATAGGGTCTTGGTTGAAATACCTCCTTGTTCCTTTTTCTACAACATTCAGCCAAAATTTGCCCTTTTCTAATATAATCCCTTCGCCATTCCCATTTCTGGAACAGAGAACCATATTTTGCTTTCTCTGAAATATTGTTTCAGGTACTTTAAAGTCGCTCTCATAAAGCAGAGAGAGAGAAAGGGGTCTTGGGCTAAACGTTCTTGGCTCACTCCTTCGGTCCCTTTCCAAAGGTCTTTAGCCCCTCCCGATCAGTGCAGAAGGTGGCATTGATCCAAGAATGGCACCACCGTTGCATGTCCTGACTGCTGAGGGTTCTGGCAGCTTTCACCCCTTAATTCCTCTGCTCCAGAAGAATCAATTGTGAAGCTTCGTGAAACTTCCTAAGAGTGAGAACAATTAACCAGTGGAACAGCTTGCCCCCAGAAATTGTGGGCACTCCATCACTGGAGATTTTTAAGAAGAGACTGGACAGTCACTTGTCTGAGATGGTATAGGTTCTCCTGCTTGAGCAAGGGGCTGGACTAGAAGACCTCCAAGGTTCCTTCCAGCTCTATTCTATGTTCCCTGAGACTGCAAGGTGCAGCTTTTCCATTGGCGGCTTCTGGGCTTGAAATTTTGGGTTATTCTTAGCACTGTTTGCTAACCCAGCTTGTTCTGAGCTTTTATTCTCAGGATCCCACTTCAACCAGTTTAGCCTCCCGGTCTGTACTCCTTGTCCCTCTTTCCATCCAAGCTGTCTGTGCAGCCACATTGCCTTCCAGTTTTCCTCTAGCTGGAATTGTGTAATTGTGCTTTTAATATCTCCTTTAGGATCTTCCACTCACCTTGAGCTCCAACTCTATTAGCATCTCCTACCACAGAAGCTTACTCATCTTTTCCCTAAGTTCATTAAAATTTACTTTTATGAAATTAAACTTCCCTCAGGTTCAGTTCTCTTTAAAATAAAAATATCATTATACACTCACATCCCCAAATATCACTATGTTAGAATAGAATAGAGCTGGAAAGGGCCATGGAGGTCTTCTAGTCCAGCCCCCTGCTCCAGCAGGAGAACCTATACCATTTCAGACAAGTGATTGTCTAGTCTCTTCTTAAACGTGTCCACATGTTGGCTTTTAAACTTGCCCTTCACTGTGACACAGGCAACCCCAGAAACAACTACCTTCTCTTCTTCGTCATATTTTATTTTATGTAGTTACCTTCATTTCATTGCTGACCCATATCTAAGACACCTTAAATTCAGCCTTGGCAATTTTATTAATTTCACCAATCTCGCCTAGAGGTGACTCTAGGTGGCTTCCAAGCAGATAAAAGCAATACAATAAAACAATAATAAATGTTGACATTAAACTGACTTTAAAATTGATAAAGATGTCAAAGAAGGGGGAAAGATACACAGAGGGAGGAGGTGGGTTCTTATCTTAGTCCATTAACCACCTCCAGAACAAGGTGCCCCCATTGGGGCCTCTTGACAAAGCCAGCTCTTCGGGCCCTTCCAGAAGGCCAAGAACATGGGGATCGATCTCATCTTGCAGGGCACAATGTTCTAGAGGGCAGGAGCCACAGTAGAAAAGGCTCTTGTCCTAGACCCTGCCTTGACCAACGGGGTCTGCAGCATGCCCTTTGTCCAGTGTAGACCAATCCAATTGGGTTGAAATGGTTCCTCAGATAGCCTGGACCCAGGCTTTTCAGGGTTAAACTTGTTTTTTCCCCCCTTAAATCAGCCATGAACCATCAGCAGTGCTTCACTGAGCATTTGTGCAGCATTGCTGTCAGGTGACATGTAGAGGTGGAATTGGATGGCACCCATTGGCCTTCAGGCAAAGGTTGGGGTGCTTCTCTCTCCCTCGTTCCTGGGCATTATCTTTGGGCAGCAGGGAAGGTGATTCCTTCAAAATGACCTTTTTCCCTGTAGCTGCCTGATCTCTTGAACTGATCCAGAGACCGGGGATCCAGCTGACCAGTGGTGGCACGTCAACATCTTCCATGCCTGTCAACTGCTGTCTGGATGGCTTTTGAACTTCCAAGAACATCACCATGTTCAGAAACAGCCTATCTATCTACCTATCTATCTATCTATCTATCTATCTACCTACCTACCTACCTACCTACCCATCCATCTACCCATCCATCATCTATCATCCAGTATCATCTATCTTCCATCTATCCATCCGTCTATCTACCTGTCTGTCTGTCTAGCTAGCTAGCTAACTAGCTAGCTATCATCTATCCATTGTCTATCTATCTACCATCTATTTGTATGCTACCCATCTCACCAGGGGCTTCTAGGCATACAGACATTGAATTAAAATGCATTATAAAACATTAAAACAATAAATAAGGGCCATAAATTTAAAATGCAATTAAAATTAAACCAACCAGGATGAAGAGGGAGTGAGCAAAGTGCACAAATGTTAATATCTGCTATTACAAGGAATGGTCATGGTGCTACTGTAATTTTGAACAACAACAACAATAATAATAATAATAAAGTTGGAAGAGACCTTGGAGGTCATTAAGTCCAACCCAGGGCTCAGGCAGGAAACCCTATACCATTTCGGACAAAGTTGCTCAGCAAGTGTTCTCTGAATGAGGACTATCTGTATAGGGCATACTACGCTGGTAACACTAATAGCTGAAACTGAAAAGGATCTGCAAGCTCCAGTAATACACGTTAAGGAACAAAAAAATGGGACTAAGATTAAATGTAAAGAAGGTAAAACTAAAAGCAACAAATAGAACAACCTGCCTTAGAACTGGCAGTGGAGATGCTGAAGTGGTGGGGATCTTCTGCCTTCTAGGATCAACCACCCACTGTAAAAGAACAGGCAGTCAAAAAATACACCAGACTAGTTCTTTTTAGACCAGCCATCAAAGCCTTGGAAAAGAGATTTCAGTGCTGTTATGTGTCTATCCCTACAAACATCAGCAGTAGTCTGGGTCTCCTCCAGGAAAAGGGGGTGAGTGGCAGGTGCCTCTACCACTCCTTTGAGAAGGTGGCCACGCATCTGCTGCCCAGAGAAGGCAAAACCCCTCCTCAGACACGTCCTCTCTCTGTAAGGCCGCCAGTGCACCAAACCTGGCCATGGAGAAGCAGCTGCAGTTCAGTGCTGGGCTTACAGCTGGCATGTCACATTTGCCACCTTCCCAAGAGGAGCGTTTCAGCCCTACCAAGGTCTCCCAGCCAGGAAGGTCTGAGGTCTCCTGCAAAAGCTCAGAAGATGGTTGCTGCAGGGCCTCAGGGAAAGTCCAAGCAAAGTAGCTCTGCCATGGCCCCAGCAGCCTCACCCTCTCTGTTCCTTCCATCCCTGGATTTCAACCTGTTTCAAGGGCAACCTTTCTCTCCCTCACCTTAATGCAGGGATGGGCAGCTATGGCTGGCTCAGGAATTCTGGGCATTGAAGTCCACAGGTTGTAAAGGGGCCATAGTTGCCCACCTCTGCCGTAGTGCCTCCATGAGGACCAGGACCACAGTATGCTGTGCGGGGACAGGAAAAGTGGTAGCCTTTGACATTCTCTGTGACCACATATATATTAAAAATTGCTGTAGACTGGAAGATGCTTAACTGCCACCCCACTCCATCCCCCAACAAAACACACTTTTGAAATTCAGTGGCAAACTGTTGAACAAAAAATGGTGCAATTTCCTGCCCATCTTGGTGGGAAAGCAAACCAAAGTGCCAAAAATGGCACAGAAGCAATTAGAGAAGTTGAACAGGTTCAAATGGTTTCTAGTTCAAGGTACTTGAGGGGCCTTTAAAGCCCTGCGTGGCTCAGGACTGCAAGGTGTCTCTACCTCAACAATGTTTTCAGAGCAACAGAACTGGAAGGGACCTTGGAGGTCTTCTAGTCCAACCCCCTGCTCAAACAGAAGACCCTAGACATTCCAGACAAGCGGTTGTCCAATCTCGTCTTAAAAACTTTTAAGACACATGGGCTGGGAATTCTGGGAGTTAAGGTCCACACATCTCAACATTGCAGAAGCTGAGAAACACTGATCCAGAGGACCACCTGCTTCCGGTGACTTTTGGGTGCCCAGGTTGGGAACGGCAGGCTCTGCTCTTAGGAATGGCCTACTTCAGAGGCCCCCGAGTTAAGCCTGCTCAGTTCTTAGGCACAACTTACCTTCCAAGATCAGATGAACTCCCCACCCTATGGAGCTTCAAGAAAGGAGTTAAAATCTGGCTTTTAAAGTCAGACCTGACAGTGAAGAGAGTGTGAGCAGCAGGACCCTTTTTGGAGGGTGAATGCTAATAAAGTTATTTTTTAAAAAATAAAGATTAAATGTTGATGTCTTGGATGCTGGAGCTTTTCATAATTTGGTTAATGGTTGTTTTGTTCTACTGATTTGTTTTCTTGCTGAACAAGGGAGGAGGCACCCAATCCCAAGAAATGCAGCTATCCTCCCAGGCTTTCCCAAATGTCAGCTCTTCATCCCCAGGTCAGTTTTCCTCCCCCTGTAAAGACGCACCCCCACCCCCACCGGGCTACAGAGACCAGCTGCTTTCTGGCTGAGGCCACCCCCCCTCAACATTGCCCTCACTTGCTTCCCAGGTTCACTTGAATCTCTTCCATTCTTCTCACTGGACCTCTTGTTTACTCTGGGTTGTGTCACGGGGGGGATGTTGAGGAGGGAGTTGAGGGTTCACTCCTGTTCCAGCTTTGCACAACACTGGTGTCAGTAATCACGGCAGCTGCAAAGTTTTGCAATCCACCCTCAGAGGGGCTGCTCCCAGGTTCCCAGATGTATATGGCAGCTCAGGGGTCATGTCTCCAGGAATCAACCAGAACACACCATCCAAGTTCCAGTTCCAGACTGGGCCAACAATGGCTGTGGTTGGAGGGTTTTTTTTCCCTCCTGCAAGTAGCCATCCTGCCCCCCCCCCACCTCCTCTGGGTTTGGGGTTCTGCTTTCCATCTGCACAAAGTCAACTTGCTCTTTTCCTTTGGAACATACCCCTCCCTAGCTACTTCCTATCTGCAGATAGATTGCAACACTAGAGTCTCCCTTTTCTTCAGTTATAACAAGTCTTCCCTAACTCCTCTTAATGTTTGGAATGAAACCATTTTAAGAGAGAGAGAAGAAAGAAAGAAAGAAAGAAAGAAAGAAAGAAAGAAAGAAAGAAAGAAAGAAAGAAAGAAAGAAAGAAAGAAAGAAAGAAAGAAAGAAAGAAAGAAAGAAAGAAAGAAAGAAAGAGTTCCTATTCCATGCCCACCCATAATAGTGCATGATGTACAGGATGAAAAAGCTGCCTCTTGCACATTCTCAGGACCAAACGTCCAGAGTCGGAGTCATCCTTGAGGGCCTCTCCATCTTTCCTACTCAGGAAAGAGCTGCTTCTTTGAGACCTCTTCTCCCCCCCCCCTCCCCCAGGCAAGATGCCCTCCTTGGCTCCTCCTGTCCTTTTCTCAGAAATTCAGATACACTTTTGGGCTTAAGGATCCTGTCTAAGCAGCCTCAGCTGCTATACTGCATTTGGGTCTTAATCTCATCCTGCCTCAGCATTCCTACCAGTTTAAGAGTTTCAGGTTCATCCGATTGCTGGGGTGCTTTCTAATCTCCAGAACCTCTTGCCATAAATAAACCCCTTTCTCCTGAAGGTGCTACAGCACTCTTTTTCTGATTTTACCTCCAACAAATGACTCTTACCTGATTTTTATTGAGACTTATATATTCCTGTGATTTTCTCCAGTTATCTTTATTGGATAACTACTTGTCTGAACTGGTATAGGGTCTCCCACTTGAGCAGGGGGTTGGGCTACTAGAAGACCTCCAAGGTCCTTTCTGGCCCAGATATTGTTATTTGTTGCTCGTGTGAGTCAAAAGCATCCACGGGGTCGTAAAAGGAGTCAAGATGATAACCTTGACTGAATTGAAATTGAAATCCCCCCAATTTATTATTTTGCAACTAAAGGGGGAAGCGTTTTAATTGTGTAGTTACAATTCCCATCTTGTTTTTTTGACCTCTCTGCGGGCAACCTGGCTCAGAGAAGCAGATCCTGGGCAAGAATAAATGCAACCAACTTTGAGAGTAGCCAGCAGCAGCAGCAGCAGCAGCAGCAGCAGAGGCTGCTACATGCAGACCCCCCGCCCCCAACTCCATTTTGCCTCCCTCGAGATCAGTGAGAGCTGTGATCCTGGTAATGAAGAAAAAGGCACCGGCACCCACAGTATCAAAATATAAAAATATTGCCTTCATTTAGGGGAAAAGAGGACTGTAAAGATGGAGGTGTGCCATCGACAGTTTGCTGCTGGAGGACGAGAGCCTTGCATTTTGCAGACTAGAGTTCATGGGAAATGGCACAAAAGCCATTCCTCTCGGCCCGTTCTGCCCGAAGGGGATGGGATCCAGACCCTCTGTGTCTCTGACGCAGGACTGGGCCTAGGATTCACCGGCCTCCGTCCATCCGTCGGTCTGTCTTCCCTGCAGGGGTTTCTGAGTTGCTGCTGCCGCTGCAGCCCTTGTCAGAGACGGAGGCCAAGGCTGAGCGCCGGGACTTCTTTAGGTGGGACAGGTGGCAGCGGGACTTCAGGTGAGCTGCCAACGAGAGTCGTTCAGAATATCGATCCAGAAATGACAAACCGCCTTGTTTTCCTAAATAAAACTGCACAACTCTTTTAGCATAGGAGAGTGCATAATTTTGCATAACCCAGGTAATCCTCAATTTACTACAGTTCATTTAATGACCGTTTGAAGTTAAAATGGCACTGAAAAGTTGACTTATGACTGTTTTTCACACTTATGACTCTTGCAGCATCCCTGTGGTCACTTGATCAAAATTCAGACGCTTGGCAACTGACTCGTATTTATGACAGTTGCAGTGTCTCGGGGTCATGTGATCACCTTCTGTGACCTTCTAGCAATCAAACTCAATGGGGAAACCAGATTCACTTAACTGTGTTACTAACCTAACTACAGTGATTCACTTAATGTCATGGTCGGCTTGCTACACAAATCCCACTCGCAACAGACATCAGTAATGGGAAGGGGAGATCCAGTATCCAAAGTGGGACAGTCCGAAGCAGAGAGACCGTTCCCAAAACGAGGCGAGCGGAACCAATTGGCTGGACAAATGGTCAGTGGGAGGGCTAGGGGGAAAGGGAAAGTTTTCCTAGGCTGTCTATTTAGGTTAGAATTGGCTTTTCCACTTCTGTACCAGATGGAATTTTCAGTAAAGTTTTACTCTTGGTAAAAAGATGGCCCAGGAGTCTCCTTTGCTGTCTCAACCAGTGGGACAGTTGACACTGAACAACTGTGGCAAGGAAGGTCATAAAATGGGGCAAAATTCACTTAAAACTGTCTTGCTTAGCAACAGAAATTTTGGGCTCAGTTGTGATTGTAAGTCAAGGACTGCCCGTAGTGGGATTCTGAACTTTCTGAGAAAATGTTCTGCCTTTGGCCCAACTTCCCAAAACAACATGTCGATCTGCCAATCATTCATTCTGAATTTAAGCTGATCCAGAGAGAATGATCTATATCCAAAACCTGCTACACAGTGAGCTTGGTTTTGGGCAGAAGAATCTTGAGAAGGCAGTTTGAATTGCCCTATTTGAAAATGTCAAGTATTTTCCACCAAAACCACACTCAGTTTCTTGCAACTGGAAAATTGACAAATAGCACAGTACGTCCCAAGCAACAGCTATTGGGAATTATAGGGCCTGGACTCCTAAGATAAGGCTGAATTAAGTGAAAAGGGAAGGTTGATGCAACACGGAAAAAAGTGGATTGAATATGAGAACACCATTTCTCAACACTCAAGTCCTTAGAACAGGTCTTCTCAACCTTGGTGACTTTAAGACGTGTGGACTTCAACTCCCAGAATTCTTCAAAGCTCTAACAAGCTTCTTCTGTACCAACTGCTTCCCCTCAGTTCCCTGCTATTCTACTCTGAAGGGAGCACTCTCCAACCCGCCCCCTCTCCCCAGGTTTAAGGCACAGCCTGGCCAACCCTGCCGTGAGGGGGGGATTGTGCCCAGGCCTGCCCCACTGCTCTCTCCCCTTCCTTGGTTCAGGAAGGAGATTGGCTTTGCTTTCTGCCGGCAAAGAGGAAGGTCAAGGGAGTGGCACGGCTTGTCAAGCAGCTGCCTGGACAGACAAGCTGAGGGGAGACAATCCTGCAAAAGCCACTCACGCAAAGGTGGGGGTGGTCTTTGGGAAAGGAGGTCCTTCCTCTTCTCCCAGCCCCATAAGCCTTACCTCCCCATTCTCTGTCCCCGATGATGACTCGGCCGCACAGCTCACACAACCGGCAACTCTGCTTGTCCTTTGCTGGCATCGGCTCCAGCTTGAGGGGCTCCATCGGAGGCTTCTGGCCCTGGGGGTGGGAGCGGGGAGTGAAGCATTCCAGAGGCAAAGAGGACCTCAACTTGTCTTCCCTGTTCCTTGAAGGCAGCAGGGCTGAAGACCCAGAAGCTAAGCCCCCACCCCAAAGAGAAGCTCCTGCAGAGTTCCAGGTTCCGTGATTCAGAGACCGACCGTGCCATTACAAATGCCCACAGAGACTCAGCCAGTCATTGGGTGCCAGGGATGATGCTCCCATCGTGGCAGCTTACTCCCAGATTAGTAATGCTCTGGGATGGCAGCTCTTTTAATGTATGGGACCTTTATCACTGTTTCCTCTGGGCAGGAGATCTTGTCTTATCTTTCAATTCAGCATCCCAGAGGTCCGAATCTAGGGATGGGACAATATCTTGTCTAGGGCAAGGCTTTTCAACCTTTTCACTCATTGTACCACTTTTAGGATATGGCAATATCCGAGTACCACCAGTCGCCGAGCAAAATGTCAAAAACTTGATGACCAAAAAAAAAGGAAAAAAGTGATAAAGTACAGGTAGTCCTCAACTTAACAACAGTTTGCTTAGTGACTGTTCAAAGTTACAATGGCACTGAAAAAAGTGCCCCCCAAGGCACAGCCAAGCAAGACACCTGCCTGCCCACCCATCGGCATTCTTCCTCCTGTCTGAGGTTTTCATTGTTGTGAGCATTTCTGTTGAGGATTGGCAGTGGGGGGTGTTTAGTTTTTATTCCCCCCGTCTGTTGAGTGGTTGCAGCAGGTTTTGGTCACTTCACATGACCCTGGGACACTGTGACCATATTACATTCAGTATCTGAATGTAAATCACAAGACCCTGGAGATGCTGCAACAATCCAGCTGATCGGTGCTTCTTCAGGGCTCAGCAGAAGCACCAGGATCAGTGCCGAGCTCTAGCTGGAGCCTGGCGCTGATCCTGGCCCTTCTGCCGAGCCCTGACAGCCCTGCAGCTCCAGCCGTCTCTCGCTCAGGCTTGTGCGGTGCTCCCACCATTTCAGCTCATTCCCCTCCCCCGCTACCACTTTTCTAGGATGGTTGCGTACCACCTGTCAGGTGCCAATGTACCACAGGTGGTACCTGTACCACTGGTTGAAAAGCCCTGGTCTAGGGTGGATAAAGAAAAAACTCTGCTGGGTTTTTCTGGTTCCCCAGAGCTGTCTACTCCCCATCTCCTAGGCCTCCTCCAGAGTACAACATACACAATGAGCACAAGGGGCTCTCTGCTCCAGACCAAGGGTCCCGGGGGGTCCAGGCTGCAGACTCAAGAGGGCAGCAGCCAGTCAGAACAGCGATCATCGGCAGACTCAGGGTGTGCCAGAGAAAAATCTCCTCCAGGGCAATCTGGTGGTTACCTTCAAGAAGCTCTCCACAACCTGAATGGCTGGTTCCAACACACTTTTGTCCCACTGAGAGAGATCGGAGACGTCCAAGCCATAGACAGGGGGCACATTTGATCCAGGACCTGGAGGGACCCATAAAAAAGAGCATCATTGGCTTTATCCTTGTGACCGGAGGCTCCTCTACCAGTAAAACGAGTAGGGAGAGCCAGCAAGGCATAATGTGGGGGAGGGGGGCTAAGGATATACTGGAAGACTCTGCTGTCTTACGTAGAACTTGCAGACACTGCTAATTCCTTTGAGGTGAGAACTGCTGCTGGGCTGTCCTCCAACAAACTCAACCTACCCTAAAGGAGAAGCTGGCGAAGGGCATACCTTCCCCCACCCCAACCTGGCTTCTCTCTGCTCTTCATGCCAATCGGCCCGTGTGACTCACTCACGGGGCATGGGCACCGTTTCTTCTGCCATAAAGAGGACTGGGCCCTCCTCCTGGGACCTATTTATCCTGAATGGGCCTCTCTTTCAATCTTTTTACACTTTCAATCTGCTTTATTGCTCTGTATGGCTAATTAGTTTGCTGATATTATACTGTTTCTGATCCACAGTGAGGAGAAAAAGGTCCTCGTCATCCATTCCTGGGGCTGGGGCTGTCGGGGGGGGGGGAATTGATCAAAGAAGAGTTTCTAGCGCAGTGGTTCTCAACCTTTCTAATGCCGTGACCCCATAATACAGTTCCCCATGTTGTGGTGACCCCCAATCACTTATACATCACCGGGTGCCAGGGGCGTGGCCAAAGAAAAGGGGAAAAAAATGGCGGACAGCCTTGTTTGGCGACCCCCATGAAATGGTTGTTCGACCCCAAATGGGGTCCCGACCCACAGGTTGAGAACCACTGTTCTAGAAGGATTACAGTGAGCCACGCACTGTGGCACCTCAAGGAGGTAACTTTCTGCTTAAGACAAGACACCAGGTGGAGGGGACCCAGACCGCTGCTCCTCCCAGTCCTGCCTGATGCAAAGCCAGGTGCGCCTGTCCAGAGTACAGATCGCAGGGCAGCCTCTCTCAAGACGGTGCCCCATGTCTGCCAGGCAGGCTGAGTCAAACAGTAGCAGGACAATAGCCCTCCCAGTGCCAAAATCTGAGCAGGTGATGCCTTTGATTTCCCTGACCACAAAGCCCGGCTCCTGCCACACCTGTTGGCTGCCTGGCAGAGAAGCGAGCCCGGGCGGCTCAGCACCTGGCCAGGAAAAGGCCTTGCCACGGCCCAGAGTCTCCCTCCTCTCCACCCACTTCTCAGGTTACATGCCTTTCTCCTGAACTCACCGGCAGCCTTTCAACTAGCACCCCCTCCACAGCCTGAGGCAAGGTGATACAGTTCAGTGTGGGGGGAACCGTCTCATTCCCACCCACCACCAGCTGGATCAGGGAGGACAGCTGTCAGTTGGGGCCTCTCCCTCCATCTGGCCCAAGAGGGAAAAGACAGTGAGCAGGAAGCCCCCTTCCTGGTGCCTCTTGTTTCACCACCCTGAAGGGGTGGTCTTAAGGGGCTGCAAAAGGGCAGCCCCTCAGGCACAGCTGGTCTCAAAGTGCTCTTCTCCAGAATAAAACCTTCCCCAAGGGAACGCACTCTGCACATGCTCAAAAGAGTTCAAGCCGTTACAATGATTGTCCATTTCCCAGGAAAGACCTCTCACACTTGAGTGAGTTGCCGAGTAAGTTTTGGTTCAGGGAGAAAAGACTTACGTCTCAGGAATCGGTTCTGGACCCACTTGTTCTGCTTCCGAGCATACCTCTTGGTCCCTGTCTTGAAGGCCTGAAGGGCTGGAAGAGTTCAGGATAAGAGACGGCAGAGCCAGGAGAGGCTGCCCTGGCCCAGTCAGGCCAATACAAACACTAGTGTGAGGAAGGCACCACAAATTCTTTACTCAACAATCTGTTTATTTCCTCTGGACCACTTGCATTTTAGTATGCCAGAAAATGTGTTCCATCTCCCAGAACATGGACCCACCTGTTACGCCAAAGGTTGCCTAATTCTCTGGCCTGCCAATCAAGCAAACCACAGCCTGCTCTCCAGAAAGGTTCTCCCCAAGCAGGTCCTCACCTTGGTCCAGCAGCTGGTGCCTGTCCTCCTCTGGACTCTTGTCCTTGGAAATCAGGAACTGGTGGAATTCCTTGAAGCCGATAGACTGGAAAATGCCCTGCTGATAATCCTGGCTGGGGAAGGGATGAGAAGCAGGTGGCCGACACTGCCGGCAGTTGATCACTCATGGAGCTGATCCCTCTGGCCTCCCAAGCCAGCTCAGCCCTTCACACACACCACTGCCAATGTCCATCTCCAAGCAGGACCGAGGCCTCACCTGTTCTCAGCCACTTTCTCCTGGTTGTATTGCTGGTGAAAATTCTGCAGCTCCTCCAGCAGCCCGGCCTCCATCATTACATCCACCCGCTGGTCCAGTCGCACCTCCAGAACTGAGGAAACCCAGCAGACAAAAAAGTCAGGCTACATACCCCAAAAGCTCTGGGGAAATGATGGGGTGTCTGCTCCAAAGTCAATTCAGCAGCAAATGCCAGAGAATGGCTGCCAACCACACAGCATGACCAGAGAATAAAACTGCAAGTTTCCAAAAGGATCTGCCAAAGCCAGAAGGGTCCTGCTCCTCACCCTCCCTCAGCCTGAGAGAGGAAGGCTGGCCTTAGTCATCAGACATCCCCCCCCCCCGTTGTTTACCTGCCTGTTCTGCATGAAGCCAGAAGATGCAAGAATTGGGATACTTCAGAGGACCCCCCAAGGGTCCTCCCCCTTTTTCCTCATGCTGCCGTCGTAGCAACTCACTGTGGGGGATGCCAGTTTGTTCAAACAGCTGCAAGCTCCTGCAGGAGAAAATTTCAGGGCAGGTTGGCTTGGAGGGTGCTCAGCTACAGCCACAGAGCAAAGGATGGCACTAGACCGGAACCCAAGAGGAAAGAAACATCAGAAAAAAACATGCTTGCAGAAGCAGCAAGGCCAGACTTGCCCCTTGCTGAAAAGGACAACACTGTGCGATGTCCGGCGATGGAAATCCCTTCAAACCATCTGGAGCAAGCAGGGAAGCTGGAACCACAGCAATGTTTTCACTGAGCCCTGCAGAAGCTCCAAAGAGGTGGCCACCAATCCTTGCAACTGGGGCGATGAGCAGACCAGATGTGGATCAACCCACTTTAGAAATGGGTCCCAGGCTGGGGGCTCTCCAGAATGGCTTTCACAGCTGTCGTGCCGCAAAAGCAACATGCCATTAACCAGGCCTGGTCAGATGTTAGGTCTCCCACTCTCTCCAAATCACGTGGCATTCCCTAGCCTTGGAATGCAGATGAAGTTAGTTCCTTATTCCCACTGGGGCAGAAGCTCAGGCTTGGAAAGCTGCAATGGGGGGGGGGTCTCTTTACAGTAATTTAGGGTGGCAACTATTCCAGCCCAGGGATTTGCCTAGAACTGCATGCTCAGCTAGAGAGGCCATGAGTCTGCCTCAGGCTGTCCTTGCAGAGCTGCCCAGCCTTCCAAAGCCAGTGCCTCCAGAATCTCAGGAGAAATTAAGGAAGATGGGTGGCATAAAAAGTAAATAAATGAAAAGAGCTCCATCACAATGCATCTGCAGGATGCCCATAGGAGATGTGAGGAGAGGCCAGAGCAGAGGCGTCTCCTAAGATCCTTCTTCAGGCCGCTATGTGCCAGTTCTGACCACCACCACTCCATCGCAGAGCAAATGCAAACAAAATCCCAGGACTACTGAGGAAGGTCTGGCCTCGGGCCCCACTCTAAGTGAGCAGGGTGGGGGCTCCTCCTCCCTCTCCTGGGCGGCGTAAGGTTGGGAGATTTGAGCAGAAGGACAAGCCAGGGCTGGCCACAGCCTGTTTCCCACACAGCTGTAAAGCTGCCTGTCTGGTAGGGCAACGCCAGTTTGCACAACTGGTGCAAATCCCAGAGCAGCCACCCCGCCCAGCCCAAGACGTGTCTTTCAAGCAGCTGTGCATGACGGAGCTGCTGCCCTCAGGGCAGACCGGGTTGGTTGCTGCCGGGCTGGCCAGAGAGGAGGCTCTGAACAGGAGATTTCTTGACAGTGAGAACAGTAGAACAGCTCAACTTCAAAAGTTGTGGATGCTCCGTCACTGGAGACATTTAAGAAGAGACTGGAATGGTATAGGCTGCTTGAGCAGGGGGTTGGACTAGAAGACTCCCAAGGTCCCTTCCAACTCTGTTATTCTGAGATCAGCTCTGGTCTGGCTGCTTCATGGTCATGCGGGAGCTTCCTCAGGGAACAGGGAACCATGTCCAAAAATCAAGATGGTGGCTGTAATCACCTAATTCAGGAGTGGCAACTATGGCCCCTTTATGACCTGTGGACTTCAAGCCCCAGAATTCTGGGACTTGAAGTCCACAGGTCATAAAGGTGCCACAACTGCCCATCCGTGATCTAACTGAAGCCCTGTCCCATGAGTGTGCTGTTGCCATCTGGACTTTCTTGTGAGGGATCTCTTGCAATCACAGCTGTGGAGGATTATTGGCCTGGGGTTTTAAAGGGCCTGAGAAGCTCCTGGCAGAGTTCAAGAATACGTGACTGGGGTGGGTGGATGTCTGCAGGCTGTGGTTAAGGGGAAAGCAAAGGTCCACCCATTTTTTATGTGGCTGCCATGGTGACTTTGTGGACCATGTCCTGTAGACCCTCCCTGCATGGTCAATGGCTTGGGTGACTTCAGAACAAGGTGGGCACTTTGTTTATTGCAGGGCTCATGCTGGCTGAGGAATTCTGGGAGTTGAAGTCCACAAATCTTAAAGCTGCCAAGCTTGGAGAGCCCTGGTGCATTGTTAAGGGAGGGCATCTTTTCAGCAGCCAGCAATCACAAGGTGCTTCACAGTCCCTTCTCCCAGGGAGGCGAAGCGTTGACCTTCTTGTCTCCTTGTCATTTGTAACAGAAGCTGAAGGATTTTGCTTGCCTGTAAGAGATAAAAACCACAACTTCCCATTTTTGAAATTGCTCTGCTGTTACTCGCCATCTGTTACCCAATATTAGAGGGCAACTGAGGTGGACTTACAGGACAGTAAATTAAAGGGCTGGCAGGGCCACAAAGCCAACAGGTACCCTCCTGACCTAGAAAGCATGAACCAAAATGGAAAATGAATTCTTCCAATTAATAGCAATTAAACAGAATCTCGATCACTGGAGGAACTCTACAATTAAACAGAATCTCGATCACTGGAGGAACTCTACAATTCTACAAGGAAAAAGTGAGACTACCTCTACCCAGCATCTGGATCCAGTGGGTATCTGGGGAACAAAACACACCGCTAGAGGAATTTGTAGGTATGAGCCTCCAATTTTCAGGGGCCTGTAGTATTTGGAGAGCATTGGCTGTCCCTGTTGCAGCCTCCATTTGACTGACCTGATTATTTTGCGCTTATTATGGGGGTGCAATCTGGTTGCCATGTTAGGGTCCACCAGACTCAGCCGACGGTGTAGCTCCTGACTCTCCAGATCCTCCAGCCCAGTTTTCCACTCTTCTGTTGTCACTGTTGGACCCCTGGCCTCCCCCTGAAAAAATAGGGATGATTACACACAAGACAGATTCCCCCAAAGTATGACACAACTGCTGAAGGGAGACAACAAATCCTCTTTTTCTGATCTTAGCAAAGGTCCAAGGACATCAGACTCAAAATGGAGGCCTTGCATCCACCCACCACCATCCCAGCATTGCCCACCTCTCAGGAGGACAACCTGCTTGCAGGCAGAACACCAGATGTCAAACCCAGGCAGGGAAAACTGAACAAATCATTGCCACCAACAAGTGATAAATCAAGCAGCATACGGAAAATCTCAGACTATTAGGCAGTATGGGGAGAAATATTATGCCATCAACATGTGACATTTTTGTAACCAAAGATTTTTTGAGTATTTGGATAAGAACAATCAGATTCCTGTGGCTTTTATATTTTTGGATGCTGAAAAAGCCTTTTATCAATTAGATTGGCAATTCTTATTCTCACTGGTAGAGAAAATGAATTTTGGGGATAATTTTTTACATGCTATAAAAGCTATATATCAGCAACAATCTGCTCAAATTGTTGTTAATGGGGGATTGACTGAGACTTTTAATATTGAAAAAGGGACAAGACAAGGATGTCCATTATCTCCATTGTTATTTGTTTTAACATTGGAGATTGTGTTGATCCAGATTCGAGAATCAACGGTAATCAAGGGCATAAAGATAAGAAAAAATGAGTATAAATTACGGGCTTTTGCGGATGATTTGGTTTTGATTTTGGAACAACCGATTAGAGCGGTTGATTGTCTATTAGAACTTATAACACAGTATGGAAAAGTTTCTGGTTTTAAAGTCAATAACCATAAGACTAAGATATTATCTAAGAATATGTTAGCCAATGACAAGGAAAGTTTGGTTAAAGCCACAGGTTTTCAGATGGTGAAAAAGGTTAAATATATGGGAGTATATTTAACTGCTTCAAATGGAAAATTGTATAAAAATAATTATGAATTACTATGGGCAAAAGTGCAAAGGGATTTAAATGACTGGAAAAAACTGCAATTGTCACTGTTGGGGAGAATTTCAGCTGTAAAAATGAATGTTCTACCAAAGTTTCTTTTCTTGTTTCAGATGATACCTATTTTAAAAAAAGATGTAAATTTGGAGGAATGGCAGAAGGGTATCAATAAATTCATTTGGGCTGGGAAAAAACCAAGGGTTAAGTTTAAGATTTTGCAAGATGCCCGAGAAAGAGGAGGACTTAAAGCATCTAACTTGAAATTATACTATGATGCAGCCGCCTTAACTTGGATAAGTGATTGGCTTAATTTAACAAATAAGGATATTCTTGTTCTTGAAGGGTGGGATTTAATGTATGGTTGGCATGCATATTTAATTTTTAATAAGAAAGTGGACCGGGCTTTCAAATCACATATTTTGAGGAGTGCCTTACTTCGAGTTTGGAAAAAGTATTATTATAGGTTAAACTATAAAATACCTATCTGGGGGATTCCTAGACATGCAACTGAGGGGATTTCTAAAGGGATGAACTTTGATAAAATTCCGTATAAAGAATTATTAACTTGGTCAGGTTCCCATTGGCATTTAAAATCTCTAGATGTATTAAGGCAAGAAAATATTCTACAGTCATGGTTTCAATATTTACAAATAGTGGACAGGTGGACTGTAGATAAGAAAGAAGGAATAACACTAGAAGATAGAAATCTGGTTATTCAGATTAAAGATCAGAGTCAGACCCATATAAAAAGAATTTATAATGCTTTAATAGAATTAGACTCTGAAACAGAATTGGTTAAAGACTGTATGATTAAATGGGCTCAGAATATCCAGGATCCGATCCCATTGGACTTATGGGAGATAATTTGGATTAGAAATGTTAAATTTACACAAGCTCAAAATTTGAGGGAAAATTTTTATAAAATGTTTTACAGATGGCATTTAGATCTTAAAAAATTATCTTGTATGTATCCAAATTTACAACCCAAATGTTGGAGATGTGGTAATATGGATGCAACATATTTTCATGTTTGGTGGAATTGTAAAAAGGTAAAGGCTTTTTGGATTATGATTTGGTGGAACATTCAAAAGATTTTTAAAAGGAAGATAAAGTTCACCCCTCAATTATTCCTACTGGGTATCTTTGTGGATTTAAATGACAAAGAAACTACTTTAATGTTGCATTTATTAACTGCAGCAAGGCTCGTATTGGAAGAAGGACTCATTGCCTACTTTAGAAGAATGGATATTTAAAGTCTAACTTTGCAGAAATGGCAAAAATTTCTGCTTATTTCAAGGATCATACACAAGAAAGATATATTATTGTATGGAGAAGATGGATAGATTATATTCAGAAAAAATATGGGACTATAAAGTTTCATTTATTTTATGAGTAAATTTTATAGTAACTGTTGTAGAGATCTGTTTATATGACTTAATTTAAGGGGAGTTAAAGGTTAAGTATGATGTTTTTTCTTTTTTTTTCTTTTTTCTTCTTTTCTTTTTTTTATTATTGTTAACTTTCTTATTAATAACCCTTACTCTGCTCTGGGAAGCGAGGGGGGGAGGGTTGAGGGTGGGTGGGTGGGTGGGTGGGTGAGTGGTTGGGTAATAATAATATAGTCATGGTGAATGCTTGGGCATTTCCCCTATGCTGTGTTCATGTGTGTGAGAGGGATGAGAGGGGAGGAAGGAGGAAGTAGGATGGTTAGAGGAGAAGGGGAGGGGAAGAGAGTAGGAGGGGAGGAGAGAAAGAAGAGGGAAGTAGGGAAGGATTAGAGAGGGTGGATGCAGCCTGGGGGGATTGGGCAGGCAGTACCAATGGTTAGGAATTTATTTTATTTTGTATGAATAAATGGAAAATAAAAACTTTTTAATAAACGTGTGACATTTTTGTAACCAAAGATTTTTGCAGGCATTCAGAAAGGGCAGAATCCTGCAACTGTTGGGCCTTGATGAAAGAAAGAAAGAAAGAAAAAAAGAAAGGAAGGAAGGAAGGAAGGAAGGAAGGAAGGAAGGAAGGAAGGAAGGAAGGAAGGAAGACTTTACAACTCAGCCAAGCAATAGGAAGGCAAAAAACTAACATGACCTTGATGAAACTCTGTGTCTCCATCCATCAGTCAAAATCCCTCCTACCAAAGGATTAATTTCCACTTGTCCCAAAGTGAGGCTTACCTTGGTGTCAAACAAAATCTTCCAGAGCAAAGATTCAATGTAATAATTTGTTCCACCAACCACAATTGGGATCTTCTGGGAGGCAAGAATCTCATCAATGTAAATAGTTGAGGAACATATGGAAAAACTTAGAAGCTGAGACTCATTTATACATATATATATATATATAACCTGACAACTTTAAAATAATAAATTTTGAAAGACATACTTCTTCTGTATTTTCTCCTTTTTCTCAATTAGCATTAAGTTTATTCTTGAAAAGTTGATGCACCACCAGCATCAGAAAAGTTTGGATTCTTCAGGACACAATTCGCACGTGTTCTTTGCCTGAGTCACAAACATATTTCTTTACTAATTCTCCTAACAGCCAGAAGCACTTCCACATTCATCCTCCCCAACATACTTTCTCAAATCGTATATAATGTGGTTTATAAGCCCTTGGTTGTGGTTCTCTTCCACAGCACTGAACCTACCCATGTCCCAACAGTCTCTGGAAAAGGATATGATGGTGGTGGCCTTCTTCTGGAAGTCCAGCACTGTGTAATTGGTGACCAAGGGATCCACAAAGCTGATCATGTGATGCTTGCACAGCTTCTGCTCCTGGGCAGAAACTTTGTTGGTGATGATGTCCAAGCCCTGATATACCTGAGACAGGGAGGGACAAACAGATGAAGTATTAAATTCAGCCAGTGCTAGTCTTCACACTGGTGGCCAGCCTGTATCTCAGCTGGCTCACCACTTCAAGCCACAGGAGGCCTCGGAGCAAGCAAAGGGTCACTCTTAAGGCACTGCTGAGGACGAGAATGTCACCCCCACCCTTAGAATGTACATACTGGTTCAGGACTGCTTGAGAACAGCACTGTGCAAAGAATGTGTGTCTGCCTGCATCAACATGTCCTAATGAAATGAAACGGTTCACTCAAAGCACTCGGCTTCTCGAAGGCGTCTCCAGCATTCTCTTCCTGAGCAGCAGGGCGCACCACTCTCTGCGGGGCGGGGAAAAGCCACATTCCTTCTCAGGCCAGGAAAAGGGGACCTACAAGCAAGCTCACCTCATCGGAGCCATCTCTGGAGACTCACTGGGTGTTTTGGCACACTCATTTAGGACCTGCTCACTTTGTCCAGAGAATAGTTCAGCTTTAGATGTAGCCACAGAACATTTGAAAGAACACAAAGACATGAACACTAAGCACGTATTGCTTGCTTGTTGCTCAGCACTGAGGAGCCACAACTGAATTGCACACACCTGACAGAGACACGTCATCTGCTCAATCCATCCTTCAGGGCAGTCAGTCATGAGACCATAAGGACCAAGAGAGTCGGCTTTCCTTTTAGGATTGCTCTATATACACTTTGGTACATATTATTACAGAAAGATCTGCATCTTTGAATATGCAAAGTAATTCTCCATTATCATCACCTTCCTATCTCCAGATCAAATCTGGGATTTGGTACTGAATGCCAGGAGAGAGCACAGACTGATCCGGGTTTTGCATGATCTTGTTCCTAATTGGCAGCTTCAATGTTCAGAAATCCCAGCTGGCAGAACTACCAGACAGCCTGGCCCTGGAGGCAGCCTCAGCAGAAGGATGCTCACAAGCGAAGGTCCCAGGTTTGGGCTAGAGGCGCCATGGTGCCTCGGCCTCCACAGCATCTTTCTTGCCTCAAAGGAAGGAGGCAAGAGCTGAGAAGGGCAGGGGATAGAAGCACTGATCCTCCAGCTGGCTCACATGTAAGTATTAAAATGAGATGAGAAAAACCAGACACCCCCAGTGATATTCAAAGGCAGAGTGGGAAAAAGAACAAATCAAAAAAAGACACAATCAAACAATATAAATCCAAAACTGGGGAGCGGGTGCTCCAATTTTCCTGGACCTCTGCAAGATTCCCACAGGGCCTGGGCCATATCCATTTCTAGGGGAAGGCTGTTTCATAGGGCACAAAACAAGCAGGACTCCTTACTCTATTCCACAGCAGGGTATCAGCAGTCAAATCCTTCAAGTTTTTGGATTCTACAGACTCCCAGGATTTGAAATGGACACTTGAAATTAGAACCATCGTTAGCAAAGCACAACAAAGAATGTTCTCCCTGCAATTCAGACTGCTCCAGGAGCTGCTGATACAGTTCTAAGCAGGAATTATTGAGTCTGTCATTCGTACTTCAATAACTGTCTGGTTTGGTACAGCAACCAAACAGGACAGGTGCAGATTTCAACGGATAGGTTAGGGTAGCGGAAAGAACAACTGCCAGGAGCCTGCCTTCCATGAAGGACCTGTACATTGCGCGGGTCAGAAGGAGGGGCTGAGAAAACATCACTCCCATCCTGGATGTGAACTGTTTCAACTCCTCCCCTCAGGACGCTGCTACAGAGGATTGCAGGCCAAAAGAACAAGACAGTTTTTGTACAGCTGTAGCATTATTATCCTTCTTATCTTTTACCACTCTCTCTTATCGATATTATATTATTATTGTGGTTATTATTTTGCTTTGCATGTACACCGAGAGTTTCTGCACTGAAGACAAATTCCTTGTGTGTCTAATCACACCTGGCCAAATAAAGTATTCTATTCTGTTCTATTTTATCACACAAGATATCACTGCTTGCCCCAAAGGTGCTTTTTTCAGGAGGCAAACTGGACTTGGCAACTGCAACCGGGAATCCCCTTCTTGTTGCAACTTAAGTTAGACAAGAAACAACAAAGGCTTGTTTTGATATTATTTTGCATTTTCACACACGTGCAGACATACGGGCGCTTCCCAGGCTGCAAAATAAGTTGGCAAGAAGCCACTTTACCATCATGGGTTGAGGACAGCCTCCCCCAGAACGACGACAGATGCCATTTTATGCCGTACCTCCTTTTTAAAAGTCCATTTTATATATAAACGAGATACGCAATCCAAAACGATAAAAGCCAGAGCCATCGGGGCGGCCGCCGACACTCAGAATGGCTGGCCGGAAGCTTCCCGGGCCGGCCGAGCGGCGGGCGTGGAGAGGCCTGGCCGGGAAGGTCCGCGGCGGAAGGCCCGGCGAAAGGCGAGGGCCCCGCGCCACGAGCAGCCCAGCCCGCTTCACGCGGCGCCCGCCCGCTAGGCCTCTGCCGCCCCTCGGCGCCGCCCCGGACAGCCGGGCCCTGCGGGAAGCGGAGCCGCTGCGCGCCCGGCCTCTGCCCGGCTTCCCCCGCGGGGCCCGCGCACCTGCATGGAGTCGGCGCTGACGATCTCGCCGCCGAAGCGCAGCCCGAGCTGCAGCGCCAGCCGCGACTTGCCGGTGCCCGTCGCGCCCAGCACCACCACCACCAATGGCAGCCGCCGCCCCGCCGCCGCCGCCGCCGAGCGCGCCATGGCCGGCCGGAGGAGAAGGAGGAGGAGGAGGAGGAGGAGGGGAAGCCCGCCGGGCGGGCCGGGGAGGGAGCGGGAGGCGGGGCCGCCGCGGGTGCGCGCGCTGGGCGGGGGGAAGAGGGTGGCGCGGCCCCGGCGGTCCCGGGAGCCCGAAATTCCTTACGGGCCGCCGCGGGCCGGGCCCCACCGATTCTGCCGCTTTCGGGGGTTTGGGCCAAGATTGTACAGCGCGTGCCGGGGTCCCAAGGTGTGAGCCCTGGGCACCTGGTTTATAAGCAATGATTCATGGCTTAGCTGTTGGGTAAGCCCTTTTCAGGAAATCTTGGCTTGGCAAAAAAGTCAGACCAAGACTTGGATTCCAGCATCTCTCCTAGTTTTGCTTTTAGAGCGTCTCCCTGATCTTAGACTTTTCTTTTTCATGGTCCCAAACTTGGATTCTCATTCTCACTTTGGAATAATAGTTTCCCAGGATTAGACCTGTGAAATCCCCTGGAGTTGCCTGAGATTTCTGATATTCCCTCTGCAATTAAACATTGTGGATAGAATCAAGATCAGGTGAAGTGTTAGTACCGTTAGGCCTTGGTAAGACCACACTTGGAATATTGCATCGTTTTAGTCACCATATTATAAAAAGATGCTGAGACTCTGGAAAGTGTGCCCAGAAGAGCAACAAGATTGATGGGGGGGGGGGGCTGGAAGCTACAGCATACAAAGAACAATGGTTGCAGGAATTGGGTATCTCTAGTCTAGTGAAAAGAAGCATGAGAGGGAACATGATAGCAGTGTTCCAATATCTCAGGGGTTGCCACAAAGAAGAGGGAGTCAAGCTATTCTCCAAAGCGCCTGAAGGCAGGACCAGAAGCAACGGATGGAAACCAACCAAAGAGAGAACCAAACTAGAATTAAGGAGAAATTTCCTGACAGTGAGAACAGTTAATCAATGGAATGGCTTCCCTCCAGAAGTTGTGGGTACTCCATCACTGGAGGTTTTTTAAGAAGAGACTGGACAGCCATTTGTCCAGAATGGTATACGGTTTCCTGCTCCTGCAGGGGATTGGTCCCTTCCAACTCTTCCAACTCATGGTTTATCTTGGATGCTTTAATTACACCACAGTTGGTTAGCTACATATTACATTGAATAGAAGGTATACCACAGTATTTGGGATCCCCGTCTTCCGCTAACTTGCATCTTGGCCATTTGCCTCTCTCTGACCTTAACATCAGGGAATTTGGATATTGTATTGCTACATCATGATTGGTTTTGGATCAATGTTATGCGAATCTAATAACTATGGTTTGCTTAATTAGAGCAACAGTCAGATGCAATGTATGGTTTGTGTCATTCAGTTTAGCTTTGAAGCCATGGTAAATCACCTGGGTTTTCTGGATATCTGTGACAGTCCCTCCAACTTGCCACAGCTAGGGCCCTCCAAGTCAAGAATGATGGGAGCTGGAGTCTTCACCCTTCAGGAAGGTACAGGTTAAGAAGAGGCTGCCCCCCCTGGATTAGGGGTCTGCCCTTACCATGTCACATCTGGTGCCAGATGGGCTGATGTACATGGGGGGAGAGCCAAGCACAAAGGGGAGAAGAAAAAAATTATTCGGTAAGCAAAGTAGGGAGAGGGAGATTGCCATAGCAACCATTTGGAAGAGCAGATGCCCTAGGGATGGATAAAGAGATGAACTTGTGACCAAAGACAAGAGAAAGGAATTGTTGCCGTAGCAACAAAAAGCAGAGAAGAAAAGGGATGGAGAGACAGTTACCAAGGAGATGGAAGCTATTGCCAAGGTAGCAGAAAGGTTCAGCAATGTTCTGCCATAGCAACAAAGGGAGGGGGAGATATCTTTTCCCCTAGCAACTCACATCTCCTGCCATAGCAACAGGGAGAGCAGGCAATATAATTGGAGGAGATGGGATTAAAGCAGGCTTTACTAACCCAGCCATGAACTAACCTTCCTTTCACCCCCCCAAAATGAAAAATACATGAGGCTTTTACAAAACTAGATTAAAAACAAACAAAAAATCCCACAAGGCTACATTGTAGCATAAGAGGAAATGCTTGATAAGCAAAATAGAGCAAAAAGCTGTGATGCCTAGACTTTAATCCGTCCTTCTGCTCAGGGTAAAGCCCATCTCCTTCCGTGATCAGTTCCACTGTCCAGCTGCTCTTCCAGTTCAAAAGAGACCTCAGCCACTTTCACTTGGACTCTGCCTTTTGAGATTCTACATCTGCAACTTCATGTCCTGGGAGACCCAGGAGAGGTCTGTCAGAGCCTTTTGAATAATGGAGAACAGTTCTCTTTCCCCAACACTTAACATACCTGCCCTTCCAGTCTCTCTGTAGCAGGGTTCTCCAAACTTGGCAGTCTTAAGACTTGAGGACTTCAACTCCCTTGAATTCTGGGAGTTGAAGTCCAAAAGTCTTAAAAGTTACCAAGTTTGTGATCTGCCCATCTTCCCCTGCCACGTGTCTTTTGTGCTGCTATCCCACAGTCCTTTGATTGTATTCATGTGATACGCTTATCCTGGTCAGTTGCAAATATAGTTGCTGCATTGCACAGCCTCCCAACCTTGGTTAGTTTTAATAATTTTCATTCTTGGGAGGAAGAGGTTCGTTTGTAGCATGAGGACAGGTTCATGCTTTGGGTGCAGCATGAATCGATGTATTGTGCAAATCCCGAAAACTGATCAACTTACTTGTTGGGTTAAGCATCCTATGTAGATACATTCTCTGTACAGGTAGTCCTTGACCCATCACCACAATTGTGACCAGAACTTTGGTTGCTAACTAATACAGTTGTTAAGTGAGTCATGCCTGATTTTAGGACCCTTTTTGCTATGATTGTTAAACAAATCACATGGTCATTAAGTGAATCTGGCTTCTTCCATTGATTTTGCTTGTTGGAAGCCCCCTGGGAAAGTTGCAAATGGTCACTTGATCCCAGGACACTGCAATCATTGTAAATACAAACTGGTTACTAAGAAGCTGAATTTTGATCATGTGATCATGGAGATGCTATAATGGTCATAAAGTGTGAGGACTGATTGTAAGTCATTTCAGCAATGTGGTAACTTTGGATGATCATTAAAAGAAAGGTTGTAAGTCAAGGACTACCTGTATACGTCCATGTGTGTGGCTAGGTACGCCTACAAAATTGAATTCTAGTTCTAGTGTTGGGAAAACCAGCTCATCTCTTTCTTGCATCTGTCAAGTTGGAGTACAAGCCATTGGCCCCTCCTCACTCAGAGCAAGCAAAATCCTGAAGCTCTTTGTTGGATTAAGAATGCAGCTCTGGATTTTTTTGGATGCCAAAAAGCCAAAAATAACCCGAGTTTGCCCCTCCCGAATTAGAATACGTCTCCTTTTACAGAGAGGGTGGAATGGGGTGACAATCAAGACAATACCCCAAATTAGCCAGCTGCTGCCCGCAAGTGTCCGGGCACTTTAGGAATTCAAAGGAAGGTGCTGAACAATTAAAGATGGCCAGACCTGAGGAATTTCCATTATAGCACAGAAGTAACTTCTGCTCTCACTATCAACAGCCATTTAATTTTCAGCTGGATTCAACACAACATGAAGCCTTCCCCCCAGGTAAGAATCTGCCCCCCAAGAGAAAAAGACACCACATTGGTTTGCCCATTTGCCATTAATTTATTTCAAAAATGTGAGGTAACAAAGTGCTAAAGCTGACACACACCCCCTTGAAGCTTTGCTGGGGCTGGCTGAGGAATGTCCCAGCCATATCTGCATGGTGGACTTTGCACTATGCCAGCAAGGAGGCTCATCACTCTCACTCCTTCTGAGGTGGGGGAGGGTGGGTGGGAGTTTGCAGAAGGAGGGAGCAGCCACGCTTTGGGAAAGCTTGGCAAAAGCAGAGGGAGATGCTGCTCAGCCCCCTCCCGTTAGCAAAGGCTGCCATCCCATCCTAGAAGACCACAAATAATTGCAGTGGATAAACGTGGCAGTCTTTCCCGCCAGCAAGGATCTTAGGGTGGCTCTTTCACTGAAGAAGAAAGGGAGCCAGTGCAGTGGCCTTGTGCAGAAGGGCAGTTTCTGAAAGGATAAGGCCAAACTTGACAACTTTAAGACTTCTGAACTTCAACTCCCAGAACTTCAACTTCCTCATGCTGGCTGAGGAACTCTGGGAGCTGAAGTTCAGAAGTCATAAAGTTGCCAAGTTTGGAGATCCCTGCTTTAGGCATCCATCTAGCCCAGCGAGTTTCATGCAGCACATGAAGTTAAAGTTCAGGGAAAGCAAGGACACAGCTTTCTCTCCCCCGCCATGCCCCCTGCCCTTTCATGAGACTCGCCAGCCTCCTTGTTCACCAAGATGTTCTCAATGCTTCTACAAGCCATGAGTTGCACCCCATCTGCTTTGTTGCCCTGAAGATCTGCCCCACAGGTGGGCTAATAGCCCATATAAGACCAGTACAAAAGCAGCCATTTCCTGCTATACCTGGGAAACAAACCCCATCTTGGAGTCGCCTTGAACGTGCAGGGTCAGCTCTGCTTTCCACCAGACAGGCCCCTGGGACATCTGCTGTTGGCACTTGCAAGCTGGAACCAGCCTCTTCCCTGCGAGAAGAATTTCCAGTCATCCCAGTTTTTGGAAAGGAGCCTGTTTCCAAGGGAGCCAATCTGAATCACTCCCTTGCAAGCCATGGAGGTGGCCCACCGCCCTGACTGCAGGCAGTATATTTAGATATAGAAACAAAGAGGGAAGGGGAAAGAGCCAGCATTTTACAAAAACATTTTTTTAAAAAAAAAAAAAGTACAAAAATACAGTATATATCTTTAAAAAGCAGTCCAGTACAAAGAATGAGGCAGTCACTACATTAGGTTCCAAGTTATACAAACACCAAGATAAGTCCTGGTTTGTCATTAAATGGGAAAAGAATGAGGTAAATCAAATTCAAGGTGATTGCAGTGCTGTTCTAGTGATGGAGTAAGGTGGGGTGATTTTTTTAAAGCCCCAACCCCCGTCTGAATTGGAAAAACTCTGAAAAGACAGATGGTATCCATAGCAGAAGTGCCTTTTGCACCAAACCCTTGATGTGGGCAGGTTGTACTCCATTGGAATTAGATTTCCTTAAAACCAGAAGCTCCCCTGCAGGGTGCTCCTTGCTGCCTTTCCAGGGAGATCTCAGCTCCCCAACTCCAGCTGTGAAATAACTCTTTGCGCAAAGGACCCATCCACAATTTGTTGCAGAAACAGAAAAAGACAATTCTAACCAAGTCTTAGACTGTGAGCAAGGGGACAAGACAAAGAATTTGACTACAATCTCATTATGAAAAAGCAACAAATTGCAGAAAGATCCACCCTCCTTAGGAGTACCACAAATGACAAATGCACCATGCACCCCTGACCTCCACTGAGAAATGCTGCTCAGGGCCCCCTTGAAAACACCCTACTGATTGCGATGAGGGCCTTGTCTGGTATGTCCCAGGGTCCCTCTGGAGAAACAGCCGTCTGGGTCCAGCAGGGCCCACCAAGAAGGGGACAGCTGTGGGTCTTCACCATAATCCAACATTGTGCAGCAAAAGCCGCATTTTGGTAGCTGAAGCCCCCCTCATTCTCCTGGAAGGAGGAACAGAAATCAGATGGGAGTAGCAGAATAAGGACAAACCCTTATGATGTGCAGTGGCAATGCATGCTGGGAATGACAGTCCATTAGCAGCCTGCAACCCAAAACCAACCAAAAAGTGCTGATGCGACTGAAAACCCATGAAGCCTGGCCAGCTACTGTGTGCCCTGCAGGTATGAAATCTGTTTCCGTAGCTGAAGCTGGTGCAGTTTCAGCAGCTTCTTCTCAGCCACCATTTGCTGCTCAGTGCTAAGAAGCAGCTGCAGGTACTCGGAGGCTTTGCTCAGGACCACCACTTTGGGGGTTTTGGGGTGCGATGCGAGTCCGGGCAACTGGTCCCTCAGTGCCAGGAAACGCGAACGAAGGTCATTCCGCCTCTTGCGCTCCAAGTAGTTGTGGTTTTTCCTCTTGGTCACATCCTCACTGTCTGAGCCAGGAGCACTCCCAGCCTTGGGGAGGGAAGCCGCAGGAGGGAAACTCTCTAGCCCTTGCTCTGGCAATTGTGGCTCATTGTCCCCAGCATCAGAGCTGCCCTTCTCCAGAGGCCCCTCAATGGAAGGAGCCTCAGGTGGGGAGCGGGCAGCATAGTTGTGCTGCTGTTGATGGATGGCGATGTGGAAGTGCTTTGTGCAGGGATCCAGGGGGTCATCCCGCACTGTGATGGTGACTGGCTTCCTTGTCCCCAAAGCCTGCCTCTTTTCAATGGTCACCACATCGATTTCTTCTCCTTCTGCAAACAAAGAAAAGATCGAGAATCAACAGGTATCAAGATCTGCTTCTGTGATTCAGGCAGTGGCAAACAACTAATTAAATGAGCTGAACACAGTGTGCAACTGTGTGCAGAAACCTGAGTACTCAAGCAGAGATATAATTGAATGGACAGCACTTCACTTGAGCTGAGAGACAGCTCAAGGCTGGGTTTATGTTGTACTGTGGTGAGCTTGGTTTTGGTTTGCATATTATGCAAATCCAGCTAATTGTGATTTTCAATAAACCATAGCTGAACAAAATATGTCTCAACTTGTATGAACCAAGGGTCCCAGCAGAAGTAGGTGGAACCTTGTGGCCTCTTTCTTCAAGGCATGTGAGCATCCCAAACCAGATATTAACTTCTACAACTACTGAAAAGTGCCTTGATCCAACCCCAAGGCTGGATTCAGTTTTCCCTGGTAGCCATCAGATGCCTTTTAAAGTCAACCTTGGCACTGCCAGAAGAGGTTCTTCATACCTGCTCCTGACCCTAAGTTATGGGTCGATGGCTTTACCAAATTCTGGAATGGCTTGTGGCTCGTAAGACAGGAGATGCATCTCTAAACTCAAATATCTGGAACACTGAATGTGTTTCCCTCCTGATCTCCTGACACAGGCACAGCAAGATGCAAAAAGAATGACTGGAAGGAGCAAAATCATGATCTGTTCCAATTCTAGAGCCACTCTGTGAATTAAGAAATACTATATCCCCTTTGGGTAGTATTTGTGCATTTGGACCTCTAGTCTGATATTCTTCTCCCTCTTCTCTTTTTCATCAGATGTTATCAGTCTACTGTTGAGGACTATTACAGCTTTATTGCGCTTAAGTAACCAAATGCAGCACAATAACAGAGTAAAACTCCTTAAAGCAGCAAACTTACAAATCTATAACTGAGTAGTAAAAGATCAGAGATGCTAAAGCCAAACCCTAAAACTGACCAGGTAGGTGCCTATAGAGAGCCCCACACTGTCCCCATTAATATTCTCCAAAGCCAGAGACTGTTAATTCTAGAGAAAAGGCATGACTCTAAAACTGTGGGACATTTCAACTTCGTCACGAGTCCTACTTTCCTGAGAGCAAACTGGGGCATGTCTGACAAATTGCTTCTCAGCCTCAAGAGTGACCAGGGCAATGTAACCACATTATTCTGGAAACTTTGTACACACTTAGCCTCCTTTCCTGTGCAACTCAGACCGGTCAGGACTCCAGCAATCTGACCTGCACCAAAAGAACCTCCTGAGAATTGGGAGGGGAGCATTTCTGCCCTCCAAATTCAGTCTGTTTAGAACTGCAGCCAAACAAGGCGTGTTTTCTAGTACTCTGGAGGGAGAGGAAGAAATCTCTACTGAAGACAACTGCAGGGACAAGAGAACAAGCTCTAATTGTATCTGGTTGGGAGGCAGGATTGGAACAAAGTTTATTGGTTAAATCCACCACCCATCTTTTCCCTGTTCTTTCACAGCTCATTGGAATTGTAAATGAAGCCCAGGCCTGGGGTGGGGGGGGCAGGCAGGAGGGGAGCTGGTTTTTGTCCCTTTGACTTGCCACTTCACAAAAGCCATAAATCTATAGAGCCTTTCCCCACCTCCAGAGGCACAAAAAGGGACATAGCACCTTCTGCCCAGCAGCTCACAAAAAGAGAGAGAAGGGCTTAAGTAAACTTCAACAGAAACCCTTCATTCTTCTTCAGACAAACTGGCTGGGCTCTCTGAAAGAAAGAAAGCCTTTTCCAGGAAAGGCTGCCACCTGTCTAAACTCGCCTCTCATCAAACTCGTGCCTCTGGTTCAGCTTTTCTCTTCTTTGCTAAGGGGATTAGAAGGAACAGACAGAGGAGCCCACAGTGGAGGGTCTTTAATGGGAAAGATAAAATAACAGAATAACAGTTGGCAGGGACCTTAAAGGTCTTTTAGTCCAACACAAGCAGCAGACTCCATTCCAGACAAATGGCTGTCTAATCTCTTCTGAAAAACCTCCAGTGATGGAGCACATCTTCTGAAGGAAAGCTGCCCCACTTGATAATTGTTCTCATTGTCAGGAAATTTCTTCTTCGTTCTAGGTTGCTTCTCTCTTTGGTTAGTTTCCAACCATTGTTTCTTGTCTTGTCTTCTGGTGCTTTGGAAAACAGGCTGATCTCTTCTTTGTGGCAGCCCCTCAAATGTTGGAACACTTCTATCCTGTCGCCCCTGGTCCTCCTTTTCACTAGACTAGACATACCCAATTCTTGCAACTGTTCTTTATATGTTTTAGCCTCCAGTCTCCTAATCATCTTTGTTGCTCTTCTCTGCCTTCTTTCCAGAGTATCATCATCTTTTTTATATTGTGGTGACCAAAACTGGATGCAGTATTCCAAGTGTGGTCTTACCAAGGCATTATAAAGATGCTTGGATGAACCTTATTTCTCACTCTCAGGACCCAAACACAATGCTCGTGGGTTACATTTTAAACAATGATAATGGAAAGATCCTGCTATTCTCTTGCAACTTGTTTTATCTAAATTCAAAGAGAAGGGAAGATCGGGGGCTCCCTATCAACTGAAGACTAAGCAAGCAGGATGGGGGCTGGAAAGGGAGTCTGCAAAAATGCCTTTTCCATCCTCTACAGCAGGACTTTTCAACCTTTTCACCAATTGTACCACTTTTAGGATATGGCAATATCTGAGTACCGCCAGTCACCTAGCAAGATGTCAAAACTTGACAAACATCCCCCCCCTCCAAAAAAGGAAAAAAGTGACCAAGTAAAGGTAGTCTTCAATTTACAACAGTTCACTTAGTGATTGTTCGAAGTTACAACGGCACTGGAAAAAGTGACTTATGACCATTTTTCACATTTATGACCATTACAGCATCCTCAGGGTCTTGTGATTTACATTTGCATGCTTGGCAACTGATTCATATTTATGCCGGTTGCAGTGTCCCGGGGTCACATGATCCCCTTTTGCAACTTTTGACAAGCAAAGTCGATAGGGGAAGCCAGAGTCATTTAACAACCGTGTTACTAATTTAACAACTGCAGTGATTCACATAAGAAATGTGGCAAGAAAAGTTGTAAAATGGGGCAAATCTCATTTAACAAATTTCTCACCCCTTCTTTTCTATCCTCTCCTCTCCCTCCTTTGTCCTTTTATATCAGGAGTGTCAAACTTGATTTCATTGATGGTCACATCAGCATGGGGGGGGGGAGTGGGGTTGTGTGGCCAGCTCGATGTCGCTCAGGTCTCACTCAGGTCAGGGGGCGCCTGTGGAGGGATCCAGGGTTCTCCGGTGGAGGAAGTTAGGCTCCTTCCCTCCCTCTCCCTCTTTCTCATTTGCATCTCCTTCCTTCTCTTCTCCCTTTCTCCTCACGGCTTCTCTCACAAAAAGCCTTTTCTCTCTTTCTCACACACACACACACACACATCCCTCCAAAATCCTCCCCATTCTCAGTACACATCCCACCAAAAGCCTTCTCTCTCTCTCTCTCTCTCTCTCTCTCTCTCTCTCTCTCTCTCTCTCACACACACACACACACACACACACACACACACACACACTTCTCTGACAAAAGCCTTTTCTCTTTTTTCTCTCCTTCTCCCGCCAAAACTGCCTCCTTTTATATCCCTTCCACCCTCGTCCTCCTTTCTCTTCCTAGTGAGCCGGAAGTACTGATCCTGGGGCTTTTGTCTCGCCCCAGCAGCCCTGCAGTTCCTGAGGACTCTCTCATGGCAAGTCCTGCACTGCACTGCTTTGGCTCTCTCTCCCCTGCTACACTTGGCTAGGCAGGGCCGCGTACCACCTGCCGGGTGCCAGCATACCACCGGTTGAAAAGCCCTGCTCTACAGACCACCCATCTGCACTTGACAAAATTACAAATGGATCACTGCTTTGGGGCACTAGTTCACTTTGGTTCTAAAAACAGCATAAAACCCTTAAAGTAAAAGATTTGAAAACCCATTTATACCCATTATGAATTCCCATTTACTTGCTCTACATTTTGAAGTTGTCTTCTAAACTTCCTTTTGCACAATCCAACTTTTCCCTAGGATTAATATTGTCTAAAGAGCTAATTTGGTCTAGTGGTTAAAGCACCAGGCTAGGAACAGGGAGGCCCTGTGTTCTAGTCTCCCCTTTGACACAGAGCCAGCTGGGTGACCTTGGGCCAAGCACTTTCTCCCAACCCTAAGGCAATGGCAGATGCTTGTGAAATCTTGCCAAGAAAACTGCAGTACTCAGAGACAATCTCCAGAAATCAACAAAGACATACATACAGAGAAAGGGGGGGGCATATAAAACAGCTGACCGTTGGTTCCAGGCTGAAAGAAATTGATCGATCACATTCAGAAATGCCACCCCTTCCTATCCCCATTGGCTTCTCCTCCAGCCACTCATTAAGCAGCCACACCCCCTCAAAATAACCCAAACGTGAGCATCTGTTGCTTTTTGTCATTGACTGAAAAGGGCATTTGTGGACAGAGCCCTCCTGTTGGTGGGGGTAAAGTTCATGTCAACACAAGCGCATGATTCAATAAATCAGTAACTGTTCCCACCCCTTTGCTAACTGAGATTAAGCCTCTGCCAGACCTACCGCTGTCCTCATGAATTAAACCTTACACCTGATTTGTTTCTTCAGCCTTGCAAGCTGAGTAACAAGCCATCACCATTCATCTAGTGACTCAAGCAAAAGAGGATCAACAAGGCTTGAAGCCTGGAAATAGAATGCAGTAGAATTACAAGGAACCTCCCCCTCCCAGTTTAGCTGGAAAAAAAATGATCTTGAACAGGCGTTGCATCACTATCACACCTATTTTGTCACTTCACTTTGTCTAAACTGTCTTTTCACCAGAGGGCAGCTGTCACCCTGGAATTACTCTTTATGCTGGAAAACATTTTCCAGAAATAATACTTCACTAAAATGAGTCAGTAAGAAAGCACCACTGCAGAAGGCAATCTCTGCCATAGCTTGTTTTACCGAACACTTGAGCTGTCATAATACACTTCCACATGCAAGGCTTAGGAATCCAGGTACACTCAAACCCCTTGAATATCGAGGCCTGATATGCAGTTGGAGAATATCAGTGCCTCATGGGTACAGTAAGAAATTGGGGAGATCCCTTTTGGGGTCTCAGCCAGAGAATCAGCCAGCAAAAAGGTGGTGGTGTGAATGAGGAAAGGCAGCTCCTACCATCATCTGCTTTGCTGTGAACTCATCAAGTGGACTGAGCCAGATGAAACTCAGGTCTTAAATCCACCACAAAAGGGACCAAATTGCCCTAACAGCAGCTGACTGGACCAGGCATTGGCAGTCCTTGCAGTTTATTTGTTGAACAACTGTTTCCTGGCCTCTAATGACACGCTAAGGACAACTTGTGAGTCGACCAGTTTGCTTCTTCCATTTCCAATGGCCAATCTCCCCCACCCATCATGGTTCCTGTTCCTCTATTCATGTTTGTCACTCTTCCCCTGAAGACTCCCCCCCCCAAGAAAATTTCAATGAGAATCTTAGGAGAGGGCTCACATTGGAAGTCTGATTTTTCTTGAAATGGCTCCAGAACCAACTAGGTTCTTTCTTTCTCCAGTTCTGTGCAACTCTGAGTGTAAACTGAGATGTGCACCCAAACTCCAGAACTTCAAGCATGGTTTGGCTGCCCGACCCCCATTTTATTGTACCCAAGAACATGCCTTTTAGATCATTTTAAACCCCAAGCTGCGGAAGGACAATGAGAGAAAGGACATTGCTCTATTGCCCACCCTGCCATGCTTTTGTGATGGCACCTGTAGTGGTCTGATGCCACCAGCTTTTAGCTTTAGGATGCTGCTGCTGCTGCTATTTCAAGCCTTCCAATAATTAATAATTAAGAACTAAATTGTAGTTCACAGGATTGCAATGCAGTGGGGATACCCTGAAACTTGAAACGCCCACTAACTCACTTCCAGTTCCTCAAGGAAATGCCCCCTCCTACCGGCAGACCCCAGGAGCAGAGGGGAGAGATTTCGTCTTCAAGGCCTCCGGGCGGAGTTCACTCAACGTGTGAAAAGCCACCGCCTCACCGGCCCTGCCCGATAATGACCCGATCCCGACAACACGCTAAGGCCGAACGACCCCACCCTCCTTAATCCAGCTTCCCTGGGAACCAGCTGATCTGATCTGGAAGCGGCTAAAGCGGGAGGGGGGGGGAGAGAAGAGTCCGCAAGCAGTTCGCGGGAGCAGCGAGGGAAGGCGGAAGGAGCAGTGCAAACTTCCTCGCGAAAGCAGAAACTCCAGGGGATGCTCAAGGATGCGGGATGCGCAGAGATGGGCAAAGAGGTTGGGGGCGACCCTTCAGCCCTCCCTCGCCTCGATGCCACCCTTACCGGAGTCACTCTGGCTCTCGGAGCCGGACGAGACCGGGATCTTGGTGTCCGCGGCCGCCGCGGCCCCGCTCCCACCGGGCCAAGCGAAGACGGCGCCCGGAGCCACGCACTCGCCGCCCAACCCGGCGAAATCGTGCGCCGGCGCCAGGGCCGGCGCGGGCTTGGCCGCCAGCTTTTCGCCCATGGCTTTCTCCAGGCGCTCGCGGGCCGAAAAGCCGCTCCACATGCAGTCGCGGAGGACGAAGGCGCTCAGGTTGCCCAGCAGCCCCGCGGCGGGCTCCAGCGGGCCGTCGGCGCCCGCATCCTCGGCGGGGCCAGGCAGGGGCGAGGCGGGGGGGCTGGGCAGCAGTTCGAACTTCTTCCAAATGTCCTCGCTGGGCGCGCTGGAGCGGTGGAAGTCCTCGCCCTGCGCCTCGCACGGGTCGTAGAAGTAGGGCGGCGGCGGGTCCAGATCCATGGCCGTCGCTCCCTCTGCCGGGTAGGCGCCTCCGGGTCGCGGCCGCCGCTCTGGCTTCTCCCGGGGCCGGGTCGGAAGCCCCTGGGCGGGTTCAGCGCCGCCACCTGCGCCGCCGGGCAGCTGCCGCGGGTCGGGGCAGAGCCAGAGCCTCGCACCAGCCCAATTGACCCGGCGAGCTACGGAAGTGGCGGCCAGCGAGGCGCGACCTAGCCGGGCTACGCCGTATTGTTCGCAGCCTCCGCCGCTTATATCGGCCTCCAGCCTCCCGCCCGGACCGTCCCCGGAATACAGCCAATGAGGAGCGCCGGATCCGCGAAGTGGGCGCTTACAGGCGTCGCCCTCACCTTCCCGCCAGGCTCGTCTTGTCCGCGAAGCCCCCCGCCCGGCCCTGAAAGAGAGGGAGGGAGGGGGGAACCGCGGCGGCCCCCGAGACCCGTCGCTTCTCTGCCGGGTCCTCCTGTCCGCTCGGGAGCCCCGGCCTCGGCCTCCCGCTTCTCTTCCTATTGGCTAGCAGCCAATTGGCCAACAGCTCAAAGCGCGGGGAAACCTGAAACCGTGAAAGGCTCCCTGGCGTTCGACTTTAACGGAGCTTTTGTGCCCTGGAGGGACAACCTGGATCCATTTGATCTTGTCCAGTAACAGATGACAGTTTAGAGGGTGGCCCTCCTTGAGTGGGTCTGGCAATCGCCAATCCCCGTTCCCCCTCCCCACTGAAAAAGGCCTGTACTTCCTTGTCCTGCAATAGTGGCGAATAACCTGGGAGAAGGAACCTGCACCCTCTTCCTTATCCTTCCTGTGGCCTGGAAAAGATTCTCCAGTCTCAAGCCCTGGACCTTCTCAGGGTGCTGCCTTCAAAAGGCCTGAGGTACAAAGAAAACCTAAATGTCTGGGGGGGGGTCCTTTTAATCCCCCAAACCGGGCTAATGCTAGAAGTAGGAATACAAGGGAACCAACCCAAGATAACTGCATTGAATTGTGATGGAAGATGCAAAGACACAAAACAACCAAATTCGGAGTCGCACAGAAGCACTCAATGAACCAGAAGGAGGCGGATTTTGGTTTGCCACTACTGAGGTGAAGTGAACATTGCCCAGCACTGATGCAACTGTAAGACAATTATTAGACTATACAAGTACTCCTCAACTTACAACCATTTATTTAGTGACTGTTCAAAGTGAAAACAGCACTGGAAAAAGTGACTTCTGACAGTTTTTCCCACCTAGCCATTGCATCATCCCCATGATCATGTGATCAAAATTTAAAAACTTGGCCATTGGCGTGTACCTACAATGGATGCAGCATCCTGAGACCACCTTCTGTGACCTTTTGACAAAGTCAGTGGGGAAGCCAGAGTCACATAACAACCATGTTACTAACTTAACAACTGTAATGATTCACTTAACAACTGTGGCAAGAAAGATCGTAAAATGGGGCAAATGTCTCACTTATCTTAACAAATGTCTCGCTTAACAACAGAAACTTTAGGCTCAATTGTGGTTGTAGGTCGAGCACTTTCTGCATTGTGTTGTGTTTCATTCTCTAAGCATTAAGAGATAGTACCCATCTATGTCAGGTTTTATGACTGTGAAAAAGACTGAATAATGAGGCTATCAGAGGGATCCTGGGGTAGGGAAGAATTAAAATTATTGGTAATTAAATATCATTTGTACAACATTCAAGCTTAATTTAATTTATGAAAAATACTACCTGAACACTGAAATAAATGCAGTTGAGCAAACTTGTATCTTCTTAGTCTGTCCCAGAATCAGATTTGCTGCCTGTTTGTTTTACTGTGCTGGTTTAACTATCGAGAACAGAACAGAACAGAGCCGGAAGGGACCTTGGAGGTCTTCTAGTCCAGCCCCCTGCTCAAGCAGGAGAACCTATACCATCTCAGACTGTGGCTGTCTAGTCTCTTCTTAAAACCCTCCACTGATGGAGCACCCACAATTTCTGGAGGCAAGTTGTTCCACTGTTTAATTGTCCTCACTGTTAGGAACTTTCTCTTTAATTCCAGGTTGCTTCTCTCTTTGATCAGTGTCCAACCATTGTTTCTTGTCCTGCCCTCTGGTTCTTTAGGGAATAGTTTGACCCACTTTTCTTTGTGGCAGCCCCTCAAATATTGGAACACTGCTATCATGTCTCCCCTATTTCTTCTTTTCTTTAGACTGGCCAAACCCAAGTCCTGCAGCCCTTCTTCATATATTTTAGTCTCCAGGACTTGGATCATCTTAGTTGCTCTTCTCTGGGCTTTTTTCAAAGTCCTCCATGGAATCTTTTCTAGGTTCTCTCTGAGTTTGTTAAAATCAGCTCGTTTGAAGTTTAAGACATTGGTTGAATTATTTTCTATTGCTTCTGTTTGCATTATATTGAATTTCAGTATGACGTGGTCATTTTCCCCCAAGGTTCCAGCAACTTCAACTCCCTCCGTCACTTCTTCCCTATTACGGTAGTAAGAATTAGGTCCAGTATAGCTTTACTTCTAGTTCCCTCCTCACGTTTTGGATGACAAAGTTGTCGGCTAGGTTAGTTAGGAATCTGTTTGATCTCCCGCTTGCTGCAGAGTTTGTCTCCCAGCTGATACAGTATCTGGTTAGTTGAAGTCTCCCATTACTACTGTGGTATGCTTCCTACATGCATTTGTTAACTGGTTGACAAAGAGTCCATCTATTTCTTCTGATTGGTTGGGTGGCTTGTAGTATACCCTATGGCAATGTCACTTTTTTCCCCTTTTATATTGACCCATATAGATTCTGGAGGGCTTTTATCTTGGATCATGTGCATTTCTGTAGACATGTAGTATTCCCTTACATATAGTGCAACTCCCCCTCTCTTTTTGTAGTTCTGTTTCTTTTGAACAATTTGTATCCATCAATCAGTCCATTCCAGTCATGGGTTTCATCCCACCAGGTTTCTGTAATGCCAACTATGTTATACCACCCTCGTGTACTATTGCTTCTAGTTCACCCCGTTTGTTCCCCAAGCTTTGAGCATTAGTATATAAACATTTAAGACTTTTATGTCTGGCCATGGGTATGTTTCCTGTATCTCCTAATCGTTGTTTTATTTTTTATTTTTTTCTCATCACTCCCTACCTCTTTGTTTGATTTGTTTTCTTGGGGCTTATGATTGGTTTTGTCTTCTAGAGATTCTAATGATTGGTTACCCTTCCCCCTCAATTTTAGTTTAAAGCCCTTCTAATGAGTTGGGGCCATTCTTTTTCTCAGTACATTTTCCTGTGTTTTCATGAGATGCAGCCCATCCCTTGCCAAGAGTCCTTCGTGTAGAAAATGCAGTCCATGGTCCAGGAAACAAAGTTTTTTTGGTGACACTAACCCTTTAGCCCAGTGGTTCTCAACCTTTTTAATGCCGCGACCCCAACCGGTCGTAAGTCGAGGACTACTCAACCGGTCGTAAGTCGAGGACTACTCAACTGGTGCAGCCCCATTTGCAGAATGGGACTTTTGGCGGGCTCAGCAGGGCAGAGACAGGCTGGACAATTCCTATTGGCTTTTGAAAGCCAATAGAATTAGACCCTATTCAAGAGAGTCTATTCTATTGGCTTTCAAAAGCCAATAGAATAAAAGGGAGTAGCACAGCTAAGGAAAGGGGGGAAAAAATGGCGGACTGCGTTGTTTGGCGACCCCGTGAAATGGTCATTCGACCCCAAATGGGGTCCCGACCCACAGATTGAGAACCACTGGCCTAGTTGCTTATAGTCTCTCAGTATTGTGCTCAGGTTTTTTGTTTTGTCATTCGTCCCAATGTGAGGGAATAGGAGAGGGTAGTAATCTTTGGGCCTCGTTATTTTGGTTAGGTTCTCAGCCACATCTTTGATTTTTGCTCCAGGGAGACAACATACCTCCCTGGATTGTATGTCCAGTCTGCAGATGGCTGATTCTTTTCCTTTGAAAATAGAATCTACTATCACCAGCACTCGCCTTCTTTTGGGGGGGGGGGTGCAGTCTGAGGTGCTTTTCTGTTCGTCTCAGGTGTGTTTGTTGATGTGACTTTTTAAGGGATATTTGGTGTTGTTTCTTTGCTAGGTGTTTGCATGTTTTCTTTGAGGGGGGTTGTGGGTCTGTGTATTTCCATCTTGGGGGAGAAATTGATTGCTCAGTTTTAATGGGGCTGTTTCTGGTTGGGTTAGGTTGGGCAGTAGGGGTTTATTAGATGTATGCTGCTGCTTCCTTTGATTCTTGTGTTTCCTTCTATGTTTGACATACCTCCATTTGTCTTCCTCCAAGAGTTTAGAGTCAAATCCTCTGGGATTTGTCCATTATTTGGTTCGGTTTGGGTATCGCTTTCTTTCATAGGTTGGAGTTGGGCTAGAGTTGCCTCTAAGTGCCTTACTTTTTCCTCTAGTAGTTCTCATAGTTTACATTTAATGCATGTATAATTTGGGTGTTCTTTGGGCATAAGCACATACATGGAACATGTATTGCATACAACAATAGTTTCTGTTGCCTGTTCCATGAATTTGTTGTTTGAAAATCCCTCATTTATGGTTGGTGGATGTGCTTTGCTGTTAGCCACGCTTCTACCTTCTCTTTTCTAGATAATTGTGCCTATTTTTATTTTTATTTTTTGTATCCTATGCTTTGCAAATCAAAATAGCATCAGTTTCTTTTTCCAAGAGTCTGCTGTGCGGTTGCCGTTCACAGTCCCTGGCCTACTGGTCTGTTTTTGTTTGCAGTCCTCAGCCTACTGGTCTGCTGCTGTTTGCAGTCCCTGGTCTACTGCCGTTTGCAGCACCTGGTCTACTGTGCTGCAGTGTTCCACTGCCCCCACCAACAGCTCCGCAGCCACATGGCTCCCGTTTGCTGGTCCGTTCTGCTTCTTCAGGAAACAGGGCTGCCCAGATGGTTCACAGTAAGCTCTCCTCTTCTGAGTACCTTAAAAGGTCACATGACTGATTGGTTCAAAATGAGAACATTGTTTTTAGTCATCCTGCATGTGGATGTACGTGTTTGGTGCTGTGCTATGAACTTACTTTTTGGAGAATACACATATCATTTTTACATACTACATTTTTGTCCTTCTCATCAATTTGACTCCCAGCAACTCAACTACAAGGATGGTGTCCTGAAGCTTTCTGGATGTATCCAGAAATGATTTGCTGTTGCCTTCTTCCTCCAAGAGAGAGTGACTGGTCCAGAGTCACTGGCTACCTTGCGTGCCTAAAGCGGAACTAGGAGGCATGACAATTCCCCATCCAGCACCTTAACCATTAGACCAAGTTACCCCAACCTATTTGGTTTTGCAATGGCATCTTACTGCTCAGAAACTGAGCTGCAGTTGTTTGTTCAACAGCACCATCAACTGGCAAACTGATGGCATTGCATGTGTGTGCAAATCATTTATAACAAGCTGAAAAGAGTTTAGGAAAACTTTTCTGGGCAGCTGCTCAGTGGCCAATATTTCGATTTCCCCACCAGACACCCAATGCTGCAGTAAAACAGTGATCAGCTTCTAAAATGTCTCTAGTTATCCAACTTTTGTCCAGTTCAGGAGGTCCTACCAGCTGGACTTCTTTCTGAGTATCATTGATTATCCTCTCGGCAACTGTAATAGAGTTGGAAGGGACGTTGGAGGTCATCTAGCCCAACCCCTTGTTCTCGTAAGGAGACCTATACTATTTTTTATAGATGGCTGTTCAGTCTCTTCTTAAAAGCTTCCAGTGTTGGGACACCTACAATTTCCAATGGCAATTTGTTCCACTGTTCTGTTAGGAATTTTCTCCTTAGTTCTAGATTGCTTTTCTCCTTGGTTAGTTTCCATCCGTTGCTTCTTGTCCTGCCTTCAGGTGCTTTGGAGAATAGCTTGACTCCCTCTTCCTTGTAGCAGCCCTTCAAGTATTGGAAGATTGCTATCATGTCACCCCTGGTATTTTTTTTTCACTAGACTAGGTATACCTAGTCTAGTGAAAACTGGTCACCCCAATAGAAAAAAGACACTCTTCTCAAAGACATTCTTCATTACCCAGATCTTCTGTTCTGGAAGCAAAAGGTTGTCCCAAGCTTCTGGGATCCTGACACTGTTTGAAGTCACACTGTTGATACTTTTATTTATTTAATTATATTTACATCCTGCCTGACTCACTCTGAAAAACAACTCTGGTCTCAAATTACCTGCTTCAAATGCAAGAGCCTTTGGCAAATTCACCCCCAACGTTTGTAAAAAAAAAAAAAGTTCAAATTGTAAGTAATCTTCACAAGCATTCAGAGTTCTGGCCAAACCAGCCACCACCATTTTCTTTGATTGTCCTAAATAATTTATTAAATTGATATAGCATCCATCGAGCGCACGCACTGTGCGGTAGGGTCCACCTCCTTGACTTCCAGTCAGTCAAATTTCTCCTTCCTGTTCAACAGAGGGGCTGTGGACTGCCATCTGGTACTTCCACTCCATGGAGGTGTTCCACTGAGTTGACCCTTTCCCCTTCTTAGGTGCTGCGGATGAAGGACTGTGAGATGGAATCAGTAGGATCTCCTCTTCAGCAGGTGCACTGAGAAGCCACCTCTGCCTGAGAAAAGTCCTCCAGGAGTGGAGTTCTCTCCTGCGGTGCCAACTTTGCCCCAGCCCCTGCCAGCAACTTTGTCTTTGCCCCAGCCCCTGCCAGCAACTTTTTTTTGGTGGCCGGAGCAGCCGCCTGCACCCCAATTGCCAAAACTCCACTGCAACCTGCGGCAGATTCATCTTTCTTCTGGGAGGACGGCAAAGAGCGAAGATTTTGAGATGGAGAAGAAAGAAGAATCTGCCGCTGGTTACAGTGGGGTTTTGGCAATTGGGGTGCAGGCGGCTGCTCCGGCCACCAAAAAAAGGTTGCTGGCAGGGGTTGGGGCAAAGACCCGTGTAATCCAGCCTGGAAAGTTGGTACCGCAGCACCTGTCTACTCTAAATGGGTTCAAATCACCAGGACGAGATGGATCACACCCCTGGGTTCTGAAGGAACTGGCAGATGTGATCTCAGAACTATTGAACTCTATTTTTCAAAGATCCTGGAACACCGGGGAACTATCAAAGGACTGGAAAAGAGCTGATGTAGTTCCCATCTTCAAAAAAGAAAAAAAAATGGATCCAGGAAACTACAGACCTATCACCCTGACCTCAATACCCGGGAAGATTCTGGAAAAGATAACCAAGCAATGAATCAGCAAACACCTAGAGGCAAACAAAGTCATTATCAAAAGCCAACATGAGTTTGTCAAAAACAGATCATTCCAGACAAATCTTATTGCATTCTTGGCGCAGGCGACAAAATTAGTGGACCAGAGGAATGCTGTGGATATAATTTATTTGGACTTCCAACACTGGAAGTTTTTAAGAAGTTTTTAAGAAGAGAATTTATTTGGACTTCCAACACTGGAAGTTTTTAAGAAGAGACTGTGTGAAATGGTATAGGGTTTCCTGCCTGAGCAGGGGGTTGGACTAGAAGACCTCCAAGGTCCCTTCCAACTTTATTAATATTAAACCCACCTATCCTCCAATAAAGCAAACCATGTGTGTAGATCTGGATGCTTTATTAAAAGAACTCCTGGACACAGGAAGTCCTTGACTGACAGGACCCACAGGATGTCTCCTTTGCGGGCACAGGTGGGGCCTTGGGGGTGAGACAGTTCCTCAAGCAACCTGGACCCATGTCATCCAGGGATTTAAAGGTAATAAACCAACACCTTAAATTACACCCAAAAGCATACCAGCAGACACGGAGCAGTGGTGTAACATGGGCCACCTTAGGGGCCCAAAGAACTCCTTGCATTACTGCATTCTGCACCAGTTGAAGCTTCCAAATGCTTAAGGTAGCCCTTCGTTTATATTTTGGATTGCAACTTGATTGGAAGGCCTTGTTTCTAAGAATCCTCTGGCCACTTTTTTTCTATCTTGCTTTTCTAAAATGTCTGCTGTTTCCCAATTGAAGGGAAACACTGTCTAAAAATGCAGTGTTTTTCCTTGGTTAGCTGGAGCTGGCAGATGTGTTTGTGGATATTTGGAACAGAGTTGGAAGATACCTTGGAAGTTTTATAGTCCAACCCCGTTTGACCAGGAGACACCTAGGCCATTTCATACAAGTGGCTGTTCAGTTTCTTCTTAAAAATCGCTAGTGTTCAGAACACACAACTTCTGGATGCAAGCAATTCCACTGATTGTTTTCACTGTCAAGAAATTTCTTAGTTGGATCTTTCCTTATTAAGTTTCCATTCATTGCTTCTGGTCCTGCCTTCAGGTGTTTGGAGAATAGGTTAACCTCCTCTAAAAATGTTAGCTACTTTGGTGTTGAACATCTGCAAGAAAACAACCCAGCTCAGAGAACACCAAGGACTTCGTAGTTCAAGCCTGAGCTAGATTCTCTTCTATCCATGAATTCTTCTGCTTGGCGTCCCACGATACTCCCCATATTCTTATTTCTTTTGTTACTGGCCCCTTTTACTTTATTCTGCGACTAGTCTCTGCATAGAATGTTTTGTATTTTGTGTAAGCATCCTAACACGTGTTCCCGGATTCTCACGCCTGTTTCACGCACTACCCGTATGTGAACGCAAATGACCACATGCGAGCACACCACAATTTCTACCGGGTCTCTCCGCCCGTCTCAAGAGGATTTATTTCTTTAGTCCCGTCCCATAAAAGGCCAATTAATAGCAATCGCCCAATCGACAGAAGCGGCCTAGCCCAGGGACCATGAGCAAACAACAACAACCTAGGCCCCAGGAAAAAGCCGTGTTGGCGCGGGCGTATTCTCTCCCAAGGATCTACAGGTACCGAGTTGCCTCCTGGGAGTTGTAGTTCTCAATCTCTCTTCGCCAATGCAGGTAGACAAGCAGAAAGACTCGATATTCCATCACGCCAAAGGAGGGACGGGACGGGAAAAAGCGCAAGGGGCGGAGCTTGGCGAGTGCAGGGCGCAAACCTCCGAAGCAGAGGGCGAGCCAATATATAGACGCGGGTACCCTGGGAGATGTAGTCCTCTCGGGGAAGACGCTCACGGAAGCCCGTGAATTCTGGCTCAAGAAGAACTACACCTCCCATCGGACGTAACAAGCTTGCTTTTGCCCTGATGCGCGCGCAGAGCATCCGGGCCTACTGCAGCTGTAGAGGTGGATCGTGCGGCGACGAAAGGCAGGCGAGAGCGGGCCGCGCCTCGGCGGTGAGTGGGAGGCCGAGGGCTCTTCTTTCTCATACCCCTAATCTTGGACTTCCCGAAGTGCGCGGGGACCGGGATTTGGCGTGGTCTTCCGCTGCGCGGCTGGAGGGCGTCAGGGAAGGCCTGGCTCATGGGGGAGGAGCGCCCAAGGAGCTCGTGGACCTTCCCTCCCCCCCCCGCCAGCGCAGGCCTTCCGTCGGCACGGTGCCTCTCCCCCCACCCCACCTCTCCCCTCCCCTCCCGCGGAAGGAGAAGATACTCGGGCTGTGGCGCTGCCGGGAGCGAACTCGCGAGGCCTGGTCGGTCGGTGGAAGGGCCTGCCCCGGACGGGCAGGCGGGCGAGGAAAGGAACCGTTTCCTGGCTGCGCGCGCGGCCCAAGCCGAGGGCCTCCCGCGTTTGTTCGGAGGGCGTCAGCTAAAATTCGGTTGGCAGCGCCAAAACCGGGCGGACGGTGGCCGCGGCCCACCTCCTTTGGCTCCAGCCGGCGTGGCCTTCCTTGTGCTGGGCGTCCTAGCCTCGTAACGCGGCTCCCGAGGAGGTCGGCCGCTGGCTAGCTCGACCTCCCCAGGTGGCCCCCACGCTGGGCGGGCGCAGCGGCCCCGGAATGCCACAGCTCGGCGCCTTTCGGTAGTCCCGCCCGGGCGAGGGAGAGACGGGCGCCCGTTTGGTCAGCCCGGCTCGTCTGTTGCGGGAGGCTGTGGGAGAAGAGCGGTTTTGTGGCATTTACAATTTATTTCACAGTAATGTAATGATGGTGAGAAGTTTCCTCTAGGAAATGTCCTGTAAATGGGACTCATCTAGTTAAGGTCCTCTGTGGGCCGGTGGGATACTCGGAGTGCCTGGCGGAACGGAGTTTGGCATATTTTGAAATCTGTCCCGGGAAAGGCTTGCAGGCCGGCCGGCCGGCCTAACTCTCGCTGCCTTCTGGCCGCCCTCGGACTCGGGGGCGTCTGCCTGGAGTGGCGTGGCTGCCACGGGGATTGCTCGTTTTCAAAATGGCTACCAAGTGGGTTTCCTCGGTCTCGACACAAAGAAGCCCGGGGGGCAGCCACGGGGCCGACAGGCCTCGGAAGCAAGGTCCGGGCACACGGCTGCCATTTCCGTGGAATAATCGGGCATCGGCCCTGATCATGGCCTCCTCTGGCCTGGTTCAAGGGTGTCTGGTTAGCTGTGGGTTTTCTTGTCTGCTGCAATGCTTAGAGCCCTGAACATTTGCGAGATTAGTGAAATGGGTAGTGACATGAAATGAGCTTGTCCAATGTGTTTTGCATTTATTTTTGTATGGAAAATGGTTCAGTTGTTTGCATTCTTGATTTCAAGAAATTCAGTTATAATGGTTTTAATTTTTTATGTTTCTGTATATATTTTCTGGGTTATTTAACATCAATATTACATTTGTACTGTTTAGAGCCTAACACAATATTTAGTGATTTTTTTTAATGTGCATTTCTCTGCATAGCTTATTCCTAAAAGTGATATTTTAGCCATTTTCCTTAAAAATATAAATCATGAAAGGATCGGGAAGAACGGTCATTCTATGGAAGAGAACATTGCAGGAGTTCTGAGCTTCAGCTACTGGTTTCACTCACTGTAGTCCAACAGTGTGGCTGATACTAACTAGGCTGGTCCAGCAATTTGGCACTGTTTCATTAACAGTTTGAATATCTCGGAAAAATCATACATGCATTAGCACATACGAACAGATTTTTTTAATTGTTCACTACATAGCTTTTTGCACATGTTCCCAAATACAAGCCCCCCTTTAACTCATAATTCTCATTTTAAAAAGTATGTTTAAAAGCATTCACAAATCCATTCAAGGCAGGGCAATATGTCATTTTAACTGCATTATGCTTGGCAGCAGACCTCAAATCTCTAGGTTTCATCAGTAAGGCAAAACTCTGTTGCTTCTTTAGGTCAAGTGCATAGAAGACCCAAATTATACCTCAACCAAATGTAGACTAATTGAATTACTTAAGGAAAAGATATACCATCTAGAGGAAAAAGCAAAGGTTTTAGAGGAGTCTAGATTCAAATAACAAAATGAGAAACCCAACTAAAGGAAAAAAAACTGCAACCAAACTGAACACAACAAGGAACAATTAACTACAAGAGAAAATTAGCATTTAGCAATGTGATTTCAATCTTCAAAAAGGGAAAAAAGCGGATCTAGGAAACTACAGACGAATCAGCCTGACATCGGTATCTGGGAAAATCCTGGAAAAGATGTGAACATCTAGAAACAAGCAAAGCTATTAATATAAGTCATTATGGTTTTGTCAAAAACAGATCATGCAGACAAACCTTATTACTTTCTTTGACAAAGTGACTAAATTGGTGGATCAGGGAAATACTGTAGGCATAGTTTACTTAGACTCCAGTAAAGCATTTGACAAAGTAGACCTATTTCTTGGTAAGATAGAAAAGTGTGGGATAAACAGAATCACCATCAGATGGATTCATAAGTGGCTGACCAATCACATTCAACCTGTAGTCTTCATGGCACTATGTCTAAATGAAGGGAAGAATGCAGTGGGATATCTCAAGGTTCTGTCTTAGGCCCAGTACACTTCTTCATCATAAACAATTTAGATAAGGGGATAGAACGGGAACTCATCAGATTTGCAGATGACACCAAGCTGGGGGGAAATAGCAAATACTTTACAAGATAAGACTCAAGATAGAGAAGGAGCTTGACATACTTTGAACACTGGGGTCTATCCAACAAAATGCAGTTCAGTGGTGTGAAAAATAATAAAAGCCAAATGCACAGGCTTAGACGAGGTACCAGGCTCAACATCAATAACTGAGAGGGATCTAGGTGGACAATCACTATATTTAAGTATGAGCTATCAGTGTGCTGCAGCTGCTAAAAAGCCAATGCAGTCCTATGTTGCATCAACAGAGGGATAGAATCAAGATTACATGAAGTACCCTGCCCCAGGGCAGCACTTGGGTCTCAAACTTGGGCTTGCTGCTTGTCAACGCAGCTTCCTAACCATGTTCTAACCACATGAGCCACCATGCTCCTAACAACTTACCTTTTTATTCTCATGCAACTAACACTGAAGTCTTCCCTATATTTCACAAGTGAATTTAAGCACATATCCATTTCTTAAGCATACAACCATATAATAGTTTTATGATGCTGCTAGAAATTATTTATTGATTACACATGTAAAAATGTCCTGTGCTTTCTTTTCTCTATTATGTCTGAGTTCTGAAATGGGCAGCTATATTCCATAAAGGAATTATAAGATGGAAGTTTTGTGATTTGCTCAGAACCAAGGAATCTGTCTGAAGAAAAACTGGATCACATTATGTGTGGTAGTTAGATTCTACAAGCAATCCTCTGCTTACAATAATGTAATGTTTAATGACTATTCAAAGCTAGAATGGCATTAAAAAGTGACTTATGACCAGGTTTCACACTTATGACCATTGCAGCATCCCCACAGTCATATGATCAGACTTTGGGTGCATGGCCACTGGGATGTATTTATGATGATTGCAGCATCCCAGGTCATGTGATCACCATTTATAACCTCAGTTGACTTCCAGCAAGTAAAGTTAAGGGGGGAAGCCAGATTTGCCTAATGACCTCATGGTTCACTTAATGGATTTGCTTAAAAACCATGGCAAACGTAAAATGGGGCAACTCATTTAACAACTATGTTGCTTAACAATGGAACTTTTGGGCTCAGTTGTGGTTGTATGTTACGGACTACCCATGTTGTATTATTTTTATACAGTATAATGTCTTCTGGCTTGCTGACAACTGTTAAAATGAAGGAGATTTGTTCCTCTAGAGCTAAGTGAATTTCTGCATGGAGTTAATTGTTGTAAGAAAGAGCTGCTATTTAAGATAACCAGAAGGGAAATAAATAGCTGCAGCAGATTCATTGGGCAGAAAGATTTCCATTTGGAAGAATGTAGACAGATGTGGGTTATTTGAGCTTGCTGCAGTGCTCTGTCTTCTATATGAAGCTTCTGAATCACAAGCAAGCAGAATTATGCTTTTAATTTATTTAAAATGAGTAATTTTCAGCATTTGTAAGAATCCCATTCCAGTCCAAGGAAACTTTGATCTGAATATTACAGGGCTAATTTTAACAGCATGCAGCTGTATAAGTTTTGTTTTAAATTTTATGCAGATACTTCTCTTTCTCAAACATTTTAATTTATAAATCAATATAGTTTCAAATGGACTGCTTTAAAATGATGGCTAACAGTTTCATTATTGATGTAACAGGAAGAAGGATTATTTTTTGTTGTTGACCTGATATTCCAGTTTTAGACATTTCGGTCCACTATGGTTCTGCATATGCCACTATTGAGCTTTTGCATCTTAAAAAATGGAATTAAAGAAGGTTGCCTTTAAAAATAGAAATGATGAATCTGCAGAGCATTGTTTATTTACATTATCATAAAGTGACTTGTGTAGACTTAAAACGAATAGGTCGTCCAGTTGGGGACAGTTGTGAGGAAAAGAATGTTCTTTTCCTTTTGCTGTCAACTACAGCAGTTTTATTAAAATACAATTCTTTGGTTGAAGTGTAATGGGAAACTTTGACCTAATGCAAGCCATGACATTTATGCTGAACCCTCTATTAAAGGTAAAGAGGGATTGGGCAAGAGAGAAACACCCAACCACATCCGTAGTGACATTTGTGAAACTTTGGGCTGTTGGAAGAAACTATTGTGGCAGAAAGGCAATGAAGGGAAGTAAGGGACTACTAAAGTTGAGGATTGTTGAAACTTTTAAAGCTTAAAAGAGCAATAGTAATTTTTCAATTTTGTGGGCAGTCCGCTTTTCTTTTAAATAGCTTTTTCCTTTTCATACAAGAGATTGGTGCTATCTTGCTCCCTCACCCAAGGATAAACTCCTGGATCTAAATTCATTTGGATCTCATGCTAAGAAGGTGAAGAAATTTGCATGGATAACTTGTTTACTCATGGAAAAGTTTGTCCTTGTCAACAATTTGTAACTATATAAAGTAATTTTAATATGTATTAATACTGTGATCATTTAAAAATTCATTTCAATTTCCTTTTTCTTTGATGAGCTATAATGCTTTCTAGGAAGAGTTTTAAAACACTGCAGGTCTGTTTTCTGCCTCATGCCTGATTAGGAGTGATTTTAAGGTGTACAGGTCTGGGAAAAGAAAGTAAAAAATTCAGTCATCAGTTGATTGAATCACTGTCAACTGCATGTTGTGAAGCAGGCTGCAATGTTATCTTAGCTCATTGTTGACAGGATGAGAAGATAAATGGTCCCCTTTCAGATGTGAGATAATTAAAATATTCCTTAAGGATGAGATGAACAGGTGGTGACTTTTTGTTTTCAAAAGCCCAAGCAGGCTACTGTACTGAGGAGGAGTGGTTGGCTTTTTGCCCATGTTGCTGGAGAGGCCCTTTGGGCTTCACTGTGCTGAACAAAAGGTGTTTTCTTTCTGATTAGGGGTAAAAACAACATAAAAATCAACTTTGTATGAAGGTTTGATTTGCAACAATGGCAATTGGAAGGCAAAGCAGATTGCTTCTATTGGCAGAATTCCAAGCCTGGTCTAGAAATTTTGTCTCTGCTTGGTAAAAAAAACAAGCAGCTTCACACTATGAAACTGATTACGTGTTATAAAGTAATAATTGATATTACTAATACTAAAATTATAGAAGAATTTACATGGTATACCTAATTTGCATTATAAAAATTCAAAACTAGCCATTGGGTATTCAAAAAATAAAGTTTGCTGTTGGCACTTTATATGTATAATATAGCTGGATTAGTTTAGAAAAGATTGACAGTTAATGTGTGGCAACTGGCCTGCATTTAAATCATGATGGCAATTGACAACATTTTTTCCTGGAAAGTTTGCATAACTGCTTCAGCAAAAGTCCTCAAATTGGATGTGGTCACATGATGACTGCCTAACAATTGGTGTGACCTACAACCATAATTCTGGCCTCAATTATGGTCATAAGTCGAAGACTTCTTATATGTAAAATGGAGTAAACAGGGTACAGTATATACTTCATTTTTTATTTCCTGTTCTGTTATGTCAAGATACAAAAAGCGAGTGGGATAATTCACTTCTCAGGTTGCAATGTGACCCTTCCAATGTAGGCCAGTTGGCTAAATTTTTTATATCAGCAGTCCCCAACCTTTCAGGCATGGCGGAGGCGGCAGTAGGGGGCGGGAGAGGAGATGGGTTCTCGCCCACCACTTTCACTGCCCAGTTCCCAATGGACTGCAGCCCAGCACTGGGCCACCGATGGGGGTCGGGGACCCTTGTTTTATACATGCCATTCAAGTTCCTGATAGTGTACTCTGTGCTCACACGAGGCACAGATGAACAATTCCTTTTAACTGAACTCAGTGTTCAAGCTAGATAGATTTGTGCCTCAAACCATCTTTCAAGCTATTTCTTTATATTCCTTAAAATATAATATTTACTATGTGTGCAGTTGGAAATAAGCACTTATCTTTATTTTGCAGAATTGTTTGCTCTTTCAAGTGGAAGGAGAGTGCCAATTGACCTTTGATTTCTTACCTTTATTTTGCAGAATTGTTTGCTGCTTTCAAGTGGAAGGAGAGTGCCAATTGACCTTTGATTTCTGTTCAGCCAGAGTTAATTTCAAGGCAAGGTAAGTTTTCCAACAACTTGTCATTGTTAATACCGAAGAGGCTTTGAATGTTGCATACTTTTCATGCAAAATGGTTAAAAACATGTTTTAAAAGCTCATTGTTTTTCTGTTATATACAGTAGTTCTTGGCCCAGTGACTGTTCAAAATGACTGCTGAAAATAATGGACTTATGACCCATGTCCAGAATGAAGGTTGTTGCAGTGCCCAGTCATGTGATCAAAATTCGGGCATAGGGCAGCCTGCCTGCACTTACGACTGCAGGGGTGCTGTAATTCCCTCCACCTCGCTTCCCCTCCCATGCTATTTTGGCCACCCTGCACTTTGGCATTTGGTGGTAGCTCTGGGACTGGTGCTGAAATAGAGTCCTGGGACTTTCAGAAGTCCCAGCCAGCTACCACTGCCCTTCGGCCTCTACTTCAGCCCCAGCACTGTCACTGCTACTGAGAAATAAATACAAGCTCCACATTAGCGCCAGCTACACCGGTACTATTCTCCAAAGCTGCAGTTGCCCTTGCTGCCCTGTGCTTCAGAGGTTCTATTGTGCCTCAATAACCTTCGCCATCCCACATCATTTTCCTGTTGTCTATTTTTCTAATCATCAAATCTATAGATCAAAATTTCATTTGTTTTTCTGTTTCACATATAAAGTCCGAAAGGGGGTTCCAATCAGCATTAGAATTAATCAGTATCTTTTCTTTAATCAGAGCTGTCAATTTCACCATCTCGGCCAGCTCCATCAACCTTACCATCCATTCTTCTATGATGGGAAATGTCAGACCCTTCCATCACTGTACATATAAATATCTCACTGCTGTTATATAGAAACAAAGTTCCATGAGTTTTTTGCAACTGTTTTAAAAAGTTCATCAGAAAGTTTCAATTGTATATTGGTCTTCAAGAGTTCTGCATTAATGTATTTCAACCCAATTTTTTTAGCTTTTTTGCATGTCCATCCAGCATGATAAAAAGTTCCCTCGTTCACATTTCTGACATACATTCAAAGTACTTTTATATACTTTAGACACTTTTTTCAGTAACAAATACTACAGCATTTTATGAAAATTCTGTTTAAGATTATAACACAGTCTGAATTTCAGTCCTTGCATCCACGTATTCTCCCATTGTTCCCTTTGAATATCACAACCAAAATTTTTAGCCCATTTTATTATACATAGTTTATACATGTACGAATTGGGGGATAGTGCAGTGCAAAGATGCAGCCACCCAACTTGTTCAGCAGTGCTTATGGCTGCAGGGATGCTCCAATTCATTCCACCTATCTCTGCCCCACCCCTGGCTGTGCCCTTTTAGCTGCCCTGTTCAGTAGCAGTAGGCTGCAGCAGCGTGGTGGAGCTGAAGGGTTAACGTTTCACAAGATAGGCTCGAGATTCAGAAAGATCTTGATAGACTTGAACAACCAAATGCAATTCAGTGAGGAGAAAAGTAAGGTTTTATACTTAGTCAAGAAAAACTAAATGCATGTATAGAATAGGTGGTACCTGGCTCAAGAACAGTAACTGTGAAAGGTATCTAGGAATCCTAGTGGACAACCATTTAAGTATGAGCCAGCAGTCTTAGTGCAATACGATACGATACAATACAATACAGTGCACTCTTAGGGTGCATCAACAGAGGGATAGCTTCAAGATTACATGAAGTGATAATACCACTTTATAATGCTTTGACAAGATCACGTTTGGAATAGTGCTTCCAGTTTTGGTCGTCACAATATAAAAAAGATGGTGAGACTCTGGAAAGAATGCAGAGAAGAGCAACAAAGGTGCTGGAGGATAAAGGATATGAAGAACGGTTGCAGGAACTGGGTATGTCTAGTCTGGTGAAAAGAAGGAATAGGGGCAACATGATAGCAATCTTCTGATATCTAAGGGGCTGCCACAAAGAAGAAAAGGGTCAACCTATTCTCCAAGGCACCTGAAAACAAGACAAGAAATAATGGATGGAAACTTAACAAAGAGAGAATCAACCTAGAATTAAGGAGAAATTTCCTAACAGTGAGAACACTAATTAGTGGAACAGCTTGCCTTCAGAAGTTGTGTGTGTTCTATCACTATTAGGAACCTAGGAAGGAATCCTCTGACTCTGGACATTTTTAAATCCATTGAAAATAAATACACCTGAATGGTCTTTCGTTTTTCAGTCCTGCTGCTTTATGCTTCATTCAGAAATGTGATTTGGAAGAAGGTGTGTGCGATTTAGGAAATGAGGCTCCTGCTGTTTTCCAAGCCCTGGGGCATACACACATATTCCTGCCCTGCTCCTTACCTGGGACTCTGCTTAACAACCTGTGATTCTCACTTAATCATGGCAACTGGGAGTGCTGGGATTGTTGTCACAAGAGAATCAGTGACATGACAGTTCACTTAATGGCCACATTGTTCAATGACTGAGATTCCAGTCCCAATTGTGGTCATAAATTAAGAACTACCTGTAGATATATGTACAGATTAATTTATTGTATCTCCTTATAGCTGTAATAAACTGATTTGATTTGAAAACCCAATAGGATCCTCAGTGTAATTATAACACAATTTTACTTTTAAAAAGGTATATTAATGCTTTCCCAATAGGCTGTAATAGTAATTCTTCTTAATTCTGTCATTTTGAGGGTTTTTTTTCCCAAGAGATAAAGCTTCAATAATTGAGAGTTTGAACCCAGTCAGGACTATTATTGTAGTATTCACTAAAATACTTTTAATTCATTTGTAATGGTTTACATAGGACCCAACTTCGCATAGAGGTTAAGACACCAGAATAGAAATCAGAAAACTGAATTCTAGTCCCGCCCTAGCACAAAGACAGCTGGGTGACCTTGGGCCAGTCACTCTCAGCATTACAAATCATGCAATTGCAAACCATTTCTGAAATCTTCCCAAGAAAATTCCAGGCAGTTGCCAGGAGTCATGACTGACTGGAAGATACCAAAAAAGAAACTTTACAGAAGGTAAACTCATCCTGACAAATTATTTAGGAATTTAACAAAGATACTGGTATTTGAAACCAGTATCCTGTGACCAGCTTCTTCAAGACAGCTTGAGTTGAAGAGGCATTAAGGCTACAACTTAGAGGCCCCCAGTCATTACCAACTTAACTCAAATGTGTTTTTTTCCTGGAACTCCTTTCTCCAAAAGGAGAAAATCCAGAAAGCATCCATGAATATCAACTAGCAGTCAGAAGACATGATGAAAAATCTTTAATTTCCCAACACATGGGCAGATTTAACCGTAGTTTCAACTGGAAAACTTGATGATCCTAAACCAAGCCCAGTGTTTTTGTTGGAGGATGTTATATAGATGATCTGTTTCCTTTTTCTGCTGTCCACGGTTGCTGCAGTGTGTTTGTGCTCATCTAAATAGAGTTCTTACACAAGAGAAGTAAGAACTAGACGAGCACACACTGGTATGAGATGACTTTTAGCAAAGCCATTTTCCTGTAAATGTAATTCTTCAAAGATATTGTAAGTTGACAAGATACTGTAACCAACATATGCAACCCTGAAACACTTGGATAGATTCCTGGTTTATTTTGGCTACAGAAGAAATCCCTTGTGGCTGCTTGATTGTGATATGTATATAACTTGATTTGCTACCACCAATTTTCTTCAGAGTCAACATCTCTTCCTAAGCTCTAGTTCTTTGTTAAGTGTGGAAGAACAGGTTACAGTTTGTCTATTACAGCTTGTAGTAAAGATTTGGGGATCTGACAAATGTAATTATTTGCTAGACATAAAAAAGTAATGGGCTTGACACTTTGTTAAGAGAATTCTTAAAGCTTGTGTGATCCTACTGTTGTCCTTTTCCATTTTCAGAAATTATTCAGTAAACACATTTCCCTTATTACAGAGGGACAGCCATTGATGTTGGTTAAATTTTCTCTGTTGACAGATTAAAGTGAAAGGATTTATAAGAGATGTCAAAAACAAATAAATCAAAATCTGGGTCCCGTTCTTCTCGCTCAAGATCTGGGTCTCGGTCTCGGTCTCGGTCTTTCTCAAAGTCTCGGTCTCGGTCTAGATCAGTTTCACGCTCAAGGAAACGAAGGCTCAGGTCAGTATTTTGGGGTTGTCTCTGGGGTTGTCAGATTTTTACCAACAAATGCTTCACCTTCAGATCCTCATATGAAAAGAATGTCTATTATGTTACAACTGCATGTCAGAAGTTGTATTTCAATAATTCTATCAAAATGATTCTTGATCGTTCATGAAAAGAAAGCTTCATTAAAACTTGTACTTTCCATGTTGGGAAAGGATTCTTTTGGGAGATAATTTTTGGTCACTGGCAAGTATTTGCTTTTCTTGTTCTTTTGTTGTTGAGGAATGCTATAAATTATAAGAAAACGTTTCCTGTTCTGTAAATTGACAGATAAAATGAGGTTTTATGGTCAGACCCTTTCCCCTGTTCAAGAGCAAAGAGTAGCTGCAGTATGTGCAAATGTTTTAACTGATTTCCCTTCAAAATCTTCAAGTTTTTACTTTTTAGGACCCTGCAAGCAGAAAAGAGTTTAATACAGATAGAAAACTAGTGATTTCAGTTTCCTGATCTGAATATTGTGGTGTTGCTGGTAACTAAATTCCCAAAAGCAAGAGATAATTTTCTATGTGCTTTTCTGATTCCATATTGAAGCTTGGACTCTTATGTAAAAAAGAATAGTTGTTCAGATAATCCCAGATAGCTGCTTAGGGACATGCCTTGTCTGTTTATGGGGTTGCTCTGCTTTTCAGAAACCACTTAGTCTCCGAACAGATTTCTTTTTCTTGACTTCCTGTTATATTTAATTAAACGTTTAAATAATTGAAAATATTCTGTGTTTTGTTAGGCTACAGACACAAGTAATTGTTAATAATTAGAAATGCGTGGGAAAGGCAACTGTATCACGCAGTGAAACTGAAGGGCTTTTCTTCCAGAGGGCAAAATCACTAGGAACATCTGTCTAAGCAATATTCAGAAAAGCAAATGGAAACAGATTCCTTGTGCAAAATGTCTCTGGAAGTGAAAACCTATTGGAGAAATTTTTGTTTTGTGAATTATTTGATTAAAGAAGCAAAATGGAAAAAGCTGGCATGTACAAATCATTTGGGAAAAATTTAGCAATCTCTCAGAGGTAGGATTCATTTCTTCAGGATAGTGGCTGCAGATCATAATCCTTTGGCAGAGGAAAAAGCTGTAGCAGCTGTTTGCTTTCAGTGACTCGGTTGGGAAAATTGGCTGGATTGTATTTGTGTCTCTCTCTGGAGAGTTTTTATTTTCTTCAACTTGACAGTCTGTTTAGTTCATGGTATGAGTCAGTCATTTGCCTCTCTTTTCATTTCCCCTAACTTTGTGGAGTGATCTGAGCCCATGTGGTTTTAAATCTCATTGTTGATTTTTTTAGATCAAACAAAACCCTCTTTACTGTTGTAGAACTTGGGTTTCATTCCATGTCTTTGAAAATGATTTTTTGTGAACAGCCTCCAGGCAACTGGTCCTCAATAATTGTTAACCTAACCGCTTGGGGACCGGCTCTTGTGTGGGTTGATTAGTTCTTTTAGAACTACCGTTAATTGGCTTGCTTTCACTGCGTGCACTAGGCTGTGTGTCTGCTTCTTCTTTCTTCTGTTCCTGAAACTGTTTGCGAATGAGACAGTATCCCAGGTAAATTGGTCTCTTTCTTATTTTTATCAGGGAGGAAAGTGTATTGTGCTGCTAGACAGCAGTGACTTTTTATGTTGACCTACACCCTTATAGCAATGCTGCAAGGTATGTTAGGCTGAATATATATGTTTCAAAGTCAGGATCTGGGTTTTCCTAATCATAGTCTTGGCCTTTGACTTTCTAAGGTGATATTACCTACACTTTTTTCAGCAAAATCAAACAGACTTGCTCAAAACATTACACATGTTACAAAATACATCTCCAGTGTTATTTGATTTTCCTATATAATTTAACATAGATATCATCTTCTATAGCTGTGGTTTAAAAGACAGTGGCTTTATAGTAGGTTTCAACTTTTTTTTACTAGCGTGATAAAGTTCAAACTCAGTTCTGCTCATTTTTTATATGTGATTTCTCTGTTTTCAGGTTTTAATTTACAGGTTTCATCCAATCCATGCCAGGATTGTTCTCAACAGGAGTTTTAGAAGACTGATAGTCTTTTGAGGTAGACTAGGTCAGGAAAGAGGCACCACAAAAATTACTGGAATTATCCTATAGGTTGTAACAACAGAATCTTGAGACCCTGACAGAGTTACCCTCTGCCTTCTCAAGAGTGAATCAAGACAGGGTTATCTTGAGATTCTTTCCCATCCCTTCCTCTTTCCTAGGGCCAAACTCCTTTATATAATCATTCTTGCTTACTCCTAACAAAAATAAATGCATTGTAGTTGATTTTTAAAAGGGATAGCAGTATTCCAGTATTTGAGGAGCTGCTACAAAGAAGAGGGAGTCAGGTTATTCACCAAAGCACCAGAGGGCAGGACAAGAAACAGTGATTGGAAATTGATCAAAGAGAGAAGCAATCTGGAATTGAGGAGAAACTTCCTGACAGTGAGGACTTGTCACTTGTCTGAGATGGTATAGGGTCTCCTGCTTGAGCAGGGGGCTGGACTAGAAGACCTCCAAGGTCCCTTCCAGCTCCTATTTCTATTTCTATTCTCAGTATCTGTGTATTTTAGTAATGTTTTTGTAGGAAAATCAAAGCAATGCAATAACCAATTTTTTCTTCTAGCTGGTAAATTCCAAATGTTAGCTTTTTAGTAAAGAGGATTATTTTGAGAAATTCTAGAAAGGGAATCTTTATCCTGTCAAGCAAGGAAGAATAGGTTTTTTGAATTACATTGAAAAGTATTATGTATATTTACCAAATACCTTTTTTCTCCTCAGTTCTAGGTCCCGTTCAAGATCATATTCTCCCTCTCATAACAGGGAGAGGAACCATCAACGAATATACCAGAACCGGGATTTTCGAGGTCATAACAGAGGCTATCGGAGACCCTATTACTTCCGTGGAAGGAATAGAGGATTCTACCCGTGGGGCCAATATAATCGAGGTGGTTATGGAAATTACAGGTCTAATTGGCAAAACTATCGCCAAACATACAGCCCTCGAAGGGGGCGTTCACGTTCTCGGTCACCAAAGAGGAGATCTCCTTCTCCAAGATCCCGAAGTCATTCTCGAAACTCTGACAAATCATCATCTGATCGTTCAAGAAGGTCTTCATCATCTCGGTCATCTTCTAATCATAGCAGAGCTGAGTCCTCCAAACGTTGGTCGTTAAAGGAAAAGAAGTCTTCTAAGGAGGTTCGAGGGTCCCAAGGTGCTGGGGACAACCAAGGGGATGACTCCAAGGAACAGCCCTTCTCAGGAGGAACTACCCAGGATGTCAAGTCTTCAGAGGGGTCAAAACCCTGGCAAGATGTGGGAACCTATGGCACCAGCGCAGCCTCAAGGGCCTCTGCCCTGACAGAGTTGAGTCCCAAAGAGCGTAGCCCAGCGCTAAAGAGCCCTCTCCAATCAGTCGTAGTCAGGCGCCGATCGCCCAGGCCAAGCCCACTTCAGAAGCCCAGTCCAACATCTTCCAATCCTTCCCAGCTGGGCTCAGCTCTGCAGAGCGGCAGTTCCTTTCAGGCAGGCTCACATCAGTTTGAGCATGGTTTAGCCAGCCTGAGCCCAACCAGGAAGAGCCCAGTATGCAAAAGCCCCACAACAATCAGCTCCATTTATGGGGCATCTCAGAAGGAGGAAATAGGGGCAGCCTTTTCTAAGAGGCAAGTGGTCTTAATTCATGGAATTGATTAATTGTTCCTATTTGGGTTGGAAGCTGGATGCATAGTTTAGCTGCTAAAAATAATGTAGGTTAATGGAATGATTGCCTTTCTTCAATGTGGCTATAGAATAAATAAGTTGCTCTTGGATACTGTTTGCATGGAATTGGATCCAGACTAAATGTGCTGCTATATGAGATTTAAATCATAATGAAGAGCACTTTATATTATTTTAATAAGCTGTACCTAAACCAGGCTTAGTTTGGATCTCAGTCCATTTCATGAAAAAGTAACTAAATTAAATTAGGAGAAATAAAAGAGGTATTTTGGGAAACTATTCCACATCCTGAATGCATATTTTACTTGGGTAGTTTTAAAAACAGGTAACCCTCAACTTAGAATTATTAGTTTAGTGGCTGTCCGAAATAACAATGGCCGTGATTTACAACAGATCCTCACATTTCTTATGACTGTTGCAGGATCCCCCATATGGTCACATGATCAAAATTGGTAACTTGGCAACTGGCATGTATCTACCAATGGTTGCAGAATCCTGGTGTGTGTGTGTGTGTGTGTGTGTGTAAGTAAAGGTCATATGATCATTATTTGGGACCTTATCACTTGGCTTCTGACACGCAAAGTCAAGGGGGCAAAAGGCAGATTTACTTAATAACGGCATGATTTGCAAACAACCATGTCAGAAGTTGTAAAATCAGGCAAGACTCACCTAACAATAGAAATTCTGGTCTCAATTGTGGTATAAGTCAAGGTCTACCTATATTATTAGTCACATAAATAGCTGGAGGCGTTTTTTGATTAAAAATTAATTGAATATCAGTAATGTCACATTTCAGATTCAAAGTCTTACTTAAAATTAATATTTACAAATATTTTAAAATAACCTTACATATATTTTAGAAATTGGGAGATAAATCTTCAAGTGGTTAGCGTTCTGATTTTACTGATATGTACAAATTACGTACATACAATATGGTGTGAAAAATGGCTTCCTGAAAAGTTAAATGTAGTTTTGATTTGGATTCATTCCAGAATTCACCTTTTCATGCATTTTCCAGGATTCTGAAACAGTCCAGCATGACTGAGCTTCGGTTTCTGTAGTTTCCCTTGTAAAACTGATTTTAAATTTACCAATTACCTGTTCTCTCCACATGAATGGAGGTTTTATTACACTATGTTTAGCAAAAAGCCAGCTTGATATTGGAATTTGGTCTTTGCCTGAGTGGACTAGCAAATTCTTGAGTTTGGAAGGAGTTGGTAATGAAAATTATGAACACTGGAACCAAGGAAACCTAAAATCCAAGCTTTTTGTGAAACCCAACTTGTGGCATTGTCCAAACTAATTGAAATGGACCAAACATCTGTGCTTTAATGTTAGGTAGGCCTAATAGAAGAAACTTCAGGTTTGTATTTTCTGTGTGGCCAGCTGCCTTGGCGACACTAAAGCTTCTGTTTTAGATTAAATCTCAGTTCATAGCTTTATCCAGTACAAATTATGGATTAGAGTGGCTAGTGGAAACTAAATTATAACTTGATGTTTACTACTGCTAATACTAATGAAAGTTAACCACATTTTCTTTCAATTGGACAGATTTTTAACCAGGAATAGAAGGCAGTTCATTAGGATTCTTGTTGAGATTTCCTGGAGTATTTAAATGTTTAATGTGTATCAGAGTGAAAAGGCTTTGTGCTCCATAGGACAAAATCCTGAAGAGAAATGGCATAAAACTCTGGGCAATGCAAATTTAGGAAGAATTAACCTGCCCATTTGTGCGATGCAGCTATATGGCCATTAATTAGGCCACTGCTGTCCAATGGGGAAAATTTTGTGTTAGCAGGAAAAGCTGATTTTTAGACATTGCTGGAATATTATTAGAGCTCCATCAGGGGTTGCTTTCACAGCTATCATTTATTTGTTGCTATGTGGCAACACCAGATTTGGTGATCTAAAGCAGAGTAAAATTTGAGTAGACTGATGGCTTATGTTCATAATAGGGAATAACAGGAATACCGGTATATTCCCTTAGTTTACCGTGTTAAAGGTATATTTTAAACTTAGATTTTTCTTTTCTGAGAGTGTTCTAAAATGGCTTAAACTAAATCTAGGGTACATGGATACAGTAGGAATGTCTTTAGAGCAGGTGGGAGGAGATTGGTCACAATTTAAATAGAAATCTGCAGACATTATATTATTTTGGATTTTTTTGTATTATAAACGTTGTAGAAGATGGTTTCCTCAATTTTAAAACAAGGGAAAGAATAGTATTGAATTTCTAAATGCACATTTTAACAGTGCTGCGTCTTTAATCATCCATTATTGCAAATAAGGTAGATTTCAGAACATTGCTAGAATCATAGTTCAGAAGCAGAACCTTTCTGGTATGCTTTCAGAAGCATTTGGCAAGATATTTGAAATAGTGCTCACAGTATTTGTCATCCTCTGGAATCTATTCATGGGCTTAATTTCTAGCAAGTATCGATAACTGTTCAAAAGTCAACTTGTACATCCAGTAAAAATTAAATAATGAAAGTGGCAGTTGCAATGAACATCCTTGGGCAGAAACATTATTTTCATGGTTTAAAAATAACAGCTATGTTATGGAAACATCCATATTAATACACGGATGTTAATTTTAGCTGATGTGGTAATCTTGCAGCTAGATCTGTTTTGAATTCCACCTCTGATTGAACATTAAATTGTTTTTAGAGCTAGATGCAATAATCACTGGTATCAAATTAAATCATCCGATCTGGTTAAACATTGCCATTCTTGATAAGTGTTCATTTCCTCCCAGCCAATTAAGTATTTTCCCCATTAACGTTTTTGCTTTTATTTGTGTTTTGAATTGTCTATAGCTTCCATAGGAGACATGCCTTCAAATATTTGAAGTAGCTTTTGAGCCTTTTATTTCCATTGTGTGTTACTTAAAAGCACAGCAGTCCAAAGTGAAAATGTTGATGGGTTAATTCTTCAGAAACAGGTTTGTAAATGAATACGCAGGTTAGGTAAGATACTTTACATATTTTCTGCCTTCTAGCTGTGGCAAAAGATTCTAGAAAGATTGCCATTTTATCACTGTTGCTAAGGTATTTGTTCCCAGGTTCTGTGACTTGCTAATCAGGTGTTAAACAATGCAAAAGAAGCTAACTAAACATGGGCCACACATCACGAGACAGGGTCTTTTCCAGATGGCTTGATTAGATCCTACAGGAATAACTGCCTGAAATATTCCCTCTCTTTACTCATAGGTACCTGGAAGAACAAAAAGCAGAGAATGGGAAGGACAAAGAGCAGAAACTGATGAATGTAGAAAAGGACAAAATGAAAGAGAAGGGAAGCTTTTCTGAGATGGGATTAGTGGATGGTAAAACAAAGTTAGATCCTTACACCTCTAAGGCCGATACAGAAAAGATGCATCGTGGGAATCAGTCCCCAAAGCGCTATAAAGTTCGAGATGATTTTGAAAAGAAAATGGCCGAGTTCCACAAGGAGGCCCACTATGGCAAAGAGGAGGCAGAGGAGCCAGAAAAGAAAGTTAAGGGCAAAGGACGGAAGGAATCCAATTTGGAGGAGGACGAGGACGAGGAGCCCAAATTTGTGAAGACAGCGCCTGCTTCCAGCAGAAGCCAGGATGAGGATCGGCCAGGCAAATGGGAAGGCCTGGTTTATTTACCAGCAGCCAAGGAAAAGCAGAGGAAAGCAGAAGAGGTGGCCGAGGAGTCCTATGCTGAGCCCTCCAAGAAAGACGAGAGGCAGGCGGCCAAAAGAGCAGAAGCTGGGCACCGAGGGTTTGTTCCAGAGAAGAATTTCCGAGTCACCACCTACAAGGCAGGCCAGGAAAAAATGGCGACCTCTCCCCCACCCCGAAAGGCCCCAGAGAGCAGAGAGAAGCCGAGCGTGCGGGGGGAAGGCCTGGCCACTGGCAAATCCTCCTTTTCCATTACTCGTGAAACCCAAGTCAATCTTCGGATGGATTCTTTTGATGAGGATCTTGCTCGGTGAGGCATTCGGCATGTCTGGCTTTGTGGAGAAAGGGGGGTTGGGGAAAATGAATGCCTATTCTATTCCCTCATTCTCTCAGTAGAAAGGGTAAATCAGGAGCCGCTTAAAAATAAGCCCAATTTTCTATTTATAGAGCACTGTACTTGCTCTTGCTGCTAAAAATATATGGGTGCCAATTGTTTTGTAAAGAAAGCAATATTAACTAAATATAATTTTAAGTTATCATTTAGTGTTAACTCAAAAAATGGGGGCTTTACTAGCACACAATCAAAAGTAAAATGTAACCCTCAGCCCAGGAAAAGTTGTACAGACTCGGGTTACATTCTATTTAAAGTGAAAACTGAAAAAGATCCTTACTGAAGCACCGTAAGAGTGGCTATTTTTATTTGATGCATTTAATTTATATTTAATTCATCGACTTACAATAAAATACATAAAATATAAAAAACCCACATAGGAACTGGGTGTCGTCCAAACAGTTATCAGTGCAGCCAGAAGATTGGCTCTGTCAATCAATCGGAATAGAGTTGGAAGGGACCTTGGAGGTCTTCTAGTCCAACCTCCTGTTCAAGCAGGAGACCCTATGCCATTTCAGACAAGTGGCTGTCCAGTCTCTTCTTAAAAACCTCCAGTGATGAAGCACCAACAACCCTCTGGAGGGAAGCTGTTCCACTGGTTAATTGTCCTCACTGTCGGAAGTTTCTCCTTAATTCCAGGCTGCTTCTCTCCTTGATTAGTTTGCATCCATTGTTTCTTGTCCTGCTTTTGAAAACAAGTTGACCCCCTCCTCTTTGTGGCAGCCTCTCAAATACTGGAATACTGCTATCATGTACTGCTAGTCCTTTTCTCTAGACTGGCCATACTCAAATCCTGCAACCGTTTTTCATATGTTTTAGTCTCCAGGCTTTTAATCATCTTAGTTGCTCTTCTTTGCACTTTTTCCAAAGTCTCAACATCTTTTTTGTAATGTGACCAAAACTGGATGCAGTATTCCAGGTGTGGCCTTACTGAGGCTTTATAAAGCGGTACTAATACATTCACATACCCAGAACTCCAGACTCGTGCACAAAACCGCTCTTGGTGTAATTATGGGTAAATTATGCATGTATATAAAAAAAAGAAGCACTGCTTATTAGGTCTCTCCTAACCCTTCTCCTTAATTAATGCTATTTTTATCCAGGTTAACCCAGATGTAGTTATGCAACTAGTGGTCCCATTCCTCTCTCTGCCAGTGAAAATGAAGCCTCAAATCTTACTTGTTAAGCATGCCCAAAAGCCCTTTATAAACCTGTGTTTAGATAGTATATGGTGCCCAGCATTTCTGTCTCAAAGCTTGCCAGCCTGAAAATCTGAAAAGTAGCATGCACATTAGTTGAGTGGGGAAGGAGAAGAAAAAATACATAAATTTATATATTTTGTTGTAGGACCTCTGCTTATTCAGCAGTCTCCATTGAGATCAATTCTGACTGTCATCCAGCATCTTAGTGAAGAACTGATAGACACACACACACACACACACACACACACACACACACACACACACACACAGGGTTCCTTTTTTCACATAATGATTGCTTAACTTGCCATTTTATACTAAAGCAACATAGTGTTTGCTGCCCATTGAAACATTGCTTGTGGCTTGGTGGCTGGCATTTTGTCCCCAAGAGCTGTGAAATGAAAGCCATTCCCATTCCTCTCTTCTTGAAGCTTGGCTACAGTGAGAAAAAGGATATTAGTATGAATCTAGATTTGGAGAAAATAATATCAGAAGAATAATTCTCTAAAGCGGGATATACCATAATCTCTTTTGACTTTTAGGGTGCCACATTTTACATCACTATGGTTTCCAGTCTGGAAGTGGCCTTCTGTGGCAGCTATAACCATTCATACATGATCTTTCTCATGTGTCTTTACAGCCCAAGTGGGATTTTGGCACAGGAGCGCAAGTTATGTCGTGATTTGGTGCACAGCAATAAAAAGGAACAAGAGTTCCGTTCCATTTTCCATCACATTCAGTCAGCCCAGTCTCAGCGAAGTCCCTCAGAGCTCTTTGCCCAGCACATAGTGACCATTGTCCATCATGTGAAAGGTGAGTTTCCTGGGCTTTTAAGCCAGCCTGGCACTGCTGCTTTCTCAGAAATCAGTGCAGACTTCTGTATGTTTCTTTTCAGTAGAGCAAATGGGGAAATGCTTCCATATGGAATATGCAGTGAATTCTGCAACGAGCAGGAGATTGGATTGATAACTGCCTTGGGCAGTGTGTTGGACTAGAAGACCTCCAAGGTCCCTTCCAGCCCTATGATTTATTCCTATATTGTTTTATAAAAAAGTATTTTTGAAAGATTCTGGAACAATTTCTTCATTTTACCTCTTAGCTGATTTCGATTCAGTTCTAGTTAAACTTCTATTTCTCTCTCCTGTGAATCAAACAGAAATAAATTAACCCAAATCATTTTATCTATTCCTGCTTCTGGCAAATTATTTATGTTTTCATATATCAGTATTCTAGATAGAAATCACGGAGTAGTTTAGGGTATTATAAACTCCAGGGAGGCTGTTTTGAAGAGAAGGTCCGCAGTTGGTGATTGCTGGGCCTGCATCCCAGTCTCTTGGATGAGGGAGCTTTATGCATCATTCTGAGATGAGCACATGGAATGATACAGTTCTGTTTGAAAGAGATGGAGAATATCTGTCAGTGAAGCTATAAAAAGCTTGTATGTTAAAACCAGTATTTTGAATGGTACCCATAAACCTACAGGAAGCCAATGCAGCATTTGTGAAACCAGAGTTACTCATTTGCCAGCTGTAGGCAGCCACCTTTTGTGCTAATTGAATTTTCCCAATAGTCTTTAAAGTCAACCCCATATAAAATTACTACTAGCTTTGAGCAAAAGGAAAGTGCAGCTATTTGTACTCAAAGTGGGAACATGTATTGAATCTGGGCCTAAAGGAAGCTCTGCCTTTTCCTGGACCCATGCAGTGGCTGCGTGGTGCTGACAGGTACAGGGAATATGCCTACGCCAGAAACTAAACAGCTTCACATTCCTAGACATGTTACTATGCAGGCCCTTTGTGAACCATTGGTAAAAACATTGTCACAAGGAGAAGAAAAGTCCTCCCCCAAAGTATCTTTATTGGTGACTGAGAACATGTGTAGCCCTGAAGATGCACACTGCAGGATTCTGAAGCCTTGCTATTGGATTGCAGCAATCTTATTAGGCAACATAATTACAGGGGGACTATGCTGCCTGGAGAAAATAGTTACTGGATTGTAGCCCATGAGAAAGAAACTTTTCTCCACATATGGCTTAGAATATTGTCTACTTCCTGATCTTTCCACTTCTTTGTCTGCTTCCACCTAAGGAGTGAAAAAATGGATTAAAATGACTGAAACTCACTTGTCTGGAATAAAAAGTCTAGGAGCAGGATAGTTATGAAAGTGAAGAGTGGCATGGAACGCTCCTTATTTTTTAGGAGAGTCCTGCTCCATCTCACGCTTAGTAGCATCAGATGGCTTTAGTGCCAGGAAAAGCTTCCAGTTAGAAGACTTTAATACGTCTAAGCAATGAGGTGGATCCTCTCCTCTTTCTGTCTTTACCCCCTCTTCACTTCTCTACTGTTTGCTTCTTGAATCTGTTGCAGAGCCCACTTTTATCTTGTCCTAAAGTCTATATACAATATTAACAATATGGTGTTTCCTCATCGTAAATCAACAGAGCATCACTTTGGGTCTTCAGGAATGACGTTGAATGAGCGCTTTACAAAATACCTAAAGCGGGCAGAGCAGGAGTCGGCTAAGAACAAAAGCCCTGAAATCCACAGGTGAGTGGAACTTGGCCTGAAAGCAGAGCAGGGTCAAGTGGGAGAACCGAGGGTCTTATGCTGAAGTGGAACTTTAGAATATGACAAACATAGGAAGAGATGTTGCAGGGGCTTAAGGCTTGAATTAGAGCTGGACATAAATAGCCTTTTAAAAGGTGCAGAACTGGGTGCAGGATTTCCTTGGATTTTTACAGAGAAAGGAAAATAATCAGGAGATCTTGGGTTCATTGGCAGCGTGGGAAACTCAGGAATCTGCAGACAAGAGAGGACTGTATACAGTACTCCATATTCATATATAGCATCCAGCAACCTCATGAATGAAAGAAACCCAAGTGCAGCCTATGAAAAATGATCTGAAATTCTATTTTCTTTTGAAGTAATTTCTAAAACAAAATTTCATTCATTAAAAATATTAAGAAATGGTAGAAAAATGCAGGAGAATTTCTATGCCTAGTATTTGATTTTAATTTACAGCTGAAAATCATGGAGGGGCATAGCCAAATCAGCCTGCTCAGTATTAGGCAGCTGATCAGGAGCAAGCCCTGCTTGATTGAAGGAGCGGGGGGGGGGGGGAATTATGCTTGTATGGGCAGATGTATTTTTACCTGACCTCCTCCTCCTCCTCCTCCCCCCAGCCCCAACATCTCATAGGTTAAGGCTCTAACAGATTCTGTGCAAAAATGTCAATAATTGGCCAAAAAAGGCAAGAGTGCTGAAACTGGATTTAAGTTCCTGAACATTTAACAGGATGAATAGCGTTCCCATAAGTTGAGACATGTTTCCTCAGTGCTAAGGACCAAAAGCAAACGGAGATTTCAAGGAAGCCCAATTCTGTTAGATTGCTTCATGCTCTGTGTTTATGAGCTTTGCACTATTGCAAGAGAATGCACAATATTTATCTCAACATAATCCTTGCCTTATCGCAGGATTAGCAATGGTAGCTTCTCCAAGGCCACGAGGGGTCTCACAATCAGTGTCCCAGCATACCATCCAGGGTTAGGTAGCATAATAAGAGCTTATTTATTTATTACAATCATTTGTATCCACCTGTAATAAAATGCCAGGCGGTTCAATAAGTCAAACATCATAAGAGGTCATAAGGCTGAAGCTCATTCCAGCAAGACCTAGTGGCTGTAGACCAGACATGTCAAACACAAGGCCCGGGGGCAGGATGCGGCCGCAAAGTGGTTTCATGTGGCCCGTGAAGCCATCCTGGAAAAAGCAAGGGAACGCCCCTTGCTGCCTTGGCCCTGGCCCTGGCCGGCCGGAAGCCAATGTACAGTTTTGTGGTGGCCATCTGTGCTGAAATGTATTCAGTCTTAGCTCCACAAGGCCGTCTGGGAACAGCGAGGAACCAGGAACTGATGGTTGCAATGTCCTGGGGTGATATGATCACCTTTTGCAACTTTCTAGCAAGCAAAGCCATGGGGAAGCCAGATTCACTTAACAAATGCATCACTAAGTTAACAACTGCAATGATTCACTTAATTGTCTCGCTTAGCAACTGAAGTCTTGGGTTCAGTTGTGGTCATAGGTCAAGGACTACCTGTACTCTAGTGCACTTTACAGAGAAATGTCCTTGAAGACTAGCTCAACTGGTCCAAAATGTGGTGGCAAAAGCAGTTGTGGTCCCACCTGCATTGTCCATGTGGTGTTGCTCCTTCTCAAGCTGCCTTGGTTGCCACTGGGCTTCCAGATGCAGTTGATGGTGCTAGTGGTCATCTGTAAACCTTCTTGGTGTAGAGCTTGGCCCATCTGCAGGTCCCCTTGTCTGCAGTTGTGCCTGCCTGTCCAATAAGATTGGCCTGCATCGCTTCCCATCCATCCAATGAGGATGTCTGCTGGGGTACAGATGGTGTGCCTCCTGTGTTGTTTTTCCTGCCCTTTGGAACAGCCTGTATCTGACATCTGTCCAGCCCTGACCCTGCCTGATTCATTCCACAGGCTTTGGGCCAGAGGGTTTTTTCTTTTACAAACTCATAAAGCTACTAGTAAAGGAGAATATTTGTAGCTCAGAGTTGAACCTCTCACTCATAAAGCTATCCACCCGTACAGTGAGTCCCGGTGGTGTATGGTAAGCACTGGCATAAGGTACAATTTTTAAAATCCATATGTTGTTTTTAAAAAAACAGCCATTAAAAACAAACCTGCAGGATCCTATCACCCTCTCTAACCCAAGGCTGAAGAAAGAGCCAAATTTTCAGAGCTCTTTTGAGCACAGCCAGAGCTGAGGCACCTTGGAGGGCTGCTGTTCCAGAACGCAGGTGGTGACAGACAAAACAGCCTTCTTAGGTCTTATCAGGTGATGCTAGTAGGTTAGAGCCATATTTTGTGTAACCACCTCTGGATTGTGCTGCTTATGATAGTTTCTTCCCCTGGTGAAGAAGTCATTTTTATTCCCTTTGTTGTATTGTTTTGAACCATTGTAAGCCATTTGGGAATATGCATCAGTGGGCAACTATAGCAATGGAAAAAGAAATAAGGACTCCCTCCCACCAAGACCCAAGACAGTGATCTTAATGAAAATGCAGTTAAAATCAAAGAAATACACAGTGAAAATCAAGTAATTAAAACTAGACAGCCTCCCAACTTCCTGGAGAGCTGTAACAGATAAGCTAGAGACAGGCCATTTCCTTAAAACTGCTGAAAAATAGTCTGAAGAAAGCAGTCTCAGCCTTTTAAGAGTGAAAAGGGAGTTGTTTACCTCTGAGATGACTTTATTCCCAGTCTTAAAATCCTCCAAAACACCAATAAGAGGGTGAAACTGACCAAGTTTATTCATAATTTGAACATCGGAAAAGACATTTTTGGTGTGTGTTTCTTAATCATGGCTTGTCTTTCTGTGTTTAGGAGGATAGACATTTCCCCAAGTTCTTTTAGAAAACATGGATTCTCACAAGAGGAGATCAAAAGTTCCAAAGAGGCCAGCTACAAGGTGAATCAATACTTTTGATTGGTGCTCATCTGTGTGCTTTGGGCATGAACTTTGGGTTTTTTAAAAAAAAGTGATTTTTTTTTAATTTAACTTGCTCTCTACTTAAGTTTGTGTTTTTCTTTCAAGGATGGGCATAATTCTAAAAATGAACTACAAAGGGTTAATTTTTATTAAAAAAAATGTATCAACAACCTTTGTGAAGTGGTTAGAAATATGGTAAATGACCACAAAATCAATTGAGGTTGAGCTTGAGACAAAAAGTGGATTTTTGGAAACAAGTGACCTTGATGATGGAAGAGACTTTTTGTGATATTTTGATGCTTGTAAGTATAACTAAATCACTTGTCTTACCCGTGATATTTTCCAACCATGTTTTCAAAAAGACATGCATGTCAGAAAGAGGAAATTAAGTCAAATTGTAAATAAGGCGAATCAAAGGACATTTTTTGCTAATGTGTCGTTTCCTGTTGAATTCTATTAGCTTATTTTAAAATGATGTTGAAAATGGAAGGTTTTTAAATATGCACAGTGAAATTTCAGTAGGCCCCTTATTTTAATATTACTATTTATAATTTTTAAAGAAGAGTATTTCATCTTTAAGCATTGTCTCTTCACCTTCATGCAAGTTTGTTTTAAAGTATTTTAACAATGCTGTGAAACTGTTTACTTTCCTATCATGCCTGTTCTCTGTTTATCAAAACACTTGTTGCTTCTGAAAGACAATAGATGAGCTCCGATGGGGAACGCAAAGTTATATATGTGCATGTGGACACATGAATAGGGACATTCTTCTGATTTGCAAACAAGAGCTTCTTAGCTCTGTGAGAAATGGAATGGATTGAATAATTGCTACATCTCCAGGTTTGGATGGTGATACTTGGTGACAAACCAGTTTCCACTATGGTAATAAAGTCGTCTTTGTCTTCTGAACTGCAAAGGATTGTTCTTCACCTGTGGAATGCAGAAGCACAAATAAAATTCTTCCAAGAACAAGTACCAATTTCTGCTGTAATTGAGCTATCCTATATTTTTATCAGGAAGGGTACTATAGATTTGTGTAAGTACTGCTTTAACAGAGAGCTGCTAATGCTTCTCATTGCAGTTAAGGGAACAGTTCTTTGGCCTGTTTTTGTGTGGTCTTTGCCTTGTGCCAGGCTGGAAACTGCTGAATTGGGTCAAGGCCCTGCATGAATCAACTTTTTCACTAATAACCAACAAGACTTGTACAGATACAAAATGATTTCTTGAATGAATAATTGCAAAGCTTTGGATGAAGGCTCAACTTTGCCATAAAATTTAGTTTTCTGACTATAATGTTTTCTCTGGTTCGTACTTATTCCTTTTTCCTTTTCTGCTCTTTCAATCTCCAAGGATATCTGAAGGTTATCTGCAGTTCCGTTTATTATGCAGGTGCTAAAAAACATAATAATTCAGAAGCAGCAGTTAGTTGCAGTTATTTGTATATTTATTGTACTTTTAAAAGTTCAGCGTTCCAAAAAAGTCATAATTTCAATAGCAAATAGGTTTGGCAAGGAGCAAGAAGGAAGCAAGGAAAGGGAGGAGAAACATAGTCCATTGCTGAGCAGTTGAAGCAGGACCTTGGGTTCCTATGGGCCGATGAGAGCATGAAGCTGTGGAAAAGGCCCAGGCATCAGAGTTTGCCTGGGTCCAAACCGCTTTCTCCTTCATTTAGTCTCCATCAACAGAAGTCTTTTCAGGCCTGTTTGTGTGTGTATGTGATGTGAGTTTCATGTTTGCAGTGCGCATATCTAAGTTTAAGTGATGATTCTTAGCAAGTCTTCAAAATGCATAGGTGTTGGAGGGAGAATGGACAAAAATGAGGACTTCTTGGGTTGCTCTTACTTCCCTACATCAATCTAGGGTGAAAATTTTCTGCGAAGCTTCTGAGGCTGAATTGCAGCTGGATGCTTCCTTTTCATGTTTTCTCTCAATATCCACAGCCAGGCTTCCCATTCTTGGGGAAGGTATCCTTTTTTTAGGAATAAGGGGATTTCATAGTTTTTAAGTCAATTTCCTGCAGCATATGACAAGTATTTTTTCCCTGCCCCAAATAGAAGTTGATAGCTTTTGGTTTTATTTAGTGATTGTGCCCTTGAGGTTGCACATAAGGGTCTTGGCTTTGGCTGAGTTTCTCTCTCATTTTACCTGGTTTAATAACTTAGCCAAGACTCTTCTGTACTCTGGCTGGGAGAGAAACGCATGCAGAAAGAGTGGGAGAGTTTCCATGTTTTCAGACAATTTGTTTTTGGACAGCAATATAATGTGTGTTATCCTTGGTGGTTCCTGTTCTAAATAAGATCAACACTGCATCTGTGAAGAAACTGCTAAAGGCTCAGTTTAAAGTCCTGTCCTTGCTGTGTTTCTTCTTCCAGACTGAGAGCAAATACAAAGATGATCCAGTTGACCTGCGCCTTGATATTGAAAGACGTAAAAAACATAAGGAGAAAGATAAGCGAGGAAAGTCAAGAGAATCTGTGGAGTCCAGGCCTTCCAGTCACTCAAGAGAACGATCAGCAGAGAAAACAGAGAGGCCTCACAAAGGCTCCAAAAAGAAGTACGTTAGAGGGAGAGCTCATATCCCTAGGTTATGCTTTCTTTTCCTTTTTATTGAAGTGGATCCACGTCCTGCAGAGCCTTCCCAATATTAGTAACGAGGTTAGTCTTTCCCAGCCTGCATGTTCTCCAGATGTGTGGACCTGAATTCCTAGAATTTCTCAGTCAAGAGGAACATTGTACAATCTGATGCCCCTAACAAGTAATTACTGAGTTTCTGTGATTCTGCTTTGGTGTCCCAGGAAGCACCGACGTGTCCGGGAGAGATCGAGGTCAAGCTCTTCGTCCTCACAGTCTTCACGCTCCTATAAAGCGGAGGAGTATCCTGAGGAAACTGAGGAACGCGAAGAGGCCCCTGCCCCTGGCTTTGACAAATCCCGCCTTGGCACCAAGGAGTTTGCCGGCCCGAGTGACCGGGGCAGAGCCCGAGGAACATTTGTGAGTGTCCTTTAAGAGTACATTTCCTATGCCCTGTGAAGTCCCTCCAAAAATTATCACCAAATTTAACTACTTCATTGGACGAAAGGAGGAAAACTATTAAATTCTGAGAAATATCTTATTAGCTGCCACTAATTAATTTTAATTAAATTAATCTAGATTTTATCCTGTCCCTGCCTGCTTTCTAGTGCACATGGCCAGATGTGATCCTGGGTTCTAAAGGTGCCTCATGCTCTGGTTTAAGATAGTCTTCTGCTTTGACCTCTTTAAGCCCCTGTGTTATGGTTCCGGCTAATGAAACACTTCAAAGAACTTCCAGGCATTGATTTCCCTAAAAGTCTTTTATTGATTCAAAATGTGGGTGCAGGCATAACGGAGTCTTTATGCTAAGATCTAAGTTCTCTTCCTCTGAGCAGTTAAATTATCAGCATGTTCCCTCCCTAAATTAGCTGTCATATATCACATTATCCAATTAGTGTGAAGGTCAAAGGTTTCCTTCCTCTTTCTTTCCTAGGCTTTACTCCCACCCCCTTCTGCTCTGTATTAACCCCCAAAATACCAGACAATTCTGCATATTGTCAAAGTAAGAATATACAATATTTGCAGCGTTGTCATCCGGCCCTACTTACAAGAAGGACAGGTCCTGTAAAGTAAACAAAAGCATATGTTAAGGGTTATCTTTCGGTTTGTTGGGGTGTTTCACATGAAATCTTTTGACCAATTTGTCAGCTTTCACTTCACTCGATTTCATCCACAACTTTGTTATCTCTCCATTCTGCTTTTGAAGTCTTTGCTCTCAGCTGGGAAATCTGCTAGATTCCTCTCTCCCCCGGCTTGCTGGCTGTCACTTCCCCCCCCCCCCAGGAAACAATATTTGCAGCGTTGACACCCTGCTTGAAAATAATATATCTAAATATTTCAAAACTCTGATGGAGTATGAACACAGACATATCTCTCCAGAGTGATTTTTTTAAAGTTGAACCTAACCAAAAGAGTCTGTGACCTCCAGTCAGGAAGTCCTTGAAGTCCTTTCCAGAGGCAAAGAAAACCTCCCATTTAGCTTTCCCTTTTTCTTTCCCATTTGAGTAAATGCCGCCCCCCCCCCTCAGCAAATTGACAGACTGGGGCCTTCAGACTCAGGCCTGCTCTGCCACCTCCTCTTTAGCAGCAGTTCCGGGCCAGAGGTCGTGGCTGGGGAAGGGGTGCCTTTTCTGGCAACAGCAACACCAGCACCAGCGGCACCAGCACTGACTTCCAGAAGCGAAACCGGGAGGAGGACTGGGACCCTGAGTATACACCCAAGAGCAAGAAGTACTACTTGGTGCGTGAGCTCCTCCACCCATCAGATGGGGCCGAGTGATCCTGGCCCTTTGGGCAGAGCTGCCTGATTGCGAGGCTCCCATTTGTCTCAGGGGCAGAGGAAGAGGGGGGAATGGGGCTGGGGCTGTGTGATGGGCTGCGGGTGTCTCAGTGGCCAGAGCTTACCAGCTGACTCCCTTTTCTCCTTCAGCACGATGACCGGGAGGGCGAAGGTGGCGAAAAGTGGGCGAGCCGGGGCCGAGGCCGAGGCCTCTTCCCCCGAGGTCGGGGACGGTTCCTGTATCGCAAGTCAAGCACCAGCCCCAAGTGGGCTCACGACAAGTTCAGTGGCGAAGAGGGCGAGATAGAGGACGACGAGAGTGGGCCAGAGAACAGAGAAGACAAGGATGTCCTCCCACCCTTGGCAGAGTAGGAGCCGCTGGTGACAGGATGGGGGTGGGTCTTTGATCCTGATTGGCTAATTGAATGTTTTCCTGCTATTTGGTTTCTCATTGACCCTGGAGGAGGATAGAGTTGTGCCCACTATTTTTGGCAATCATTTTTGTCTTTTTTAAACGTGGTGATAGAGATGAGTAATGTCTTGCTCTTTTGTTTTTCTTTTTCCTGTTTGTGGATTTTTTAAAAAATCTTTTATTTTAAGCATTTACATATATATTGACAATATGCCCTTAAATGGTTAATTTCAGAAAGGTCATGGATATATAATGAATATATACATATAATGAATAGAGGAAAAAAAGGAATAAACATCTGAATAGAAACTATTGGGACCAAACTTTGTAGCATTTTTAATTTACAGGAATTTTTCCCCAACTGAATTTAGAACTATATCTTTTAAAGGTATTGTTTTCTTTTTCTGCTGAAATTTTAAAGATAGCATGGCACAGTGAGGAAATTCATTTTCCTTCTTGCATCAAATTACAGATTTCTTCTTGAATGATGTTAGCATCTTCATTTGTTCATCCAGACTCCTGTCATACTTTTTTTCCTTCCCAGTGTCAAATTGAACATGTTTTCAGGATTACAGTTTTGTAAGAAACTTCTGAATATACAAGATTAAAAAAGGCTGTAGCATGAATAAAATGAGAATTCTTCTTGTATGCATCTTTTTATAAAGCCATTTTGAGCTACTTGTGTGGTGGCCATGGTCACTTGCCTGACAATTGGCTTTTCGTTCTTTTCAGCTTTAAATCTGCAGTGCTTAAAAGATGCTTGGTAGGCAACCTTCTTACTTCCAAGCCCACAAGAGAGATTCTGATTGCTGTGTTAATCCCCCAGGAATAATCTGGCTTTGCCATGCTTCCTTTTGCTCCCCCACTTTCCCCTCTGTGAGTTCATATTTTGGACGGGTGCAGTTCCTGCTTAGCACAGCAAATTCTTAGCAAATTCTTGTTTTGCCTCCTTGTTAAAATAAAACTATGTTGAATTGAACTTTGTGCATACCATTTCATACTGCTTTTGTACTAATGCTTTTGTTTCATGGCTGCGAACAGTCTTGCACTGAGTAGGGTCAACATTACAGTTATCAGCAAAAAGAAAGAGAAAGAAAGAAAATAAGTGCTCAGAAGTAGTAAGAAAATGCTCATCATGGATCACATCTTTTGTTCAAGCTGAAAATGGAAGTCCCACCTGGATGAAGGTAGATGTGAGGTTCTTTGCTTCACTTGCTACCCTTAATAACTGGAGGAGCTCAGGACCCCTTGTTAGCTTCTTGTTATGGCAGCTGTGTGGCCTCATTGCTGTCTCACCAGTCTTGAATTTGTTTGAATACTCGGTTACAAAGAGCAGCAGAAGCTGGATCCTGAATGTCCAGTTGGTTCCAATGAAAAAGGCTGGACAGAGCCTGTGAGTGTATTCAGAATCCCCCTCCGATGGGGTTGGAGGGAAACAGAAACAAGTTTCTGTAAGAAGAAGAAAAATGCATTCTTCAGCCTAGGTAAAACTGCACAACGTTTGCTTTTGCTTTGTATAAATTGTTCTGCAAGGTATTCAGATTCCACTCCTAACTCATTTAGCTGTTACTGTCTATGCCTTCAGTTTTATAAATCTACAAAATTCTGTAAATTTATCAGAAATCATCCTTGTTATAAATAATAGCTCGGAACGACGTCAAATAGTACAAGCTTTAAACCTTTAGGTTTGGGGAAGGGGGGAACCCAACTGTGCTGTGTTCCCATTTTCCTAGATTCTAATCAAAGCAAAATTGGCTTATATTATCCAGTATTATTCACATGCATCTCAGTTTACTTTGCCCATTTTCATGGCTTCTGCTTTGCAGGGAGGTGGCAATTTCAGCCACTTTTATTTTTAAAATGTGTTGGATTTCTGTCTCAGGATCTCAAGAGTGTCTTCTGGGAGGATCTCCCTTCATTTTATTCCTACGTTCATCCTGGAACGTGGCCTGGCCTGAGAGAGAGAGAGAGCCTGATGGCACCCAGGGAGTTTCTTGGCTAGCTGTGGAGGAACAGGGTGGACTCCCCTTGGTCTTTGCTACCTTGGTACACACACTGGCTCCAAACTTTTAACTGTAGCAAAATTTCCTCTACTGCATCTCTTTGCTTGCATTTATGAGAGGGGGAGGGGGCAGCAGGACCGATACCCAAAGATGCGGCATGGCAGGATTCTTGGACTGTTCTTGCTAAACAGAATGTTGAGCATCTCCTGCAGTGCTGAGGCTGAGTGGTCGAGGGCAGACTCATACCTGGTTTGTATAGTCTAATGTGCAGACAATACAGAAGAGAGCCATGGCAGATTACTAACAGTATTAATGCTGTGAGAAAAAACCCTGACCTGCAACACAAGGGGTTTAAGTTGGAGCCACATATTTGGGGCAGAGATTGTATCCTGGGATGATATAAAATGTCAGATCATGATTAAGAAATGAAGAGTGGGAAGTGGATCTAATTAGAGACACTGAGGGTCTTGGAAGAATGGGAAGAGAGAAAAAGCCCAACCAACTAACCAGGACAGTGACCAGCTTCTCTTCTTCATTTACATTCAAGGAGAGCCTGGGGGGTGGTTATGAACTCTGGCTGGGATTCTGCACTGAGTGGAGATAAAAGCTTCCTTTAATCAAGCTGCTTCTTATGACTACATAAATGTCTTTATCTGGGGGTGGGTTGCAACAATTGGGAAGTGATTTCTCATCATTTCCTTCTAGGTTTTTTTTTTAGTATTTCTAGAACCTTGGCAGTTTGTGCTGGTCTCCTATCCAAGTATGTATTAGATCCAACTCTTCACAAGAGTTTAGCATGTGTTTAGGGTGTGTTCATGCAATACACCTTAGTTTGCCTTATTTGTGGTTCATTGAATGTATTGGCGAGCCAACACCAAGCAAATTACAGTTCAACTTAGAAGGTATTATGTATAAGCCAAGCCTAGACATAAAATCCTGAAAGACTCCAATTCAGAATGGATAGGGAGAAATTGTACAGGTTAGGTGAAGGGTGTGTTGGGTTGCAGGATCTTTCTGTGCTCCTTGGGTTTAACATGCATTTAATGTACTAAGCATGAACCCCATCTTGGATGCTAACCAAGGAAAGAAACAAACTAGAACTAAGGAGAAATTTCCTGACAGAACAATTAGCCAGTGTAACGGCTTGCCTCCAGAAAGTGTGGGCGCTCCATCAGTGGAGACTTTTAAGAAGAGACTGAAAAGCCAATTGAAATGGTCTAGGGTCTCCTGCTTGAGCAGGGGATTGGACTAGACCTCTAAAGTCCCTTCCAACTCTTATGTTCAGAGCAAATAATGGCTGCATGCCTCTTGCCCATACTATTGGGCAGAGCGGGACCTCTGACCTTTTGGGGTGTCTTTGTTTCCAGATGAAGCAATTGCCCACTGGTACAGTGCAGCAAAAGCTGTCTTTAAAATGTAGGTAAATCTCAATCCAGGGGTGTGCAGATGTGGACGGCAGTGGGGAGTGTTCCCATATAAGATAATCTTTATTATCATTTTTTACTGTGGGAACACTGGCACACATTAAAAATGAAATTCTGTTGCCTGCTGTCAAAAGTGTACACATACACAACACATATAAACATGCTATATACAACATATGTATATACCTGCACCCTTACATACAGTGAGGGGAAAAATTATTTGATTCCCCTGCTGATTTTGTACATTTGCCCACTGACAAAGAAATGATCAGTCTATAATGTTAATGGTAGGGTGGGAACAAAACTGACTGAATCTGGATGTTTTGCTTCAAATACCATGAAGCCCCCTCCTAGAGGGTAACGAGGTAAACAGGTCGTGAAAAGGATGTCCCAGACAATCCTGTGGACCCTGCTCAAGCAACGCTTACGTCATGTCCTGGATAGAAGGGAATGAACTGCCAATAATCTTTTCTGCCATCCTCATCACTCTGCACTGCCTTCCTGTCTGAAGCAGTGATGCTTCCAAGCCAATCTGTAATGCAATATGACAGGATGCTCTCTATCGTCACTCTATAGCAGACATGTCAAACTCGGGCGACATCACATATCGGAGCTTTTTCGCCATTGCCAGCAATGGGGTGGGTGTGGTTTCCCGATGACGAGTCCGGCCCATGGGCCAGCAGTTTGACACTCCTGCTTTATAGAAAGTGGTAAGGACAGGGGAAGGAAGAAGTACTTCTTTCATGCGTCGCAGAAAATCCAAGGACTGCTGTGCCCACTTCACCAGTGTCTTGCTGTTGGGCGACCAAGCCAGCCTACTTGTTAGCTGCACATCCAGAAATTTAATGCTGCTAACCATCTCCACAGGTGAATCATTAATGCACAGAGGAGTGTGGCTGTGCCTGTCTTTTCTGAAATTGACAATGATCTCTTTAGTTTTTCCAATGTTTAAAACTAGGCTGTTTTTCTTACACCAGTCCACCAAACCCTCTACCTCCTTGCAATAAATACCCTTATTGTCATTTGAATAAATCCTAGTACTGTTGTATCATCCGCATACTTCACAATATGGTTAGTGACAAACCTTGCACAACAGTTAGGAGTCAACAGCAACTGACTTAGGACGCAGCCCTGAGGAGAACTTGTGCTCAAGAAAAAATGGTGTTAGAAATATTAGTCCCAACTTGCACATACTGGGACCTGTCAATAAGAAAATCAAGAATCCAGTTGCACAAAGGAGTATTAAAACCTAAAAGGCCCAGTTCATCTACTAGATGCCGAACTAAAGTCGACAAACAGCATTTTCACATGAGTATTTCTTTCCTTTCTCCAAGCTCAGATGGAGAACGGAAGAAATAGCATCCTCTGTAGAGCGATTTGGACAGTAAGCAACCTGGAATGAATCAAATACTGGCGGAAGGCTGGATACAATAATGTCCTTCACCAGCCTCTCAAAAGGACATATCCAGCCTCCCACCAGCATTTGATTTGCTTCAGTTGCTTGGCCTGTGCTTCTGGCTTCCAACAGCAGGGGGCACCCACGCAGTTCTTTTTCTCCTATCTCCCAATCTTCGGCTGTTTGGGGCTGTGGGCAAAGCTGGCACTCCTTGGGTACTCCATCCCCTGTGGATGGCGATGCTCCCCAACTTGCCTACCTCTACAGCTGGGTTTGTCCTGCTTGAACAGGGGCGACATCCATTCCAACTTTTCCCGTTTGTTCCAAGCTGCAGATGCGGAGCTCAGTCTCATGGTCACGATCCTGCTCCTGGGTATGTGTGTGTCTTGAGTGACAGCCATGAAATCAGTTTTTAAGGAAGATGACACCAAACATCACCATCTATTTCTTAGGTTTCTAGCCATTCAGCTGCAGGAGACTCCTGGCATTCCCTTCTCCCATTTCTCAAATAAGGCAGTACCCTTCTGTCATAAGCCATCATGGTTTGTTAAAAATACTTGGCTACCTGTCCTCCATACAACATGCAGATTGCCACACAAAGCCCAGTACCAGAGATCCTTTCTGTTCTGCTCACAAGCTTCAACAGGCTCTCAATTGGGGTTCCAAAGAGTGCGGTGAGACAACTTGCAAGATATGTAGAGTGAGAGGTGGCGTTGGTTTAAATTGGGAAGGAGTATGCAAAGATTCTCTAGGGCAAAAATGTTCTGTTCCCTTTTAGTTCTCCACCTCTCAAATGAGACACCAAGATTTGGTCCATCTGGAGCATTGGCAGAAAGGCCTTTGGACCATGCCAGCAGGTGAGGAGCCAGAAGTGGCCCACCCTGAGATGGAGCCCTGCTAAGATGTAGTGCAGTGTGATTTGCTTTGGGCCCAGCATTGTGGGTACTTTGTGATCCAGAGTTTATGGTTCAAAAGGAACCGTATGCATGAATTAGGCTACTGAACTAACCACTCATAGTCCTCTGGCTCCTGGGCAAAGGAAATACAGATTACATGGCAAAGAATAAACACAAATATTTTTGGTTGGGGAGGGGAATTAACTGCTTGGAATTGAACTGCAAGAGTTGAATACAGATAGTCCTCTACTTATAACAGTTCATTTACTGGCTGTTCAAAGTTAATGACACTGAAAAAAATGACATGACTTGCAACAGCACTGAAAAAAGTGACAATTTTTCACTTATAATCGTTGCAGCATCTCCGTGGTCATGTGATTTACATTCAGATACTTGACCAGTGGTTCATATTTATGACAGTTGTATGTCCTGGGACCATATGATCCCCTTTTGTGACCTTCTGACAAGCAAAGTCAATGGGAAAACCAGATTTAACTTAACAACTGCAATGATTCACTTAATAAATGTGGCAAGAAAAGTTGTAAAATGGGGCCAAAGTCAACATATTTCTCATTTAGCAACATAAATTTTGGGCTCAATTGTGGTTGTAAGTTGAGGACTACCTATATAAGAAATGATGTCAACTTTCTCTGTGCCAGAGGTTCATGTCCAAGTTAGATGTAACAGGACAGTTTTGATAAGCTTACAGATGACCTAGGTAGGATCCGTGGGAAGATGTCTTCCAGAGAAAGAGAAGAGGGCAGGGATGAGGATAGACAATCCAGTAAGATGACCAAACACCAGAGAGGCTGTATCAACATTTATAAGAGGAGAATCAGGCCACAATCTTCAAGATCAATTTTAACAGATGAAAGTCCTGCATTTGGTAGGAAACATGAAACTAGATGACATTGTCAGGGATACTTCAGTACTGGAATCCTGCAATGGGCAGGGGTTGGACTAGAGTAGACGATCACCAAATCCTCTTGCAAGTCTTGTATTTTCTGATTATGGGCCTTCAGCCTTGTGGTCTTCTTTCAAATCCCAGCTCAACCAAAACAGCCAATGCCTCAGAGGAACCCCATTTAAGCCTTCATCCCTCACACCATTGTTTTATCATTTTGTAGGAATCACCCAGCCATGATCCTAAGTTGGTTAAATCCAAGCAACCGAAGGAAAAGTCTAGAAGGAGTGCTTTACATCAAGGTACCTGGAAAAGAATGTGGGATTGCAAGGGAGGGTTCTGTTCTCCACAGATTGGAGACAAGCAGTTTGTTTCCCTGAAATGAAACACAAATCATTCTGAGTTGGCTGTGCATTAATTATTGTTGAAAGAAAAATCTTCATCAGGGTCCAATCCAAACTGGGAATAAACAAAATGGAGGCTGTTTAGAAAGAAAGTTCTTAATATTGAGTTGCAGAACCAGACAGAAATGTGGCTCTGGGGCAGCTGACCTTCTTGGGCTTTTGTGTTTGGAGTTGTTCCTGTTCTTGTGGCATGAGCTTTAACCTGAGGTTCAGTGTGCCCTTTTGGTATTCTGATGGTGGTGGGTTAATCCAGTTACGTCCTAAAGGTCATGTCCTGCTTCCCTGGGGCTGTGGCTGATAGCCTGATGTCCTGTGTTGGATTGTTGGGTGAGGAGTTGCTGGTTCTAACTCTATCACTCTACTATTGTTACCTATCAACTCTTGCTCCAAGGGTTTTTGAAAGATCCTGTCTTGAATGGGTTTCTGCAGATAGTATTTGTTCATGAATGGGGGCCTCAGTCTTTCTGAATGGGATTATCAAATCTGCATTTCTACAGACTTGGCCTGCTAAATTTCTGGCTGGGGGAGAGGGAGAAGTTTCTGCCTTTTAATATTCTCCCAATTTTGTTGTTCTCGGGGTGGGGGTGGGGGGTTGTCTTCCTATAGTTTAAAATACAGATGGCAAAACTGAAACTTTATAGGTAGGGAAAGACTGGGCTGCCTTCCTGCCCCCCTCAAAGAGATTTGTCCAGCACTCCAAACAGTCTCCTGAACTGTTTTTGCAGGAAACTGTGTTGCAGGAAAACATCTGGCAAACATCTGGTTCAAGTTACAACAGGACTGAGCGGAAAGGCTATTTTTACCGCTCCTCTCGGTGGGGGGAGGGGGGCAGCAGGAGGAAAGGGAATGCATGGAGTTTCTTTATCCTAGGAGCAATGACACTTCACCACCACCCCCCATCGCAAACCCTTTCCCCCAAGCAACAGGGCTTCAGTTCTCCAGAGGCCAGGATCTGCCATGTCTCAGATGACAAAATTAACTGCTTTCCCTAATTCCAAAATTAATTTCAGAATTTTTTTTACAGCTACTTGCTTGCATGAACTGCATATATGCAAGGGAGTTTGCGTGCACTCGCACACACACACACACATCCCTGGTCCAATCACAATCCTCTGTAGCTATAGGACAAAGGCTTCTATTCCCTGCTGGAAAAGCAGGGAAGGAGGAGCAACTTCTGCCCCCCCTTCATCTCCAAGCTGAAGACCAGGGAATCTCTGGAAGGTTATGAGAGGGGAAAACCAAGTGTGGGAACAGCTCGCTTCTCTCACCCGAACCAGAAAGCCCTGTAAGAGGTGGTCCATGCATCCCCCCCACCCCCACACCCCCAGTGAGAGCCTGGAGCTTGGGCCGAGAAGAACCAAAACTTCTCAGGAAAATATCAGCTTCCTCCGTGGGGTGGGGGTGGGGGGGAGGCTGGTCTGGCATTTGATTCAAATGAGGTTGTACTATAAAAACACCCTTGGAAGGAATGTCCAAGTGATACAAACTGGTGATTCCCCCCTCCCTCCCTCCAGGCACTGGGGCATTTTTAAGGAATGACACCCACAATCAGACTAAGGGAGCAAGCATTGAGCACCACAAGAAGAACTGCACTGGAATAATACTGTTTTATAAAAGATAAGGCAGTTTTACACACTAAATTGAGTATCTGCTACCAGTTAACCGCTGCATTCAGTGAGGAACTAACAGAACAAAGCACCTGGGCACTAGGCACAGGACTCTCTGCAGCCCTTCTCTGCCGGCCCCAGCTTCAGTCCATGAGAGGCCACTGGTGGACTCATCAGACTCCCCTATCCCCCAGTGCTGAACCCCTTTTTAGAAAACAAGAAATTTCACAGCAAATTCCAGGAGAGTCACCATGTTGTAGGAGAGTAGCCTAAGATACAGTACTTCAGATAAGGAATTGTGTGTGGGGGGGGGGGGAATTTCCCATGGCTTGGCAAGTTGGGAGAAGAGCCTGCCCACCAACTGGGGAAAGAAAGAGTGGGTGCAGAGCACATGCCTGGGCACAGCGCCAGCCCAGGACAAGCAGGTCAGCTAAGATTGGGATGGGCTGTTCATACTGAGCGCAGTTTCTTCAGCTGTTGGAGGTTTTAACCCTGAAGGTCTTGTATCCTTCCACAGAGCAGGCCCAAAGTCCCTGAAGCCTCCTCCCTTCCAGATCCATTAGGGGATGCTGTAAGAACTTTTCAGAACCCATAACAGACTCCCTCCCCACCCCCACAAGGTCAGAGAAGTTGGTACCTAGGCGTGGTCCTCTTAGTGTCCCTGTCACAGTCCTGCCCAATTGATCCTTGAGGCTCCCACTGGCTGTGTGTGATGCTCACAGTCAATCACATACACTGGGGAAGACCTCTCCCTTCCCATCCGCCATTATCCCTCTTAGTTCAAGGTCTGTGATTGCTGCAGTGCCTCAAGGAGTGCCTACTCAGCTTAGGCATGAAAGAAGAGGTCGATCAATAGTAGTGGACTCTCCCGATGGTCCCAGTCCCGGTTCCTAGAATGTCTGGTTGCCCATTACGCCAAATTTCTCTGAGGACCCTCTCACGCTCCTCCAGACGCTGGGCACGTTCCAGTTCCTCAGCCGAAGCAAAGACACTGATTGTGAGGGTTTCATCAGGGGTGCTGGGGGATACCAGGGGCAGCTCTGTCATGGCTAAGGTGGGGACAGAAAGTGCATGGTTGCTTGTATCTTCTTCCTCCTCCTCCTCCTCCTCCTCCTCCTCCTCCTCTTCTTCCTCCTCCTCCTCGTCCTCACTCAAGTCCTGCAGGCTCTTTTGGTGCTTGGGGGGGATGGCTTGAGGGTGCCATGAGATGTGAATGACCAGCAGGCAGAGCGTCAGCACCAGACCAAAGCAGACACCCAGCACGAAGTAGAGGCCCACACTCTCCAGGTTATCTAGTCAAGACAAAGAGGAGCAGGTCAGAAATGGTGGCTTAGGAGAAAGAGGAGGAGATGGGGGGGGGGCCTCAGTGGGCAAATCCTTCCCAGTTTGTTCTCTCCAGGAATGGGCTGCTCGGGCACCACAGGAGTTAATCAAACATTCTGTGGCACAGATACAGGAAGCTTCTCCTATCTAATCTCTAGTGGCACATCTCCTCCTTGGAGGATGTCATTTACTTTTTCTATGCTGCTCTTCAGATTGCAGGAGGGAATAGACTAAAGGGATTGAATCTGACTATCTCCACCATTTCTCCCTCCTGGAGAACAATAAGACAACAAATAAAACCACCAATGCTTAAAACAATAAGAGGTAAGTTCATTTTAAAAATCAGAAAAGCAAAGCAACAGGCACAATAATTTTTGCACTTGAAGCAGCTGTAGCCCCTACAGCTTTCCAGGTCTTCTGAAAGACAATACAAATAGTCCTCACTTACTGACCATTCATTTACTGGCCAAAGTGACAATGCTGAAAAAAAAAATAACTTTACTGCCCATTTATGATCTTTGCAGAGTCCCTGTCATGTGATTGCCATTTTAGTCAGTATGTGTTGACCTGTGCTTGTGTTTTTTTTTTTTCCCTTATGGAGCAGAGAGATAGGAGAGGAACTGCAAGAGAGTAAGCTGCTCTTCTACACATTGATAGCAAAGTGATAATTTTCTCTCCAAATTCTTTTCTTTGTGTGAAAGAGAAACAAGCAACTGATTTCTGTAGGCAATATCTCTGCAGAGACTGGGGGAGATGGATTTCAAGAGAGTAACTTGTGTAGTATGTCCACAACTCCCAACTTGTAATTTTTGGATGGTCTTCAGAGGGAGTCCTATATAAAGTGCATTGCAGTAATCCAAGCAGGGAGCGACCGTTGAGCCCTCTGGGTAAAGCCCACCTGGGCAAGGCTGCCACCTGCTCCTTGAGCAGGAGTCGTAATTCTAGGAGGACCTCCTAACTCGGTCCAGGGGAGTGCCACCCCATCCAGAGTAAAAAATGATACATCATGCGAGCTGGGGGAGGGGGTGAAAGACCCAGAGGCACAATTTAGTCGCCAATTGCAGATGACACTAAACTGGCAGGAATAGCCAACACTCCAGAAGACAAGCTCAGTGCCACTATTCCGGCCCTCCTGAACCTCTCAGCAGGTTTTGATATAATGAACAATAATATCTTTCTGGACTGGCACTGGGGGTTTGAGATGGGAAGCACAGTTTTGCAGTGATTCTCCTCTTTCCTGCATAGCCAGGTCTATTCAGAGTTGGTGGAGGAGGAGAGGTTGAGTGACAGACCCTTGCAACATAGGATGCCTCAGGGCTTGAGTTTTCCAGCTCTCCTCTTTAATATCTAAACCGCTAGGGAGGTCATCCAATGGCATACATCCACTTCTCTCCAGGCAGGCAATGCTGTTGCAGTGCTAATTGAAAATCTGGAGGCAGTAAAGGTCTGGATGGGGAGAAATTGTTAATAAGAATAGAATAGAATAGAATAGAATAGAATAGAATAGAATAGAATAGAATAGAATAGAATAGAATCTGGAAGGGACCTTGGAAGTCTTCTAGTCCAGCCCCCTGCTCAAGCAGGAGAACCTAGCCCAGAATTTGAGGGAAAATTTTTACAAAATGTTTTATAGATGGCATCTGGATCCTAAAAAGCTGTCTTGTATGTACCCGAACCTGCAACCTAAATGTTGGAGATGTGGTTGCTTGGATGCAACCTATTTTCATGTTTGGTGGACTTGTAAAGTTATTAAAGCCTTCTGGATTATGATTTGGTGGAACATTCAAAAGATTTTTAAAAGGAAGATTAAGTTTACTTCCCAACTGTTTCTTTTGAGAATTTTCGTGGACTTTAATGTTAAAGAAACTATTTTAATGTTGAATTTAATAACAGCAGTAAGATTACTGGTGGGTCAATATTGGAAGAAGGATACTCTGCCTTCTTTAGAAGAATGGGTATTTAAGGTTTCTAATTTAGCAGAAATGGCTAAAATTTCTGCTTATTTAAAGGACCATTCACAAGAGAGATATTTTAACGTATGGAGAAGATGGATAGAATATGTTCAGAAGAAATATGGAACTACAAAGTTTCACTTATTCTATGAGTAATGATTTTGTTTATAAACTTATGATGTTAAAGTTTGAAGAGAGTTAAGGGTTTTTATGATTTTGTTCATTGTATAATTAGTAAACTTAAATAGATTATGTTTAATATGTTTGCATAATCCTGTATTTTGCTCTGGGAAGTCGGGGTGGGGGAGTGGGGGGAGGGGGGTGGATGGGTTGAAGTTTAAGTAGTTCAGATGAAGTAGAAATAGTTTTATTGTATATAATATTAATGTTTTAATTTTGAGAGAGGAACTGCTCGGGCATTTCCCCTGGACCGCATCAAGAGGGAGAAGAAGAAGGTGAGAAGTAAGTAGAAAGGTTGAGGTGAAGGAGGAGAGGGGGTGAGTGAAGAAAAAGAGGGAAAGAAGTAAGTTGGTTTGAGGTGGGATGCGGTTTGGGGGGAAATGGGCAGGCAAGACCGAATGTGGTGTGTATCAATTTGTTTTAATTTTTATCTGAAGTATTTGTAAGATTGTTATGTATTATAAAGTTGAAAATAAAATTTTTTACAAAAAAAAAAAAGCAGGAGAACCTATACCATCTCAGACAAGTGACTGTCTAGCCTTAAAAATCTCCAGTGATGAAGTGCCCACGATTTCTGAAGGCAAGCTGTTCCATTGGTTAATTGTCCTCACTCTTAGGAAGTTTCTTCTTAATACTAGGTTGCTTCTCTCTTTGATCAGTTTCCAACCCTTGTTTCTCATCTTTCCCTCAGGTGCTTTGGTGAATAACGTGATCCCCTATTCTTGGTGGCAGCCCCTCAAATACTGGAATAACTGCTATCATGTCATCCCTGTTTCTTCTTTTCTTTAGACTAGCCAAATCCAAGTCCTGCAGCTGTTCTTCATATATTTTAATCCCCAGGCCTTGGATCATCTTGGTTGCTGTTCTCTGAACTTTTTCCAAAGTCTCAACATCTTTTTTGACCAAAATTGGTTGCAGTATTCCAGGTGTGGTCTAACTAGGGTTTTATAAAGTGATACTAATACTTTGTGTGATCTTGATTCTATGCGTCTTGCAAAGAGGCATTTAACCACCACTCAACCTAATACATGCTACCTCCTAGGATCCCGAGGCATGAGTCCATGTAGCTGATCAACCGGCTCAAATATTTCCCAGATAGTTGGACTCAGTCACTTCCAAGAGATCCTGCCCAGCAAGACCAAGCATGTTGTGCACCCATCAAGTGCTCTCAAACACAGTGTGGTGTGGTGGCAGACACATATTTCAACCAAGCCCCATTTGCCCACTTACCTCGGATATGTGCATAGGCTGCAATGCTGCTGCTCAGGAGTTCCATTTCCCCTTCACCGTCAGCTTCCATGGCAGATGCCTTTGTGGTACCTGGAGAGGGGAGGATAGTTTCAGTAGTGAGGAAGGTTTGCATCATCCTGGACTTTGCATTGCCCTTCAACTGGCTAGCTGGTTTGTTTTGACTATTTATTAATTAAAAATTAAAACATAATATGCTCCTTACATTTCCTTCAGTTGCTCAAGGGAGCTTACAGACTGATTGTCTTTCATTTGATCCCCAAATGCAAGAGCTGTGAAGTGGGCTGGGCTGAGGAAGGGTGAGTGACTCAGTCATCCAGGAGTCTCCATTGCTGAAAGTAGATTGGAGTTGAGTAGGCAGTGTCACAATAGGGATATTATGCTTTTGCAAGGCTGAATGGATCCTCTGGGCAGCTATGGCTCCTTTACAACCATACTGGCTCAGGAATTCTGGGAGCTAAAATCCACAGGGGCCATCATTGCCCACCCCTGCTCTGGCATCTCACAGCAGAAGAGAAGTTGAATGCTTCACTCAGGTGACGTCACATCTGCCTGTCTCAGTGGTGGAAATACGGGGGCAGGATGGGCTGGATCCCAACCATAGTGCAGTGCAGGAAAAAGTTGCCTGCCTACTTTCAAGAAGTCAAACCAGTAAGAGACACACAACTACCTTTTCCATAGCACTTAGAATGAAGCAAGTTAAATAAAAGGAGCTTTGAAGCCAGGATGGCAACAAAACAGAGTCCTTTTAACCAGCAAGCACAGCCTGGCTCCTCCCTCCCCGCCCATCATGGGAGGCTGCCAAATCCTGTGAGTAAATCGAAGCTAGCAGCCAAACAGGACAGGAAATGGTTTCTTTTCCTTGCCCTCTGCTTTAGCTCTCTTTGGCCCTTAAAATGTTTTCTGAGCTGCAGAATGGAGCAGGCAAGGGAGGAAGGAAACCTCTTGGAGCTTCCCGGCTGAAAAAGAATCCGAAATGGCACCTCCCATTCTCAAAGCTGATCCAGGCGCTCTTTTGTGGGTCTGGCCCAGGTTGTGGAGATGAGCAAAAACTGAGGCTTTTCCTTTTCTTTTATATCTCACCACTCCTGATGCTTCCCGTTACTGTCCAGGAATGGCTGCCCCTCAGGGGCAGAACAACTGACTGGGCTTCGAGGCTCCTGTTTCTGCTCCAGCCCAGGGCAGGCGCTAGGCTACATGGCAAGGATGCCTACTGAACAACTTTCAGGTTTTCTCACTTCCACTGGTAAGTATTCCCCTTCCTGCTCCTTGGTGGGGACAAATTGTGCTGCAAGGACAGCTGCATCATGGGCTTCAAAATATTTTCTCCATCTTTCCATTCCAGAGAAGAGGACAAGAAAGAGAAAATGCTATAAGTTCAGTTTGGGGAGGATGGACTTCTACAACATGGACTGTATCTCAGAAGATCCCTTGATCTATGCTACATGTGATCAGGAAGGTTTCAAACTACCTCTGTCACGATTAGATATGTAAACAACAACAACAACAACAACAATAATAATAATAATAGAATAGAATGGAGTATAGAGTAGAGTAGAACAGAATAGAATAGAATAAAATAAAACAGCTGAAAATGCTGCAACACAGAAGCACAAAGGTTGTCCTCAATTTTTCAAAGGGCACAACAAAAATAATAAAAATTACAGTACAGGAAGCCCCACATCAACTGAAGTGTAGTTTGAGTGTAAAGAATGAGCTCCCCTTTCCTGGTTGTGTAGAGATGGGAAGCTCGAGTTGGGGCTCCTACGGAGAGCTGGGACTGGGCTCAAGGGTCACTCTAGGAAGGACAACTGACTGCAGCGACTCCATTTCTTATGTTGACTTCTTCACTGCTTTGGAACCAGCAGGATAGTTCTTGTGAGGGGAAGGTCCTCCTGGTTTTCATTATGCAGCATTGTTCAGATGTCAAAGGTCAGAGGATTTCCCTGCCTGGTGACTGGCACCAAAGGAGTATCCAAGGACCGCTGAACGAACAGAGGCTCCTTCCCTTTGGGGAGAACCCATTGCACTCATGGAAGCGCTCAGCTCCTGCCTCTCCTTGCCGGAGAGTGCCAGAAGGTAAGTGGGCAGAGAAGATGCATCGGGGGCTTCCTCTCATGAACACCCAAGGTGCGCACTGTGCACAAAGATCGACCAATTATGGATTGGCAGTTTTGATTCTTTGGGTGGATGGTCAGCTTTGGTTGTGTTCCATCTAGTAATTTGCTTTTGAAACATCCTTGGAGTTGCAAAGAACATCGAGTAGAAAGTCTCTCCACAAGAAAAGGAAGGAAACAGCTTTAAAGGGGTCCCGGGCTGCTTCTTTCCAGGGCGCGGGGAAGCCCAGCAATCTCACCGTCTCCCGCCAAACAGCAGACGGGCAGGAAAAGCAGGAATGCGGGCGGAAGAAACCGTCGGGACAGCAAACCTCGGAGAGTCAGAACTGGAGACGCTACAACTTTTGGAAGTGCCCCCCCCCCGCGAGAAAAGACGCTCGCCTCGACGCGGCGAAGGAGGGAGCGCGCGGCACGGAGCTCCGCCCCACCCCGCGGCCCCTTCCCGGGGCAACCGCGGCCGGGCAGGGGGGCTCGGGCGGCGGGGGCTGGTAGCCCGCCGGGTGACGCCCCCTCCTTGCGCTCCTCGGACAGTCTGCGCGAGCGCGGCCCCGCAAGCGCCCCCGTCCCTGGCTCGGGGAAAGGGAGGCCGGGGCGCCGCCCGGGACTCGTTCCTCCAGAGAGACGTGGCTCCGGCTGAAGGGGCTCCGTCTAGGGGCCGAGGGGGAGGGCGGAGAAGGTTCCGCCGTGCCCTGCGAAACGAAGGCGCGAGGCGGCCTCTGAACTTAAGCAGAGTGCCGGCCAGGAGTCGCCAGCCTTGTCCTCAGCTGGGCTCGGCGGCCTGCCTCTCCCGCCGGATTGTGACCACCCGGGACCCGGCGCGGCCCGGCGGCGAAGCCTCGGGCAGCTGCCGGGACGATCTGAAGAGCGAGCTCGTCCGGCGGTCGTCGAGGGAGCCCCTCTCGCCGTGCCCGCCCCGGGGGAGCAGAGGCGGTGAAGCGGCGGCGGCGGCGGCTCCTCCGAGGCGCCTCCTGCTTCGGTGCAGCCGCGGTAGCGGTCAGCAGCGGCTTACCTGTCGCCTTCAAGGCTGCGCCTCCCGGCTTCTCATCGCGGCAGAGCCAAGCGCGGCCCGCGGGAGGATCCGGCCGGGACTGAGCCGAGCCGGCCGACCGTCCGGCGCGAGTGGAAAGGGGCGCTCCCTTCTGCGCAGCCGAAGCGAGCGGGACAGGCGGGGCGGCCGGCAGAAGGGACGCTCTCGGCACCGCCCCGGAGCCCTCTGTCAGCGGAATGAGCGGGACGGGAGCCCGCCCTTCCGCTGGGACGGCCTCCGGGGCGGTTGCTAGCGGGCCAGGGAAGCGGCGTCCTGCCCGCCGAGAGCGAAACGAGCCCGCTCCGGCCTGCCGCCCCTTCCCCTCCCGCGCGGGCTGGGCAAGACTCGTGGGCGCCGTCTGGGGAGCGGCTTCGGATCGGGAAAGGTGGCCTCGGTTGGGCGCAGAGCCCGCCCCGTCTTCATCCCCAGCCCCTCCCGCGAAACAGCCGCCCTGCGCCGGCGGAGGCAGCCAGAAGGCTCCTGGCCGTGGCCGAAATGCCAGAAATGCAGGACGGCAGCCGCGGAGGTCAGCGGCGGCTCCGGCCTTTTCCGGCACTGGCGCGGGGAACGCTGCCTCTCTCCTGATGGGCGGGGGGGGTGGTAGAAGAGGGGGAAGCCGGCTGGGGAAGCTGAACCAGGCCAAAGGGAGAGCTCGGGCCTCCCAGGGCAGCTGCGGCTTCCTGCCCCCCCCCCCAGCTGCCCTGGTTAATGATTCCCTCCAAGGCAGAGGTGGGAAGGCAGGCGCCGCTGGCCTCCCGGGCATCTTCGCCCTTCAGCTGCCCCAGGCTCCCAAAGGGGAAGCACTCACGAGAACACAAGCGGATTTGGCACCAATGGAAGGGAAAGCAGCTTCCCTGAGATTTGGGCAGGCCCAGGCCACGGGAGGCCTTCAGGCGTGGGAACGTGAAATGTTTACTCTGGTTTGGGGAAGCCGTAGCTCAGCCATACTCCCTGCCCTGTTCAAAAGGCCCAAAAATGGCCCAGCCCTGCCTGCCTAATGCCACGTGTGGCCAGGAAGTTGCCTCCCAGCGGAGACCTTGGGCAGAAGGGAAGCGGAGGCTAAGCTCTCTTCCAAGCAGCCATTGGAGTGGGTTGGTCCAGTCTTTGGCTTGCCTGAACCACACTGAGTGAAGAGGAATTGTCTTCAGCTGCCTCTAAAATACATTATGTTGTTAATGTACGTAAATAACCTTCCTTTATTTTTTAAATATTTTGTATTGTCTTGTGGGACTGTGATACTAACTGTCCAGTGCTGCAAGCAGCCTGTGAGCTGCGGATTGACACACCTGCATTAGAGATCCTGGAACTGGAAATTCCTATAAAGCTGGGACAGGAGGGGAAGGGGGACACCAAATCATCCCAGGAGTGGCCAAACATAGAAAGACATTCCTGCTTTCAGGGAGGGGAGGGGAGGGGAGGAGAGGGGGAGAGAAGATAGAAGGTAATATATTGAAAGGAAAGAGAAGGAAAGGGAGCCCACTCCTGCACTGCTTACCTGGGTACTACTAGGAGGAGAAGGATCCAGGGCCTCTGGAAGAGCCAAGAAGCCGTCCTCCTGTGTCCGCTTCCTCTTGACTGCAAAGGGAGATTGCAGACTGAGGCTGGGAGTTGGGGTCTGGTTTGCATTAAGGTTTCAGAGCAACAGGAAATAGTTGCTGGTTGGGGCCAGAGCTCCCCTTTTCTCTTAAAGACAGGCTTGGGGAGGGGTGTGTGGTTGGGAAGTTTCTTTGCTTTAGAACTTGTGCATGATCACAAACACTTGGACAGACACAGCATCAGCCAGGTGAAGTAATTACAGCAAGCTAGAAAAGAGCACACTAGACGTCCAGTCTTCAGCTTGGAAGGGGCAATAGTAGCCCCTTCCTTAAAAAGTTAAAGGGCTGAGATTCTGTAAGGACCTGGCTCAATCCCCCTTCCCAAGAAAGCAGAACTCCTGGAACAGTTTCATCCCAAAAGGAAGTTTTATTAGGAGAAGTTGACAGCAGGCACAGAAGGCAGGATCTGACAGTTTCCTGCGCAAATCAATTGGTTAAAAGAGTAACTAGCATCCCCACCCCAATAGTCCATCCTGTCAGTTCAGGTGAGCCAATCCCCAGGTGTGAATCCGCTGTGGGAACGGGATTGATAAGATGCCCGTTCCCAAGGCTGCTAGGTTGTTAGGTCCTGCCACCTCTTCTTCAGCAGCTAGAGATAAGGCCGATGGCCAGAAGCACATTCCATTCTCACCCCAGGCTGGCATCAAGGGAGATAGATCAAAGAGCAAACAGATAGAGGAAAGCGGAGAGCATACATTGTAGTGCCCATAGCTTCACCTCCCACCCCCCAGTATGGCAGAACCCGCAGGAACAGAGAATAAAGAAATCACCCCTTCCAACAACGGTTCTGACAGATTCATTTATATTTAAATGCATGCAGATTTCAGATGGTCCATGGGTGGGCAGAAAAAGATAGCAAAAGGTGGTTGCTTTCCTGCTTAGATAATCCTTCAGAGGTTCAAGAAGCAGCTCCCTGAAATGTGACTTTTGAAACTCACTGCTGATATTTTTCAGGGCCTATGTCTTATGGCTTTCAGGTGCTCCCAGTCTTATGTTCTTGTTTTTTGGACAGTCCTGCAAACAGCAATATGGAAATGTACAGTAGACCTCTTTCAGCACAAAACACATCCAGTTTGGTCTAGTGGTTAAGGAGCTGGCCTAGTCTTGCTTTAGACTGGGTGACATTGGGCCAGTCCCTCCCTCTCAGCCCAACCCACTTCACAGGGTTGTGGTTGTGAGAGAAATAGGAAGAAGGAGTATACTCACAATCCTGAGTTGCTTACAAAGTAATAAAGGCAGGGTAAAAATCGAATAAATAGACTTGCTAAAGTCTTTCAGGCCATCCAACCCTCGATTACTTTTTTTGCTTCTTGGCGACTAGTCAGCAAGACCAAATATGCGTCCTAAGTGTTTATTATACAGAGACCCAGCACTCTGGAGAAGCCCAGAATACTGGAAAAGGTGGAAAGAAAGAGAAGAGCAGCAGCAAGGCTCCATGACTTTGATTGTTGCAACACCTGGAGGACCAGGCTGAGGATCAATCTGTGGAGAAAATCACTGTGGTCAATATATGGCACATGTTCTATATGCAGTTGGCTTATTTTTTTTCTCTTTCGTAACAGTTACAACAGTTTGTTTAATGACTGTTTGAAGTTACAACTGGAAAAAGTGACTTATGACCATATTTCACAATTACAACTGTGGCAGCATTCCCATGGTCACATGATCAAAATTGGGACGCTTGGCAACTGACTCATATTTATGACGATTGCAACATCCCAGGATCATGTAATCATCTTTTGCGACCTTCTGACAAGCAAAATTAATGGGGAAAGCTGATTCACTTAACAACCGGGTTTTTAACTTAACAACCGTAGTGGTTCATTTAACAACTGTGGCAAGAAAGGTTGTAAAATGGGGCAAAATTAATTTAACAACTGTCTCAAAATAGAACTTTGGTCTCAGTTATCGGCATAAGTTGCATGTACTTCTAATCAGCTCCCTGAGTTGGACAGCAACTGTTTGCTTAAGGACAGCAAACAGATGTTTGCCAATGAAATTCAATGGAGAATCCCTAACAAATTTTCCCTTAAGGTCAAGACTTTGTACTTGTCTAACTGGGAACCTGAGAAGGGAAAAAAAGGAAATTAATTTTTTTAACAGTGCAAGGAGTTTGGCTATAGAGAGGGCAACAAGATGGTTCTTATCCAGCCTTCTAGTCCATGGAAGACAAGAATCCTGGAGGTGAGGAACAGGCCAGATATCTGAAGGAGGGCAGCCAAAGAGGAGGAAAACATCCAGGGACCCCAGAGGAGTCAACCTGACTTTGATAGGCAGGAAGATTCCAAAGCAGATCACAAAGAGATTGTTCTGGATCAAAACGATGACTCCACATCAATTTGTCAAGAACCAGTGTTGCTAAACAAACCTCATTTGACTTGAAGATTAAATAAATGCATAAATAAAATGGTCTTTCTAGGTTGTGGAAATGGTAGCTAGGCTAAATACTCCAGCTAATGAAGTGGTTGGAATGACACAATGACTTGAAAATCATACAATGGGTGTTTATCCAGAGTTCCTCATCAAGTTGGTGCCCCTCCATTCAGTTCTTTCTAAAAATTAGGATGGAGTGAATGCTTGTCAGTCTGAGAATACAAACTGCATGATTACTACTGTAGCAGAATGAAATAAAATTCAACATGTAACTCTAGAAGTTAGGGAAATGGGATGCAAACAACAGGATGAAGTGTAACCAGAGAAATTAAAAGTTATAAATGTAGGAAAAAACACAGACTTATAGGAGTGTTGTTTAGTTTCTGACTGAACTCATGAAAAATCTCTAGAAATGGAAGTTAATTTTAAGCAATGGGTAAGTAATGTTAAGCACAGTAAGAAATAGACCAAAAAAGCTAAGGCATGAGAGAAAAGGAAATATCATTAAGTCTAATTTGTACTATTTACTATACCACTATTTCTATTTTTGGATCTACCATGCATCTACCAATCCATTTGCTGTTTTATACTTTAAATGTCTCCCCCTTTTGTTAGGTTCATCAGTTCTGTCCAAATGACTTTGATTTATTGCTTCGTTGAACCATTAACCTTCTGTCCTATATTTTTTGCAGTTCAAGCCCTTATCCATTTCCTACATACAGTATGACCAAACCACCTCTGCATGTTTCTTCTTAGTTTGATATTCATTTAACATCCATTCAACCTTGGCTTCATGTTTTAAGTACCATCTTCTCACTTTTCCTAGCGTAATTCAACTCTTCTCTCGTAATCCAAGGGGCAGAATTATGCTCTTACATGCAGCCACTTCGTCTAGTGTTGGTCCAGGAAAGGGCATAATTGGTACACCAGATGAATCTGTACAAAGCCTCCCCACCCCAGCCATGACCACAAGCAATGAGTCTAGGAAGACTATTAAATTATTCACCAATTCAATGTGGGGGAGTACCACCCCCTCCAGAATGAAAGATCGTCTGGTCCAGGGAGGCAGAAAACCCCAGAGCCTCTCCATTTGCCAGTATTCCTCCTTTACAGCCTCCAGGCACTTGGCCAGCATCACCACAGCAACAACTATCTGACGAGGGGTGGAAATATGTAATTGGGTATCATTAACATACAGACGATATGACCCAATCATACAATGGTGAAGGAGAGCAAGGTCCTTTAATGAGGATTTCTCTGGTGTTTTTACTGCCATTCAACGCTGATCTTCATAATTGGAGTACATTTCTGTGCACAGATATTCCAGAAGGATTTGCTTGTATTTAGGTGTTTACGTGACAGGGCAAAGCAGGTAGTTTTACATGACAGGACAAGGCAAGGTGACAGTACTGCCCCCCCCTCCCCATAGCTTTCGAGATGGGTGTTGCCACCTATACCTCCCCAGAGATACAGGCCAAAAACAGCTATTAAAAGAGATGAGTGAAAAGCTTTTACAAAAGAACTTTTCCATTTCCCACCCTGGAAAGTGTGGGGTGGGGGAACTGTTGGAATAATAACCAGACTTCTCAATGCATGAATTCTACATTATGAAATTTTATTGCTGGCATGCTGGACTAGCTGGGTGTAATACAAAAATAGTCTCTATACAAATGTTCTTCGCAATTTTTTTACAACAGGAATTTTGTCTGTGATGTCTCACCCAACATGACAGCTCCCCAAACAAAACCAGCAGCTCACAACATCCCTTTCATGGCCCTTACCCCACCCCAGAGTCCTTTTCCATCTCTTTCCAATCAGCTTTTTATTGCAACAGATGGTGGAACACCCAACTTTACATCAATGGAGTATTGCTATTTTTGTCAAGAGTGGGAGAAGGACCAAACCTTTCAGACATATTGTTAACTATCTTGGGGAAGGGGGAAAAAAATTAAACGTAGGAAGGGGCAGAGCTCTGGAGGGATAAGTCAGCATTCCTAAGGCTTGGGAGATGACTCCCCTGACACAGCTTCCTGCTCCTCTCCTGGGAAGACCCCCGATTGCCCCTTCTGGAGTTGCTCCTTCCCCTGGCAACTTCTGCTTCCAACGTTTCTATGGGAAGATTAAACCTAGGGTGGAACTTAAAGCAGGCTGGGAGGCTGTGCTGCAGGCGAGGCCTCCAAGTGCTCCTTCCTGCAGAGGGAGCTTTCCCACAGGTCTATGTCTGTCTGTCTCCCACATCCATATTAGAAATGCTTCTCTCACACTTGGGAATCATGTTCGGGACTCCCTTGCATAGGGCTCACCAGGAGAAGGGAAGGCTGTTTCCTGGAAGGGCTATGGAAAAGCAACTCAAAAACTAAGCACACAACTTTCCATTTCAGCAAACAAAGGCTGCTGCTGCCCCTGACCTCTGCTGTCATCCATGGACAAAGCTGCTGGGAAAAGACCCTGCTTGATCCCAAAAATGCTTTTTTTTTCAGGAGGCAACTAGACTTTCTTGTTTTTTCTCTGAAGATGTTTCACTTCTCATCCAAGAAGCTTCTTCAGCTCTGACTGGATGGTGGGGAATGGAAGGATTTATATTCCTTGCAGACAGATGGTCATTTGCACCCTTTGAGAGAGTCCCTGGGACCATTTGGAGGTTTACCTGTGTTCGCAGGCTCACCTGAGTAGCACAAATGTGTGTGGAGCCTTCTTGGCTGCAGGATGTTTTCTGCCCTGGGTCCCTTCACTGTGGAAGCAGGCACAGGCTGTTGGGGATGAATCAGTGTTGTCTGAATCTCAAACTGAAGCACAAGAGCCTGTGCCTCAAAGAAAAAGCAAGCAAGTCCAGTTGCCTCTTGGGAAAAAAACCCCACCTTTGGGACAACCCTGCCTAGATGACTGAGAATCTCCATAGACCCTGCTTGATGGCCCAGATTCTACAGCTGCAGAGAGAAAACATGGGTGTGTGTGTGTGTGTGTGGGGGGGTTCCTATGCCATTTTCCAGAGACTGACCATGATAACTGCACCTGTGTCCTGTGTAGCAGCTCCAGATGACAGGCTAAGCCTCATTTGGATTTCACCAAATCTCCAAACATTGTTGGACTGTATTGTTTTCTCCTGTGCAACAGTCAGAAATCTGTTTCTACTACTTCAATCATGCGAACACACTCACACTTCTTTCTGTTAATGGTGAATGCGCCAAAGAGTTTTTTTGCTCACCCCCACCACCTCTCCAGGGAAGATGTCACGCCAAGACATGACAGCTTTGCTCCCGGTCTTCCAAAGGACAGCACACTGGAGAGCCACTGCTGCTGGAAAATGAACTGATGATGGATGAGAAAAGGAAACTGGAGACTCTGCAACAGAATCATCTCCACAGGACATGACTAATCTGGCAAGAAAGGCATCCAGTCCAAAAAAACCCCATGGCTCTGGCATCACACAGCTGGATCCTAGCTTGGAGCAAGGGGCACCCCCCCCCAACCTGTGCATACAGGTAAGTGCTGTGACCAGCGACAAAGGTGAGAGTGTGCCAAGAGCATACATGGAGGGGACTGAAGTGAGGTCTGCAGTGGGGGGAGAGGTGGGGGATGGAGTAGAAGGAAGAGGGAAGGGACAACTACCCCTTTCACATTATCAAAAATTTATCCCTTCAAACATGCCTCCATGGTTAATGGGACAAGAGATAAAAATCAGCAGAATCAATGCAACATTGCTGCACTTTTCAAAAGCTACCATTTTAAAAAATCAAAACCAAAACAGAACACCCAGGAGATCCAAAATAATTAAGTGGCTTGGAGACCAGCCTCCAGAAAAGCTACATTGTAAACAGCTCTGGGTTGAAACTTGGCCTAGCTGGAATCTGCAACAAATTGTCTTGGTTCAACAAACTCAGAATAAAGATGAGACATTTGCAAGACCATAATCACACTGGGGTCTCAAATTAATGCTTGCACAAAGTAAATTCAACCTGGGGCTTAAACTGAAAACAGAACCCAGAGTATTGAACAAAAATGGGTTTAAGAAAGAGTTACCCTTTTTGAAACCCAGGGTAAAGGACATTGGAGAAAAAAATGATTAAGCTTATTCAAACCGTATGGAGCAAAATGCAATCCACCTGCTTTCCCGTTTGTGTTAGGAAAGGAGCCTGCTGGGACAACTTTTGCCAAAACCACTCTACATTTCAGTCCAGAGAACAGTGTGGTTAAAAAAGGCGGAGAGGTAGATTTCGGAGTCATTAAGTAAAAGCAGGCTACTGTCTATGATGAAAGTTCAAATCCACGGTGCTGGTCCCAGCCAGGTGTCTTCCACTTGTCCTCTTGGGGCAATCTCGGCAAGCAAAAACCCCTCAGCACGCAGGGAAGACTGCTACATTGCTTGGCACCTAGGCCCGGCCCCAATTCTTGCACCAGGCTAGGCAGGTGGAGCGTGACTTCCGCCTCCTGTGCGAGCTACTTCCGAAGGTAGCGCTGTGCGAGAACGGCGGCGTCCAGGGTGTTCATGGGCTGGGCATCATGGCCAAGGCGTCTCACTGGAGGGACGCTGCCAAACTGCCGCTTTTGCAGGAAGTTCTTTGCCTCATGGAGCGTGTTCTTCTCCTCCGCTAGCAAGAGCTGCTGCCTCATGTAATTCTCAAACTCGTACTGTGAACACTCCTCAGTCACCTTCGCCTGCAGGGAGGACAAAGTCTATTGGGGGGCCAGAACTGTGTCCAGCCCTTCCTGCCTTTTGTCACCAGAAGACAAATGCTGTTGATCTGCGGCTTCCTGAATCCCAGCCTCATTAAGAGCAGGGCAGACAGTCTGCAAGTAGCTTTCAGAAGACACCTGCTTATTCTCTCTGTACATGCACGCCCATGCATGCATGCCTGCAAGCACACATGCATGCACACACATTTACACACTTACATCTTTCTATGCTACTGATTCCCTGGCAATAGAAAATGCCAGTTTGCATTGACGGTTTGTCAGACTAGCAAAGGGAGAATTTATGAAATGAGTCAGGACAGCAACAGATACAGAAATGTCACCAGCTGAGGCCAATCCTAAGCTAGATCACCCCATGCTTTCATCATTTTCCTTGCAGGCACACATGCAGATAGATACATGGCACAGAGGGGGTCATAAGGGATTGGAAGACGCTCCTGGAAAAAGCTCAGAACAAGACAGACCAGACCGTCTCCTCAAGAGCTGCAATAGCAGTTGGGATGATGCCCAGTCTGAGACCCTCCACAAGGCCTCTCCGGGCAGGGCATATCTTACCTCATGTGCATGTTCTGGGTTGACCACCTGATCGTCGACATCGGGCACTACCTGTAAGGGCCCACTGAGGGAGGACATGGACTGCCTGCAGGAGACAAAGTTTTGCTGTTCAGCAGGGTGAAGACTCCTGCTAGGAGCAGGCAGGATGTCACTGGACTCCGATGTTTGGCCCAGCCCATGGAGAGAATTTCCCAGCCAGCCCAGTGAGTGTCATAATGCACACCAGAGCGCAGGGGAGCAAGTGCGCCCAAGGCATACCAAGCACAGCTTATTATCCTAGGGGTGCTTCTCTATCAGGATGGGGGAGGGAGATCAAGTGTAGCATCTTTCAGTTCACACTGCAGAGCTGAGATGATGCCCTCACTAGAGCAACCCAAAGACTGGCAAAGAAGAGCTAAGAGGCCAGAAATGATCAAAGGCCAGCCAGTTTGGCAACCATCATCTCTCCGATTTGTGCTCTCCAACAACAAATGCATCTAGAACTGAATCTCCTTCAGCCACCTGGTTGGGGACCCCAGGAGGAGTTCTTCCAATTTTCTTAGTTGAGATTTCTGCAAAGGCAGGATCTCAAGTAAGGCCCTTTGTTAGAGGCAGAAAATGGCAGGAAAAGGCAAAGCAAGGGAGCTGCCAACATGTGCTGTCAAACATGGAGAGTCAGGAAGCGCTCCAGAGGATTCTCTTTCAAACAGTCCACTTTGGACGGACGAAGAAGGGCAACCCAATCCAACCCACCCTCCATCTGGCAAAGCTTGGGCTGGCATGCAGGGCAGAGCCACTCCAAACCACCTCTCCACACACAGGGCAGCCCCTGCAGCCTCGCCCTCATATCCCACCTCCCCACTCACCAGGATGCAATTATGGAGCTGAGGGATTCGAGCACTTCTGAGGCTGTCAGGCGTTGCTGAGGGTCCAAGACCAGCAGCTTCCGGATCAAGCACACGGTGTTTTCGGACACCCGCCCATCCCTGCTGGAGAACAGTGAAGAAGAGCTAGAGAAATGGCAGGTGCCCAAACCCCCAGAGCCAGAAAGAACGGTGGTTCAGGGAGACGGGGGTGCTGGAGGATCAAGGCCTGCTTTCACTCACTCTGGGATCGTGTACTCAGCAGCCTTGATCTTGCGGAAGAGCTCTTGAGGGATGCTGTCATAGAAGGGAAACTGTCCATAGAGCATGGTGAAGAGGACCACTCCCAGCGCCCACATGTCACTGGGCTTGCCACGGTATGGCCGACCTGCAGGCAGAGGAGGCACCCTAGCATGGTCCACTAAGAAGCAGGAGCTAAACCACCCAGCCAGTTGAGCTCGCACTCTTTCTGCCCCAAGCCACAAGTGTTCTGAGGCAGGGGGAAAAGAAGTAAAGATAGCCAGTGCTCTTCTTTCCCCTTCTCTCCCAGTCATAAAAAGCAGAACTTCTTTTCCACCCACTAGACCACCAGCCAGCCCAGAAAAAGGTTTTAGAGCAATTGTAGCTCTGTCTGGAGCAAGTTAGAAATAGGTCTGCTCTTCATTCTGGAAATCCGCCCACTTCCAGACACCCAAAATGTGCTGTGCACAGGAAGAGCCTCTACTTCCAAAAAATGGAATAGACAGCAGCATCACAAAGGAATGGAAGCCCTCGGGGCAAAGAAAAGGGTTGTTAGAGACATCCTTGATGAAGGGACGCTACTTACTGCTGAGGACATCAGGACTAATGTAGGCAGGGCTGCCCCGCTGGTCCTTCAGCAGGTCATCTTCACTCACCAAATGCTTCCCAAGACAGAAGTTGGTGATCGTAATTCGGTGGGTCCTGAAGCAAAGACAGAATTAAAATGGAAGTGGAGAGACAAGTTGGAGAGAATTCAGAGAAGTGCAATGAAGGCGATATCAGAACCTGAAATGTGCCCTAGACTGAAGGAATGTATGATGTTCTCACAGCGAAGATGTGATAGCTATGTTCAGGTATGTGAACCACAAAGAGTTATAAACTGTTTCCTATGGCCCCAAAACTAGGTCAGAAATTACCAATATAAGCTGTAGTTACCTAGATTTCATTTAAATATATGATAAGATACGTACAACAGTGGAACAGTCTACCAATGGAGGTTATGGGTTTTGAGTCTCTGGAGATTTTTAAGAGGCTGGGTAGCCAACTCGGACAGTCGGTTTAACTGATCTCTTTGTATACTGCAGAGGGTTGGAGCAGATGATCCTTGTGGTCTCTTCCAACTCTACAATTCAATGATTTTATGAAAAGTAAGCAGAGTCCCAATAAAGGTGCACCCAGACAGCTTTCACGACCAATGGTACTAACTTACTGATTATATCTGAATGCTACCAAATTCAAATAGCCTCCACTGGTAAGTATCGTGACTGTGAATTGACTTATAAAACTTTGGAAAGCTAGGTCTGCCCAAAAGCTCTCCAAAAGATCTTTGGGCTTGATCCAGTCCTTCAGTCTTCAGTTTCCTGGGGGTGTTGAGAGCCTATAGTGGAACAGGGTGCAGAAGAGAATCCTGGATGCTGTACTGGGGAAACAGGGAAGGCTAATATCGCCTGAGTCAGAAAATCCCCTGCATCATCATTCCTCATACCTGAGGTAACAAGCAGGGCATGCATAAATTTGTTTCTATTTCATACAGCTGGGACTCCAGACTCCTCAGAACTTTAGAAAAGGAATAGTGTCAAATTGCTGTTAAAACAGATAAGGAATGGTTGCTGGAATTGGGGATGTCTAGTTTAACGAAGAGAAGGACGAGGGGGACATGATAGCAGTCTTCCAGTATCTCAGGGGCTGCCACAAAGAAGAGGGAGTCAAGCTATTCTCCAAAGCACATGAAGGCAGGACAAGAAGCAACGGATGGAAACTAACCAAAGAGAAGCAACCTTTAACTAAGGAGACATTTCCTGAAAGTGAGAACAATTAACCAGTGGAACAACCTGACTCCAGAAACTGTGAATGCTCCAACACTGGAAGTTTTTAAGAAGAGACTGGATAGCCATTTGTCTGAAATGGTATAGGGTTTCCTGTCTGAGCAGGGGGTTGGACTATATGACCTCCAAGGTCCCTTCCAACTTTATTATTATTAAAATGAAAAAAGGAAAGAATCTTCCAACTCAGGCAAATACAGAATTAGAATGGATTTCCTATAAAGCAGAACAAGGGAAATTTGCTAAGCAATAGTGAATTTGTTATTTTATATTCCCTTCTATCTACCACAGGAGGGGTTTTTTGTAGCTACAGGATTAAAACCAAGAAAACACCCATAATCACTGTAGAGAAAAGAGGACAGAGAAGGCAGCCAAACAATCAAATGCACCAAACCAAACTTCTGCAATCCAAGACTGTTTATGAATTCAGCCACAAAGATGTTCCAAATTTCATGTGCTGCCAAAAAGAGACCCTTTCCATGGAATCATAGAATTGGAAGAGATCTCAGAGACCAAGCCGACCTTCTGCTCAATGCAGGATCCATTGCAGATTGCTGTCTAGCCTGTCTGAAGTCCTCCAGCGAAGGCCAACGGAGAGCTCTTTGCCATCAGGAAATTCCTCCTTTCCCGCAGGCTCAATCCGTTGGCTCTGACCTTGCTCTCATAGCAATGGAGAACTCCCTCCCTTTCCTTGCCTTTCAGATGTCAGAAGACAGTAGGAGGCTTCCCCTCATCCTTTTATTCTGCAAGCTAAACATGGTCCATTGCTTTCATCGTTCCTCAGAGGGTTTCCATTCCCTCCTCCATTTTGATACCTATTCTCTGAACACGGTCAACTTTTTCCATGTTGTTTTAGACTGTGGTGCCCAGAAGCAGACCCAAGGTCCAGTTTTCTCAGGAGCCAATCTTATCCAGGTAAGTGCATAAAAGAAGTCATAATCAAGCTCAGAAGGAAGAAGCTTCAGGTTCCCTGATCTCAAACTACTTGACAACTCTAGAAGCTATCAATTCTGCCCAGTATATTCAAATCTAGGAGTCCTGGTCAAAAACTCAGCAGCTACTTTTTCCAAACAGCTTTCTCACAGAACACATTGCAGCAACGACCTGGACATGGGCAAAATATAGGTCAGAAAGGTGAGGTTAGAAAAAGCTGTAGGTGGCAGAAGCCAAAGTAAGTTTGCATGAGTATCTCTTTCTGAAGCTAGAACCAAGAGTATCCCCGGAGCTAAGAGCTTTTGAGCCCTGCTTCCCCACACAAGTGGTGAATTCCAACCTCTAAGAAATAGCTTCTAACTTCCCCAAAGCCTCTCAGAATACCCAGACTAAGCCCATTCAGCCTCCTTTCCAAGGCCAGAGAGCTGCATGCATTCAGGAATTTTCACTATCTGGCTGGAGGCTGGACCAGCTCTTTCCACCCAGTCTTGAAAGAACTTTGGGGTACTTTCCCCATGAGTGAATGAGAACAGGCCAGAAGGCTGCTGCTGAACCCTTAAAATGCTTTTAGGATGATGCACAAAAACTGCTGCCCAGATACATTCCTCAATCTGTCTAGGCATAATGAAGACAGGAGGCGGTGGGCAGCCTCTTGCATTTAGGCTCTGTGAAATACAACTAGCTAGCCTGGTCTCCCTTCTGGCTGGCAGAGTAGCTAGCCCAATCACCCTATTAGTTCTTGTTGTTAAGGGATAGTTTTGTGCCATTCGTTTTATTGAATACACTTTTATTGGTCAATGACTGCAATAATGTTTCTGCCTGTCTGCACCAAGGACAAGCTGCAGAGTCACTAGAGCAATGACAGTACCAACCTCCAAATTTCTGATTGGGGAGCTGACTGACACATCTCCTCCTCACTCTCTTCCAGTGCTACCAACTGCCCCTGATGGAAATGTCATCCATTCTTGGCCCTTTGCCCACCAGAGAACAAAAAAAGGTGTGTACAGGAGAAATACCATCTGCCCTGGACATGGCTATACATGGTAGACCAGCTGAAACTTTTCAGGGGGTCTCTGAAGACCTGCCCTGCTACCCACTTCCCCAGCTGTTTGCAAAGGACAAGTGAAGACACTCTGGGAACCCTCAACAACCCCATGGCCGAGCAATTTGCAAAAGGAACACACCTTTTGTTTAGCACCATGTTCCCCAGTTTCAAGTCTCTGTGGACAATGTTCTTCTGCAAAAATAAAACAATCCTGCAATTAGAACAACTGAGATTATTCTGCCCAATGCAGAAGACCCAAACTAAGCATGTGATTGAATCCCCCGAGAGAAGAGCCCTGCTCAGTTCTGGCTTCTGTTCTTTGGCTCCTGCCAAGGCAGGTGAGAAATAAAATTTCTCAATAAAAATCTCAATAAAATTTAGGGTTGGTGCCCTGACCGCAACATTCTTCTAGCTGTGCAAGATTCTGGGGCTGGTGTGCACTCCATTACACGGCTGCTACCATACTGTGGAATAAGTGCAGAAACATGGTACCTTGTGCAAGGCTTCCACCACCCGCACAACATCATAGAAGATGACAATGGTCTCTCGTTCGCTAAGCCGCTTCTCTTTGATGACATAGTGCTGGAGATTGATGAGATCAGCTGTCTTGTCACTGAAGTCATGGGCACAGAGGCAGTCCAACACTAAACAAATACGTTTCCTCATTTTTCGGATCACCCGATTGGACTCCAGTTCTTCCACCAGCTCACAGGTTCTGTCCTGCATAGTCCCAAGTCACAGGGACCAGTGTTAATTGAGCAGGGAGAAACCCATCCTACCCATTGATTAGACACAAGCCCGCTTTTTGCTGCTTCCATGAGGGCCATAACTGTAGATTTTGTACCAGTGCAAAATTGCTCTTTACAACCATTAATGAAATTCTCATAGATTTCTGAAGAGTGGGTAGGTGCAGAAATATTTTGTCTTACTGGAAGCGTACAATTCTTCCCAGCAAGCATGCCCCAGACTTGCCAAAAGCTCCCCAAGGACATCCCCCCCTTTGCTTAGGAAATTATGATTAAACTGGCACAGAGGGGCATTTGATTGCCAGAATCTAACAGTCTCAGGCAGAGGAGCTGGACTGAGACTGTGGCAGCTTCTGCAGGCAGCACATGACATCAAAACCACAATGTCCCCAAAACCAATTAACATGGGCTGCGCCATTTGAAGGCTTAAAAAAAACAGGCCTCTCAAGGCTCCACCATGTCAGTGCTGGGAAGCCAGCAAGCAATGGTGTTTAGAGAAGGGCTCCAACTTCTACCTGGAAAAGGCCATGATGATGGACCACCCCATCCTGATTGTGCAGGAGAGAGAGGAGAGAGAACTCTGTGTGCAGCAGCATTTTGCCCTGACGTTCCTCTTGGGTTTCTGTGCCATGGTCATTCTTGTCCTCCAAGGTGAGGATCTTTGTGAATGAAACAAAGGAAAAGCAGCTCAAGACAGTAAAAGTCAGAAAGGCCAGTCTCAAATGCAATGCAATGCACAGAAAATCACAGCAGGGCACAGAGCACCTTGAAGCCCAAAGTTGACATCATAAATAAAGGAGGCCCAATTTCCCTTTTTGGTCTGGCTCAAGAAAAGGGGGTACACCTTTCCCCAACACTCTTCCTGTTGTTCTGCCTGGAGGTTAGAGGAATTTGGACGTTAATGGTTCTAGGGCAGGTAACTGTTTTCACATCTTATTTTATGACCCCTAGCCTCAGCAGCAGCAAGCAACACAGAGAAGGTGTAAGAAAAGACTTGAGCCCTCTGGAAAAGCATCACCAGGTAAAAGGGGCTGCTGTGGCTTTGGGGACTGGACAGCTGCAGAAGGCATCTTTCCTTGAAAGGCCTGCGCCTCACTTGAGGAAAACCACCAATGTTTTAGTTATGGTGCCACCACTGCATATTGATTTTCCACAGAAGATTGACCAGGCCTTGCCTGTCCCACTCCCTTCTTACAACAGCATTTAGAGGACCAGATTGTTGGGGGCAATATGCTGACTCTGTAAAAGGCTTAGAGAGGGTTGTAAAGTACTGTGAAGCGGTATATAAGTCTAAGTTAGGCTTATATATCACCCCATAGCACTTTACAGCACTCTCCGGGTGGTTTACAAAGCATTATTTGCATCTTGCCCCCAACAATCTGGTCCTCATTTTAGCAACTTCAGAAGGCTGGCAGGCCAAGTCAATCTTAAGCCCCATTAGGATCTAACTCCTAGCTGTGGGCAGAGTTTGCCCACAATACTGCATTGTAACCATTGCACCACCAGGGCTCCTCTTAACATTCGCTGCATTCAATCCCACCTGTACAGACTCTGCAGTTCAGCAGAACTTTAGGATTTAAACAATGTGTCTCTCTTTCATGTCAGTTATTTCTGGGAAACTGATTCTGTAAATTGCTTCTTACCTTCAGCTGATAAAAGTCATCTGTCCCATCCTTTCTTGCCAAGCACTGAACAATGCTAGGCACTGGGGAGTTGCCTAAACGTGGGCCTAGGAACATAAAAATAGAACATCTGCCTTGTTAGCTTATCCCCAGAAGCTCCCTCTCTGCTCAGCAAGACGTGTTTTTCTTTAAGCCACAGAGATGGCCAAATGGTGATGGCCCTAATGTGTCCTTCCCAGCTCAGCACAAGAGCAGGAGAATGCCGTGGCCATCCACTCTGAAACTGAAGCCAGAAGTGTCACACGAAAGTGTAAACCCTGTAGCATGTTGCCCTCTTTTCTGAGAAAGTGCAATCTTTTCTTGATGAGCCAGCCGCACTGGGGTACTAGGGACAATTATGCTGGCAGTGACCACAGCAGAAAGGGATTCAAAATCTTTATTCCCAAATGCTGAGATTAGAAACAGGATTGGGTCTGGGCTCCAATCCTCACACCATCTGGTGATGAAAAGAGGCTGGGATACCTTTCAGGAGTTCTGCAGTGCTGCAACCTGGCTGAATATATTGTCTGTCAAGGACCAGGAATTTCATCCTGTTTTATGACAGAACTCATTAGGCAAAGGAAACGTTCTGCATGTCTGATGATCTTTACAGCACTGAATAGCTGGTTAGCTGCAGTGTCCTGAGGCAAGAATCTCTTCTTACTCACCAAGTATGAAAGGCCCAGCTCTTTTGGTGTTACTGCTGGAAATCCCTGGGCAGAGAACCTTGGCTGATGTTTCCCCACCACCTCTATCGGAGGTTCTTCGCTTCATTCTGAGTTCTGGAAAGGAAAGGCAGACGCTGCTTTAAGCTCAATTCTTTTCCCCAATGGAGCTTTTATGTCACAACTACCTTTTTGTACCACCCAGAAGCTCATAAATTTACACGTTTCTTGCAATGGAACTTGAGGATGACCTTGGAGGAGGAAGGGAAGAGTTGCTGCCTGGGAAGCAATCAGCGAAGACAAGCAGGAGCCCCCAGTAGTTTAATGGTCAGAGAGAAAGGAAGGATCCACTACATGAGGTCTCCCTCATCTCATTGCATTCTAAGGATGATTTCAGCAAATTGATTTTGAACTAATTCAGGCCTCTGGCATCCAGGACTGTCCACCCACAGCAGAAGCACCAAGAATAACAGGGGAAATAAAAGAGGTTCTCGCACTATTAAAGCTGTTAAAAAAAACTATTAAAACTTTGGTTTCCTGGACCATGGACTGTATTTCCTACAAGAAGGACTCTTGGCAAAGGATGAGCTGCACCTCACAAAAACAGGGAAAAGACTGGCCCAACTCATCAGGAGGGCTTTAAACTAAAATTGAGGGGGAAGGGTGACCAATCTTTAGAATCTCTAGAACACAAAACCAATAAAAAAACCTCCCCAAACCACTGGACTGTGTAGCATTGAATAGATTTATACTGAAGTTAAGATGCAACACCGAGTAACAAATGTACCCGGACATCATGTTTGTTTACTAAGCATTTATGATTTATAGTAATAGAAAATCAATAAAACACTTATAAAAAAAGGAAGAAATAGATGAACTCTTTGCCAACCAGTTAACAAAAATGTGTGTGGAAAGCATACCACACTAGTAATAGGAGATTTCAGCTATCCAGATATCAACTGGGAGACAAAGTCTGCAGTGAGTGGGAGATCAAACAGATTCCCAACCAACCTAGCCTACAACTTTATTATCCAAAAGATGGAGGAGGGAACTAGAAGTAAAGCTACATTGGACCTAATTTTTACTAATAGAGAAGTGATAGAGGGAGTTGAAGTTGCTGGAACTTTGGGGGAAAGTGACCATGTCATATTGGAATTCAATATAATGCAAACAGAAGCAATAGAAAATAATCTAACCAGTGTCTTAAACTTCAAGAGCTGATTTTAACAAACTCAGAGAGAACTTAGGAAAGATTCCATGAACGAAAATCCTAAAGCGGAAAATAACTCAAGAAACGTGGGAAACACTGAAAAATGCAATCATAAAGCCCAGAAAAAGAAAAACAAGAAATTCACGAAGAAACCAAAATGGCTGCACAAAGATTCTTCTGACAAACTGAATAACAAAAAGGATAAGTACAAAAAAATGGAAAAGGGGACAAATAACTGATTATTATCAGACAGCCAGAACATGCAAAGACGAAGTTAGGAAAGCAAAGGCTCAGAATGAACAAAAACTTGCAACAGAAATCAAGGATAATAAAAAAAGGGTTTTTTCAACATATTAATAACAAGAAAAAAGTCACAGAAACTATAGGTCCAATAAAGAGAGAAGGTGGCAAGGAAGTAATAGGCAGCAGGGAGAAAGCAGAGCTGCTTAAGTCATTCTTTGCATTAGTCTTCATACAAAAAGAAATTATAGTCCAACATACTAAAAAAACTACTGCAAAAGGCAAACAAAAAACAAAAATTAAATAAGAAAGTCGAAAGAGAACACCTATCCAACATTGATGAATATAAATCACTAGGACTCCAGACAGATTACATCTCAGAGTTCTGAAGGAACTGGTAAATGTTATCTTAGGACCATTGCACCATATCTTTCAAAAATCCTGGAGCACCGGGGAAGTACCTGAGGATTGGAAAAGGGCTGATGTGGTTCCCATCTTCAAGAAAGGGAAAAAAAATGGACCCAGGAAACTGTAGACCAATCAGTCCAACATCAATACCTGGGAAGATCCAGAAAGATAATAAAAAAAACAGATTTGCGAACAAATAGAAGCAAACAAAGTTATATAACTAGTAGTCAGCACGGGTTTGTTAAAAACAGATAATGCCAAACCAATCTTATTTCATTCTTCAATAAAGTGACTAAACTAATAGACCAGCAAAATGCTGTGGATGTAGTATACTTAGACTTCAGTAAGGCATTTGACAAAGTAAACCAGAACCTGCTGCTTGGTAAGCTAGAAAAAGGTGGGATAGACAACATCACCACCAGATGGATCTGTAGCTGACTGACAAACCGTACTCAGCGAGTAGTCCTCAATGGCACTACATCCATACGGAGAGAAATAAGCAGTGGGGTACCACAAGGCTCCGTCTTAGGCCCAGTGCTCTTCAATATCTTCATCAATGACTTAGATGAGGGAATAGAAGGGGAACTCATCAAATTTGCAGATGACACTAAATTGGCAGGAATAGCCAACACCCCAGAATACAAGCTCAGGATCCAAAAAGATCTTGACGAACAATGTGTCTTATCCAACAAAATAAGTTTTAATGTGGAGAAAAGCGAAGTTTTATATGTAGGCAGGAAAAAATCAAAGTAAGATCACGTCTGGAATACTGCAATCAATTTTGGTCACCATATTACAAAAAAGATGTTGAGATTTTGGAAAAAGTTCAGAGAAGAGCAACTAAAATGATCAAAGGCCTGGAGACTAAAACATATGAAGAATGGCTGCAGGACTTGGGTTTGGCTAGTCTAAAGAAAAGAAGAAACAGGGGCGACATGATAGCAGTATTCCAGTATTTGAGGCGCTGCCGCAAAGAAGAGGGTGTCAAATTATTCTCCAAAGCACCAGAAGGTAGGACAAGAAACAATGGTTGGAAATTGACCAGAGAGAGAAACAACCTGGAATTAAGGAGAAACTTCCTAACAGTGAGGACAATTAACCAGTGGAACAGCTTGCCACCAGAAATTGTGGGTGCTCCATCACTGGAGGTTTTTAAGAAGAAACTAGACAATCACTTGTCTGAAATAACCTGCTTGAGCAGGGGGCTGGACTAGAAGACCTCCAAGGTCCCTTCCAGCTCTATTCTATTCTATTTATAACACCTCCAAGGTCCTTACTCTTACCTGCGTTTCTTTAATTTTGGAGAGAAACCAGACTGAAAGGAACCCTTCTACTCAGATTTATAAAAGGCTTGCTCTCAGACATTGCTTGGCACGGATATCTCATCTCTTAGAGGGAAGATAGGGAGGAAGATTAGCAGATTTTTTCTTATGCTTTAAGGATATTATGCTCTCCAGATATACAGGTGCTCTCACCTCTCAGACTATTGGAGAACAGAGATTATAGCTAGGTTATTGCTATGTTTGGAATCTGCCAGTCTTCTATTTTGGAACTACCTGTTCTCTTTCCTTTAACCACCAAGGCCTGCACCAGTTGCCTGCTTCAAAAAAAAAAAACAGCCCTATGCTGCCCCAAGAGGCAGGTCAGTCACCAGAACTGCTGACTGGAGGCACAGGCTTCTTCTGCACCCTGTGCTTGGTATCTCTATTTAGTGTCAGATTTAGTGGCTCAATACATTGGATGTTATTCTACAGCTTCTCTTTTTAAAAGGCTGAGAAGTCTGGAGGGCTACTGCACTTGGAACTGACTATTCCAACCCAACCGATGGCCATTTCGGCTGGTCAGGCACATTAGAAACTACAGCCACTGGTGTAAGTCGACCGTGCCAACAACACAGGCACGGTATGGCTTCTGCCTCTCATTCGCAAAGGCACGTTGACTGGGGCTGGCAGCTCCAATCTGAGCTTCTGGTTTCACACTCAGCACTTCTAAATGGCTTTTCAGTAACGAAGGCACCGGGCCCCCAGGGCAGACGGAGCAAAAGCCGGGCCTTTGCTCACGCTCTTGGGCAAAGTTACACACCTCTGTACTAATCCCAGGCATTTAATGCTCCTTGGGGGAATGCCAACGGCCAGGCCTGGAGGGTCGCCTTCTCCCGCAGACGGGCCTGCCCCAGGAGGGGAGCGGAGGGCCAGGCGACCCCACCTTCGCCCCGTCCACAAAGCCGCAGCCCAAGCACCGCGGCGCGCAGAGGGCGAGGCGGGGCCTCCTTCGGTCGGAAAGGAGCCGCCCCCAAACGTCCGAGGTTCTTCGCGGCCCGGAGGAGTCGCTTCCAGAGGCAGCACCTCCGCGGCTCGGAAACGGCGCGGAAGATCGCGGGCCGCAGCGGCTTCTCCCGCAGAACCGCCGCCCCGGGAGCCTCGCCGCGTTCCCTTTCCGGGCGAGTGCCAAACGCTTTCGCCGGAGGGAGGCACCCGATGCGACAGAAGCCGGCCGCCGGGCTCCGGCTACCGCCGCGCGGAACCCGAGGATGAGCCCCTTGCCCCGCCGGGCCCCCGTGGCCGCGCCCTCTCACCCATCGCCGCCGCCGCCTCCGGGGCCGGCCCCGCTCGCCTGACCGCCTCCCGCTCGGGCGCCCGCCTCGGCCCCTGCAGCGGACGTGACGCAGGAGACGTCAGGCCGCCGCCGGCCCCGTCCTCCGGATTGGTTGGGCTAGCAAGCACGTAGGCGTCCCCCGCCCCCTTCGTCCCTGGGCTTCCGGCGCTGCGGTTGGGAGGGGTCGGCCCGCAGGAGCCCACCTTGGCTTCGGCTTCACTGCCTCTTGGCTGGTCACCGGGGAGGCTCAGGCAGCCCAAGCGACGTCCTCTGGCGGCGTCTGCGGAACCGCCCGTCAGAAGGCCTGCTAGGAAAAGAGGAAAAAGCCTCCTCGCCCCAAGGCGGAGTCTCGGTCCAAGCGGCGTCGTTCTGAACTGACCCGGACCGTTTTGCTCGAGCCCCGGCCGGGGGTGGGCGGGTGCCAGTTGCTTCAAGTTCTGATTTTGTGACTGGACGGGAGAAATATTTAAAGTGTGGGAAGAGACTGGACAGCTACTTATCTGGAATGGTATAAGATTTCCTGCTCGAGCAGGGGGTTAGACTAGACTAGATCTCCAAGGTCCCTTCCAAGGCTGTAATTCTGTTAATATGAATAAGAGAAATGTAAGTTTATTATACCTGGATTTCAGCAAGTCTTTGATTGCATAACATTATCCTTCATAGAATGGAAAATAAGAGCTAGACTAGGATAACTGGATTCACATCTAAAGCAGGGGTGTCAAACTGCCGGCCCATAGGCCGGATGCGTCACACCGAAACTGGGCCCATCCCATTGCCGGCAATGGAGAGAAAGTCATGACATGTCACGTGATGTTGCGAGTTTGACACCCCTGATCTAAAGAGAGCTCATTAATGGCTTCTCTTGGAGAAAACTATCAAGAAAAGTATTTTATGTCTGTTCTGCTATTCAACTTTTTTTTTTTTATCAATAACTTAAGGGAGTTGAAGAGACACTTAGCAAACCTTAAATAGGATGGTATTTAACAAGATAAAAATCTAGCCACTAAAGTAATTGTAAATGGAGATCTTACAGAAAATTTCAATATCAAAAAGGCACAAGACAAGGGTGTCCATTATTCCCATTGTTATTTATATTAACACTGGAGGTATTAAACAGAAACATTAGACAAGATAAGGAAATTAAAGGATTGTAAATAAAAGATGAAAAATGCAAATTACAAGCATTTGCGGACAATTTGGTCTTTATACTAGAAGAGCCCCTAGAGACAAGCCTTAAGTTTATGAAAAAGATAGAAGAATTTAGAGAAGTGGTAGGTCTGAAAATAGAGAAAAGACCAAAGTAATAACTAACTAAATAACACCAGTGAGGTTAGCAAAAATGTTTAAAAATATATCAAGCAATTGTTAAAAATATAGACAGAAACCAGGCACCATCTTTGGTGGACATGCTCTAAAGCCAAAATATTCTGGTTAAGAATAAACACATGGTTATAGAAAATGACTAAAAATATATAGATTTTAAGCCAGAGCTATTTTTGTTAGGCATAATTGTAGGAAATTATGAGAAAGAATATATATATCTAATTTTACATATAAATACAAGAATTGTATTTGGTCAACATTGGAAAAATTAAGATTTACCAATGGAGGAAAAGTTAATTAAAAAAAATTAAATATGCAGAAATGGATAGATTGACATTAAAAATGAAAGAGAAAGAAGATTCGGTTTATTTTAGAACATGGGATACCTTTTATAAATGGCTAGAAAAACGAGGTAGAGAGAAAGGAATTTAACATGTATTAGTAAGTTAAATGTTGGAACCCAGACAATATGTTGCTGAGAAAATATAAAGCACTTGTGACTATAAAAAATTAATAAAAATATATATAAAACTAGATAAAAATCTATCTGCATCACGCTCAGAAAAATGTCAGTCAGGTATTGAACAGGGAGACCTGGCTTGACAGTAGACCATCTGAAACGGAATCCACAACTTTGAGTCAGCAATGTGAAACAACTTCATTCATTCAATCAATTAATTGCTGTTTTGGGGTGTATTAAGAGGAGAAAGTCTAGATCAGTGGTTCTCAACCTTTCTAATACCGTGACCCCATAATACAATTCCCCATGTTGTGGTGACCCCCAAGTGGGTGTGGCCATCAATAAGAGGGAGTAGGACAGCTAGGGAAAAGGGAAAAAATGGCGGACAGCGTGGTTTGGCGACCCCCGTGAAATGGTCATTCGACCCCAAATGGGGTCCCGACCCACAGGTTGAGAACCACTGGTCTAGATCATAGCAAATGTCACTCTCTAAAGCAGCACTAGTGGAATCTGCACTGGTAGGATGTGTGTGTGAACAAAATGCATTCTAAAGTTCCTTCCAACTTCATGATTTCTGGCATGAAAAACAACCAAGACTGCAGCTATTCTCCATTTACTGAAAAAAAGACCTACAAGGCTTAGTTAGCTGGTCCCAAAACAGAAATTATAAAGCAGCAATGGTAGGAAGATGGGATATGATTCAAGCCTAGATTAGACATCTCCAGCACTGCACATCAGGGAACACATGTGGTATATCTGTCATTTGGGGACAGCTGCATAGTTCCATTTATATTTCTGCAAATGTACCCTTCTGGCTAGGGGGCGCTCAAATAGCAAAGAACAGGAAGTTGGATCAGCCAATCAGCACTCAGGATGCACACCTCTGCACATTGTGCAGCTGGGATTGGGGAGGTGTACGCATTGCAGCCATCTGCAACCTATGCTTATCCATCAACCCCTTTGCAGTGTAGGTATGTAGGGACACTTAGGCACATTTGCAGGCAGTTCTAAATCAAGCAGGCTTCAAATAGACTCATAGTTTGCAAGCAACAATCTACTACCAGAGGACATGCTGTGGTTTAATGGACACAATGCAACAAAGCCTAACTCAGGTTAACAAAATATAACATTCCAACAAAATCAAATTATGACCTAATAGTATTAATATTCCTATAACATACTTAATTACTATCGCCCACTACAATCCATTTTTGCTAGAACTAGTGTGTTGCATAAATCCAGCCTTCAAATATGCAAGAACAGGGCATGGTTTTATTGACAGAGCCTCATTATTTTTAGGCAGTTTTTTTACAGGCCAGGGACCATAAAGAGGATTGGAAGTAATGTGAAGAACAACTGATCCTGGAATTCTGGGCTGTTTCATTTTTGTGTGTCTGGGTTTTCTGCAGATAAAAAAGGAACATTGCTTACCATCCTTTGCTTATTTTGTAATCAGAACGAACTAATACAAAAAACTCCAGAAAATCCAACCCATTAGGCACAAAATTAGTTTTCATTTCTGATTAGAAATTACTGTAATCCAAAGGCATACACCACACAGCGCTTCAACAGGGGGATCAAAAGACGTCCACCACCTCCCTGCTTCAACAGGCCGTCTGAATTTTAAAGCTTACGAGTTTATTCTTGAGGTTGGTGGGGAGAGAATATTAACAGAAAAGCCTCTGAAAATATTGTTCTTATTGGTAGACAATGGCTTATATTCTGACAAAGGAACGTCACCCTCCGATTCCCCTTTGAACCGGTCTGGGAGCTGCTTGGTCACACCGAGCAGGAAAGCAGCCCCGGACTTCCCAAGAGAGCGATGCGTCTTCTCGGGCACATTTCTCCTGAAACGAGCAGATTTCCAGCACCGGTTCTCCGCGTGCCCGACTGTCACCGGACAGGTCACTTGCCCGCTGGCTTCGGCCGAAGGAACTCGGTCCTGCCCTTGCCTCGGTCGCCGAAGGTGCGGACGCGGTGGATGAGCTGCAGCTGCTGCTCGATCGTGGCCCGGATGTCCACTTCGTCGGGGATGTGGACGTAACGGACGTTCCTGCCGGTGATGAAGAGGTCCTGCAGCCGGCAGGCGCAGCCGTGTCGGTCGGTGAAGGTGGCCTCGCCCAGGCGGACGTTCATGAAGGCGTCTACGTTGACGATGCGGCCCACGGCCACGCTCTCGTCGCGCAGCTCCACGGTGGTGACGCGGCTGTGCAGGCCCTGCAGCAGCAATACCAGACTGTTCTCCGCGATGGTGCGCTCCTTCACCGAGTGGCTGATCTCCATGGCGGCCCGGGGCGCGGCTCAGCCGGAAGACCCCGGGACCCGCATCCCAGCTCCGCTCTCCAACTGGAAGGCAGGCCGACGGCGGCTCGGGTCTCCGGGGCGAAAAGGCGCCAAGTCGCCTGCACGGCGAGGCCCCGCCTCCAAATCCGCGATGCCATTGGCCGGCCAGTGTTCGTCCGCTCGAGTGGGAGCGATGCCATTGGCCCGGCTGCGTGGAGGGCCCGAATCCTGAACGGAGGTTCGGCCCCGGAAGAGGCGCTTCCCGTCTTCCGCTCCCCTCCCCCTTCATACGCCACACAGAGGCGGTTTCACGGTTGGCGGGCGAGATTGTCCGCGTTGTGCACGGCGCCGTTTAATCGCTCGTGGTCTGGCCGAAATCTCCCTTCCAGGTCATGTGCAGGATGGGGCTATCCGAAGACTGAGCGGAATGGGAAGCGATGGGAAGTCTGGTCAATGATTTCTAATGCGAGGTCATATCCAACAAAATGCAGTTCAGCGATGAGAAAAGGTTCTGCTGTTAGGAATAAAGGAAGACACCCCCCCTCAGATAGAAGAAGAAATCTGGAGGCAGGAAGAAAATTTAATCACAACAGTTTAAATCTTTCCAAAGTAGAAATGAGCCCTCCCCCCAAAAGGAATTAATTAAAAAACGAGTCTTTTTTAAATTAAAACGAACAGTCTAGTTCATTTTCAGAGTCCACAGCCTCAGACAAACCCAAGTGCAAACAAAACAGCTCCAAAGTATCAACTTGAACAAACACTGAAAATAAGCTTAACCACAGGAATGCAGGACCGGCTACCGGCAATTAATGACGATTAGAACAGAAACACAGAAAAATACATAAAATTAATGAAACACATCAGATTCTTTCCTGAGACAGGGATTAACTTTTAACCTTTTCCCTAAAGATTGGATAAAGAAACTAGACCATCAATAGACACTGCTCCACGAATCAGGAATGACAGTTTGAAAACTCAGAAATTCAAATAATCAAAATTGACAATTTTGAAAACCCTGGAAAGGTATAAAGGCACACATTTAGAGACCACTCTTTCTAGCTAGCCAAGAAACTTTGCTGAATGTCACTCATCTTAGTTTCTTGCCACTAAGACTGCTTCAATTCAATTATTTCTCCAAAGTGCTGATTGAATCCCCAAGGGAGAGGCTCTTTCCACAGGAATGGAAAACCAAATGCACAGATACAGATAAGGTGGTACCTGGCTCAACTGTGAGCCATTCAGGGGTTCTAGTGCAGCAGGGGTGTAAGAAGAGCACTCCCTTCAGAGAAAAAAAATATTTGGGGCAGAATATTATATTTCTCCAAACGATCTTAAAGGCACACCCCCCCAGGTCTCTCTGCCCCAAGCAGAAACTAGGTCTGTAGAAATGCAGATCTGATAATCCTTTCAGAAAGACTAGAACCAGGTAGCTTGGAGCTGATTGAGATTAGAAAGATAAAGACCCCTGAAATCTACATACCCCTCAGATTCTAAAAATATGACCTTTAGGACATAATAGGACATAATTCTGACCTTTAAGACAATACCAAAAGGACATGCTCAAAAGCTCAGGTTCATGTTACAGGAACAGGAAACGACTTCAAGCACAAAAGCCCAAGAAGGTATAAAAACCCACCACTCCCAGCTACATGTGGTCAGTGTCAAAAGCCAAACTATGCAAAGCTAAGTATGAATTCACCAGACATGCCTTGATTATCTGGGGTATCGGATTTCAATGAGGGGATAGAAATGGACCCTGCCAAAGTAAAAGTAGTGCTAGAATGGCAACCCCCACGCACCCATAAGCAGCTTGAAAGCTTTCTGGGTTTTGCCAACTTTTACTGTCAATTTATTCCCTCTTTTGCAAAGATAGCCATGCCAATCACCGATTTACTCAAAGCAGGAAAAGGAGGGGAAAAACCCTGACCTTGTTAGCCTTTGCAATGGTTGTTAAGAGTGCCAGGCTGCATTCGAAAAAATAAAGAGACTTTGCAGTTGAACCAGTCCTTAAAAGCACCCTCACTCTGAACAATTCATCATTCAAGCCGATGTGAGCGACATGGCCGTGCTGTTCTGGCAAGAAATGCAACCACCAAGTCACTCTCCTAAATTTGGAATGGAGTTTGGGAGGCTCCTCTGAGATTAGCCAATCAGATTTTGTCTGTTTTTTTGTTGCAGGACCACTGATCATTTTTGGTACTGATAATTGTATGGGGGGGTTTAAAGAAAACGAAACACAACCATAGTCTCATTTGCCTGAAATGTCCTATGTGTAACAGCTGAAAAAACAATACTTTCTTAGAACAATCAGTTTGTTATTGGGTCTAATGTAATTTTAGTTTTGGCTTAGAATATTATGTGAACTATATGATACCAAAATGAAATATACATCTAGGAGAGTCAGTCAGCTCTGGGAGAGCAGTAACTTTCTTTAATCAGATTTTGATTACAAAAACTTCCTGGAGTGAATACTGCAATAAAGAAGGTTGTCTTATTTACAGCTGCAGCTAAAAAGAATAGCTGCACTATCATTGTAAACTTAGCTTTTATGGGTAACATAAATTGTTACTTCATAGTATGTATTTTTATTTACAGAACTTACCTGGGGGATTTATGGGATTTCTTTTTTAACTGTAGCTAACATGAACAGAGTTACTAATAGCACAGGAACAAAACTGCTATCCAATAGAGTATCCTCTGACATGTGTGCCCACATTTCCCTAATGCCAGAGAAAAGAACTGTTAAATGGATCTCAGACAGTTCCCAAATTTCATGTGCTAAGAAAAAGTGAGTAGCTTAAGAATCCATTCTGTTCTATCAGACTTAGGTCTTCTAATCAAGCTGGGTATCCTAGCATTCCTCTGCATTAAAGCTGCATGGCTCTTCACAGCTGAGGGTCATAGCTTATCCATCATTGCCAACATATCACATCCTTTGCTGCTTGTCTCACTTTGCTGTTCCGACATCTCAAATTCCCCCATGATGTGATCCAGCTTCTCATTCCGTTGCTGGTCCTGTTTCAATAAATGTTGCAAGCAAGTATTTATGTAAGAATAGAGGTGTGGACAAAATACAATATTACCCTAACATAGTATGAATGAAAATCTATGGATTCAAAACATCTCATTTAAAAAGAAACAGCTCTTAAAAACTCATGATTCATCCTTAATGGATTCTTAACATTTCTCATTTTCCTTTCCACAGAAATGGATTATTTGCGTATATGCTTTTAATATTTTGTTTTTCATGATCTGTTCCAGACTTATTTATCTGATAGGATTTTGAGCCATAGCGATTAATCTAGCATATTAAAATCTGCTTCTGGAAGTTCTAGCTACATGACTGACTTCCCTCAGTTTTTCCTTCCCCTCTTTTCTTAAAAGCCATGGAGAAGGAGGAGCCTTTCAATGACTATGAGTTATAATGACTTGTTATGTTTGGGAACAATGCTATATTTAATAATAATAGTAGTAGTAGTAGTAGTAGTAGTAGTAGTAGTAGTAGTAGTAAAGTTGGAAGGGACCTTGGAGGTCATCTAGTCCAACCCCCTGCTCAGGCAGGAAACCCTACACCATTTCGGACAAATGGCTGTCCACTCTCTTCTTAAAAACTTCCAGTGTTGCAACATTTACTGTTTCTGGAGGCAGGCTGTTCCACTGATCAATTGTTCTCGCTGTCATGAAGTTAATTCTAGGTTGCTTCTCTCCTTGATTAGTTTCCACCCGTTGCTTCTTGTCCTGCCTTCAGGTGCTTTGGAAAATAGCTTGATTCCCTCTTCTTTATGGCAGCCCCTGAGATATTGGAATACTACTATCATGTCCCCCCTTGTCCTTCTCTTCATTAAACTAGACATACCCAATTCTAGCAACCGTTCCTTATATGTTTTAGCCTCCAGTCCCCTAATCATCTTTGTTGCTCTTCTCTGTACTCTTTCTAGAGTCTCATCATCTTTTTTACATCGTGGTGACCAAAACTGGATGCAGTATTCCAAGTGTGGCCTTACCAAGGCATTGTAGAATGGTATTAATACTTCATGTGATCTTGATTCTATCCCTCTGTTAATGCAGCCTAGCACTGTGTTGGCTAACTATTTTGCACCGAAAAATTATTTTCAGACTAATCCACAATTTCAGTAGAGTATTTCTTATGAATGTGTGCTGTCTAAAAAAATCTTATTTTTGTATGTTTATTAACTGGAACAAAAACATTAAGAGGTATATGAAACTTACATATACAAATTGAAGTTGGTCCAGTTAAAAGAAAACCTGTGTTACTCATTTTTTGAAGAAACAATAAGATGCAGCAACAAATATCTACCTGGCCTGCATGTATCTTGATAACTTGACAAGATAACTCCTCTGGACGAGTCAGGGCAGCGTGTCTTAACAGAGCAAATAAAAACTCACATAAATACAATTAATTAATTTACTGAAAGTTTGAAAGTTTCTTTTTATCACTAACTCACTTCTGGAATATGACCTCTGATATTTCAAAGGCCAAGGGCAACTCTGGATATATGGAAGACCCACCACCATTGCTACTACCATTGAAAGCCAAGTATCATACTCTTCCTCCTCATCAGTAGTGAAAAGATTCAGACGAAAACCAGCCTCCTTGACTAGGGGCTTCTTGATCTCCAAGCCACCCATCAGCCTGGCTAATAAATTCAGCTCTTCTTTAGCAAGAGGGTTGGGAGCAGTGTTCTCCTGCATTGACAACAACATTTATAAGAGCCATGGAAAGAAATATGTAAGTTACACAATTTGAACTACTGTGAAATGTGCCAATGATTGGTTTCCCAGTTTCTCCTATTTGGAAATCAGTAGGCTTAAAATACCACTCCCCCCCCCACCTTCACTTAATCATTAGCCCTGGAGTAAAGCAGAATCCATCTTAACAGTAGTTGCCAAATGGATATAGTCGGATCACAACAGAAGGAAAGAAAAATTAAATCAAAATTAAAAAGAAGTTCTGGAAAATACTCTCTGAACAAGTAGCTTCTAGACAGAAAGTCTATTCCAGTATAATAATCTAGGGATTTAGGATATTAATCCTGAACAAAATGAAATAGGAAGCAAAACAGAACCTTGTTCTGTGTTTGTCAGGGTAAATCAAAGATACTGACCTTAGCATGAGATGCCAAGTTTTTGGCCCCTGATACATCTGTCTCTACAGGCCGGCTGATGCTGTATCTAGAGATTAATTGAATTTATGTACATAAGAGGCACATAGGAAACTTGTTGAAAGCCTCAATCTGAAACTGCAGACCATGACTTACATGTTTGTTCCCAGTCTAATGACTCTGTCTCCATGAAGGTCAAATGAACCTTCCCGATATGGAAGAACATAATTTCCTCCACTGCTGAATTCGATCCTCTGAATTTCATCTCCTTTACTGTTAAAAAGTCTGTAACATTGTAAAGTATAAATACTGTTTCCTTTTTTCTTATACAATAGTTGGGAGAGTTTGGGGACCGAGAAATTGATCCATAAACCCAACCTTGTAAACACTGTTATACCCCAAAAGATAACCTGCAGTATGAGGCTGGGGGTCCGTATCCATCTGAACAGGTGATTAGTCCAGTTGGATAGTTAAGGAAAAAGGCAAGTCAAAGGATTCACCTGATGAGTCCAGGGATCTCTGTTCCCCAAGGAACAGAACTTGAGGTTGGCAGCACAAAATGGCCATTGGAATTCTGCACTTTATCTTTTAAGAGAATGGAAACCTATAAAGAAATGCCAAGACTTCTCAATAAAAATGCTTCACTTGGAAATAACTTATGCTAAACATTTTCTTTTTACCATTATCACCCCATGGAAGTAATGTATAACATGCCTACCCTGATATGTATGTCCTGGAAAAAGATGAGCAGCGTTTGTCGGATAAGCTGAAGTTCCCCAGCAGAGAGCAAGATGTAGGTCTAGGGAAAAGAATCAGAAGAGACAACATCTGATGAGTTCTTAGTTCTTCTTGCCCATTTTAGAGCTAAGTGGAGCAAGTATTTTGTATGGCCTCATATCTGTCAGCAGATTATTATCAAATTTATTTCAGTGATAGGTTGTAGGACCCCACTTTTATGCCAAAACTCTCAGTTCTAATGATCAAACCGGAAATCTAGATGCAGATGCATCATGCTTATGCAATTTTGAATTAATTTCATAATATTTTTAATATTTAAGATATACTTTTAATATTATATAACTCTGGTAAGCACATATGTAAATGATGTGATGGTCCTGTTTGATCTTTCACTGATGGTGTATCACTGAACCATCACTGGTCATTCTATGCCATGGCTGTTTATACAGTATATTTAACTACAGTATGGTTAACTAAAATATAATTTACTTAATTTTTGCAGATTTTTGGATGGGCGTGAGAGACTAAAACATAAACTAACTGTATCATCTGGGTATGCATAATCTGCAAGGTTAAAATTATAGATGGCTACTTAGGAATGTAGTGTGTCACGAATACAGCTCATCTGCAATTCACTTGTTCCTTCCAGTAACTTTATTCCCAGAAGGCTAAATCTACTGTTGACAAAGCTATAATTCTTTCTATAATTTAGTTTGTTTTTTATTCTTTTATACTATTTTTGTACAGAAGATAGAATGTACGGCATTCATACATCAATGAACTTGTGAAAGGTAACATCAATTTGGTTCAGAATTTTGGGCGATTCATAGACAAAATCCTTAATGGCATCCAGGTGGTTGAAAGTGATGAGCAGAAGGTCCTTGGGTCGAGGGCAGAGGAGAACTTGGTACTTGAAAGCCATAGTCATTAGATCATAAAGCTACAGAATAAGCAAGAGATACCAGTTAATCACAAAGGCCGGGTCAGGGCAGCAGCATTTATAAAGTTACTTATATTTTATTAGAACATGATTACTGATTTAACATCTCATTTTAATACAGCTGGCAGGATTTTACTTGAAGAATACCAATAATCCTGGCTAGCTTTCAGTGCAATGTTTATTAAAATGCAGGAAATACACTTTTCATTCATGCCCAGGACCTAGCAACAATATACTGCACATTATTTAGTTAAATGCATATGGTAAACGGTTAGAATTAAAAATATTAAGATATACAGGTAGTCCTCGACTTACAACAGTTCATTTAGTGACTGTTCAAAGTTACAACACTGAAAATGTGACTTATGACCATTTTTCACATGACTGTTGCAGCATTCCCATGATCACATCATCAAAATTCAGATGCTTGGCAACTGGCAGGCATTTATTTATGACAGTTGCTGTGTCCCGGGGTCACGTGATCACCTTTTGGGTCCTTCTGACCAGCAAAGTCAACGGGGAAGCCAGATTCACTTAACAACCATGTTACTAATTTAACAACTGCAGGGATTCACTTAATAATTGTTGCAAGAAAGGCTGTAAAAAGGGGGAAAATTTATTTAACTGTCTTGCTTATCAACAGTAATTTTGAACTCAATTCTAATTATAAGTTGAGGACTTCCTGTAATAAACCGAAGCAACAGCGAGTGAAATTAATTGAAAGCCCTCAGTTGATAAAGCAAATGGTATGAAATAAAAACATCTCAGCAGGAAACTTACTAACATTATCACATCTGCATTCAGATATGTACCTAAACTTAGATCTTGTATTTGTATGCATATTTTATATAACATAAAGTAAATAAATAAGTAAACAAATAAATCAGTCTAACATCAATACCTGGGAAGATCCAGGAAAAGATTACCAAAAAACAGATCTGTGAACAACTAGAAGCAAACGAAGTTATAACCAGTAGCCAGCAAGGGTTTATCAAAAACAGATCATGCCAAACCAATCTTATTTCATTCTTTGACAAAGGGACTAAATGAGTAGACCACGGAAACGCTGTGGACATAGTATACTTAGATTTCAGTAAGACATTTGACAATCTACTGCTTAGTAAGCTAGAAAAAGGTGGGATAGACAACATCATCACCAGATGGATTTGTAGCTGGCTGACAAACCATACTCAGCGAGCAGTCCTCAATGGCACTACAGCCACACGGAGAGCAGTAAGCAGTGGGGTACCACAAGGCTCCGTCTTAGGCCCAGGGCTCTTCAATATCTTCATCAACGACTTAGATGAGGGAACAGAAGGGGAACTCATCAAATTTGCAGGTGACACTAAAATGGCAGGAATAGCCAACACCCCAGAAGACAAGCTCAGGATCCAAAAAGATCTTGACAAACTTGAACAATGGGGCCTATCCAACAAAATGAGTTTTAATGTGGAGAAAAGCAAAGTTTTACATTTAGGCAGGAAAAACCAAAGGTTTAAGTACAGATTAGCTAGACCTGGCTCAAAAACAGCAACTGTGAGAGGGATCTTGGAATCCTAGTGGACGATCATTTGACTATGAGCCAGCAGTAGGCAGCAGCAATCAAGAAAGCTAATATAATCCTGGGTTGTATAAACAGAGGCATAGAATCAAGATCACACGAAGTATTAGTACCGCTTTATAAAACCCTAGTAGGACCACACCTGGAATAATGCAACAAATTTTGGTCACCATACTACAAAAAAGATGTTGAGACCTTGGAAAAAGTTCAGAGAAGAGCAACTAAAATTATCAAAGGCCTGGAGACTAAAACATATGAAGAAACGGCTGCAGGACTTGGGTTTGGCTAGTGTACAGAAAAGATGAAATAGGGGAGACATGAGAGCAGTATTCCAGTATTTCAGGAGCTGCCACAAAGAAGAGGGTGTCACATTATTCTCCAAAGCACCTGAAGGCAAGACAAGAAACAATGGTTGGAAACTGATCAAAGACAGAAGCAACCTGGAATTAAGGAGAAACTTCCTAAAAGTGAGGACAATTAACCAGTGGAACTGCTTGCCACCAGAAATCATGGGTGCTCCATCACTAGAGGTTTTTAAAAAGAGACTATAGGGTCTCCTGCTTGAGCAGGGAGTTGGACTAGAAGACTCCATGGTCCCTTCCAGCTCTATTCTATTCAAATTATTCACTTACCACACACAGTTTCTTGAAAAAGATAAAAGTAGTTCGTTGAAGATATACATGTAAACACATTAATTAAATCTTCAGATATTTTCATTTGGCAAGTAACATCTTGGCAACTATTTTGTTCAATAACACCATTGAACAAAAGTGATATGAACAGAAATCAGCCAAATCAGGATTGAACATATGAGGCTGAATCTGACTGTTCAGACTGGGATTTTGGAAGGCTGATGAGGACAAGCTATGGTATGGACAAGATTGGGGGGAGGGGGTGAGTTTCAAGGGCTAAGGCACTAGTTGATTAAGAAAGCAGAAAAAGACAGATAGAGGTGCAGAGTGACATTTCATGAGACTACATGATACCATATTTTGTCCTTCGCTGTAAAGTCAGTAAGCATTGATGTGATTAAATACATGCACTGAAAATCAGTATTTCAGATCATTTCTTCACTTCCATGTGCATCTATGATTCACCTTGTGTGAACTTAATAATGGCTTTTCTTGATAAAAACTGGGTTTCAGATTCATAAGACATCTAGAAAAAGAAAGGTTTGACCTCACCTTATCCATACTGGGAGCATTCAGTCTCATGATGGAGGCATGAACCAACCGCTCGAAAACTGTCCTTAGGGCTTTCCTGGAATAGAGTTCCTGTGGCTTAAATAGCTCATCCATAAAATTTTTATTGAATATGCCCCCAATGATGTCATTCATCACTGAAAAGATAAAATAATCATAGTTGTTAGAAATCAATTGTTTTAGTTTTCCAGGAAGAAGCGGGCATTTTGCAATTGAGAAGAAAATGTGCTGCTGAGGCTGCTTTTTCACTTAAATGTCTTTGCCTCCAGATAATTCCTGTGCAAGCAATATTCTGTTCTGAATATCCCTCAATTAAAAAAGAGACATGCAGAAGATATTTCCTGATTTCTAGACCGGGATTTCACTAGACTGGTAGCAATGCAGAAATTGGAAAACATTTTCTTATATTTGGAAAGGCGATGCTTGAAACTGCTTCACTGCTGTTCCTACACCAGATAATTCTTTCTTCCAACAAGATAGAAATGTTTGCAAAATCCAAGAGGAATATTTTTCAATTTCAGCAGTTACAATTTGCAACATTAGTTTTTGTACTTCCAAGCTGCTTCAGTTCTGCTTCTTGCAGTCATGACAAAAACATGTTTAAATATAATGACATATATTGTCATTTATCTCAGTTTCAACATTCTGCAATTAGTTGGGCTAATTTTCTCAGTCTTTAACTATTAGAGGACCCCTTTTTCTTATGAGGATCACATTTTAGGCATAATAGTTTAATTATCAATATTTAGGTGCTGTAACTGCCAAGAGAAATCTTCACAGTGGCATTCATTAGCATTACTTAAACATTAAATGTTTATTAAATTTATATCCTGCCCATTTCACAGTTTAAGGCAATTCTGGATGGAGTTGCTTTTTCCTGTACATAAGATCCATGATATGGATCTGCTGGCTTTGAAGAACTCTCTACTCCATGAATTACAAGATGTTAATAACCTTGAACACTGAAGTGACTCAGACTTTCTGTGACTGCGTATGGGAGGATCAGATAGCAAACAGGTAGAAAATTATCCAATTATCAGTACTGTATCATCAGACCTGAGATCAGATTCAAATTAATTACAGAAGAGTTGGCTGTCCTTGAGGGTGATGAAGACACTGCAATTTAAGTATTATCCAATATTGCCATTTTCCCTTTCCATGGTGGAGGCAGACAACAATGGAATTTCCTCAGTTTTCCACACAAATGTCAGAATCAATTGTGACCCCACAACACACTTAATTAGGCCTGTTACAAATATATTGGCTGCATTTGCACAGCTTACTTTTAAACTGAGGTGCAGGTTTGGGGGTTCATATGAATATACTGTAACCTAGCTCACGATTCAGTGAATTGTGCAAAACCAAAAAATGGGTTAAGGGCATTGTATGAACATTCCCCACAATGCCTTTTCTACCTGACATTTTTATTTTTTCTGTAGAGTCATTCAGCTCAGCATTCAATAGATACTGTTAATCACAATATCTCCAGAGATAGATATGCAGCACAATTCCCTCTGGACAAACTCTGAAGCATAAAATATCTGTGCTAAAGCCTTCACTGTTTCTGAAAAGAAAGTCTTTCATGTATGCTAATTAGACTACAAGTCAGAAAACCTCTCGGTCCAGTGGAAGAGCCTTTTGCATTGTATTACCCCACAAGCCATATTCAGAGGGTAAGTGGTAGGTGCTTAATGCCTCATTTTTAACTGGGGATTCCGGAATTGTTCTATGACCTCCTGCAATTTGCACTTGGGATGCCCTGAGAGTGAACGCACCAAGAAAATGATTAAAGAAAGGAATGTTATGCAGCCACAATACAATGTTATGTATTGTACATTTACCATTCGGAGCTGAGATCTTTTTAGAAACCTGCTGCTCAAATCTATGCAAGTTAACCAGTTTTTTTTCTAAATAAATGATTATCCCCTACACCTTGCTTACCTACAAGACTATGATACAACATAGGTAAGTGGATCAAAGGTAACACACTGTGGTAATAACTGTGGCTGTCACTAGTGCCCACTACGAATTGCAATGATGCCAAATTCCACCATTATATATATGTGTCCCAAACATCTGATGCCCTACCTAAGCCAGGCATTTGCATGATAATGGCACACCTATACTGTCATTTACTCCCCACAGACACTCATAGTTGCAATCTGCTTGCTTTGCATCACTATTAATTTGAATACAACAAAAATTTTATGTCAATATGAACAAATGTGGTAAAGTCATACTAAATGATATTGAAAAGATCTTAAAACAATAAACAATTTTACAGCAGAAACAACTGAGGAGAAACAAACTGGGCCAAATCTGTTTGCACTCAGCATATGTACAATTAGACATTATTCATGCAACTCAGAGTGTTTCACAGAATTCTAGAGCTGGAAGGTACTCTTGAGGCCATAGGCTTTACACAATGTGGAGGCTACAACTGGTATGTAATGCAGTGATTGCATTATGCCTGTATGCCAGATTTGCTACTGCACAGATTCATAGAATGAAAGGAATTGAAAGGAAGTTTGGAGATCATCTAGTCCAACTCTCTCACCCCTGCAAGAGTCCATAACATCAACATTCCTGACAGATGGCCATTCAGTCTGTATAAACACCTTTAGCAAAGAGAGCCTACCATTCTCTAAGGCAGTGTTTCTTAAACATTTACACATATAAACATTTACATGTATTACATATACATTCCTTGTCACTATCGCTTTTCATCTTCATTTGATAGGATATTAATACTATATTATTTTTCAACATAGGCTGGCAAATAAATTCAATTTTGTGGACCCAAGAAAGGACCATACTTTAAGAGATACTGCTGATGGGAATGTTGTTCCATTGTTGAACAGTTCTTACCATTACATTCCCCCCCCCCCAATATCTATTCAAAATTGATTTCCTTGATATTTAAACTTGTTTCTTGTACTGTTTCCTGAAATAACTGAATAATTCTTCCCCGCCTTTTATGTGATAGACTTTCAGATACTTGAAGACATATCCCAAATCTCCAAACATTCCTTATAAGATTCCTTGCAAACTTCTTACTATCTTGATTGTGCCCCATGAACAAACTCCAATTTATCAGTGTGCTTCCTAAGACACAATACACAGGGATTGATGCAATATTCTAGGTGCAGTCTGGTCAACGCAAAGCAGACAATGAGTTTTATTAATCTTAAGAACCTGTAATTCTGTTGATGCAGCCTATGATTATTTTTGCTTCTGACATCTTGTGATCCATCATAGGACCCAGAATTTACTGCTGTTCAATATGGAGCTCTCATTTTATACACATACTTTTCAATTTTACTGCCCACAGTATTTATCCCTGTTCAAATTTATCTTGGTGATATGGGTCTTTCTCCAAGTTGTCAAAATCCTCCTAAATTCTAATATTATTCTCTAAGACAATGTTTCTCAAGCTAGGTGACTTGAAGGTGAGTGGACTTCAATTCCCAGAATCCCTCAGTCAACAATACTGGGATTCTGGGAGTTGAGGTGCACTCACCTTCAAGTTGCCTAGGTTGAGAAATACCGGTACTGCTCTAAGAGGTTTACTAGTTCCTCGTCTGTTCTATTTCTTCATCATTGAACAGCATGATGCAGACTTACTAAAAATGCACTGAAGCATACCTATTGGGCAGGATAACATTTTTTTTCTAGTCATTCCAAGCACAACTCAAGGTGCTGATTATTATTATTTATTTAGTACAGTTACAAGCCACATCAAATATCACTTTTTGCCACATTATTCTGATTCTCATATTGCGTCATCTACAGGGGGCCTGTTCAAGGTTTCGTTATCTTGGGAGTAAGGGGTTATTAGACAAGAAGGCAGTCTTTGAGACAATTCCCATGCTTTGGTATTTATTTCCAGTACTGACATTGTACAAGACCGTGAAAATAATTTTAAGCTTCCCTTTGAAGCTTAACGGTGATACTGTTTCTCCCTTTATATATTTTATGTTTTGGGAGGAATAAAATGTGAGGAGCATGGTTATGATGTTTCATTATACAGACTCTTAAATTTGGCAATATCAGATATTTGAAAGGATTAACTGCCAACATTAAAATGAAAGTGTAAAATGAGGGGATGATTAGGTTTGCTTCAGTATCGTTCCATATTGGCTTAAAATCCATAAATTTGTTCATAAGGTGCAAGAAAAGTAATGTTTAAAGATATGAACATGATTCTGAATTATGTATCAAAAATGCAGAATCTATCAATGTTTGGAAAACTATGGAACTACAGAATGAAGCATATCAAAAATATTACTCTTTTATAATGGAAAGACAATGCCATTATCAATAGATTCTAGATTCACTGTTTATGAATTATTTCCATTTCAATGTAATGGAAGGGCTGATCTGTGTGGACAATATTTAATGCTGTGTTTAAAATGGGTTTTTTTCCTCTGTATTTTCTATATGTTTTCTATGTTTTCTATATATTTTATTTCTAAACATTAAAGCAAATAAACAGAACAAAACAAGCAGATCTTGGAATTCCAAATATCATCTTATTTCTGTCAGTGAGAAGTCAAATTAGAACAGGGAATTTCACTGGCTAAAAAAGATTTGATTAAATTTAACCTTGATCAAATATAGTCAAATAATATGTAGACGTTTATAAAGCATTATCTTGAGTGCAAGACATCTACAGATAATAGAATGCTTATTGTCAAAAAGTATATTAAGTGCTAATATGAGAATAGGCAGTATTTTTTTTTAAATGGTTATTAATTTAAAATATATTTTCACTCCTGGAATTTTCATGCCTTTTCCTGGGACATGAATGCATATTATCACGTCCAAATTTATCCTGGAAAAAATGTGTCCCAATAAATTCCATAGCTGCATGAGGATTTGAACTTAGCCCACAAATCTCAACTGATCTTTCTCCTATACTGGCCTTTCCAGCCACGTTTGACTATAACTGGCATCATCTCCAGATTTTTGCTATGTTGCAAAGAGTAGGAGTTGCACTTTATACTAGCCTCCAGATTGAAGAAGACTGCTAGATGCATTCTTTTTCTTCCTATTGCTTTTGCAACCTATTATGAAAAGTAGCCACTTCTGTAGTTATGCTTATTTGGACCCATTATTCTTTCTAGCAGCCCTTGGCTTCTTCTCTTGCTGGAACCATAATTAGTGTTAGGAAATAATTTTCAAAGGGACAGGAGCCATCTACTGTGGGAACACAAAATCTTGTTGGATGTCAATAACTGAAGTACAGAATATAGTATACGTATTTCTGGACAATCTGCATTATCAGACATGAATAGATTAAAAAATGAAGCCAGAAACAGCATAATTAGCATTTTACAACAGGTCAATTTGTCTTGTCTAGTGACAATATTTTACCTGTCAATTGATCTACACCTTACCTCAAGGTTGAATTAACAAATTGGCCTGTTCAACAATGATTCAAATAATTTTTCTATTTCATTTATTTGATTTCTATAGCTGCCCAATAAATCTCAACAAATTTTTGAACCCAATTTTTTGATGGATTTGGCTTATCACACACAAAACAGACCATACACTTCCACAGCTTGAACATAAATTTTTGTGATTCAGAGTAACAGAAGTAACTGAAAATCTGAAGAAATTTTCTGGCAGCATTCTTCAACATACTGCCTATATATAGTTTGGAATCTCAGTGCAGGTCTAAAAATGTTACAGTACCTCGTCTCCTGTCCACATCAGTCCATTCATCTACACGAAGCATAAAACAGAAAAAATGGCGGGTCAAGTACTAAGAACACACTGAAAACAACGCGGAAAAGAGAAAAGAATTGAAGAGGAAGGTACTCTGCCACTTAATAAGATGTTGCACAGAAGAAGACAGCTATTGAGGATATTTAAAGTGGCAATGATATAGGTAGTATGAAATGGAAGTATCTAACTTTTCAAGCCCATTTCACACTATGGAGAAGAACTGCATTTTCCCAGCATTAAAAATTCTTGAAAATGAAGGAACAGTTCAGCAGCAGCTCAACTTTTATGGTGTCCTACCACAAATGTAAAAAATTATTCACAGGGAACCAAGCTTTGGTGAGACATCCTCAGATCCACATGGATGGGCTATCGTTTTAGAGCGATTCCATGTTTCTCAACAAGAAAAATCTGCAGAACCAGATTGTTTGATTTCACCTGAAAAGCTAGAAAAATGAAGCACAACCTGGCCAAATAACCAAAAATTACTACTTTGTTATTTTTCAGTCTCTCCATTTCCCAAAAACTATTTTGTTCTCAGAATGCCTAGAGAGGTAAAGAAACCAGTTTGCCCATCAGTAAATAAACAAAGCTAAACTAAGATCAGATATTTTTGATCCAGAGGTCCTGAATTTGTGTATGTGTGTGTGAAGGTCTTCCTTCTAGACACATTCATTCACATGTGAGCTGATTTATCCTCATCTTGGTGTTTTGTTTCTTTATTTCACTTCCACACCCCGGTGGTCCATTTCTGATACACAAGGAGTAATACCTCTTAAAGTGAACCCCAGGTGTTCTTGTCTCAGAGACCAAGCAGCCGTTCTCCAAAAGCCCAGGAAGCAAGAGCATCCTCAGCCCCTGGAGGGGAGTCTCTGAAGTACAGGGGAGGGCTGAGAGCCTCCTACTCAAGGGAATCGGCGCCTCCTCCATAGGAGAGCAGGCATGCCCTGGGGGATGAGGAGCTTGCGAGGGACAGACAAGCCTCTCGGTCTCCCCAGGAAGGGATTCTCTCTGCTTTTTCCCCTCTGCTGCGATTCCAACCGGGTCCAGGGACAAAGGTCGACTACAGCGCTCTCTAATAGGTTTTATCATCAAGAACAATTATGGTTTATGTCCACTTTCACTGCACTTTATTATTGCAAATAAATCATGATTGGATGAACGCCAGCAAAAGCTTTAGTCTTTTAGTCAACCCGGGGGAGGGGGAGAAACAGAAGGCCCGGCCCTCCTCCCAAGGCGCTGCGGCTGGGCGGACCAGGGGCCCCCGCGGGGAGGGGCATGGGGCCTGCACTCCCGGGGCCCCTCCGGCGGCCCCGTCCCGGCGGCCCCCTGACCTTGGCGCGCCTTGTCTCCCGGGATGCTCTGCGCGCGCAATCGCTGGTCCACGATGTAGAGCATCTCCCCGCCTAGGTTGAGAACGAGCAGCGGCAGCGTCCGCAGCGACATTGCGGGGAAGTCGAAAGAAGCCCTCCCGGCGGCGAGAGGGGCGTCGCGTCGCGTCGTCGCCAAGGCAACCGCGAGGGAGACGGCTTCCGGTCGAGGGAGGGCCCCGCCCTTGCGCGGCACCGAGACGGCCGTAATTAGGATTTCCAGAGGCGCGTTCTCGCGGGCGCATGCTCTTTCCTGCTGGCCGGGCGGGCCTGAGAGAAAACGAGGAAGTCGGGAGGGGAGGGGTTAACGAAGGCCCCCCCATTCCCAACCGCCGCGAGGAAAGTTGGCCCTTGCCGCTCGCGTCCTTTCAGCTGCGGAACGTTTTGCCTGCAGGCTCCATCGAAGGGCATCTCGGATGGCTAATAATTTCAGACATACACCCGGCTTGGTCACCTGTGACAAAGACTTCTAGCCATGGACGACTCCACCTTTTTATTACAGGTAGTCTTTGACTTAACAACCATTCCTTTAGTGACGATTCAAAGTTACGACAGCACTGGAAAAAGTGACATGCCAGTTTTTCACACTTAACACCATTGCAGTGGTCATGTGACCAAAATTTGGATGCTGGGCAGCTGACTCGTATTTAACAGAATAACAGGAACCTTGGAGGTCTTCTACTCCAACCCCCTGCTCAAGCAGGAAACCCTATCATTCCAGACAAATGGTTGTCCAATCTCTTAAAAATTTCCAGTATTTGAAGACCCACAACCTCTGGAAGCAAGTCATTCCACTGGTTTATTGTTCTGACTATTAGGAAATTTCTCCTTAGTTCTAGGTTGCTTCTCTTCTTGATAAGTTTCCATCTGTTGTTTCTTGTCCTGCCTTCAGGTGCTTTGGAGAATAGATTTGGAGAATGCCTCTTCTTTGTGGCAACCCCTGAGATATTGGAACATTGCTATCATGTCACCTCTTCATTAAACTAGACATACCCAATACCTGCAACCGTTCTTCATATCTTTTAGCCTTCAGTCCCCTAATCATCTTTGTTGCTGTTCTCTGTACTTTTTCTAGAGTCTCAACATCTGTTATTGTCAACTGGCTAGCAAATTCAACATTGAAGACACTTTATGGCTTTGAGGTTCCATAAAAGATAAACTTTATTGAATACGCATCTCAGTACTGAAGAAGCAAAATCAAATCTAAGTTTCCTGCGCAAAAATCTGGTTAGTTAATAATAGTTTTCGATAACTTCCACCCACCGAATGTTTACATTGTCACACTTATTTAGTTTGTTATGAGAGTGGTCCACTTCTCCGTCAGACATCTGCTTTTGTGACCTTGGTTCTCACAGTCTATAGACGGCTTCTTAAAAATCCCATTTCTTTCCCAAGCTTCCCCTCCCCCATTTCTATGGCAAGTTGAGTAGCGACAGAGGTTAGCAAGTATCTTAGCAGTTCAGTCTTGACATGCTGGCCCCCTGAAAAAAAATAAGCATAGGGAAATGATAAGTACAGTTATCCAACCATTTACACATCTTCCTTTAGGACATTGTGGGTATTTCTCATGAAATGTTCATGTTAATTGATCAGCCTTAACATCCTGGGCTCTCACAGCATTAGTCTCTCCACAGGACTAAGTACTGTAACTGCCCCGTAAAGATCTTTGAAACCAGTATTTTCTTAATCTCATAATGCTTCTCACACTCTACCAGTATAGGAGGAGAAGGTTCCTCTCTAGCGGGTTTCAGGCTGAATCTTTTGAGAGGCTTCAACAAACAGCAATGGAATACTGGGTGAACTTGCTTCAATTCTTTGGTAACCATAGTTCAACAGTTACTGGATTAATTTTTTTCACATTTGAACACTGCTACCATCCCCTGCAGTCCAAAAGGCATCATCCTGAACTGGTAGCATCCCAAGGGGCAATTAAAAGCAGTCTTCCATTCACATAATATGATAATATGCCTCCCTTAAATCCAACTTGGTGAACACCTTCCCCTTGGACAGGTACCCCAGCATGAGGGGGAGGGGGCATATGTTTTCCACGCATACACCATTAATCTCCCTAAAATCCACGCATAATCTCAGCAACCCATCTTTTTTCTCCTTAAAGAGCACTGGTGCTGCCCTCTTGGATTTAGCTGGCTGGATGAAGCCCTGGCTGAGTTCTTGTCCACAAAGTCTCGGAGTTCCTCCATCTCCCCCAGGGTCATGGAGTAAATTTTTGGTTTAGGTAGTTTTTCCCCCAGTAGTAACTCAATAGCAGAGTCTGTGGGGCAGTGAGGAGGGAGCACATTCACTAAGGACTTCTCGCTACTCCTTTGGAATGCTTGGCTCTACTGAGCTGCTCTCAGCTAACATATTGGTTGTGTCTGCTTTCACTTTCACTGCCAATTGCGCTTGCCTGACTTTCGGGGCTTTTCCACCTCCCCCCCACAAATCCTTTCTCATCTTTAATCCTCAACCGTCACTTGTTGCTTTGCCAGTCAATTGATGGATTCCATTTTTTCAGCCAAGACAATTCCATTATCATTGCTTCTGCTATCTTTGGGGCTACAATAAACCGGATAGTCTCTTCATGGCTCCCCACCTTTAGGCTCACAGGCTCAGGCAGGCAGGTTGCAGGCAACCCCCCCCCCAATAAGCGAGCCACCCACTTGCTCTAACTTCATGGGTTGTTTTAGTCTCTTAAGCCTTAGTCCCAAAAAGTCCACCATTTTCAGTCTGATTAAGCAATGGGTGCACCCCGAGTCTAGCAGGGCTATGAAGACTCCCTTTGCTTCTGATTGGGGGACTACCACCTCCACCTGGGCAATCAATGGGGTGATGGCACCACTTATCATTAGATTGTCTTCCCTACCGCTATCGCTCTCATAGAAGACCAATCTAGGCCTGCCGGGGGTCAGAGTTCCCTCCTCTTCCCTTGATTGGGGGAGACCTCCACGACCTGCTGTGCCACCTGCATCTTTTCTTTCATCTTTTCTGGAATCTTCTTTGGCTTGGATTGGCTTGGGGTCCTGGGCATCGACATGGGTTGGGGGGGGGCAGGCAATTGGCTGCTCAGTAGCCTTCCTTCCCACATTGGAAGCAAGCTCTGGCAGGGCAATGCAGGTTACCTTCAGGAAAGTAGCTTGAACCTGCCCCCCTTCTGCAGAGCCCAGTTTCCCAACTGAAAGCATTGCTGGAGTGGAGGGTATCTTATGACTGAAAATGACCCCCCCCCCAACTTCTTGATAGCATCTTCTGATCCTGACCCACCTTTGTTGTCCTCCTTTGCTATCTAAGATGGAGAGCGAGTATGCACTTCCCGAGCCATTCGGCAAATCTCACACCAGCCACAGAGGCACATCGACAGCGCATCCCTCAAAACGGTGCCCTGCAATGCTCAAGCCAAGGAGATTGTGTCAGATTTACTCGTTTGGGCATTATGCCCTCACATACCAGAAGCTGCATGACTCAGCCTGATGCTCCCTGTTCAGTTTCGGTAGGAGATGAAACAGGAAATCCCCTCTCAGCCCCCTATGAATTTCGGACAGATGATGAAAAATATCAGGTGTGTTTATTAACATCTCTATTCTTCTCACATCATCATCATCATCATCATCATCATCATCATCATCATTATTATTATATCTCAAAAGGTTGGAGAGGCATATTGTTCTCATGATATCTAAAGCTCATGTCGATCTCTTCATAGGCAGGCTGGGGATTTGGACTAGGTTGGCAAACATGCCTGATCCTCTGTGCAGTCAACATTTACACAGATGTTGGGCTCCAGGATTTAGTGACCGTGGTTTAGACAGCAGTTTTCCTGATGTTTTGCCAGAAATCTTGGATGGCATTTTCTGAGGCAAAGGTTTGTAGACCACAGGCGTTTGAACAGAGACTGACCAAGCCCATTTATACAGACTACCTCCTACACATAATAATTAAATATAGGGGCTAAAGTTACTGCTGGAAGATCCAGCATAAATTTAGTCCTGCTTCTTCTACAATGCCCTGTTTAGAATACCTGAAGAATCATGGATAGTTCATGAATACCATTAACTACTTTTTACAGTTGGAAACAGAAAATCTTTTGGGGGAAGGCTTGATTCTTCCTTCCCAAATTTCACATTTCCCAGCAGTAGTAATTATTTTCACTTAGAATGAGGATGATAGGAGTACTACATAGCATAGTAAGATGTGATTTTGGGAAACAGCACTTTAAGGAATTAGTTATTACTTCTCCCCTATGTATGCTAGAACAGAAAGAAATGGCACTATTTTGGAGCAGTGCAAAATACTTGAAGTTTCAAACACAGTCTTTGAAAAAAATTGTCACCGGATGCTAGATGAATATGCTACAAATTAAAGATTAGCTAAATATTAGATTTGTCTTCCTATACTTCACAATAGATCTTGGAACTGTTTAGTAAAATAAGCATTAAAAGGACAAGTAGCAATAGAAAAAATCTGTATTGTCCTCCCATGCATGACCATTTAGATGTGAAGCTGCAGTATTTGCTTGTTTCACCATATCTCAAGACTTAGAGAATAAGGCACAATATTTCATAATGCCAAGGCCGTATTTCTGATATGATGAGACAAAGCATGCACTATGTCCTTTGTTAATAATGCATGTTTTCTGTAGTGTTGCAAAGTTGAGATAAATTATTTCTGCTTTCTTTCGCAATGGAAACAGTTTAATTCCAGGATTCAAGCAAATTCTGCAGTTTGTGCCCAGTTTTGATGGCAAGGGTATTTTGTGGTTTATTTCACTGACAAGTTGCCTCATAGAATTCTTGTGAAATTTCAATAACCGTCTTGCCAACAAACTGGCTGAATTCACCCACTGCACTAAAACCGCAAGTTTGTAATTACAAATATGATTTAAAACAGATGAAGAAACATACCATTATATGCCCTGCTATCCTTTCTCTCAAACTGGAAGTGTTCAGGGTAGACATGAAGGCAAACAAACTCGCATTACAAGGAATAATTGTAATATAAAATAATAAAAGCAGGACAATAAATAAATTCACCCTCTCCTTTTTCATTTTGTGTCCAGCAGAGGCATTTTAGCAATTCCAGCGATGAAAGGTGCAATCAAGACAAGATACTATTCTGCGGCATAGTGTTTGGTTTAAGAACAAATGCTGCAATAAATCTTGACAATAAAACTTTTTTAAAATACAAATTTCATTTCTTCCTACTCCCCAGCATCTGCTATTCTATTTCTCAGAGAAAGATCACCTCCTAGGTGAAATCTTAGCGCATTACCGGAATGCCATAGGAGACCCGCATGTGTGTTCGGAGTGCAGTCATGCCACCAGGCACCACTGCCAAGCAACAGTGTTCTCCATATTTGCGTGCCACGTAGCAGCTCAGAATCACCGGGCAGCAAATTCCAACACAACCTGCCAAGCAACATAAACATGCACATGGAAGCAAAGATCAATAGAAGTAGGTAGAAAATGCTGTCCTCCATTGTCCAGACATGTAATCCTTGCCACTAAGTCCTCACTTAGCCAATCCTTCTTGGATAAGAGAGTGACTGGTTGACTGTGTTCTGTAATAAACTATGATCACCAGCGACCCTGTCAGCTGAAAAGCAGACTTCAGAAATGGAGATGGTCATATGCTGTTCCTTTTTGCTCCCTCAGAGAAAAAAAAATCACAACACAATAAAAACTGTACTGGATTAGATGATGGTAAACTTGAGGGGGGCAGTTTTTGCAACCCTTTCACATATATCCTCGTGGTTCTGGAGAGTAAAAGCCCTATTTTGGCAGGGCTGCCTTAGAAGTGAGGTCTCCAAACTTGGCAACTTTAAGACTTGTGGATTTGTGACCATTGTGAGAGAGAGAAGTTTCCCTGAGGATGGGCTCCAGCACAAGTCCAAAAGCTTGGAAGAATAAAACTTTGGTCCTGGTGACCAACTCAGATTGGATCCTGTAACATTATCCTCAGGCACATATATTTGCCTTCATTCCCAATATACTTTTAAGACAAGGTGGGTAACTTTCAACATAATAAAGTTAGCAGTTAATCCCCTTCAAACATCTTTGAGAATGTCAGCTGTTCAAAACAAGAAAGAGAATTGAGCTGGTGTCTTGATATTTAAAATTAAAATATTGTTTATAGTTAATTTTTTTTGCCAATGTCTAACAAAGTCCTGACCTCAAAAGCCAGATTCCTACATAATTTTTTATATTTCCGAGAAACCTTAAAAGAGAATCCTATATCTGCAGTTGTTGACATAACAACAGCATGACCTCAGTCGTGAATGAAGGCACAATGAATGAAATGAGAAACACCCACTTCTTTGAAAGCAAACCCCACTCCTTAACTAGCATTGATGATATCTAGTTTGGGCAATGAAACATCTGCATAAAAACAACCAAGCTCAGAGAGCACCAAGGACCCCTCACATCCTCTTCTCCACTGACAATTCTCCAATTAGAAAGGTTTTGCTTGTTTAACCATCTTGGTCATAATGGCTGAGCAGGATGGGATTTAGTATCAACCTATGTTGAAAGCACCAGGTTGGGAAGTCCACTTACTGGAAATAACCCAGAAATCCAGTCTTATTTCAGAAAAAACTAGTTCACAAGGTCTCATTCCTTCCTTCTCAGCTGGCTACTCCCCACAGATATTAGAACCAGAGATTTACTTACACATGGGACAGTCCAAACAGCACTCATATCTCCCGCTGGCCCAACTGCCTTCTGAGGACTGGCTTACTGAGGAGACAGTTGGTTGGCAAATCACTGACTGGGACATTGGCAAAGACTGGGCTCCTGGGAAACACAAAACTGCTTCTGAACATACATTGGGTGTCTTGCAACTGGGCAAGCAGGATTGTAAAAGCTCTTCTATGTGGTATCCTGCAGGCTGGGTGAAATGCCAGAGGAAGCAGCAAGAAGTGGGTGGAATAATCCAAGGCTTGTGAAACAAGTAGCTTTCTAAACAGCAGATAGAGCAACTGAAAAAATTGTCCTAAAGCAGCTTTTGTGTAGTATTTATAGTCAGAATTTTAGATCGCCAGCAGTGCTTCAGCTTGCAGGGAAATGAAGGGCTCAAGTGTTAAGAATGTCCTCTATCCCACTTGTTTAATTAGCAAGGAAAGATTCCTGGTTCATTTCACTCAACTGTCACCAGGTTTATGACCCTAGTGATGGAAAAAGACTACATATTTTGAATTTAGTTTTCTTCAGGGTTATAGTGACTGTTAGAACTAGTGAAGAGGTATCTCCTAAACTCCTTTTGAGGTGCTCTCTTCTTGTCAGCTTGTTTTTTATACTTCATCTAGAGCTTTGCAGACCATGGGCTAAGTATTCTGCAGGCTTTGACGCACTCAGCTAATGATACATGCAGGGGTCTGTGCTGGGGCAGTTCTGGCATAGGGACAAAGTGTCCAGGCCTGTGGTCACCCAGAAAGGGTGAAACCTGTGCTACTGTGCACTGAATTATTGTAGGCAACTTCAGCAAAGAGCAGGAGTTGGGCCCAATAGTCTTGCTGGTAATTAATGTAACAATGGAGGTACTGCTGCAACATGCCATTAGTTCTCTCAGCCTCCATTGGTCTGAAAGAGGAGCTTAGCCCCTGAGCTGTACCTAACACCTTTAGGAACTCCTGCCAAAAACTAAAAGTAAATTGGATGCCACGGTCTGAGATAATGCGCTTGGGTGCCCCATCTTTGCCGCAGCAGAAACATGCAATTAAGCTCCATTGGGATTTGGAGCTTTTTGAAGGAGATGAGCCCCCTCTACCCCCTTTTTGTGCTCCTCACCTTTCAGGATTAGGGTATCTGTGGCTGTTTCTCCCTGTGCGTTCATGGAATTCATCTAGGTCGATTTCCACCTCACTGGCCAGCAGGTAGCATGCCTGGAGACTTCGTGGTACCCCTCGGGAAAAGCAAGTGTGGTATAACTCTTCGTTAAGTAGATTATCAGCAGGCATTGGGGCCACTCTCCCAACCAGCTGGCTAGTCTGCAGAACTCCTGGATATACTCTGCCACTGATCACTTCCCTTGCCTGATATTTCGAATGTGGGTTTCAGCTCATTAATTTGTGTAGGGGTCTTCAAACCCTTGCTGTAAGATTCTCACGAATGTATCAAAATGCCCCAGTTCCTGCGCATCATCGTGGAAGGCCACCAGCCATTCCGTCGCATCTCCATCTAGCAACAAGACCACATAGTCAATGGAGGCAGCATTGTCTGGGTACATGGCCCCATAGCGTTCCCATGTAACGCCTAACTTGAGTTAGGAAATAGGCCAGTGCTTTGGCATCCCATCGAACTTAACCATCAGGAGTGGTGGAGGGCAATCCCCCAGGCCCAGGGGTGGGGCCTGTGCTAGCAGGGCAGCCATTGGCAGGGCAATTGCAGGAGTGGTAGCTGCTCAGGCAGCGGGCAGAGCCATTGGTGGAGTTGCAAGCACAGTGGGGCTGCAGGGTTGGGAGGCATGGCAACGGCTCCCTGAATGGGAGGGTTCCATACTTCCAGGGCCTGGAATCTCTTAGCTGCTCTGCTGCTTTGCTGGAGATGGAACTTGGGGTTCTCCAGTCGGTCTGGTCCTCCCATCTAATAGGGCATCAGGCCTTCCAGCGATCTCCCCTTACCTTGTTTGGCCCTGCGGAAGGTTCTTCTACTTCTCCCAAGTGTCCAACTCCCCATGTGGGGAGTGTGGGGTTTTTCCCAGTTGGCACCGCAGGCCATTCTCCTACAACCTTTGGACAAGCACCAGTGATTGGGGCTGCCTGGGTCCTCTGTGGGATCCCTCTGCCTTGTCCACAGTTGTCTTCCTCTGCTCTGGCTCTTTCCCTGGAGCAGACATCGTTTCCGTAACTTCCTCGGTAAAATCTCCTCTGCTTCAAAGCCAAACCCTCCCTAACCACTCATATTCCAATTTCTCACCCTCCCCCCTCCTCCCCGCACCGTTGCTGTCAATCTGGCAAAGGATGCAATGAGAAGCAAGCAGCAGAGTGACAGCTATGACAAAGGCAGAGAGTAGATCCTGCTGCTTCAGATTGTAAATCAGAACTCTGGTGAGGATTGCAAAAAGGTGCTGTCCTGGAGACTGCTTATGGTCCTGGATTCCTAGGCTGTTCTTCCCAAATAGCTCAACTGACATTATATATGTACATTACATATGTGTCTGCCCCAGCACTGAAGGTAGGAAGGTTAATGTAGGGGAAAGAATTGCATTCCCAGGTAACTTTCTACATCCCAGGAACCTGCCACCTTGCTTCTCTCCCAAAATTTGGTATCATTCAAGATGCGTTCAAAATAACCACAGCACATCTTGAATGGTTGCAGGAATTGGGTATGTCTAGTTGAATGAAAAGGACTAGGGGTGACATGATAGCAGTGTTCCAGTATCTAAGGGGCTGCTACAGAGAAGAGGAGGTCAACCCATTCTCCAAAACACCTGAAGGCAGGACAAGAAGCAACGGATAGAAATTAATCAAGGAGAGAAACAACCTAGAATTAAGGAGAAAATTCCTAACAGTGAGAACAATTAATCAGTGGAACAGCTTGCCTCCAGAAGTCGTGGCTACTCCATCACTGGAGATTTTTTAAGAAGAAATTTGACAGCCATTTGTCCAGAACAATGTAGGGGGACACTTGTACAGGGTATTGGACTGAAGACCTCCAAAGTCCTTCCAACTCTGTTACTCTGATGGCACAAAGCTCGGGAATTCAAAAATCCTAACAACGTAAACATTCAGTCTTGAACATTTCCAAGTATTTTTTTTCTTAATTACACATTACCGCTTATTGAAAACAAAAAGCAAGTTTTGTGAAATAATACCTGAGATATGTAGTAGATCCTTGAACTCTGAGAATGGTAGAACAATCCCTACTAATATTTAGGTAAATAGAACAATAACTAATATCTAACACAAAAGAGTCTCCGAACTTGTCAACTTTTAAGATTTGCAAACCTCAACTCTCAGAATCTATGCTGGCTGGGGAATTCTGAGAGCTGAAGTCCACAAATCTTAAAGTTGACAAGTTTGGAGATTCCCCAATCTAACATCCTTATTACACCTCAAACGCATACATGAAGTAAAAAAAAAAAAAAAAAAAAAAAAGGATGTGTGCTTATGTGCACATACACAGATGCAGATGAAAAGTTGGTGTCCAATATTTTATTATCTTTAAAATTTGTTCCTTGGTTTGAGCTTCTCCTCTCATCGACAGAAGGTATGCCTAATTCAGCCTGGGGTCTCCTCCTTTGGCTGAGCTTGCTCCCTTATTCCTTCATCTTGCTTTTCCATTTGCTTCAATCTTTCCAGAGCTCTTAGTTTTTGCTTCTCTTTATAGACCTAAATATTAATGGGAAGGAGAGATTTAATTGGGGATTTAGCTACCCCAAATGCCCTGTCACCCTGGAGAAATAAGCAACTTCTGCTTCCATTGCCACCATACAAGAATGTCCCCATTCCTATGGCTGCAACTGCTACAATGAGACAGTTAAAAAACCAAGCCATAATGTAGTTTGCCCCATTTTATCTGAATGTGAAACACGAAGCCAACTGATAATGATCAAAGGAATAAGCTATGGCTAAGTCATGCTATTTTCTGCAAAGATTAAGGCAGGGCCTCTATCCACAAGCTGTTCACTGCTGCTGAGAATGTACTTCTTCACTTAGCCATGCCGCCTATGCTTTCCTGCTCTCTTACATGCTATCTTACCCACCCACTCTAACACTGGGGACATAAATGCTGTTCACCTATTGGACAGGATCCTTGAAGAAAGTGGCCTTCCAAGCCTCTTTCCTTGTCTGAAATCTATGCAGAAGAGCAGAACATGCCTATCCCAAACCAAGTTCTCTATGATATAGAAGCTGAAGTAGCCCATAGTTGCCCTAGGTCACCTTCGGCCAGCCATTCTTAACCTACCATGGCTCGAAGTTCCTTCTTGACAGCTGCACGCCGTGTGATTTTTCGCCGGTATTGTGGAGGAGGTGAATACTCAATTTCCAACTGCTTGCATGTATTCTCAAAAATATCATAATGATTATTACGTAGGTATTTCAGCAACACAGTCCGACGGTCAATGGCTATCATCATACGGGTAAGGTTAACCTTGTCCTAGAAAGTTATAGCCTCTTCAGTGAATTATTCGTGGACTCAAGTCTTTTAATTTTTCAACTTTCTGGTTAATAATTTACTGACAGCATTTAAATAAACTTGCAAGTTTATTGAAAAGCAGCAATAATAAACAACAGCTAATTTCCTAGAAGGAAAAAAAAAAACACTGTGTTGGGGAATAAGGAATATTATTGATTACACTGTGACTTCTGAGAAACAAAGCAATATTAAAAATATGCTTCTCAGAATTGGATCTAAAGCATGTAATCGTCTAGTTCAGTGGTTCTCAACCTGTGGGTAGGGACCCCATTTGGGGTCGAATGACCATTTCACAGGGGTCGCCAAACCACGCAGTCCGCCATTTTTTTCCCTTTTCCCTAGCTGTCCTACTCTCTCTTATTGGTGGCCACACCCACTTGGGGGTCACCACAACATGGGGAACTGTATTATGGAGTCACGGCATTAGAAAGGTTGAGAACCACTGGTCTAGTTTATGAGATGCAGGCAATAGAATACTGGCTTGCAATGAAGTCTTTGGACTAGAAATTTGCCATAATATGCCAGAACTGACTAGGAGTTAGCAGGGAACATCAAAATATGTGGCATAGTAACAATTCAGGCTGGTAACCTGAACTCCATCTCCATGTTAATGTAAAGTTTTATGGTGATGGTGGTCAATATCAATATATCTATTGATGACCTTGGTATTGGAAAACTGAAATTTGGAATGCCAGAAGAGTGCATGCAAGGAGCACAAATAATCAAATTAAATGACCAAAAGAAAAATAGCCATGATGTATCTTTGTGAAATGATGAAAGTGGGAAGATGCAACAGAGTTGAATGAAGATGGTCTACTCTTATGGAATTATTGGATATATGCAGGGAAAGGAAGGTGTAGGCTTAATTATGCCTAAAATGTACATTGGGAAGTACTAATTCACATCAACTTGATTGTTATGGGTACATATGAAAGAAGGAATCCACAGAGCAGGTCATACAATATATGACCAGCTGATGTTTTTTAAAAAATAATAAATTCATCTCTGCAACTGCCCTGGAAAATGTGCTGTTTCACTGCTGCCACCAGCTTCAGCACTGTCCACTCCACAACTATATGGCATGAATGAAAAGGAGACTGAGGAGTATCTGTTTAGAAAAGGCTATGTTTGTTTTAAGCCTAACTCTACACATGAAAAAAAATGAATTTAAAAGCATCTGGTTGGATCATCTGTGAATAAAAATTGAGAAAATTAGTGAGTGATATACAAGAATGATTGACTTTGATTTCATTTACTCTGGTCATGTCCTGCATGCAAATTAATTAGAGAAGTCAGTGATACTAGGAATATTTAGGGCATCAAGAAGAAAGGGCAAGCAAAGAACACACTGGCTTGATTCCATCAAAGCCGATAAAAAGATGAACAACTGAAAGCTCTGCTTGACAGGGTAGCCTGGAGAGCACTTGCCTATAAAGTCACAGAGTCGGAGATGACTGGATGGCTAAAACAATAATGCAAGAATGATACAAAGTTTTGAATGTGATAGCAATTAGTTTTTGGTAGCATCAAAAATGAATTTTTGGGAAAACTGGATATGGAAGAAAAAAAAACAAAAGAAATTGGAGTGAAAGACGAATAAATGTAGGGGGAAAAAGGCTGAATCCTGAATAATATTAGAAGACAGGTTATTCTCATTACAGAATGAATGGAGAGGCTGCCTGAAAACAAATGAAAAAAACAATCTTACAGAATTCCATGGTTACATTAACAGAATCTGTGTCATGCCTCCCTTGAGGGAGAGGTGTCTGTGGTTTCAGAGGAATGTGGGGAAGAGCAGGCCGAGGCAGGCCAGGGCCCTTCAGGATTGGGACAGGATGAACAGGAGAGACAGAGTTCAGGCGATGAGCAAGGGCCACCCCCACCTGATCCTAGAGCACGGAGAGCAGAGAGAAGGAGGGAACAATGCAGGCAAGCTCAACTACCCGGGAAGAGAGCATCCCGCCCCTCTCCACAAGACACACCTGGAGACTGAGATTTAAGGAGACGCTGTGGGGAGAGGCATTTGTCAGGAACAAATGCTGATTCCTTGGAGTTTTGTGTGTGTTGTTGCTGATCTCTTGTTCTGTGACTTCTGCTTGGAAACTGGGAAACTCTGACCATTGGACTGGCTGACAACATTGCTTGGATGTTCAAAGATCTTGGACTGTATTTTGGCTTCCCTTTTGAAACTGCTCAGGCAAGTATTAGGTTTATGATGTAAGTGTCATTCCTTGTTATCTCTGTGGCCTTGAGTAAATTCCTAATCAGACTGTATGTGAAACTATTTGCAGCCAGAGGCGGTTGAAGGTGTGTATGTCTTCCTTGCCAAAAATGTGGGAGCATTTGGGGAAAATTTGGAACAATTAAAGGGCGGCTTGAATTGCCAGCTGACTGCATTGCCTCTGTGCTGTGCCGAGTCATCACAATCTATATAAAATGATGCTTAATGAAATGACAAAACATAAATGTCAAATTCTAAACGCAATTATGCTGTTGTGACCATTATTGCTTCTCAGCTTGCCAACAAACTCAGCTTCCTCCCACCTATTAATATACCACATTCTTCCCTAGGGTCCCGCTCTGACTCTGCTCTCACTGCTCTGCTATTAGAGCTCCGGGAGCCAGCATAGAAACCACAGCAGAGAGGCTGGAAAGGAGACAGCTCACTTGATCATGGAGATCTTCGCAAAGTGGGTATCCATAGGCCCAGTGCCTGTTAGGTCCTGGGGAGGGGGGAGGGGAAATAGGCAGGGGAAATGTTGCAGTGTCTCTGTGGTCAGTTGTAAGGATGAATGACTGCAGTGGTGCTGCAACATTCATAACTTTAGGACTGTGTCATAAGTTCTTATGGGAGTGATGTAACTTTGAACCATCACTAAGTGAACTGTCATAATTCAATGATTACCTGTGAAGGATGACTGAGAAAAAAATGGAAGGAGGCAATCCAACATTGAACAGACAGTCAGGCAAGGATGTGGGAGATTCCCTTGACTGTTTGATGCATTTATGGCTAAATGTATAAGGAATAATGGTGATATCAGAGAAATGCAGTGTGGAAGTGTGAATCTGCACGAACATTTGCATGCAGATGATACTGTATTTGTGGCTGAGAACTGAAAAATTTGCAAGAAACTTTAGACAGTATGATCTAATAATTAAGGTACCAAAACCTTATATTTGACAAAGTAAACTGGGTGTGAACAACTTTAAGTGGCAAAAAAGGGAACAATTTGTGCCCCTAAAGGTGTAAGAAGCATAACATTTAAGAAGTACCAGTGGAAAGGTAATGGATACATGTGACTTTTAAAGGAATGTTTGTTGAAAAAAATAAAAAAGGTGGCTGTTTGCAAGTATTTTTCTATCCATTTTGTTACTATATTAAGAAATGAGAGCTAGGCATGCTAAGAGAAACATAAAAAGTTGAATGAGAGCAAAAAGATGATAAATGAGGGCTAAATATAGAAGTGACTGACAGAAAATATATATTTTGGGGCAGCTTGGTCATACATGGTAGATAAAATGAATGAAAACTGAATTGCAAAATAAATTCATGAAGGAGGAGTGAATGGATTGTGAGGAAAGGGAAGACTGAGCAAGGTATGTTCGGATGCTGTTTTGAAATACTCAAAAAAGATGTCCATGGAGATTCTCAGTCATCCACGTCATGGTTGTCCCAAAGCTGCTTTTTTCAAAAGGCAATTAGACTTTGTTTTATTCCTTGAAGACGTTTCGCTTCTCATCCAAGACACTTCAATCAGAACTGAAGAAATGAAATGTCTTCAAGGAAAAATGAAGGTCCAATTCCCTTTTTAAAAAGCACCTTTGGGTCCTCAAAAAAGAAAAGTCCAAAATTTTAATGATGAAAGAACAACGTACAAAATGATAGATGGACATGATGGAAAAAAAGGACAGTTTGCAAGGTGAGAACAAAGGGTGAGAAATAGCCGATGGTTTTAGCTTCCCCCCTTTTCTCATTAGCTTCTCCAGATCGTCTGTTAAGGAACATCATCTAGCAGCTCCATAAGAAAACAATAGTGTGATGGGTATGCATCTATATAGAATTTTGGGAGGTTTATTTGAAGAATGAACTACTTTGCATCTGAAGATATTTACATTCAATAAGGACTGCCAGAAATCCAATTCTCTGCCATCCATTTGATTGCAGTGCTTTTCAACAAAATCTGCTGGCTTAGGAGACACAGTGTTTATAGAGGTTACATAACAAGCAGCTTAAATGCTTTAAAGAATCATACCTTGGGGTGCATATGCAGATGTTCTTTGAGGGTGCGGATCATGGCTGTCAGATGGGCAACTAGAACATTAAGAAAAAAAGTTAGAAACGCTCCTATTATACTTTCTTCTCCTATTTTAAAGAGTACACATGAACATTAGCAGCCAGACATGCTTTTAAGAGGCAGCTTTTCTTTTCGGTGAAAGGGAGCACAGTCTTACATGTGGGAACTGAGTTAGTTCCCTGTTGTTTCTTTGTTCTACTGAAAGAAGTCAGAGTGAGTCTGGAGGGAGAGGTGTGAAAACAGGAAGTAGGACCATATCAGCAGAATAATCAGCTCTATTAGGCATCTCATTTCTAGTCCAACCAATCACCATAAGGACTATATTTTTTAAGAATTCATTGCCTCTTCCTTCTCTCATTCCTTTTCTGTTGCATTTTTTGATACAAAAAGCCTGTAGATAGGTATTTGTATAAAGTAATTACTATTGATCTTACTTTTTAAATTTATTATTAGATTTTACATTTCTTTTATTTTGTATAACAAAACAACATTTGTGCAAGATGATGCATCCAATGCTCCCACCTCCTATTTGCCGTGGAATAATAACCCCATGAGGTGGATTGGGCTGAGAGAGTGCAGTTGTCCTAAAGTCTCTTGGCCCCTTAATCAGTATTTTAAACTGTCTTATATAAGTTTTCAGGAAATTGTTTTCATTGAAGTTGAAAATTAACACTTTACATAATCAGAGGCATATGGGTGACTACCACATCCCTTGGAAGATAAAATATCCTCCATCTCCTTTAACTTATTCTTTCAAAGATCTGTGAATCAGGCACCACTTCTTTTCTCTTCCAGAGGCCAAAACAGAAAGGAACAGCAGCAACAATTTATCTGCTTCTGGGTAAATGGTAAAATTATTGTTGAATATAATTCAAGTTTGCTTGAGAAGAGGAGGAGGAAGAAGCATTCATCTTGGATGTCATGCCAAATTCCTGCTAGGGTGGGATACTGTCAGATCCCCAAACCCCTCGCCTCTTTTCTTTTGCCTTCTCTTCTTTTGGGGCCTGCCATTCTGTTGGGGGAGGGGGTGCATGGGGGGAATATGTTGGTAACTTTCCTTTTCCTCTTTCTTGGTCTGGCCTCCTTCTCCTGAGTATGGAATGCTTCTCCTTATATAGGAGAAAATTGCAAGGAAAGAAAGCTGGAGAAGACCTTGAGTTGCGTGCAAATCAGCTGCTCACCAGGCCATCTGTGGATTGGCTGGAGTTCAAACGGACATTATGACTTTGGCGGGAGGGGGGCATATTGCTTGCTTTAATTATATCATTCATGCAGGCTTTTCTTCAGATCTCGCATTACATTCCCTGCTATGACTAGTCCCTAATAAAAGTTCCTTTTGAGACAATGCCTGTTTCAAGAGTTCTGCTTTTTTGGATGATTAGTTGAAGTGGGTCCTGACAAGGTACAAGGCACTGAGTCTTATAAGAAATGAAAACAAAACAAACAAACAAAAACTGACACACACAAACACACATAACCTAATTCAAACCACCTACATTCTAAACTTAGAGGCCATTAAGAAAACATATATATTCTCATTAATTATACAAAGCAACTGTATCCAATTACACTGGCAGAAGTATAGACTTTGATGTTGGGGAAATAGAAAAACATATAAAATTTTCCTTTTATATGAAAAGGAATGAGTCAACTTTCAGATGTATCCAACAATACTTCACATCCACCCTTCCATAGACAAGTATAGCTTGTGGTGGAGATTTTTTTTCCATCTGCTTAACCAGTTCCTGAAAACAGTTACAAATTGAAAGTCATAACTCTCCAGATGTCTATTAGGCCCTTCCAAAACACAATTGGGTGATGCCCAGTCTTCCTGGCAGCTGTGGAGCTAAGGGGCAGGAGGGATAGCTTCCACATTTCTGCCTACCTTGAACCTCTGCAGATCCACAGTCATTTGGGTTCCTGCGGACTTTGGCTGCCAGCTGCTCTTTCTTCATTTTCACTTTTTCCCTCTACAGGCACAAGAAGACATTGGTGATACTTGGGGAATGGAGGACAATATTTTGGACTGTTTCTCAACATATACAGCATATTAGTACAGCTCCATCTAGGGCTTCAGATGAAAATCCTGAGGGAAAGGACCTCAAAGTTACTTGCCTACTATAGAAGAAAGTGGGAATTTTGCTATCACAGAACCCATAAAATTATATATGGACTGTTCACACTTAATCAAATCAGTTGCATCTGAGATTTGTAAAGCATACTGTAAGAGCCGAGGTGGCGCAGCAGTTAGGGTGCAGTACTACAGGCCACTTTAGCTGACTGTGTTCAGCAGGTCAGCGGTTCAAATCTTACCGGCTCAAGGTTGACTCAGCCTTCCATCCTTCCGGGGTAGATAAAATGAGGACCCAGATTGTTGGGGGCAATGGATATATATGTATATATATATATATATATATATATATATATATATATATATATATATATATATGTAGGTCTTTGGTTGTTCGGGTTTTCTCCCACGTAAAATTGGAAGTGTCTTGGCGACGTTTCGACGAAGTCCCATTCGTCATCTTCAGGCTGGTGCTTTCAGCTTCGTGCTTCGAGCAGCAATGTGTGGTCTTAGCTGTTTCTTCCTTTTAACTGCCAGTGGGGGTATGAACTGATTGGGTGGGAGCTTGGCTGTGTTCTGATTGGGTGGAGGTGTGTTCTGATTGGTTAGGGGCGTGGCTGTGCTCTGATTGGCTGGGGGGTTGGCTGTGCTCTGATTGGCTGGGGGGTTGGCTGTGCTCTGATTGGCTGGGGGAGTGTTCTGTTTGGTTGTGCTCAGGTTAGTCTGAGTTGCAGAGGGATTCAAGATTTTGGGCTGCCCTGCCATTCCTTGGCTTCGCGTTCGTGGTCGTGCTTCCTCTTCATGGAGGGTGTCAGTTTGCTTCATGTATGGATTGGGGGGGGTTTAAAGTGGCTAATGATGCAGCTGTGGTCTGGCTTCTGGTTTGTGGTCGTGCCTCATAGTCAGTGTGGCTTTGGGTTTGTTTTTTGCGTGGATGTTTGGTGGTGACATCCTGTGTGGTTTTTGTGAGTGTGGGTCTGGTATCATTTTTTGTGTTAGGGAGTCGTTTGTCAATAAGGGCGGGTTTCCAAATGGCTGGTAGGCGGGAGGTATCATCTCGCTTGTTCATGCTGTGTGGGCGTTTTTCTATCTCGATGGCTTCTCTGATTATTCTGTTATTAAAATGTTCACTTTTGGCAATGGTTCTGGTATTTTTAAAGTCAATTTCATGTCCTGTGGCTTTAAGGTGTTGGACCAGGGAAGATGTTGGTTCCTCTTTTTTGACTGAGTTCTTATGTTCTTCAATGCGTGCACTTATTCTTCTGTTGGTTTGTCCGATGTATGTGGTGGGACAAGTGGTGCATGGGATTTCGTATACTCCTTGATTTTCTAATTCAATTTTATCTTTGGGGTTTCTAAGGATGGTGGATATTTTTCTGTTTGTGCAGAATGCTGTTTTGATGTTGTGTTTATGGAGGATCTTACTGATTCTGTCTGTGATGCCTTTTATGTATGGGAGGATGGCTTTGCCGTTTTCTTGTTCTTTGTCTTGGATTTTAGTGGGGGTTTCTTTTTGGATTAGGTTTGTAATCTTATTTCTATGGAATCCATTGGATGTTAGTACATTGGTGAGAGTGTGTAGTTCGGGTTTTAGGTGTTGTTCGTCAGCTAAGCGTTTTGTTCTGGAGATGAGTGTCTTGGCTACAGAGTTGATCTGTGCTGGGTGGTGGTGTGAGAGAGCGTGCAGATAGCGGTTTGTGTGTGTTTTCTTCTGGTAGATGGTGTGTCCTAGGGAGCCATTGGATTTCTTGTAGACTAAGACATCCAGGAAGGGAAGTTGGTTGTTAGTTTCTGTTTCCATGGTGAACTGTATATATATATATACATTGCTTACTGGTGTACACCGCTTAGAGAGTGCTTGCACTTACAGCGGTATATAAGTCTCATAAATAAATAAATAAATAAATAAATAAATAAATAAATACTAAGATTCTTTTCATTCAAAAACTTTTGTTACAATTGTTGTGACGTGTTGTTGTACTAACCAAATTTATGATTAAGAAGAATTATACAAACTCAGAAATGGGTTGATTTGGTCAGCTGATTAAGTATGTTCTGCAAACAGAGTCATGAAGAACACTGAAGTTCACAAACATCATGACTGTTGGTATACAGGCAACCCTTAGGTTACAACAGCAATTGGGACCAGGAATTCTGATGCTAAGCAATTCAATTGTAAAGCATGTCACGTAATCACATCACTTAACAATGGCAATTCTTGTAGTCTTGGCTGCTGTCATGAGGACTGTACAGATCATTAAGCAAGAATTTCATGTGATCATAACTTCCGACTTCTTGCCGACTTTCCCACTGACTTTACTTGTGGGAAGCTAGCAGGAACATTAGAAATTTTATTTATTACGTTTATATAGTGCCTATTTCACTATCCAAAGCAACCCTGAGTAGAAATGGTAATCTCATGACTGTGGGGACATTGTGAAAGCTGAAACGTCAAGACCCACCATAAATCCTCTTTGTTCAGCACAATTATAATTCTGAATGGTCCTGAATGGTCATAATCTGAGGACTACCTGTATACTAATGCTAAATGGGATAACAACATAAAAGATTACAGTCTCCAGATACTTTGATTTGAAATGTTTTGCATTCTATGAATTAAAAAAAATACACACCCATTGAGAAATTCAACCCAATACCATGCTTTTGAACTCTACAATACCATGTTTTTGATTTAAACAAAGTGAAGGCAGTACTGAAAGCAATTAATACTGATCACCCTATCAGGCAAACGTGGCAGATACTTGTGGATACTTTACAAAGGTAAATTGTGGAACTCTCACAGGATACTAATAATGGAGAACAGCCTTGAAAAAGAAATTCAGTGACCATTACATCAGCTGAGCCCAGAGAGACAGGAGATGAAGAAAACTCCTTCTTAATTTTCTTTAGAACAAAAGGAGAGAGAAAAATTTTGACAGGCTTTTCATATTCTATTATTATACCCTCAAGCCTAAAACAATAAAACAAGAGTTCTGGTAGCTCCTGTGATGTCTGTTCCCTGACCTAAGGTGATCTAAAGCAGTGGTTCTCAACCTGTGGGTCGGGACCCCATTTGAGGTCGAACGACCATTTCACGGGGGTCGCCAAACACAGTCTGCCATTCGCCCCCCCCTTTTCCTTAGCTGTACTACTCCCTTTTATTCTATTGGCTTTTGAAAGCCAATAGAATAGACTCTCTTGAATAGAGTCCAATTCTATTGGCTTTCAAAAGCCAATAGGAATTGTCCAGGCTGTCTCTGCCCTGCTGAGCCCACCAAAAGTCCCATTCTGCAACGGTGCTGCACCTGTTGAATAGTCCTCGACTTATGACCGGTTGAGTAGTCCTCGACTTACAACCGGTTGGGGGGGGGGTTGCGGCATTAAAAAGGTTGAGAACCACTGATTTAAAGGGTTATTTTGTAGCAGTATTTGCTGGTAAATCCCAAACTTTTTATAAAAGGAAAACAAAAACTAACCTGACTTGCCATTTCCAGAGACAGCATTCTTCTGACAACATCACCCACCCTGCAGGAAAGCACAGATTTATTATTATTATTTATCTCTTGAGGGGTTTAGCATTTTCCACTGGCATCAAATGGTTTTTAGGATGCAGCAAAGGAAATTAAAAGTAATGCTGAAGGGGCTTCCGGTTTTGAAGTTGCGGCGGAAGCGGCGCAGGGAGACGGCGCTCCATCTTTTGTGGTCGATTTCGCCCTGCTGGGGACCCTGGAAAGAGTTGAAAGTTGCCCCATAGAGGCGACAAGCAAGGATGGGACCCTCGTTGATCGTGGGGAGGCGGTGGCCCTTCCGTTTGATCCGAGGAAGCCTTCCAAACCGATGGAGGAAAGACTGGCTACATTCGTGTAGCCAGTCAGAAGCTGCTGACAACAGAAGACAATAAGCACTAACAAGCAACCTTTCAGCAACATGGATGAAACTGGGTGAGACCTTTATAACTTTAGGACTTCTTCCTGGAAATAATTGCCCAAAGCACCCTCCCCGATGAGAGAGGGAAGGGGAATCTTCACCCCCATTCCCTCAGGAAAAGAAAAACAGTGAATTAATTACTGTTACAAGATCAATTTGGAATTAATATACATTTATGGCTTTGAAATTTGGGGACTAAAAGTGCTTTTGAGACTTTTTTTTAAAGAGATTTGAAAAGTTTATATTACAAATTGGGATTTAAAAAGCTGGAAAATGGTGCTAATGACATCTAGTGGCAAATTATGGCACTACAATTTGTTATGCCTAAAGGAAACTTGGCTTGAAGTCCAGATTTAGATAAGACTCTTGCTGACTTGAAAGCTTTCACAGCTGGGAAAAGGGAAAATAAATATTTGGGGCTGCTTATGATGTGGCAGAGACGATGAATTATTTTGAAACTGAACTACGAATATAAATATTACCTGACTTTTAGAGCTGTGTTGTGGAACTATTTCCCTGCAGGAGAAATACACTTCATTGCTTGAGATGGAGTATTTTGGATTACAAATCCTTGATTGATGAGCAATTTTTATTATAAAGACCACCTACAAAAAATGAAATGGATGTCCCATACTCAGCTTTAAATGGTAAATGTAGAGAAACCATCTCTAACATCTGTCCCCAAAGTCTTCAGTTTGACATACTACCAAGAAAATATGGATGAAGATCAGAAATTCTCTCCATGTTAAAATTAATACAAGAGACTATTGCTTTAGCTCATGATGAGACTAGAAATAACACAAAGGAGATAAAAGAACAATTTTCTAATCTAAATTTACAAACCCAGAACATGACTACAAGGAAGGAACTAGCAACCCAGAAAATAGAAGGAAAGCTAGAGTAAGCAGATCCAAAGATTGAGGACCTAAAGGAAGGAACCAACCGATAGATTCAGACAACTGAAGAACTAGAAGACGGAGTGATAATATCGGAAATGGAAAAGACATCTTACCAATCAAGAATTCAGGACATATTTGAGGAAAAGGAAGAGGAACTGATTGAATGGAAGACAGAACTGTTAGAACTGTGGGGAATTGGAGAAGGATGGAGGCTGTTTAATGAATATCAGTGGGTTTGTTTTTCCAAAAATACTTTAAACTAAATAATCTTTCTTATTCCAAACAATATACACAAAAATAGAGGAAAAATTATTTAATGATTGAAATGCATTGACTTGAAAAGTTAGTTGGCAAAGAAAGAAAATAGAGGTTTTGATCCATTAGATGGGATATTATATTAACTAGATGTTTGAATATGGTGGAGAATAGATAATTGCTAGAAATAGAAGTATTATCATAACTAGAAAAATAATATTTGTAACTAGAATATTAGATTTTGGTACAAGAAGGGAAACAGGAAAACATTAAGAAGTTTGAATAAGGGAAACTTTTAGTTACCCAAATATAACTTACCGTAAATGCCGGCGTATAAGACGACTTCCGCGAGCGCTGAAATCGGCGCCAAAGACGGGGGTCGTCTTATATGCCGAGTCGTCTTATACGCCGGAAATACTGGTAGTTTCCGGCGTATAAGACGACGTTCTAGGAATGCGGCCCGGCTATAAAGACGGGGGTCGTCTTATACGCCGGGTCGCCTAATACGGCGGCATATACGGTACTTTGAAATTATAAACAATAGAGACATTTTGAACACTGATGGGAAATTAATTTTTTTTAAAAAAAAGTGAAAACAGGATACTGATTGAACATATGGATATTAAATGCAAATGCAATTAAGATATATTTTGGTTAGAAAAGTTATCTAAAACTAATATTGATATTATGAGAAAAATGTAACAAAGATGTTGATATTCAATTGTATGTTTATTAATAACAATAAGAATTGTATTTGTCTAGTGTGGGAAAACAGGTATTATCGGAAAAATAGAGAAATATTTGATGGTGTAATATTGGATCTAGATTGAAGAAGTTAATATATACAACTGAATTACTAACGGACCCAGACAACACTTTGTCTATTAAGTGTTTGATTGTAAAACTAGAAAATTTATATATATATATATATATATAGCCCTGAAGATGTTGGGGAGTTTTCCCAACGAAAGCTTGGCAACCTTTTAGTATAGTAAAATACTTTAATTAAAGTATTTTAACTTTAAACTCTCCTGGTGAACGCGCTTTATTCATTCCATTTATATATATATATATATATATATATATATATATATATATATATATATATATATATAGTATATATATATAGTAATATATCTATTAGTAATATATATATATAGATATATATATATATAGTATATAGAATATATATAGATAGTAATATATATATATAGTAATATATAATATATGTAATATATATATATATATATATATATATATATATATATATATATATATATATATATATAAAAGTAATGCTGAAGGGACCATTTTTTCCCCCAGAGAATATTAACAGATCATATATGAAGGGTGGGTATTTTGTGTGATTGTATCTTGGGAGCTTTTTTCCTTCCAACTGTAAAATAAGGCAAATGACAGAATTGTTACCAAGAGGCACTAGAAACTCTGTTCCCCTCTTTCCCACCCCCACCCATTTCCCACCAATCCCTGCAAATCTTACTTGTCTATAGCTGAGACATTGGCATAATCTTTCCTCAGCGTTGTACCAGGCAGATCATCCAAATGGCTGGAGATAGCTAAAAAGAAAGGGCTTGAAACAGAATTGTTCTCTTGTTATAAATTTTTGTTCAGCAATTATTTTTCTCAAGTGGCCAAACAGGTATCTGTAGATACCTCCAAAATGGAATTTTAAGAGTTTCAAGGTCCCCCTCAATTCACTGGTGGTAAGGAGAAAGAAGGAAGTGGAAGAAATTGCTACTTTTGTAAGATCAATTGTTCAGAAGTCTAGCCCTCCAATTTTCTGGGCCAATGTGTTTATTGATATGAAAGGGAGGGAGGTATCACAATTTACTATCACCTTTTATTTTTCCATTTCAATGGATCAGGGCTTAGGATTACAGACAAATATTCAAATCCATAGAAACAAAGAATCCTCAGCAACCAGAATCCAAAGCAACCATTTACTAATTTATGTTCTGCCTTTCCTCCCCGAAGGCACAATGAGAAGCCAGCTGAACAATTTATAATATATACCTTCTTTTTTTTTCTGGACAGGCCTGGCATATTCTCTGATTTGGAGGAAAGGGCTGTTCCCTGAAAAGACAAAAAATGTATACAGAACCAGTTCAGAACAACACGCTGAGACAATGCAGTACCATCTTCTTGCTGGAAGTCATGTAGTAACAAAAATTAACCAGACTCTGTGTGGGGAGATTAAGTAGCCTGTTAGTCTAAGAGCATTTTTTCCCATTTTGAAGAACCAGCTGGTTTTTCTCCTTGCCTGCCCTTCAAGAAGACGGAGAAGAAGAAAAAGGCTCACAAGCTCGGTGCTTGCTTGTTTTTAACCTCAGGGCAGTGTTTTCGAAATATTTTTATGCACGATCGAACAAAAGCGCTGGGTTCCCGGCACGCGAAACTGAAATAGGGCAGGCGAATTTGTACCGTGAACGGCCAGATGTTATTCAGTTCCTGCCCTCTTTTAAACCAGCCTGCAGAAAAGCGGCCAGGAATGAGAATCCCAATAGAAAGACTCTTTCCTCCCGCCGCCACGAATCTCCCTCCAGCCCTACCAGGCCGCGATCCTCCTCGCCAGAAACGGGGCCGTTTCGAGAGGGAGCCCTATGCGGGCAACTCCACCGTGACCAAGACCGAATGTACCCCTCCATCCCCGCATCCTGCACTTGTGCTGAGAGCAACATGAGTGCTGTAGTCCGACAGCAGCGGGGGAAGCGGTGCAGAGCGCGGGCAGGGCAGGGAAAGGTAGAGACAGGTGCTGCCCCATGTCGGCTAGACATCTGGCCGCCCGCTAGCCCTTCCTCACCCGGCCCTTGACGTGCCTCCACCGCCGTCCCCGCAACAAGCTTGAGGCGGCTACCCCCGGCAAGCGCTGAGGCGCCGCGCAGAACCACCCGGAACATCACTACTGCTCACGGGCCGGCGGCGCCGCCTTGCGCGTCACAAGGTGCGCCGAGGAAGCCAAGTGCGACGTACAGGGAGGGGCCAGCGGCCTCGCGCATGCGCCCTGGTTCAACGGAAGGCTGTGGGAAGATGGCGGTTCTTTAATGCTGCTCTGATGAATCGTTTGGGAGGCACGTGACATTAACTGGATATTTAAAAACAGTGAGGAAAGTCCACAGGAGGCCCGCTTATGCTCCCATCGCCTGTTTCCTGGGAGAGGGGAAGTTATTTATTGAGACTAAAGCGGTCAAGCCCTCTGGGAAGAATTGAGTTCTACGGTTAAAGAAGGAATAGCAGCCACAAAAGGAAATAAACCCTTTTAACATGATTTTAAGATTATTATTTAGCTATTGAAGCTATTGAATGCTATTAAGGGTAAAAAAAGAGTGCCATCCTGTGGTTGAAGCAGGTATAGTAGCCATTAAAAAACTTCAATGGCATTTTAAGGTTATTTTTTATTATTACAACCTTATTAATATTAATAGGGCATCATAGTCCTTAAGGTTTAAGGCTTTTGAAGCAGATTTCTTCCGCGCCTGCGTTGCAGCAAACGGGCCTCCCTTGGCCCTATTAATAAGGTGTTACGCCATTAAAAAGGTTTCTTTCTTTTGGTGGCCGCAATACGTGTTTTTGACCACAGGAGGGCACAGTTTTCCGTCCCATAGCTCTAGCTTGGAGTCCATGGTAGGCTTTTTTAAATGGCCTCCATGCTATAACCAAGGGACGGAAAACTCTGTCAAATCAGATACTGCAGCCACAAAAATAAATACACCTCTTTAATGGCGTTTTAAGATGATTATTCTTTATTATTAAAACCTTATTAATATTAAGCTACAGAGCCATATGCGGCTCCAGAGCTGCAGGTTGCTGACCTGTGTGCTAGGGGAACTCAGAGTACACCTTTGATAAAGGAATATACATAATAAGCAAACACCTATAAAACTTGAGTTTAGTCAAAGCAGCAAAGCCTGCCCTCCTGTGGCCAATGTGTGCTGTAACGTTTGGCAAAGAAGTCCTGGAGTGGCTTCTTTTTATTCTTTCATTTCCTTTGATGGAAGCTCAAAGCAGCCACAGAAGAGGCTGCTGGGAATATAAAAGATAATTGTAGGAGCTAAAATTTCATTTCTAATAGGGCACTGAGGAAGGCAAAACAGGGAATGCTGCCCTCCTGTGGCCAGGTAAGCCCATGACATTTTTTCCCTAAGGTACAGCAGAAAAGGTTACTGGATAGATTAAATAGATGTCAATCAAGCTCAATTTCACTGAGGGCCGCAACAGCATTGCAGTTGCTCTGGGGGGTGGGGGATGGCCAGAGTGGGTGCAGCTTACTGGGTGGGTGTGGATGGAATGAGTGTGGCCTACTGGGTGGGCGTGGCTAGTTCTACACCAGTCGCATCAAGGGTGCCTGTGGGGGCCTGGGCAGGAGTGGGACAGATCTGAGGGTCTCTGGCAGAAGGGGGTGGGACCGGGGCAAGTGCCAAGATGGCCACCACAAAATTGTACATTGGCTCCCAGCCGGCCTGGGCCAGAGCCAAGGCAGCGGGGGCCGTTTCCTCACTGTTTCCAGGATGGCTTCGTAGGCCACATGAAACCACTTTGTGGGCCGTATCCGGCCCCTGGGCCTTGTGTTTGGGATGTCTGATATAGATGATTAATAGGTGAGATAGATAATAGGTGAGAGAGGGAGAGAGGGAGGGGGAGGGGGGAGAGAGAGAAATCTAAAATGTTATGTAAAGCACAAAAAACTTCATTGGAAGTTTATTTTGGTAGAACAGGACATTTCTGTATATACCAAACACCCAAATCCTTACAAAAGATGATCCTCGGTGATTTTGGCAAAGGGCAGGAGCACAAGGTGCCCAACAGGTCCAAGCTCCTGACTGCAGGATCCCAAATATAGCGAAGGAAGAAAAATACTTTGTTTCTGCATCATATCTTCCAAGCGTTACCCAGTTGCAACAGTTTGTACAACAATTCAAAACATAATACAGTCTTACAGATAAAATACATAAAAGCATAATCCAATATTTTAAGGATAAAAAGTCACATAAAAATTACAAAAGCAATGATAAAATACCATGGGTTGAATAGTTCACTAATTTAAAATGACATTTTTGACAAAGGGTGAGGTGTAAAAGGAACCATACTTTCATCAAAAGATTTTTCTCAGAAGAAAGAAAACACCAGTGTTCAAATACATACATATCACAACAGGTATCTCTTGGTGAAGAGATGGTGATAAGAAAGAATACATAAATAAACAGGCAAAAGACAAAATACCTTGTCTACCATAAGCATCACAACTACTTAACAACAGTAAATCAGGACTAAAACTCAGTTGTATTACAAAAAATACATGTCAAACAGAAATTTGAGGAACAAAAAGACAAATGTGTGTGACAAAAGAAATCAAAATTCTTGAGGTGACCGCCATACCGTGTGTCATGTTTAACATTTATCAGTCAAAACATAACTTACACATTTTAAATAACAGCTGTGGATAAAATTATTCCAAATAGAAATCTTTTATCAATCACTGGCCACACCAGACATTAAAAAGGGCCACTGAGATTTTCTTTCTGGTTCTAAGAACCACTGCCAGGATTAAATTTACACCAGGCAGAAAACTATAAAATCCATTACCAAGCACTGGCCACATTGGTCATTTAAGAGGGCCAATGAGGCTTTAATTTTGGTTCTAAGAACCATCGCCAGGGCTAAATTTATGCCAGGCAGAAAACTATGAAATCTATAACCCATCAACAGCCACTGGCCACACTGGTCATTTAAAAGGGCCGTTGAGGTTTTCTTCCTGGTTCTAAGAACCATCACCATGGCTAACTTTACGCCAGGCAGAAAACTATAAAATTTATTACTAAGCACTGGCCATACATTGATCATTTAAAAGGGCCAATGAGGCTTTATTTTTGGTTCTAAGAACCATCGCCATGGCTAACTTTACACCAGGCAGAAAACTATAAAATCTATTATCAATCACCGGCACACCCAGCATTAAAAAGGGCCATTGAGATGCTTTCTGGTTCTAAGAACGACCATCGTGCCTAAATTAAGCCAGGCAAGAAATCTACTCAGGGTTTCAATGGCCACATTTAGAATTTAAAAGGGTCACACAGATTTATTTTCCAGTTCGAGCACATAAATGTTTCACTCTAGCAAAAAACTAGTTATTAATTTGTAGAGATGGCAATACCTCGTATTAAAGTGTGTCACCAGGTTTACTTTTGGTTCCAAGAGATCTGGCTGCAGCTGACATTATTTCTCAGGGTATGAAGTTGGGAGGGAAGCGATTCAAAAGGATTCCCTTCCAGTTTGAGACTCAGCTAGGGCACCGGAGGAGGCTTGTAGTTGAGCGCTGTTGACTCCTCCAGTGTGACTCGCCCTGGCTGCTCACTCAGGTACTGAAAGGGTCTCCCTCTCAGGGTGGGTCTCACAGAGTGTGTGCTCAGAGGCTGGACGAGCCTGGGAGCGTCTGGCTGCCTACTCATTCAGTGTGAGTTTCACAGAGTAGTAACTCAGGGGCTGGAAGATCCCTGTCAGGAGTGCCTTGGCATCACCTCTGTGAGTCAGGATGGCCACAGCAGCAGTGCAGCCTTTTGCCCAAGAAATGCAGCCCATCAACTCACCCGTGCCCATTTACAGCCAGCTTTCCTCCTCCGCTGCCCTCCCGCAGCCGTTCTCCATGGCCAGTGGGCCCTTGGCCCTCTGCCTGTCGCCCTTCGGCCCGGCCAATTCACCCAGATACCGTTTGTCCTGGGTCTTTGTCTGTACGGGACAAATAGCCCACAGCCAACTGGGTGGCAGGCAGGAGCAATCCCAGGGGCTGGGGAGGGCAGTTGTGATGCAAGATTTTTTAAAGTGCTGTGGCTGCTCTGCATGTTTTGGGGCCTTGCAGCTCTGACCCCAGAATCGGAAGGAGGGGGACTGGCAGCAGAAGTAGCAGCCACTGGGGCCACTGGGGGGAGCAGTCAGACAAGAGTGTGTTGGGGGAACAAGGGAGGGAGGGAGGGGCACCTCAAGGGGGCTTCACGAAGACAGCTTGACTCGCAACTCAAAGAGGGGAGGAGGAGAAAGGCCGGAGCAGCTTCTGCCACAGCCAGGGAGGCGAGTTAGGGGGGCACACAGGCAAACAGCAAGGCCAGCGTGGCTTCTACCCACCCTTCCCTCCCACGACGGGTCACAGTTCCAACCCCCAAGCCCATGCCATTTGCCCTCCCTTCCCTCCCACGACGGTGCACGCAGTCCCATCAGCCCCAGCCCTTGCCATTTGCCCTCCCCTCCCACAACGGCACACGCAGTCCCATCAGCCCCAGCCCTTGCCATTTGCCCTCCCTTCCCTCCCACGACAGCGCACGCAGTCCCATCAGCCCCAGCCCTTGCCATTTGCCCTCCCTTCCCTCCCACGACGGCGCACGCAGTCCCATCAGCCCCCAGCCCTTCCCATTTGCCTTCCCTTCCCTCCCACGACGGCGCACGCAGTCCCATCAGCCCCCAGCCCTTCCCATTTGCCCTCCCTTCCCTCCCACGACGGCGCACGCAGTCCCATCAGCCCCAGCCCTTGCCATTTGCCCTCCCTTCCCTCCCACGACGGCGCACGCAGTCCCATCAGCCCCAGCCCTTCCCATTTGACCTCCCTTCCCTCCCACGACGGCGCACGCAGTCCCATCAGCCCCAGCCCTTCCCATTTGCCCTCCCTTCCCTCCCACGACGGCGCACGCAGTCCCATCAGCCCCAGCCCTTCCCATTTGCCCTCCCTTCCCTCCCACGACGGCGCACGCAGTCCCATCAGCCCCAGCCCTTCCCATTGGCCCTCCCTTCCCCCCCACGACGGCGCACGCAGTCCCATCAGCCCCAGCCCTTGCCATTTGCCCTCCCTTCCCTCCCACGACGGCGCACGCAGTCCCATCAGCCCCAGCCCTTGCCATTTGCCCTCCCTTCCCTCCCACGACGGCGCACGCAGTCCCATCAGCCCCAGCCCTTCCCATTTGACCTCCCTTCCCT